CAATGGTTACATCCTACCCATTTAAAAGAAAACAAAATAAACCAAGTGGAAGGGATGGGTAGCATGTTGGTTGGAGAAAAATGAAGTAAAAGACCTCATTACTGACACAACTTTTTTGATGCATCTATCAGTAAATGATAGAAAATGATCTAGGGGTCTTGATCTAGAAGTTAGAAAATGATCTAGGGGTCTTAGTAGACCTCAAGCTTAACAGGAATCAACAGTGTGGTGCAACGGCAAAGAAAGCTAATGCAATTCTAGGCTGCATCAACAGAAGTATAGTGTCCAGATCAAGGGAAGTAATAGTACTCTGTCTTGGGCAGATGCCACCTGAAGTACTGTGTCCAGTTCAGGGCACTATCATTCAGTATGAGCTGAAGTGTGTACAGAGGAGGGTTACCAAAATGATTAAGGGTCTGGAAAGCAAGACTTATGAGGAACAGTTGAGGGAACTGAGTATGTTTAGCCTGGAAAAGAAAAGACTGAGAAGTGATATGATATCCATCTTCAAATACAGTGGTACCTCGGGTTACAAACACCTCAGGTTACAAACACTTCGGGTTACAGACTCCACTAACCTGGAAGTAGTACCTAGGGTTAAGAACTTTACCTCAGGATGTGAACAGAAATCACATGGCGGTGGCACGGCGGCAGCTTTTCCCAATCTGCCGACCTTGAGATTTTGGCGCTGTGCAACTCTCATCAATCCCAACTAGCAATGTCAATGGTCAGTAATGATGGGAGTTTTAGTCCAAACATGTATGGAAGGCACCAGGGTTGGTGGAAAGGCTGCACTAGATTTCATCCGGAAGAGTGGGGGAAAGAAATATGGAGCTGCATCAACTCTTTCAGGGCATCAAGACATCCCGTTCTTAGCTCTGGTCGTTTGTACACCTTCAATTTTGTTTTTTGAGGGGAATAGCATTTATGTTGCTTTCAGCCACTAGAGGTCACTCTGAATCTTCCTAAAAGGATAATCTATTATTTAAGAATGAGCTTCCTTCAAATAAGTATGTTTTCAAATTAGGTGGGGGCCGTGTGCTGAGATTGCAGGGAGTTGAACTTCACTAGATGATCCTCAGGACCCCTCCCAAACTCTGCAATGCTATGCTTCTATAATTCTATAAATGAAAATGGAACCCACAAGTGATTGTGTCTGAAAGCTAATAGGCTTTGTACAAATTATTCAGATTACAAAACTGGCTTTTCCCAGAATAGAATCTTGATTATTAAAAGGCAGCCAGTTTGATTCTCAGCCGCTCAAAGGCTGCATGAGGTTCCCAAAGCAGCTCTATTCTAAACCAGCCTTCTTCCACCTTGGATGCCCAGGAGCTGTTGGACTAACAACTTCCATCATCGCTGACCATTGGCTAAGCTGGATAATGGGATAATTGGATAACTGGGTGTCCAACACCTGGACACCCAAATTTGAATAACTTTGTCGTAACTCCATAAATTAGGGTGGCCTCTAAGACTTTGTTAGACTCCAACTCTCATCAGCCCCAACAAGTGTGCCTAATGGTCAGGGATGATAGGAGTTGGAGTCTAGCGACATCTGGAGGACCACATGTTCCCCATTGCTAGTGTAAACCATGCTTAGCTATTGATCAAGAGAGACTGTGAATGTTGAAATTGTTCTGCAGTGGATTTCATACCCTTAGGCATCTACCAGCCTCCAGTTCTCTACATTGCTGCCCTCCAGTCTCTTCTGTAGCTTCCCTAAATAAATGACCCCATGGCTAAGAGTTTGTGCTGCATGCCCAGCTCTTTAAATCTTATAATCTGCTCTCCCTAACTCGCTTGACAATCAAGATACTCCTTCATCACTACACTACTGGCAAAAACTAAGAAAAGGAGATGGTAGCAAGGCCCTGGGTTCTGGAGCCACCTGCCTCATGTGTCAAGCAGGTGGAAGACCACTTGGCTACTGGCCAAAGGGAGATGCCCTTCTACCCACCAAGCACTGTGAATAATAGCTGCAGCAACAGAGAGCAATTATTGGGTGGCCATCTGCAATGTAGAGGGCAAGGCCAGAAATGGAAATATCCTGTTTCAAATATTTTTGTGGCCTCAGTAAAGACACACACTGTCTCTCTCACTCTCAGTCCATCATTGGCAACATGGGTCAGTACTTGCTACCAGGGCTGTTGTGAGTCTTGTTGGAAAAATACATTGAAAACATTTTGAATGCTTGAAAGGTTGTAGACGGTTGAGTCTACCTGGGCTCCACCATAACCTGCAAATGGTCTGACTCAGTCTAATGCAGCTTCCTATGTAAGTAAGGTTGCAATGATCTTTGGAAATTGTCCCAAAGAAGCCACCAATCCCAATGAGTTCAAGGTCAGTCTCGTTTCACTAATTTAAGTTGCCGCCACAGTGTAGTCACGTAGGCATACAAGGGAATGCTGCTGGGCTGGAAGTCTGTTTTCAAAGCATTCTGTGCCGCTGCAAGCACAACTTGGGTTTTTCTAGTTTCAACGCATTTTCTTGCTCTAAAAATGGCCAACAAGCCCCATATGTGCTGCAGGATCAGAAGAACCATATTTTTTTATTTAAAAAACCCCCCAAAAAAACAACCCACCCACTTCCCAATAGTGTGGAAAGTCACTTGCAAATCTACTCACAGCTTATAACAAAAGAGCAATTATTGGGTAGCTCTAGGAGACACCCATCTGGAAGGAGTCAGAGATTTCTTTATTTTCATGCTCTTTAATTTCCTCAATGAATCCTGCCCATATATTTATATTTTAAAATCACCACTTTGGGAGGGAATGGGTGAAAGAGTGTGAGAGTGAGAAGCAGGATGAGAAGATTGTTTTCATTTATATTCTCATGCCAGGCAAAGGAAGACCAATCTGAAAGCAGCAGATGTAAAGATATCCAGGAACATCTGGATCCCAGCTGAGCCATGCAGCTGTGCTCCATCAGACACAAATGACCAAGCTTTACAAATGTTGTTAGAAGGAAAGCAATGAATAAGTTATCCATCCTGGAAATATGACTGTCCAAATACCATCCCACAATAATTCCTCTTTATGCTGCCACTGAGGAGCTACTGCCTAGTGGCTGCATCCACCTTCCATTTTAAGCCCTGTTCCAACAGAGAGTCAGTGCAGCATGGTGGTTATAGTGTCAGACTAGGACCTGGGAGACCAGGGTTCAAATCCTTACTCTGCCATGAAACTCACTAAGTGACCTTGGACCAGTCTGAATCAGCTCCCAGAGGGCTGAAATAACACACTGGAATAACACCTTTCCCGCACCAGCCTTTGAATTAAATGCACCACCTGGTGGCCAAATGGAGATCAATGGATTATGGGGGAAATAGAACCAGGGAATTATTTCAGCCTGCAGTCCTATGGTTTTTTACCTGGGAATAAGGCCCTTTGAATAAGTGGGACTTATTGCCAAGTAAACCTGCATGGGGATGAGATACTGCAGTGAGGAGTTTGGAAAATGGACGCCAGGCTTCTGTCTTTTTTGCATTGAAATGAAATGCCAAGGCCCTTTCTTGATATGTGTAATAGCAAGGTGTTCTCATTCCTTGGCTATTCTTTATTTTTTGACAGCCAGCTGAGTAGAGAGCCAGTGTGGGTGTTATGGTTGTTAAGCTGTCAGAACAGCTGCATGGAAACCAAGGTTTAAATCTCTTCTCAGCCATGATGTTCATAGGCTGACCTTGAGGCAGCTAATTACCACAGCTTATCCTACCTCACAAGGCTGTTGTGTGTACATTGCTTTGGGCTCCCACTAAATTCAGTGAGGCTATCTTGGGACTTTTACAGGTTTGCCCTATATATGCTCAGATCCAACCCTACGTCTAATTTGGCTCTTTTAATCTCAGCTTTTTGACCACTTGGAGACCAAGGTATTCGCAAGAAAATTATTGTAGGACGCTCTGGGAATAGATTGTGTCATTTCATTCCATTTTATCTAGTATTGCTTAATTGGTTTAGGGCTTGTTTTGATATTGCAGCTCTTTTTAAGATTCATTTTCAGAAGAAAAATGGCAACAAAAGCAGGGAATTTATTCCAGTCTGTATCTATATTACATATGAACCTCTAAAAATACAAATTTAAGTGTTTTTAAATGGTTTAAATGTTTCTGATTGCTTTTATCTATGAATTGTGCAAATTTTATTAATGTTTTAATGTGAAATCACTTCGAGATTATATTATGGGAAAGGAGTCATAAATGGCACGTGTGTGTGTGAATGAATGCACATTAAACTGTATTAAAGAAATTATTTAATTTAATTGTAATTAAATAAAGTTGTAATCCTATCCTTCCTGAATTTGGGGGTGATTTCTCCAGGGATGAAGCCTGGCCTAGAGAAGCAGGCTTTGGAAGTGAGGCTGAGCCCCCGGATTCTAATGAAGCCGGGTCGCAGCAATTAATTACAATCATGGCAAAAGTCACAGGTCAAAAACTTCCCAGGAGAAAACATGAAAAAACAGGAGCAGAGGAGGCACGTTTCATGCACTGCGCAAGCGCAACGAGGAAACCGGGCCTTTCCAGGAGCGCTGCCCATCACCCCTCACTTCGAGTTTCCATTCGACAGCTGCCATTTGCGGGGCAGCGACATAATCCCGATTGAGAGGAAAACAAAACAAAACGAAATGTCCTGTACAGTGTGCTCCGCAGCTCCCGCGCTGTTACTTCTGCTTCCTCCCCCGGCATTTTCGATTAATGGGAGAACAGGAAAAGAGGCTAGCTTACATGACTTCCAAAGTCGCTGCAGTGCCCTAATTTTTTCTGCTTCTTTCTCTTGTGCCCTTTGGAACCCATCACTCTACGCATGCGCAGAGCATCTTTCCTCCCCACCCCTCAGGGGCTGGGCCTAAGCCGCGCGACGAGGCGCCTGCGCAGTGCGCCGGGCTGGCTTCCCAAGCTCGCGCTCGCCCTGTTCCCCTCACAGCAGCGGCAGCGGCCGTTACACACACGGCCTGCCAACCTCCCTTCGGCGGGCCGCGAGCGGAGGGGCTCCTCTCTCCCCGGGATGGGCCGGGCCTTGGAATGCGAGGCTGCTGCTGCTGCTGCCGCCGCCGCCGCCCTCATCATCCTGGGTTGTCGTCGGCAAAGCCCTGAAGGGACCGAAGCGACGGTGAGTCTGTGAGGGAGGGGCAGGGAGAAAGAGAGATAAGCAAGCCACGCCCTTGTTCTAGGCCACGCCCATTCGGGTGTCCCCACGCCTCGGTTATCCCAAGCCACGCCCTTTTCGACCCCTCCTTCCTATTTAGACCACGCCTACCAAGCATGTCACCAGTTCTCTCCCCCCCACCACCCATGTTCCTCTGCCCCACAAACTGTACCTCCCCCCAACCGCGCTTCTCTCATGGCTGTGTGAAGTAGATTTGGTTTATTTATTTGGAATATTTATTTATTTGGCCTGTGCTGCCATCGCTAAAGCGACCCCATGGAGGGGAATGCAATCAAAACTAAAACTATATCGAACAAATAGCAATTTAAACTTGCAGCCAGCGTGGGCAGAGGAACACCACAACACCCAGCGTCAGTGCTCATTCCCAACAAAGGCCAGGGCAGACAAGGTAAGGCCTTTGGGTGGTGCCAAAAAAACCAATCAAGAGTTCACACTTCCAGTATTTCAGAAAAGAAGTTTATTAAGGTGGTGCCGCCACTGGGAAGGCCCACACCTGTGCTGCCATATAGCACATTTAAGCTGGAGCAGCCTTCCCCAAGCTGGCATCCTCCAGATGTTGGGCTTTTAGCTCCCATCCCTGACCATTGACCACACTGATTGGAACTGACAGTGTTGGAGTTCAGCAACATCTAGTAGTCACCATCTTGGGTAAAGTGGTGAGAGGTGGTTTGTGCCACCTGATGAGCTCCTTTGAGAAACAGTGGAGTCAGTGTTCTGTAGTGGTCAGTGTTAGACTAGGACCTAGGATATCAGCCATGACGCTCATTGGGTGACCTTGGGCACCTCACAGAGTTGTGGGGATTAAATGAGGAGGTGGAGAACCATATACGCCACCTTGATATCATTGGAGAAAAGATGTGATAGAAATGCAATAAATATAATAAAATAGATACTAAAATATATACTAAAATAAGTACAGTGGTACCTCCAGTTACGAACTTAATTCGTTCCAGTGGTCTGTTCTTAACCCAAAACCGTTCTTAGCCTAAGGTGCACTTTTACTAATGGGGCCTCCCACTGCTGGCGTGTGACTTCCGCTTGCATCCCGAGGCAAAGTTCGCTACCAGGAGCACCTACTTCCAGGTTAACGGAGCTCATTACCCGAAGTGTTCGTAAGGAGGACGGTACGTAACCCGAGGTTCCACTGTACTTAATTAGTTTGCTTGACTATTTATGCTTATTTACCTAAATCACATCTTTTTGCCAAGGTATGCTTGGTTCTCTTTACCATTCTTATCCTCACTAACCCTTGAGGTAGATTAGGCTGAAGTCATGACTGGCACTTGTTGAGCTGTATGTCTGAGTGGGAATTTGAACCTGGGTCTCTCCAATCCTAAACCAGCAGCGCTAACACCTTTTTCTCTCTTCCAGCTGGTTAATTGTAAACCCCTCCCAGTCTTATTTGTGCATTTGAAAACAACCTCTACTTAACCAGACTTTTCATCGCCATTTGACAACTGATAGCCTGTATTTCACCCCCACCCCTACAAACTATCATGGATAAAATCAGCCGTTATTGCCTTCTACTCTTCAATACCTTGTTACTTTGGGTTTCTCCCACTTTTCAACCCTATCCCATCTTTGTAGCCCTGTCCTGTACTTGGAGGTATTCCCAGTTAATGTGCACGAGATTGCAGCCCTTGGATAACTGTTCCATCCCACAGCAAAAGCTGTACCATGCTTCATCTAGGGCTCACTGAGCATATGGTTGCCTGAACTGCATTGCCTCAGGGAGGATGCACTTGATTGAATGTTCCTCTCTCTTTATATATATGTATATATTTAAAAATCCATCCACATAGAAAACCAGGAAATCAGGAACCCTGCTGTCTCCCTGACATTGTTTTTTTTTTTTTAAGCACATGATTTGATGGTTTACTTTCAAGTCACCACTTACAGGCTGATGTGGTATAGTCTAGACACTGGCTTGCCATCTCTATGAGAAATTGGTCCTGGTTTCCCTGTTGATCAGGATTTCCCCATCATGCTGTTATCTTTGTTCTTGTCTCAGCACAGTTTGATACAGAGGCTTACATTTTTCCTCCTGGCATAAAGGTGAAATCCTCAACCATTAGCATTCATTTTCCAGGACTGCCAGTGACCTAGTCCTGTAAATGAGAATAAGTTTTCTCCTTTTTTTCCAGCCATGGCTTTGTGTTCCTCCATGATTGTAGGACCAAGTTTGAGAGAAAATGTTTTTAATCAACCCAGTGACTGGGATAATTGGCTTTCTGTTCTGATATGTCTGCTAAAAAAATTTCATTCACCTTGTACAGAAAAACTCACATTGAGAGCCAGATGCTGATGCTTTTGTTGGCTGCTGTCTTTGCAGCAAAGAAATCAAGGAACATTGTCATTGATTTAATTCATTATCCTTGGCTTTAAGAGACACTGCTCATTAGGTTTCTTTATATTGAGTCAGACCGATGGTCCATCTACACCAGCATTCTCTACTGTGGCTAGCATTGGCTTTCAAGAGTCTCTGGTAGAGAGATGATATGTCCATCTCACCAGTCTTTGGTTCCCCTCACTCCTTTTTTTCCCTTTTCTGTGACAAGGGATTGAACTAGGTAGGACATACTGCCAGGAAACTGCATGTACTCCACCTAACTCCTCAATTGGCTCCCCACCACCATCACTGCTCAATACAACCTCTCTGTTTAAGGTCCTCACATTTCAGATGATTTAAGCAAATTGTGAAACAAGTAAGAACCTGAAACTTTGATAATCATTTTGGAGTAGGCACACACAACTTGTGTTGTTGCTATTTTGATTTGTTACCTGCCCTTCACCATGCAATCCCAGGGCAAGTTATAGCATTATAAAAATACAACATTAAAACAGTTTAAAGCCAATCACAGTCACCAAAGTAGAGAGAGGGTCCCTATTGTACTACAAGAATTTGTAGTCCCTGCTGTATCTCTGTGCAGCTTTTAGGATCGTAAGAAGCTGCCTTACACTGTGTCATACCATTGGTCCACCTAGCAGGAAGTTCTGTGTTAAAGTGGGTCCACTCCTACCTGCAGAGTTGCTACAAGCAAGTAGGACTAGCAGATTGTCGCTTGGCTCAGTGGTTTTTGGACTACGGGTCCCACAAGGGCCCTTTTCGTCTCGTTGCTATTTTAACATTTGTATAAAACTGTTGGGAGCAGTCAACTGGGGATTTGGAATGCTCTTTAAGAAATTTATGGACACGTTTGCCACCCTAGACTCCTTTGGGAGGAAGGACGGGATATAAATTCAATAAGTAAATAATAGCTCAATATTGTATACAGTGACAGGCAGAAACACACCAGGGTTCCAGCCAGGGGTCTCTCCAGTTCTACCTGGAGATGCCAGGAATTGAACCTGGGACCTTCTGCATGCAAAGCAGTTGCTGCACCACTGAGCAGTGGTATTGTGATATTGTTACCTATTATTCAAATATGATTCTAGTCCTTTTGGTTGTTGAGAGTCTGAAAACACGATGGCAGTGAAACAAAATCATGGTAGTTTCCCCATGCATATTTGTCGTTACCATGCAGTGCAGTAGGACACTTTGTTGAAATGTTTTGCCGAAAACCAAATGGTGTAAAGCAGTCGCCCTCTACCTGGTACAATAAGGATCTTGACATGTATAATTTATTAGAAGAGAACAGCCTTTGGCTTCTTATTTTGCTTACCGAAAACTGACTTGGGTGACATAATTTGTTCTTGAATTTTTAACGTGATGAATGTGAGCATGATGAATTTTTGTGGGGAAGGGAACCTTCATCAGTAAAGTTCGTTAACCAGAAATAGGAGTCAGTAGTTTAGTAGGTAGTTGTGATAAGTGCTGTTTCTTGGACTTTGATGTCAAATACTTTAGCTGTGTACCTGCGTACTTCCAAGCTCTCTAGTGTTTTAATAAAGGCGTCGGTAGCAGTACTCGAGACAAATCATGTGAAGCAGCTCTATGTGGAACTGAGTTAGACTATTGGTCCATCTAGCTGAATTGTTTCTCTTCTGATTGGACTGATCCTTCAGGGTTTCGGGCAGAGGTTATTTCATTTATTTATTTTTAAATGATATTTATTAAGAGTTTTAAAGTTACAAAAAAGCAGAAAAGAAAAAGAAAAAGGAAAAACAAAAGAAAAACAAACCACAATCAAACAATACAAATTGATAAAAATCAAGATCAAAAAATAAGAACAAAGCACGTAACAGAACACAATCAAAAAACAAAAATAAGCCACAAAAATTTAAAAACAAATCCAATATTCTCATGTCCTTGACTATCATTACCTTCTTTCTTTGACCTCCTCACTCCTCCCTTTTTTTGTATCCTAGTTATTAATAGTCACAGCAAATCCTTTCCATTTTTCATAATATTCTTTCATTACATCACCTTAATCTATTTTAAACTTATCTTACTATAAAAGACCTTAAAACTTAAAACTTAGATCTTATTTATACCAATTTCTCATAACCATAACATATTCTTACATAATTCTTTTAACTTTTTTGCTAAAGCCAAATAATTTCGTTCCAACATTTTTCTAACATTCATCAATTTTATAAAACAATCCTAATATTTTTTTTTCTTCCAATCTTCATCCAGCGTCTCTTCCTCCTGGTCCCGGGTTTTGTCAGTCCTTTCTATCCCATCAATCTAGCGCATTAACCTGGTAATCTTATGTCCGAGGCCCTTAAGTCTCTTCCATGTCCCTTCCGTGGCTCTTCTTCATATTTATACCTGTACTTTACTTTGTCTCCTGCTCCTTTCACTCGTGGGAACTCCAACTCCAAAAACTCCAACAGTGTTTTTGACCCTTCTCGACAAATCAATCCCTTTTCCATGCTCCACACTAAACCCCATGTGGTATTTAAAAACATGTTTCAAAGTCCCGGGCAGAGGTTATTTCAAGCACTTGGACCTGAAGTCCTTTTAACTGGAGAAGGCAGTGACTGTACCTGCATGCAAAGTGGGCACTTCGTTACTGAAAGCTATGGTCCTTCTCTACTGGATTAAGCAATCCAGTAACTGGCATGCAAAAGAATAGGTAGATTTTTGTATGTGCTTGGAAAGCTCTTCAAATGAAAGTGGTTGGATGTGTATACAGTTTAATGGAACATACATCACACTGCTTTGTATTTATGTCATAAGCATTGAGAAAGCTCCAGATGACTTCCTTTCAAAACCTGGATTGGGTTTTGGGTGTGTGTAACCGTAATGGGGGGGGGGGGTAGTGTCTGTAGGCTTGCTTGTGTAATCCTAACCAAAGCCAGGGTTCAGTAAATCTCAACTATGTAGGAAGAAGGACTAGTTTCAGATTTGTGTGTCTGTTCCTATCTTGCCATTTGTAAACTTCAGGCCCTTTTAGGTGTGTCTGTGTCCAACTCTCAAATTGTGACTGCTTTCAACCAGCCTGTTGCTGAATAAGTGGGTCTGCCCTCTTTCCCTGCCCTCCTCACAAGCAGAGTGGAGATGGCTGGGCTCTGTGACATCACGGTTTCACACAGTATGGCTGAGACTTGCTGCTGAAGGGGGCTATGGACTTGTGACTGGCCCTCAAGGTTGAACAGGGTCTGCCCGCTTTCCATGATGGGATGACATCATGCAGCACCGTGTGGGTCGGGCAGCGCCTTCGAGGCCTGCAGAATTCCCAAGCCCCTTCACCCTTTCAGCTAGAACAGTTCACCTTACTTACGTGTAAGTAAGTAAAGTCATCTTAAAGGACTGATTATGGATCATGCAGTGGGTGGAAGGAGAGGGTGCAAGACACAAGCATATACAAACTGTGAAGGTCAGAGACTTGGGAGATACAAAAAGTGAAAGGTAGCCTAGCATAATTGAAAATAATTCCCTGACTTTCCTAACGTGCAGCTGGTCATGTACAAAGGCAGCTTCCAGGGAAAATATCTTACTTCAAGATCATTTTGTGTATCCAATTGCAGAAAATCTACCATTAGCTAGAGTAGAGCAACTGTGACCTTGAGCATGGAATACTTGGACAAAATAATCAGGAGGGGGTTAATTGGGCACTTATAGGTAGATTGAGTCTCCTGCAGCTGCTGCTTTCCTGCAGAAGGGCTTCCCCTGGGCTACAGACCTGTATAATGAAAGACTGGCCAGCCTGCCTTCTGAGAGAGGAGATGCTGACTCTGTAGTTAGCAGAGCCAGTTTGCTGTGAGATTTTCATTTTCCGTTTTTGAAACCATGCCTTAACTGTGTGTGACAGCTTTGCTTACATTGTCAATGCGAATATTCTCACTAATATTGTCACTGGTGCCCACGTTTAGGGCCCTGTAGATTTTTCTTTTCTGCCAACAAAAATATTTTGGGGGGAAGGGGGAGCTAATCTGACTGCAGAGACGGAATTTTTCCCAATTGAATTCATGGTCATGAAACCTCAAGCACTGTGTCTGGGGATGTGTTCATACTTAAGATAATAGGTGAAGGTGCCTCTATATATGATGCTTCGATGTCCATACAGTGGTACCTTGATTCTCAAAACCAAGGCATTCCAAAACCAAGGTGCGCTTTCCCATAGAATGTAATGCAAAATTTATTAATCCGTTCCAGACTTTTAGAAACAACCCCTAAAATAGCAATTTAACATGAATTTTACTATCTAACGAGACAATTGATCCATAAAATGAAAGCAATAAACAATGTACTGCAGTCGCACAATCAATCAATCAGTAGCTGAACTGGGTTCCACACAGTCACAAAAACGAAACAAAAAAGCCGCAAAAACAGAAATGTGAAATAAATAGCAAAAACAGACAGATCTCAAAATGGAAGTGTGGCACTCAAATTGGAAGTGTAACACTCAAAACAGAGCATGTTTGACTTCTGAAAAAAGTTCGCAAACCAGAACACTTACTTCCGGGTTTGCAGTGTTTGGGTTCCAAGTTGTTCGAGTACCAAGGTACCACTGTACACTGGTTTAGTGTTCCAGGTAGTTTGCAATATTCCATTCTATTCCCCACCTACCTGCTTTTCTGTTCTCTCCCTCCCCAAATCATTAGTCAGCATTCTGTGACCACTGAGTGTGGCCAGTGCTCAGTGGTTTGTTTTGGGATCCTGCCTTTTTTATTATTGTTTTTAACTTCAGCAAATTCTGATGGTTCCGCAAACTTGCTGATACCTCTCTCGTGAGTGTGTGCTGTTTTGGCTATGCAAGTTCTGTCACCTACCTCTGAACTTCATAAATGGAGGGAATAATATCCCACCTTTCAGTTTGCTAAAATTTCCAAGGCAAGTTCCCAGTTAAGGTTAATATAAAAATAAACATAATTAAGACCTTCCCCAAAGCATTGCCTGTATAAATAGCAAATAGACAGCAAAATATAAACACGCAGATACACAAAAATCCACTCAGAAGTAGTAAAATTAAATCATAATTCAGTAAAAGAAAAAAAGAAAAACAAATGGCAGGTAACATCATTATTAACTGGCACCTAAAGCTTCATGATGTTGGTGTCAGGTAAGCATCCCTAGGGAGGGAGTTCAGCCATGGAGGAAGAGACAATGCCCAGATATTTGGAGAAGGACTTCCAATGAAATTTATCATGGCTGGACTGGTTCATGTAAGAGCAGATAGCTTCTTAGGTATCCAGGTTCCAAGTCATTACTAACCTTAAAAGTCAACACCAGCATTTTTAAATTGTGCCCAGAATGAAACTACAAGATACAATCCAAGTCAGTAATTTAGCGACCGTGTTGTGTTCCAGGTAGAAGTTCTCAGATAGAGAGTCTTCTACAGCACATATTGGTGTTTCCCAGTTGTGAAATCTCTTGCTGGAAGAACATGGAGGTGAAAGGATCAGACAGCTGGACAGCAACGTGGAGCAGCTGGGCAGGGCAAATGGTTTGAGTCTGAGATTTCCTGAACAGCTGATGGTAGATAATGCCTATCATTAACATTATCCTCTCGTCAGAAAAATGAAAAGCCCCTTCCCCCCACTTTTTTTCCTAGAGATTCAGTGTTTATCCAAGGGCAGAGGAGAAAAGCGGCCTTTGTAACGTGATAAGTGAATCAGAGGTCAGAATGGAAGTTTTCCTCCACGTTAGTGCAGGTTTTTGGCTTCTACAGATGTGTTGTAATTCCATCACAGAAGACACCTCATGCTTTGTTATAACCTTGCTGCTGTGCTTGTAACTAATGAGTGGCTTTATTATGTCTGTGCAGGTTACATCAACTATGACTACATGCATCTTAGAAGCCCAAAGGAACAGCAAGATGTCAGACTAACACTCACACTCCTTGTCAGGTATGTGTTCATTCTGGATTTATTGCCCAGCCTGTCCCCAGAGGCTCAAGGTGGTTTGCAAATAGAAATACAAATGGTTAGATGCCGTTAAGTCCCTAATGGTGAGCCTATAGCCCAGAATAAGCTTTCTTCAGATTTGTAAAAATAGAGCAATAGACGTAAGTATGATGCCTTGGAACAAGCTACAACAGCTCACCTTAAAATGCCAACGCAGGGAGGCTCCTCCACTCTTCAAGCAGCTTGTGTGTAGCGGCTCAGCAAGTAGAAGTGGCATTTGTCTTTGCTATTTCAAATGCTGTATTTGCCAGACCAAAAAAAAAGGCGAGGGGAGGGCCATAGCTGAGTGGTAAATCGCCAGCTTTGCATGCAGAATGTCCCAGGTTCCGTCTCCAGGTGGGGCTGCGAAAAACTCCCTGTCAGCGTAGACAAGACTGAGCAAGGTGGACCAATGGTCAGACTCAGTATAATGTTCCTATGAACTGGCGGCACCCCTGGATTGGCATAGCAACCTGCCACACATAAATGGCAGATCATTTGTATGTGTTCATTAGGTCTTTGTCTTCAAGGTCTTTGTCTTCAAGATAAACTTTCAGCATGCTTCCATTCAAAGTTCATGCTGTTCCTGGGATGTTACCTTAATAGGCCTTTTTGTACTTGCATCCTGATCGTAGTAAGTTGAGCAATTTATGCAGCTACCCTCCCCCTCCGCAGTTCAACTTGCTTATTTGCTCAACAGGCTTTAGTGACTTAAAGCAGCATGTTGCATAGAGGTGATGTGCTGTAATGCGACTGAGGCTGAAGTCTCTACTTCAAATCTTGCTTCCCCTCCAAGTGTTCCTGGACTACAACTCCCATTGTTTGTGAATACCCTTTGACAAGGGGTGGGGTGGGGTCTGCCTTATATGGTTCAGAAACACCAAAAGTTCTTACTATGATCAAATTGGATGGTGCAAGTTTAATGTTTGGAAGAGAATCAGTAATGACACAAATTGATAAGCATGTGCTTTAAACTACATTGAAGCTGGCTTGCTGTAAGGAAGGGGACCTAGCATAAGCTGGAAAGCGGTGAGGCATCTGCTCAGATATCACAAATCAATGCAGTGCTTTCAGGTTGCTCTCCAACATGGTCCTTAATAGCAGTGAATCAATAGGGATTTCAGTGATGAAAGTGCTTCTAGGGTTTCATGCTATTTCTGGCACTTTTGGGGTTATGCTGCAATCTGGTCATAATACTTTGATTTTCTATATAGATAGTTGGAGGCTCTCTGGGGCCTCCTTTCTGTTCCTGGTGCGATGAGGCAATGTGCAAATAAATGAAGCTCATTATAGTTCCACTCCAGACACCAAGTGCAGTTCAGTGAACACCTAGTCCCACCAGCAAAACAAAAACCCTCCATCTGCTGGGAGAGAGCATTATTGCAAAATGAAACCAATAGGGTAGCTAAAAAGTCGGAATGTTATTTAGTATTTAAAGATGCTGAGTTGTATCCAAGTAAAGTAGTATTAATGGGTCTAACATTGGATATAACCCTCAATTTTATTTTTTAAGTAAATGATACTGTTTCTCTTTCAAAAATATGCCAAATTTAAAAGGAACAATGTTAATGCATGCACTTGACATTATTGTGAGCATCTATCAAAATTACTCTTATTTACAACACGCCATTCATCGTTATGGTGCTTTACTAAGTACAAAGACACAGCACTCACTCTCATTTCACTGAAATCACTTAGAAGATAGCAGCACATTTTGCCCCATTTCTTTCTAGAAGGGCTAGAGACTGTCTTATCTATTTATTTATTTATGGCTGCATTTATATCACACCTTTATATATAGAAGGGGTTTGGTCTCCCAGGTGCTCACTCGACACTGGGGTACCTGCCCTGGGTCACTAATTAAAGCTTTTGTTCATGCCATGGTACCCACAAGCATTGGGCTGGCAGTTTCTGACAAGGAAGATAGCAGAAGAAGAGGAAAGGAGGAATTGAAAGCATGTGTATACAGTGGAATAATATTTCAGCAGCACAATGTTAGATTTGGTAATGTTATGAGAACTATAGGGATGCACCAAGGAACATGTGGCTTTTCAAGGAAGGATTTGAAGAAAGTAAGACAAATGAGCTCAAAGTTGTATTCTTGGAGGAAGTTTCAGTCATTAGACTGGGAGCCAGTGAGATGGCATCCTTTATCTTACTAGTTCATATGTGTGATTTTATACCTTTTATTTTATGTCCTACAACAATCTGAGCTCTGCAAAGTGTTCTGTTTCCAAATTATGAATAGTTATAATTCCCAATAACCAAACAGCATAGGCATTTTCCATCTCATATTTTTCCCACTTAAGACCAACCTTTATTTCTGTAATGTTTTGAACATCAGATCATATACAAGTTTATTAATAAGTTCCACTTGGTTCAGTAGGCGTTACTTTCACATAAATGTGCATATTCTACAGGAAGGCAGTCTCACTTAATATCCATGCATATGTGTGCAGAAGGCCAAAGATAAATTTATCTCTTGTCTGTATTGTGGACTGCAGCTCCCTTGAGCACGAGCCAGGCCTGATGATGTTTTGCTCTGTGGATGTTGGTAGTCCAAAACATCTGGAGGATTCCACCTCAGCTACCTTCGTGTAAACAGTACTGTGCTAAATGGACCACTGGTTTGACTCTGTGTAGGACTATAGTCTGTATAAGGCAGCTTCCTACATTTGTAGGTTGTAGAACAACTCAGCTTAGTTGCAACCAATTTGCTTCACAACAGGAATCAGTGAATATAACACTTGTTCACAAAACATATCAATTTTAAAATGGGGAAACTTGATTTAAAGACAGTGATTTAAATAACACTACTATTTTTAACTGATTTTAAAATGACTTGATTTAGATCGTTCTATCCTGGGAATGAGTATATAAGCCAGTGTGTAAAAATAAGGTGTTCTCACGGAAAGCAGTATTATTTCATAAGGGTGGAACCTATTTCACCACTTAACCACTTTTGAATGAACAGAATGTGTGGGCAGCAGAAAGAGCATCTGTTCCCAAGATTAAATTGCTAGCTGAAAGTGCAAAGCACAACCCCTTCCAGAGATCTTGCTGCTGCAGTGCGTTGAGTAGCCTCTGCCCTGTTTCTTTTCTTTTCTTTTTTCGCTGAGTCATTGTATAAATTGAGACATACATATTTTTTGCTGTGTGTGTGCTTTAGCTATTGTCTCTGCTTTAGCAATTGTCTCTGCTTGCCAGCACCATATGGGATCAATTGTTTGATCTCCCTGCTATTCTGTCTACACAGAAGTGTATATTTTTAGTTTGTGATGTGAACATAATCATTTACGTGATTTCCAAATGTCCAGAACCCCTGGTCATTAGGCATGCTGGATGAGGCTGATGGGAATTAGTAGTGCAGCAGCATATAGAGAGCTGCAAAGTTTCCATCCCTGCTTCACAACAACCTGAAAGGTACCCAAGTCTGATAAGCCTCAAATTGCAGAGATTAAGAGCAAGAGTGGCTTGCCTTAGGCCATCTAATCTATGGTAGAATGAAAATCACATCGGGTTTCCTGCCTCATTTAATCTCTTTGCCACCTTGCTGTACCAATTGTAGTGTGCTCTCATCATATGCTAATGGTTCTGCCTAAATTACTTATAACTTGTGGTGGCGGGGGGTGGGGCAGAATCCTTTTTTTTTTTTTTGGCCCCTGGGATCAAAAAAATGATGCTAGTTCCCAGGGAAATGTTAATATGAGCCTCAGTTGAATTCAGTAGATCCTGCTTCAGAGTAAACATTAATTAGCTAGAGCAGTTAAGGCCATTTCTTCATACTTTCAAATGAGACTTAGAATTAACTGTTGTAAGTGAGGAATCTGTCCTGGATGTAATATAAACTATTTTTAACTCTGTACAAACGTATAAATGTTCTCCCTCATTGAATTAAAAACCTATCTTGCATAGGCTTCATTTTCTTGTCTTATGTGAATGTTGTAAAGAGCATTCATGTAATGTTAGGCGCATGAGCCAGTTGTACTCCTTCTTTCCTATTTGGGGAATTCCAAATGCCCACATCTTACAGTCATCTCCCACCTCTTTGAAAATGACTAAGCCTGCTTCTCCTTCCTGTTAAAGGCAGAGATGAGGGAGGGAGAATGTCTACAGCACAATATCTTCATTGCTCCTCTCACTGTATGCTGAGGCAGCCAGTGGAGCTGGCACCAGTATTTTTAGCTAATTTGCTGCATGCTCCATTTGAATGTAGTAACATAATCATAAACTTGCTTACTCTAAAGGAAATCCCATGTTATCCATTGGGGCTTACTCCCTAGTAAGTGAGCTGGTGATTGCAGCTGAAGACTCCTTAGTGGGGTTAATGGTTGGGGTAGCAAACATTTGGTTTGCTGTTGCCACCAATTTCAGGCAGTGGTTGTAGAAGTAAGGTGATTGTGAGGAAGGGAGTGCACAACAGCAACAAAATGAGCAAAAATTAGAGCCTGGAAGGGGTGAGGATAATAATGAGGGACAAGGATGCACAGAGAAAAAAGGGGTGACATGGAGTGCAAAGTGATTTGGAGGGTGAGGAAGAGAAAAAATAAGTACCTATGAAGTGAGGGTGCTGAGAAATCTGCAGATAGAGATGCAAAAAGGCAGCAATTTCCATTCATCACAGTCGGCACTGTTTCCATTCCGCTGCAGTTTAGTTTCCACCATATACAGTGTCATTTGTGCTCTGTCTGCTGTTTAACATAAGTTAAATAACTATTTACTTAAGGTATGTAACTTACATTCATTTCAGTCTAAAGCAAATGTCAAAACAGTGGTTTAAAAAGTCATCTGCAGACTCAAAGAAAACAACAGTGATGTCTTTGCTTGATTAATTTATGCTCCTGACCACAGATGAACCTTTAACTGCAGCAATCTCTGCTTCCACTTGCTTTTCTGTTTTTGGCTTAATTCCCTCACACTACTCATGAGTGATGGAAAAGAGGAATAATGGATGGAGTGCAGAAAGAGAAAAAATGGTGTGCTGTGAAATGCAGAAAATACCACAGATTTGGGATTAGAATAGATGAGAATACATACAGAGAGCTCTGAAGGAGGGACAAAAAAACTTCAGTTAATTTTTAAAACAAAATTCTTTCCTGCAGTTGACATAAGAATTCAGACTTTGTAAAAAAATATAAATGGCCCTTGAAGTGGTGTGAGATGTATCTTACTGGGTTGTGAATGTTCTTACAACCACAACAAATCTGTCTGCTAGAGAGAAGTGGGAGATGGAAAATATTCAGGTAACTGGCAGAAGACTTACACTTTCTCTCACTAAAGTACTGTTCCTTGAACAAAATTGTTACGGCGAGGTAACCTCTACCATCAGACCTGCTTCTGTCCCATGGTAATAGAACCTGACATCTGCTGTCAAAATGCCTTGGTTCATGGCTGCCCTCTTCTTATTTTTCTGCAGGGCCAGTGCAGAAAATCATGCAGTCATCTGGGCACAGGTTCCGCGACGTCGAGCATCACCCGCTGCTTGCCGAAAATGACAGCTATGATTCATCATCGTCGGAGTCTGACATGGCCGACCGGGTCTGGTTCATCCGTGACGGCTGTGGGATGGTCTGTGCGGTGATGACTTGGCTTCTCGTTATCTATGCGGATTTTGTAGTGACATTTGTCATGCTGCTGCCTTCCAAAGACTTTTGGTACTCCCTCATCAATGGGGTCCTCTTCAACTGCTTGGCGGTGCTCGCCTTGTCCTCGCACCTGAGAACAATGCTGACTGATCCCGTGAGTAGACATGTTCCTCACAGTTGGGTTTAACCATTTTGTGTGCATGGAACAGTGATACACAGGGAATCTTTTCTGGGCAGAACTTTTGGCACTTGCATAGCACCACAAACGTGTTTGGGAAGAAACAGAACCTACAGTCAAATTAAAATGCCCCAAACAGGAAACACAACTAGCATTATACACAACATGCTTGAACAGTCAACACTTCTTACTGTGTGTGAAGCCTTTCCTAGTAATTTATTCTATTGGCATTCACTTGTGGATTGCCTACCACAGGGTTGGGAAATCTTTTTATGCTAAAGACTGTGCTCCTTTAGGGATAATCTCTTGAGGACCACATACTGCTAAAGCCAAAATCAGGCAGGGCCATACCAATTGTTGTACTCAGGTTTAGGAGCAAGAATATACTTTAATTCAAATCATCAGTCCCTTGATGGCTTGGCCAAATATGAGGTGTTTGAATGAACAAATATTTATTATATTAAAAGCAGTCATTAACAGGTACGATTTGCTTTCAACAATAGCATTAGAAATTTCATAGCATGTGCTTATAACTCTTTTCCTAATACAAATACAAATCCTATCCCGCCCACTCTGCCCCCTGCTCCTCAGCACCCACACCAATCACCCTTCTCCAGAACGCAACTGTATTTTTCTGTACACACACACACACACACACACAGTCATACTCCACCCTCAGCCAATCAGGACATGACACACCACACCATTCTGTCCCATTCTCACTCGCACCCCCTTGCACTCATCTTACCTTACAACTTACAAATATCTCCCTAAATAACATTTTACTATATATCTCTTTAATATCAAACCTGTACAAGTCAGTTACAGTGACAAACACCACAGCCAACTCATCTTAACATTACACAATTTCCCCTCTTTTTTTTTAATCTTACACACACACACACACACACACACACACCCCCTCTTCCTCTTTGCACTTCTTTCCACGCTGAAAATCAGCCCTACACAATAACTAGAAAGAAAAGCTTCCATTGACACCAGTGGAAGCTTTTGGTTCTAAACTCAGTTGCTACACAGGAGGGCTTTTTGGGGGGTGGGGTCATGTCAGGGAGGGTTTAACCTTAACTCTTCGGCTGCCACCTCTTTAGAATTTCCAAGCCCAGTAATTGGGATTAGAGAAAAAGCTCCCATTAGCACCAATGGAAGCTTTCCCAACTAAATCTAATTTATTTATCAGAGGGTGAGATCTTGGACAGGAGACTATAGGCTGGTTCCAAAGAAACCAGCAGTTCCCCATTCTAGGCTCAGTGTTGAGAATGGTAGGAGTATCCATAACTCAGAAGTTAAAAACACACTGCGCATGCAGAAGGTCCCAGACTTATTTCCCATACCTCCAGTTAAATGAAACATGGGTAGCAGGACTGGGGGAAACCTTGAAGAGTCACCACCAGTCAGAGTGGCCAGTATGGTATTTTTGTACATCACTTAAGAGATTTCATAGTACGTCATTTAGAAAGGCTTTTAAATACAGAGCCAGGTACATTGAGTTAAACCACAGTCAGTGAACTGCAGGTTCACTGACCGAAGGGCAGTTAGGAGGCTCACCTTTAATGACACGAGGGGAAATTGAAGGGCAAGAATAGGTCAGCTGCCCCCATTAGCCTCCTCTTTGACACATATCATGCTCAACCTTGCCTCTAGACTGCTGCATCTGCTTTGTTATCATGTAAGAATTCCCCATCCTTATAGCCTCACCCTCTGCAGTTCTCCCTAGCTACCACACTGAAACTTGGGGCAGTACTCCCTCCAGGCCCTAGTGCCTGCTTGTTTCTTTTAATTGTCCATTACTGTTAAGACCTTTGCTTCAGTAACTGCTGTCAGTTTTGTGTTGCTGCCTTTCTCTCTCTTTCATGGAAAGCGGCCTTTAGAATTGAGAGAGGTGATTTGCACATGCACGCGCACCCCACAGAACTTTGTGCTGGAAAATAAGAAAACAGTCCAGTTGCCCATAGAATACATATGCACTCCTCTGGCTTGGATCACAGTGAACATTCAGTTGCCAAAGCTTAAACCATCATGAATAGTCAAGTGGGAAATTGTAGCCAGAAATCAAAGAAATTGCTCCAGTGTCTGCCGCATTATGGTCTTGCTACTACAAAACCCTTAATACATCTTCCTTCCTACAGACCTTCCTCATAGACATAGTGTGTTTTTCCTTGGTGTATTCCCAAGATTAAATCTTACATGTCTATAATATCACTTGCTAAAGAAATGGAGGAATAGGATCCTTTTTTATCTACCTAAACTAGGATTGTAAATTAAAATACAAGCAATTTTTGTCTGAACATGATACTGCGCAGTTTGGTAGCTTATTGAGAAGGCCCAGTGTCTGAGGAAATACGGCAGTTTCCCTCTAACTTTCTAAAATGTTATTTCTATGTATATAGGCTCCGTATTGAGGGCAGTTAGTCCTTACCACCAAAGATCTCCCAGATCCTTGTCCCATCTTGTTACTCTGCCCTCCTCTCCTGCTACACCTCTGCTTGCAACCTTCTTGTTCTGCCACCCTCATCTGACCCAATGTTTCCAGGTCCTCTAAATTACTCTGCCTTTTCTTCCTTTTTGCTGAGAACTCCCTCAAAAACATGGCGGTGCTCTGTTTCTTTCTATCCAAATCCCTGCTTGGAGCATACCTTTTGCATGAAACTTGTGGACCTCAGCCCCTATAGAAGTAACATTAAAGTTGTGTGTAGCTGCATTCATACCCATTCCTATTCTCAGCTGTGCCTTCAGGTTGCCTTTTAGATCACTCTCGAAAACGCCACTGGCACTCTTCAGATACATACCAGTAACTGGGCCTTGTCTTCCTTTCCATCTGTAATGCCTTAGGGGGCTGTTCCGAAAGGAAATGCCACGAAAGAGTACATGGAGAGTTTGCAGTTGAAACCAGGCGAAGTAATCTACAAGTGTCCAAAGTGCTGCAGCATTAAACCGGAACGTGCCCACCATTGCAGGTATGTCCCACTGCTGCTTCTGTACTGTTCTCAGCCTGGAATCCAAGGCCCAAACTATAAGTGATGTTAAAAACGTCTTTGCATATTGCAGTTATGCAGGTGGAAGGAAGTTGACCCCTTTCCTCCTTTCCACAGCCCCAATGAAAATCATCCTCCACCACCACTTTCCCTCCTGGGAAAAAGAGTAAGGCAATTTTCCCTGTGACTTCAGCACTTGGGGAAATGAGTTAGCCTCACGGTCTCTGCAGAATACTTCCAATAAGGATTGAAGCTGTGGTTTGTTTGTTTTTTAAAAAAAAATATCACATAAACAATGGCAGTCTCAGTGTAATGTATAGTTTGACTCTTGCGTGGTTTCTCAGACCTCAGAGATGCCTTTTTCAGCACATTTCCCTAAAAGTATTCTTTGCTTTCATGTGTGTTCTATTTGCAGCTTTATCGGAACAGAGCATTGCTGTGTGACTTTTAAGTTGCCTGCAATTCACTATAGCTTGTGCAAAAGTGACAGACAAGGTCAATTCTTTCAAGATTCCTTTCAGATTCCCTTTTGTCTGAACAAGCTAAGCAGGAACATGGAGGGTTGTTGTTCTCCACAAGTTGCCTGCAGCTGCTTCCCCACTTTGTCCAACCATCTCTTTGTGCCTCGCTCTTCTAAGCATTAAGTTGAATGCTTAAAAGCTTGCTGTGGCTTTGTGATAGCAAAGCACTTGAATCTGGCCATTCCTGGAAGATCTGGCAGAGCTCATCTGCACTAAAAATTGCTAGCTTTAGATGTATTTCCTGAAAAATGTGGTGCTTGAGAGCCTTCATTTCAAGGTAAGGGAAGGTGCCAGCACTCCATGTAGAATGAAATGTGGAACTGTGCAATGTTATGTATTGAAGATTATTATAATTAGTAGCATTAGTATTGTTGGTTAGACAAGGAACAAAATGTACATACTCACCTTCAAACCTGAGTGCTGCTCAGAGAGCCACCCATCCAGTTGTACCCCCCTCCATTATCCCACCCCAATTTTCCTTTTTTCTTTTCCAGCTAATACTCAATATTCCAAGACTTCTAAGTATATTCAGTTTTCATTGAATTGTTTTTATTGGGGAGGGAACAAGGTGTGCCTCCTGAGGTGTGTTTGTGTGTATTTTAATCACGTTTATTCACTTTGACATGCAGAAAACAAACAATATTAAGTCGCACAATGTTTGAATGTCCTACGGCATCTGTTAATGTAGAGCGACTGCATTGAACGAACTGCAGTTTGAAATCATCCTCCATTTGGCCTCCTGTACCACGCATGCCAGCGTCTTAGATTTCCAGAGAGATGGCCTCTTTGCAGTCACCAAGGGCAAAATATCCGTAACACATACCACAGCATAACTTTCAGTGTTTTTTCCCCCTCCTTCCACTAGCATTTGCAAGCGATGCATTCGGAAGATGGATCATCACTGCCCCTGGGTCAATAACTGTGTGGGGGAAAGAAACCAGAGGTTTTTTGTGCTGTTTACTGTGAGTATGGTTATTTATTTATTTAGTTGTTTACCATTTGTTTGTTTGTTTGTTTGTTGCCAATATAAAACTGTCCCTGCCCTGGCTATCCTAATTTGGGGGTTGAATCTTCAAGTTGGAACCTCTACACTCAGTGGCACAGCGTGCTTCTGAATATCAGTTGGTGGGGCAGATGCCAAAACCGCAGGAGAGAGCTTTTGACTTCATGGCTTTCTTGTGAGTTTCCTGGATCCCTCTGACTAGTTGTTGTTGGAAAACATTGATGGCCTAGATCACAGATAGTCAATATGTAGATCCCCAGCCTTCAGCGCCCAGCCTTCATGGCCGTTGGTTTGAGATGGGGGGGCAACTCCCATCTCTTGCGGGGGCGCAATTAGTGCTAGCACCGTCCGTTAAGAGTTTGGGTGTAATCTTCGACACCTCCCTTTCCATGGAGGCACAGATTGCAGCTATAACAAAGGCTGCATTTTTTCATCTCGGCCAAGCTAAGCAGTTGGCTCCTTATCTCTCTCGCCCTGACCTAGCCACTGTGATCCACGCAACGGTCACCTCCAGACTGGATTATTGTAACTCGCTCTACGTGGGGCTGCCCTTGAGACTGACCCAGAAACTCCAGTGGGTGCAGAATGCCGCGGCGAGGCTCCTTACGGTGTCCTCGCCACGGGATCACATTCACCCGGTGCTATACCAGCTGCACTGGCTCCCAGTGGAGTACAGGATCAGGTTTAAGGTGCTGGTTTTAACCTTTAAAGCCCTATACGGCCTAGGAACCTTGTACCTACAGGACCGCTCTCCTGGTATGTCCCACGGAGGACCTTATGGCCTTCAAACAAAAACATCTTGGAGGTCCTGGGCCACAGGGAGGTTAGGCTGGCCTCAACCAGAGCCAGGGCTTTTTCGGCTGTGGCCCCGATCTGGTGGAATGCTCTGTCAGAAGAGACTAGGGCCCTGTGGGACTTGAAATCTTTCCGCAGGGCCTGCGAGACAGAGCTGTTCCACCAGGCCTTTGGCCAAGGTACAGTCTGACCCCTTCTGTAATCCTCAAAGAACTCTAGCCCAATGGTTGTCATTAATTTGATTTTGAATTGATTTTAAGATGAATTGATTTTAGAATGCTGTGTTACATTTATTGTTAGCCGCTCTGAGCCCGGCTTCAGCTGGGGAGGGCGGGATATAAATAAATGTTATTGTTGTTATTATTATCATCATCATCATCATGGGGGTTGCAGTCCAACAACATCTGGGTGGAGGCATGGTGGGAAAGGTTTGCTATCCCTGCGCTAGATGGAACCTTGAGCTAATGCAGCAAATTCCCTGCCCACCTGCCCCGCCTCAAAAAAAGAGAATTTTGAAAGTACTGCACAGTGTAGCATGGTCCTCTTAAAAGATGTAAAAGAATTTAAATATTGACTGCTTGCCTAATGGTTGCATGGTTTTCAGAGCGGATTTCCAAATCTTTTTCTCACTTCCAGATGTACATAGCTCTAATTTCAGCTCATGCTCTCATCCTGTGTGGGTTTCAGTTCTTCTCCTGCGTCAGAGGACAGTGGATTGGTAAGCACATACTTCAGTTGCTTTTGTAATATGGCGTTTTACTTATTTATTTTTGGTATATCTAAGTCACTTTTCTACCAGAGTATCCAAGTGCCATAAAAGAAACTACCATGTAAAAATCAAACAATTGAAAAGTTAACAGCATTATCTTAAAAAAAATAATCAGTAACAGATATATTTTTTTAAGCAGATAAACCTCAAGAACCACTAAAACAGTAAAAACAGCAGAACAGTCATTCAAACACCTTGGTTAATAAAGAAAAGCTTTCACTCACCACATAAGTATTATTTTAAAAAATGCCTCCCAGATTTGTTTGGGGATTGTACAGTGGTACCTCGGAAGTCAAATGGAATCCGTTCCGGAAGTCTGTTCGACTTCCAAAACATTCGGAAACCAAGGCACGGCTTCCAGTTGGATGCAGGAAGCTCCTGCAGCCATTCAGAAACCACATCGGACAGTCAGGTTCTAAAGAACGTTCGCAAACCGGAACATTCATTTCCGGGTATGCGGCGTTCAGGAGCCAGAACGTTCAAGTCGCAAGGCATTTGTCAACCAAGGCACGACTGTATAGACGCCACCACTGAAAAGTTCTTCCCTGGCAACCATCCTCCTTACCTCTGAAGATGGGGGTACCTTGAGAAGGACCTCTGAAGGGGTCAGACAGATCCATAGGGGAGAAGACAGTCCTCTGGCAGCTCAGGGTGCATAGGGCTTTCAAGATTAAAATCAGCACTTTGAAATTTTGACCTAAAAAACTGGTCACCCATGTAAATGGGTGATTGAGAAGACCTGCAGTATTTGCTAAGGTGGTTTTTGCCATTTCCATCACAAAGATGAACAGGCATCATCCTTCCTTATTAAGGAAGTCCTTGGAGCTTGACAATGGTGGGACACATTCCAATAGACCGTGCCTTTTAACTTTGCTTTTAAAATAATTGCCTTTTTAAATTGTGCATGTGGGCACAGGTCATGCACTCCTACCTAGCATGGTGAATAAGTGATGAGGGAGGCCTGCGTATATAGTGTTATATGCTTTGTCATATTAAATACAACTGGGTATTTAGATCTATACAAATTCTGGTGGCACCTGAGCCTGAAGCACATGGTGTCCCACTACCATTTGTGTACAGTGGCAGCTCCATACAGGAATAAACTCCCATTCTACCTGTCACTGGCCCCTTGCAGGCTAACAGTCTGGCTACTGATATGTATGCATGTGATCCCTCAGCCTGTGTTATAGATTGCTCCTAACTTCCTGTTACATTCTCAGATTTGCTAATCCTTTTGAAGTTAACTCTTGTTGGTGTGCTTGTTGCAGTTTGTTTTTTCATTGAAGTTCATCTGCTCTCTTTCAGAATGCAGTGACTTTTCACCACCTGTGACTGTGATCCTGTTGATCTTCTTGTGCCTTGAGGGTTTTCTGTTTCTGACATTTACCGCAGTAATGTTCGGCACCCAGATCCACTCTATATGCAACGATGAAACGGTCAGAATTGAGGGTTTTTCTTGGGGTCTGGTTTCAGGACTGGATAGGGATTTGAACCTGCTTCGCCTATGCCCTTGTTCTGCCCCTTTCCATATCCTCTGTTGAGGCAGATGTTCAGTCTTGGCTAGAGTTTGACGTGCTTTCCAAATTTCTTAACATCAATTTTTATCATATTTACTTGCAGGAGATTGAAAGACTGAAGAGTGAGAAGCCTACATGGGAACGGAGGTTGCGCTGGGAAGGAATGAAATCTGTCTTTGGGGGCCAGCCTTCTCTGCTATGGATAAATCCGTTTGCTGGATTTCGAATCAGACGGCTTATGCTAAGAGCCAAGAAAGGAGGTCCTGAGTTTTCTGTTTGAGTCTGTCTAATCATGCTGGAACTCACAAAAAGTAGTATATTGTATTTATTGGGCACCAGGAAAAAGGAAAAAAGCTGCCCACAAGTAACCTGTGACCAATGAAGATTTGACACACATGAAACATTTTGCTTGTAGCAAGCAGAATTTTATACATTTATAGTCACAGACATCTCATTAACTCTCAGAAGTGTAAACTGGATACTACCACACATGGCTTTCAAGCAAGATGACAAAACAATCAGAAACAACCAAGAAAGGTGGACAGTCACACTATGAAGCCAAAATATTGTCTTTACTACTGTAACTTATTATTTTAGAGGACTAATTATGCATTTATTTTTGTCAAACCCCTTTTATTTGATATGTGTCTTTTTTTTTTTTTAAGGAGTTGACCTCTGCTGTTTTTATATGACTTTGTGGCAAGGCACAGTTGTCAATCATGTTATTATACAAGTACAAATGCTGGAAATCACGAGCCAAAAGAAACCATTTTTGACCTGATAGTTTTTAGGCAATGCTCAGCTCCATTATGTAACTTTTCTGTTTGTCCCCAAAGACCCCCTCAGCTGTACTTCTGCATGTGGGTATCTGAACAGGTCTGTAATCCATTACCTTGTAGCCAAAACATACAAGGCCGGCCAGTGTCCAAAATTTCCATAGGCTCAGAAAAGTATTCCTTTTTTGGGATTCAGTTTTAAGTGGTAAGTGTGCAGAAATCATATTGCAGGGTTTTGTTCTACCCTGAGGTATTTACACCAATTTCCTATTCATTATAATTTCTAAGGGAACTCATCATTAGGTGTATTGAAGGATTACTTTTAGTCCTTCCAAAAGGGGGGCGGGAGTGGAACCATGGATATAAACTTCTGGTGGCATGAAAAAATGCATATTGGAAGTCTCTTAATTGAACCAACAGCTTCAGTTGCTTCTTGCATTTCATTATATAAATTTGTCAGAGTGCAAGCCAGGCCTCTCAAAAGCTATGGGTAAGACCTAGTGAACTTGCACATAGGGGGTGGGAAGATGTAAGCTGCAATAGATCTGAAGAACAGACATGTCTTTAAACATGCTGGCCTGCAGCCAGATTCTAAACATGCTCTGTGGAAGTCAGACTTTCTGGTTCCAGATGGCCTTAATTGCTGAGTTCACTAATGCACCATTGTGCATGCACCGCTGCCGCATAACACCAGTTTTCATGTTCATTGCAGTGGGAGAGGCAGCTCCTGATTCCGCAAAGGGATGCTTGTAGTGGCATTGTCCTGTTAAAGCTATTGGCACTACTCTTGTAAGAACGCTGAGTACTCGTCAGCACTCCTACACAAATATGGGCCTCTCATGATGAATCTTGAATGCGTTTGGGAATGTTGCCAATTGTTCAGATAGTCTCCTTGCAGCCATGCCAACCGTGTGACTCATAGCTACACTTGCTTACCATTGTCGGCAAAGGAGATGGGCAGATTTCTTCAGAAACAAGTTCAGTACTTGACTGTGATGATTCCATGTAATGATTTTTATTTTTATTTAATCCTTGGCAGCAAACGGAAATACAGCATGCTACCATATTCCAAACAAAACCACTTCTGAACTGGAGAACTCAGTGGTATCAAACCAGCTTTTACCATCCCTTGTAGAGTGAAACCACTACATGGTCTGAATGTGCTGTTACATCTGCAAGTAATGAAACATTGTCTGAAGGGAGTGATATGTGTGCTCAGTAACAGAAGCTAATCCTTCCCCCCCCCAATTTCTTTTAATGCCATTTAAACAGGAGACTTCACATCTTGAGCATGCATATATAGAAAGGAGAAATGTTTTTTGAGGGGGCGGGGGAAGCCTTTCTAAATTGAAACCTGCCTTTAAACATATCAAGACTGAGCTTTTGCTTAGCCGTTGGTATCACAGTACCAGCATGCTCAAGAATCTGGAGGCTGGCACACCCCACAGATGACAGAGTATGCATGTGCCTGGGAAGCTGGGACTTTGCTGATATCACCGCAGCACTTCCCACTGCTGAAAAGAAGTGGCTTAGAGAGTGGATTGCGACTTCTGTTATTACAAAAGCAAGCAAACCTCTGTCTCATGCAGAATTCCCTCTTCTGAATGACTTGTAGGCTATAAGTTTAGTGTGAGTTTTCCAGTAGGATCTTTAATTCCTGGAGGTTCACTCGCCTATTTCTCTATGTCTCTGTGCAGCGTCTTAACTATAATGACCTGAATTGTGTTTTATAGCAGGATGGCAATGATGCCCAAGCGTGTGTTCCCATGAAGGGGGCTTCCTGCATGACCATTTTGGTCCTTGGCATTAAATGAAAACTGTGTGATCTGGAGAAATGAAAGTACGGGAGGAGAAACAAGAGATACAACGGAAGGGTCTCTTTCATATGCATACCAGTTCACTGACCCTTCTAATGTAGGTGATGAATTTGTTACAGGCTCCCCCTCTTCTCACACACATAGTGTGTGGGGAAAGCACACTGTACATACATCCATGTAAACAATTCTCCCTTGGAGGAGTGGAATTGGGCCTCCTTCAGGAGAGGCTTCTTACAAAATCACAGTATTTATATGGTGATGAAGGGGTCCTATTTGCTCTCCCACCATGCAGGGCATAAACTGGAACCATGGTGATGTATGCGCTACCTGCCGTATGGCAAGCAGGTGGTGACTTGTAGCGAAGCCAGGCACACACAGCTGGTGAACTAAGCAACCTATAAGAATCAAAAAATGCTCAGACAATGCCTCAAGGGATCTTTGCAGTCCATTCTCAGCCCATGAACAAAAGCCTGCAGTTTGTTCTTATGTACATATTCACAGTTCCGTCAAGTCTGTGCACGTATTACTAGGGAAGCAGAACTTGCAAGCAGATAAATAACATTAGATTCGGATCACCAAAGCAAGGGGTAAAAATGCAGCAAGCCCAGGAAGATCTTGCCCATTTCCATTTTGTACCTTCACCTAGTTTGGAAATTGGTTATATCTGCTTTAACACAAGACTTCATACATACACTTTGATGGACTGTATACTGCTGGAACTCAGCAAATCCCTTTTAAAGCAGCTGAACCTGTGTGTGACTTAGCAAGTGTGTGTGCGTGTGTGTATGAAAATGGAGTTTCTTGGCTTTTCGAATCCTTGTTCTGTTGTAATTTTTTTAATGTAAAATAAAGTAACTAATTGAGGGCTTCGTGTTGGATATTTAATTTCATTTTTATATATTGACAGCAGAGCTCATGTTTTGCGTGCACAGTAGTCTGGGCATCATTTGGGAAGAATACCTACTTAAGACTTTCAGGAACTCTGAAACCAAACAGAGGAGGCAATAGGGGGACCAATGACCTAATGTCTTTTGTTCCCTGTGCATTTGTCTTTTAAGAACTTCCTTACCTTCAAGGACTATGTCCTTCTGACATTTTATTTTTCAGCTGTTCAAAGAAAGGAAACAACTGTTAACATATGCTTTGGTTAAGCCTGGTATCTGGTTGTATTAGGACTATAGGAAGGTACCTTACACTGAGTCAGAGCATTGGTCCATCTAGCTCACAGACTGGCTGGGAAAAACTCTTTCCAGTTTTTCAGTTGTGGGTCTTTCCCAGCCCTACATGGAGATGCCAGAGATTGAACATGGGACCTTCTGGGTGCAAAGTAAATACTCTACCACAGAGCTCCGACCCATCTCCTGTTTGTAGAAATACATTACATCTCTACATAGTGAGGAAAGCTAGGTTTCCTGTGTGCTCACTCAATTTCCTGCCTTAATTTCTTCACTCTTAAGTGCTGGTTATTTGTAGACTAGACTTGGACCAGATAGCTCTGCAACAGAGGACTCCTTCAAACAGATGGCTGTGCTTTGTAAAAGATGGCATGTGGCCACCCTGGAAGATTCACCTTGGTTCAACAGAGGTGTAGTTATATATGCCTCTGTTATACTTGATATCAAACACAGGAGTTTTACCAGGAAGGAGCAATCAACAGGATCTGCATGTATTCATGGCAACCATTCCTACCCATGACATTGTTACATTGTCCTAGCGTAAGTCATAGTCTGGTGTCATTTTGAATGAAACGTTTGTTACATCCCTGTGTGCTGCCCAGTGGCTTTTTCATAGCATGTAAACTAGTAAACTAGCTTCCCCTGCTGGGGCTAGAATAGAATATACCGTGTATCGGTATCGTAGAATATACGATGCTTCTTGCTATTTTTTAAAAAGGCAAAAATTGGGTGTCGTCTTACACACGGATAGTGAATGCAGAGGGGGGACGTGCGATTAATGGCAGCAGCAAGCAGGAGATAGGCAGCGGCGATTGGGTGGGTGATTGGTGGCTGCAGCAAGATCTGCTGGCAATTGGCTGCGGCTGTGGCAATTGGGCAGGTGATTGGCAGCTGTGGGCAGACGATTGGCGGCTGCAGCGAGTGGGCGGGTAGGCTGTTGGTAGTGGTGAGCGGGCAGACAATTGGCAGCTGCGACGAGGTGTGCGATCGGCAGTGGCGGGCAGACAGGTGAGCAACTGGCGGAAGTGACCTCCCCCACCCCAAAAGCTAAACAACTGAATTTCTTAATTTTGGGTTTTAAAAAATAAGGGTCATCTTATACATGGGGGCGTTTTATACACGGAAAAATACGGTATGGTGTTGGTGGTTAATGTATTTGTTGATACCCCACATACTCCATGTAGTAAAGGATATCTCTCAACTCAAAATCCTCAGAAGGTGGCTTTAAATCAGAGGTAGTGCCCACATGTTTCAGTGTGTCTGCAAGTACTTCCCCTGTTGTTTACAAAAGGTCTCAATTGAAAAGGTCTCCCCTCAAAAATCCACAAGCCATGAGTGCTCTTTCCACTCAGTACCTATTTGCACTGGCTCAGCCTGTGTTACATTGAACATGTCCTCCTAAGCATGTCCACAGTTCATTGTGTACCAGGACAGGACACCCTTCTGAACACAGGAGAGGTGCCAAGAGCTTCTCTCTCCGTGTGCAAGTTTGGCAGTGCCTAATGTAGGTGCCTTTGTTTACCATTGATGGAGAGGCACAACGGTACCATTTTGTGTTCTGCCACATACCTCACAGCAGCCATTTTGTGTTATGCTCTGTCATGTCTCCATGGCAGCCATTTTGTGACTTGTGCCTCAGCACTTTCTCAAAAACCTAAATGTAATCACTGGGTCCAAAGCATTGGTGACCCTGGCTTTCAATAATTGCTATGAGTCGTGGTTCCCGCTTCATGAGGGCAGCAGTGGCAATGCATCCATCCAAGTCAATACAGTGGTTTGTGGCTTTCACATGATACATATTCTTAGGAGCACCTCATAGCTTGACACGTATGAAGAGGCTTCTGTCTCCAAGAAGCAATGAAAAGACTGAAGCATTAATTACATACTTCATGACTTTTTATTTAAGCACAGCATGTTCCTATTTTCAAATGTTGACGGCTTTTAGAAATGGCATAACAAATCTCAGAAACGTTAGTAAGTCCTAATAGTATGCTGATCAGACATTAACAAACAGAAACCTACGGGATCAAAAGAAATAGCAATGGGAATGTAGGAATCAATTTTGGCAGTGGCTGTGATATGAGCAGAACCAATCTTCTCCACTTTGGATTGTGTATCCTGTATTCTGTTCCAAAAGAACCACACAACAGCTGGGAGTGTTAACAGAAAATAAACTGCCAATTTTTTATGAGCAGCACACTCTTCAGTGAAGACTGATGCCCGTTGGAACTGGTAAGGGAGACCCATATAGACAGAAACAGAGCCAAGGTGGAGCCAACTAATTTTAGTTTTGTCCCCATCCTCCTCCACACTGAGTTCTACAGGGCCAACACTGGGACTTAAGAAGTTGGAAGGTGACAGCCAGTGTCGCCTGTAGCAAGTGTCCTGTAGCAAGAAAGCAGGCAGCTGGGGACTGGCAGACGGCAGCTAGAGGGTGGTGGGGCAGTGCCCAATTTTCCCAAATGAACCAGCCTCCATTGAGATACCAACTGAGGAGAGTGCAAACAGCACTTTACACCCATTAATTACACAAATAATAATATCAGTGGGCCTCTCTTTAGTGAGTGCTGCAAGACTGAGATACTGGATGTTCTGCAGTGAAACAGGGAGCCAGCTGGGATCCCATGCTCTCCAAGTGTCCCTATTTTCCAGGGATAGTCCCAGATTTACAGAACTGTCCCAGTTCCTGATCTGATCCTGGAATGTCCTGCTTTTCCTTAGGACATTCCTATTTTCATCAGAGAAATGTTGGAGAGTATGGAGTTATCCGACCCCTGAGGCACGTGAAGGCAGCCCTGTATAGTGAAGCTTCTCAATGTTGTTGTTAGTTGGAAGCCACCAAGAGTGGCTGGGGTAACCCAGTCAAGATGTGTAGGGTATAAATAGTAAAATTAGTATTATTATGGAATAGGATGTCCCTATTTTCATTGGAGAAATGTGGGAGGGTACGGGACTTTGGAAATAAGGTCTGATGATGCATTTATGCTTGCTTGCCCTCTTTAGTATGCAGCACATTATTAAGGCCTCATAAGATGTAATATTACCAAGCCCCATGAAGGAGTATCTCTGTGCTGGAGCACTGTGGAGCTTCCCAGAGGAGAAGAGAGCAGCAGACAGGTCTAGGATTCACAATGTGCTTCCTGCTCTTTGCTTCTAATTTTTCAATGTGTCTCTCTGAGTCTGTCTGCTGCTTGAACCTTCCAGGCATTGTTGGTATGTAGGCCGAGCTTGGAAAGCATGAACACGCACAAGCATGAAGACCGTCGCCAAGAGAACTTAGAACACATGCATCTATCTTCTACTTAATCTCCATTAACAAAGAACCCCTGCTGCTTCATTAGGAAGCACCTGCCCCAAACACCTTACAATTCTAACTGAGGAAACGACATGAACCCGTAGGAAGGGGACACTGCCGACAGGTGGGCTCTCTCCTGTCTTCGCTGAAAGTTGCCGTTTTGTTTCAGTGTCTGAAAAGGGCCCCGCGAGGTTGGCAGTGCTAGCTGCTACTGGACTTAAGACTTGAAAGGTTAAATTATTGATTTCTTCAGCGTGGTACTTTATAGAATCTCCTGTTTGGGTATCACCGCCTGAGGCAAAACAGTTGCAGGTACTACTTCAGGCCTGGGGGCAGGACCTAGCTTGTAATCTTCACTTCCTGTACTGGTTGAAGGAGAAGGAAGGGATGTTTCAGGAGATGCTGTGGAGGGGAAAAAACACAAAAAGGTGTTATTTGCCTGGCATTAGTCTTCAACCAGTGGGTCAGGACTATAGATGTTGGGGAATTCCATCTGAAATGGGAGCAGGAGTGGACATTGTTGCAATTTGCATGTTCATTGGAGATCAGGAACTGGAATCATACAAGTGAATATGAGTAGCATTCACTAGCTTTTTTTTTTTTTTAAGTCTGCAAATGTTATGTATGTAATCATCCCCTGAACCTTTCCCTCCAAAGAGGTCTCTGGGTTGGACAGGATCCTGGCAGGATCAAACCAGAGTACTTCTGGATGCAAAGCATCTTTGCTATCATTGAATTACATTACTGCTGTGTACAATTTCTCCCATTGCTGTGAAGAAATGCGCACTTAAAGTATGCAATTTCCTTTTCAGGAAATTGCATATTGCATCTTAAATTTTAGCAGTGGAATTGAAACATCGCTCCCAGATTTTCCTCTTCTTATCCTCGCTCCTTGGAAGAAAGCGCATGCCTTTCTGAAATGTTCCAATATGTGCACATTCAGAATTTAATATTTCAGAGGAAAGCTCTGCATAGTCTTAATAAGCAAAGGTTTTAACTAAGTGAAACAGATAGGAAATTGGACACCTACAGGCTGAAATGGTGTGAATTACTGATCCGATGCTGCTGGGGAGCACAATGTGTCCTGGAAGAGGCTCCATGTTAAGGCTGGAAGGTCCTGACTGGTACTGTGGTGCATCCATAGTTGTCCCTGCATGAACAGAGAGAAAAGCTGTCTCATTCTGCCAGTCATTATTGACCAAATACCAAACACAGGCGTCATTTTTCTTTGTTTTGAAGTTCATTCTGCCTTTAATGGGAAAGCCTAATGCAATCCTTTTGCTTTTATTGATGTGACCCACTCTGAGCCTTCAGAAAGCATTTTCTAATTATGCCATTCTCTTTGTACGCAAACACCCAAATGGACGGATGGATTTGTCTCCTGGATTTTGCCCAAAGTGTGTCATTCCCCCTAGTTTTGTTTAAAGGTACAGGCGGGGTAACATTTCCAATCCAAGGGCTGCCTTTCCTTCTGGGCAACTCTGCAAGGGCCACGTACCAGCAGTGGGCAGGGTGAAAGGCAAAAGTGGGTGCAGCAAGTTTACCTTTGTCTAGTAGGCTAGTGTCTACACACACCTGTACGTTCTCTATCCATGGAAGCAAGGGGCATCACCAGAGTTCAATGACACATCCGAACAAGGCAAAAACATTTCTGGCATGACACAAAGCCAGTGAAGAGTGTGGCCTAGGGAGAGTTCTGAGGACCATATAGAAAGGTCTGGAGGGTCACATTCTGCCCTCTAGGCCTGAGGGTCCTCTCCTCTGTTTTAAGGCACACAGGTGAGAAAGACACAGCACCATTCCAAATATTGTTACCTCCCAGAAGCATTTCCTGCAGCAAGCTGTCGATCCTTGCCACTCCAAAGAGCTTGACGAACTGGACCTGCTCAATCATCTGCCAAGTGATGCTTTGGAGAGGAGGCAGCAGGAGGAGAATGTCACTGAATCGGCCTCGCGAGTCATACTGCCGGTCATTGATGTAATCCTCCAAGTTCACCTGTACCTGAAAACGCATGTTTTTCACCTTCCCGGGCTCACTCAGGCCTTTGCAATCTGGGAGGGAGAGAGAAACTAACTAAGGTTAGTTTGGCTTGCATGCAGCAATTTGACTCAGGGGAATTTGTGGTATTCCATATGTTGGACTCCACCCCCAACCCCAATCAGCCCTGACCATTGGCCATGCTGGCTGGGACTGATGGGGGTTGGAGCCCGACATCTGGAGAGCAGCAGTTTCCCTGTCCCTGCCTGAAAGGGTTTGCAACTAGGATGTGCACAGTACCCTCTGAGATCACCTGAGGAGATTTCTCTGTGTGCCCTGCGCCACCATCTGAGACATAGTTCGTAACAGTGCATGAAAGAACATTCTCCCTAGTGAAGCCCAGTTTGTGGAATTCCCTGCCCCAGGAAATGGACATGTGGTGAAGACAACTGAAGAGGGTGAAGGAGAGACAAGAGGAGCAAGGGATGGATAAGGGCAAATACCATTGGATGGACTTAGGCTTGGTTATGGGATAAAGATGCCCCATGCTAATTTCACATGTGCTCATAGCTTGTTCTAACCCATTTCCACATTAACCTGTACCATTCCTGCTAAATTTCAGACACCTGGTTGAAACTGTTTTATGCCAGGACCACTCTGCTGCACTGATGTTTAAATCTCTGGCATTTAATTTATGTTTCAAATGTTGTATATCATATGTTTCTATTTTGTAAGACTGTTGGGGACTGAGATGGTGAAACTCAGGGTATACCTTTTTAAAATAAATAAATTATCCTCTTATTGCATATTTTGTTGCTGTTTTCTAAGAAATCCATGAAGATTTGTATTTAAATACATTATTGAAAAATAGCTGTTTTATAAATAATTTTATTTCAACCTATGCATTTCTAGTGGGACATGGGTGGTGCTGTGGGTTAAACCACAGAGCCTAGGACTTGCTGATCAGAAGGTCAGCGGTTAAAATCCCTGCGACAGGGTGAGCTCCCATTGCTCGGTCCCTGCTCCTGCCAACCTAGCAGTTCGAAAGCACGTCAGAGTTCAAGTAGATAAATAGGTACCGCTCCGGCGGGAAGGTAAACAGTGTTTCCGTGCGCTGCTCTGGTTCGCCAGAAGTGGCTTAGTCATGCTGGCCACATGACCTGGAAGCTGCACGCCAGCTCCCTTGGCCAATAAAGCAACATGAGCGCCAGAACCCCAGAGTCAGCCACGACTGGACCTAATGGTCAGGGGTCCCTTTACCTTTACCTTATGCATTTCTAAACACTCTTTTCTCCTACAATACAAATGCTAAATCGCATGAGTCAAGAACCATGTTGTAATATTCAGAGACGTGCAAAATAAAAATTTTAAAAAAGCATTCCGGTCCACACATTAATCCTGAAGGTGTAGATCAGGTAGTTCATTTTTCAGATTCACCAAAACTGAATTCCTCCAGTATACCTAGAGGATTAAGGGGTTCAGCAAAAGGCCTTAAAGAAAACTGATGTTTGTGGGAGGGTTCTGAAGAAAGGGTGAAGGGGGTACCATATCAATGAATGGTCCAGGAAGGAACCTGAAGCATAGTGGATGGATAAGCAGTGGAGCCTTGCTGCTGAAATCTGCATCATCCTCTGATGATTAATGGATTTTGTGACGTTCAGTAGCACATGAGAGGTCCTCACCTGGGTCAAAGAACACAATGGCTTTCAGGCAAGCGTATTCATTCTCATCAATCTGAATTTCTCGCAAGGGCTTCACCAGCTCATCCAGAATTCTGGTAGCTACACGGGCAATTTCAAGCTCTGGACAGTGCATTGGGATGATGAAGTCATTTCCTGAAAAGGGAGGGGTGAGAAAAAGCATCTTACCTTGCTGCAAAGAGGAACATAGGATGCTGCTATACACCAGATCCTTGGCCATCTTGCTCAGTATTGTCTCAGTATTGCTCAGTATTGTCTCCCAGCCCAATCTGGAGATGCCAGAGATTGAACCTGGAGCCTTCTACATGGAAAGCAGATGTTCTGCCACTGAGCTCTTTAGACCTTCTCCAATGTTTATTGCAAATATTGATGTGCTGTTTCAAAATTATTATTTTTAACAAATTGGCCCCGCAAGTAAGAATGAACAAGCTTCTGGATTTAAAATGGGGCTCTTCACCAAACAAAGTTAAGGCACAGTTCTCTGGTTGCCTTGTCTGAAAACCTGATGGTAAAGAATGAAAAGGGTGGACCCCCTTCTCTGTTGGGGAAAGGATGTAAGAGTAATGTGGAAGCTGTAGACCTTCATATGTCCTTAGACTCCAGCTCCCATCAGCCTCAACCAACATGACCAATGGGGGGAGTTGGAGTTCAGCATCATCTAGAGGGTCCCATCTCCATCTCCAAGCTAGAGTGTTCGGGGCTTTTCAGGTTGCAACCCTATGTACACTTACCTGGCAGTATGCCTCATTGAACTCAGGGGGGTTTACTTTTGAGTAGACAATGGATGCATAGGATACACTTTAAGGCAATAATCCTATGCCCATTTTCCTGGCAGTAGGTCCCATGGAACTCCCTGGGGCTTGCTTCTGAGTAGACATGTATAGATTTGCATTGTAAAAGGGATATTATATGGTGGCTGTTTGTAAAGCTGTCTGTCTAATGTGCTATCTTTAGTGTGGAGAGAGGGAACCAGAGAGATATTTTCCCCCTCTCTCATAATAAAGGCTCAGTGAAATTGAGACAGAAGAAAGTACTTCTTCACATACTGCATAAATTCAGTCAATTATGTGAATTTCTTGACCTGCTTCATGTGAGCTTTAAAGAAACACCTGGCTTATCTTCTGTGGGAAACAGGATCCAGCAGGGATCTTCTTGTGTTAGGGTGATACATTTTAGGGTGGGGTGTTTATATATTATTGTTAACTTACTAGAGGGATGCAAGTTGCGCTGTGGTCTAAACCACTGAGCCTCTTGGGCTTTGCCAATCAGAAGGTCGGCGATTCGAATCCCCACGATGGGGTGAGCTCCCATTGCTCTGTCCCAGCTTCTGCCAACATAGCAGTTTGAAAGCACATCAGTGCAAGTAGATAAATAGGTACCGCTGTGGTGGGAAGGTAAACCGTGTTCCTGTGTGCTTTGGTTTCCATCATGGTGTTCCGTTGCACCAGAAGTGGTTTAGTCATGCTGGCCACATGACCCGGAAAGCTCCCTCAGACTGAAAGGGAGATGAGCACCACAACCCCATAGTTGCCTTTGACTGGACTTAACCATCCAGGGGTCCTTTACCTTTACCTTTCACCTTACTAGAGGGAGTTGGACAATATGGTCTTTGGGGGTAATCTTTCCAGTTGTCTTATTCTATAATACCAAAAATATAATAATGAACCACTGTGGTTTTGAAAACATGGAGAGAGTACAGAGATCTGGTTACTCTGTGGAAACCAGACAATGAGGTGAGTTATAGTGCATGGGTATTTTACCTAGTAATAGAAAATCTGTGTATGGTATAGAACGCTTTGCAGCTCCCAGCAGTAAGTGCTCACCAGCATGGGCTCTTAGCAAGGCAACCTGTGAATCCCGAGAGAGAGAGAGAGAGAGAGAGAGAGAGAGAGAGAGAGAAGAAAGAACAATTTCATACTGACTAAACAGTAGTCTGCTTTACTGATGCATGTCAACAATGGATCTTGATCAGATCCTAGATCTGGTGAAGTGATCAAAACATGAAATAAATCAGCCAACATTCTTATGTCTGGTGCTGCCATAAATTTCCTTCCTTCCTACCTACAGCCTCTGTACTTTCTTCCCCTTACTGGTACTGGGGTGGAGGGGGAGGAATCCTAAAACCAAATACAGACCATAGGTTTAAGATCGTTGTTAATTAAATGGACATAAAACCAGAAAGTTACCCATTGGGATATATGGGAGAACTCTTGTTTGAAATTAACTAGGACTGAAGCCCCAAAGCCACAAAAAGGAGAGGAGTGTGAAGGCCTGGCTAGGGTGGCCTTGTGTCCAACTCTACAGAGGTCAGTCCCCTGTTTGAAGGTGGCCTCTGTTTGAAGGGCTGTCTGGCTTAAGCCTGGTTTTAAAATAAAGGACCCTAAGAAAAGAGTGCAGGTGAGACTTGACAGTGAGCATTGGCAAATGGGTCATCTGGTCACAGTCTTCTCCACACTGGTCACAGTAACGTCTGTGTGAATTATAGCCATTATCTTTCAATGCGCCTCTATAGATAGGAAATGAGCATTTGCAAAGCCTATGCAAACCTGTCCTCTCCTTTTGTCACCTTTACAAATGGTGCATTTCCTGTGTGTGTGTATTTCATAAAAATGTATACACAAATGTAAAAATAAAAAAGCCCTCAAAGCAATTTACAAAAAAGAAAACAATAAAACTGAGGAAAAAATCACAACCATACTTTAAAACATACCAAAGTTAAAATATATGTTTTGGTAATGTAGAAGTGACCATCCAAACCTGATGCTTTTCCCCAAGCCTGCTAAACTGGAGTAGCAGCTAGGATTGTTACATCCAAGCTGGCCTCAATATGTGAAATCTGTTCCCTGGTAACCTCCCTACAGCTTCTTCACACTCATTGCCTCCCTAGGGTTCCTACAATGCTGCCTACCTACAACCCTCAGTGCCATTGGCCTGATCCATGACGTGCCATTGGCCTGATCCAGCAGGCTCTTTTTATGTTCTTCCCCACCTCCTTAAGTGCTATGAGGTCTCTTCAGAGCCTCCTGTTGCCCCAGTTTATCACCTCATCTGTCCAATTACCCAAGTTCCCTTCTCTTCCATCAACACCTTCCCTTCAGGTACCTTTTTCTCAGTCCATTCTACCCTGTTTTTGGTTACCTTGCTTATGGGGGTTACTTCTCTCTTGGACTGAGACTTCTTCCTAGACCAACCCCCAAAAGCCACTCCTGTCTCTAGGGTCTGTGCGAAGCTTTCATCTCAGCCAAACTGACAGCTTCCACTCCCCTCTCAGAAGCAGAAAACATCTGTTCTCTGAGCAAGTGCAATGTTCGCTAACATTCCATAACATCCCACCCATCCAGCTCATTGATATCTGAGGCTCTGTGCAACAGTTGCCATACAATACATGTGTTAGCTTGAAAAATGCTAATCTTTTACACCCAGGTTTTCTATTCTCTCTCTCCCAAATCACTAAATCAATCCATAACTGTTGTGAAACGAACAAATGTACAGATTTTTGAGTTAGGAAGTTTCTCCTTTGCACATTGCAGGTCTGCAGAAGGAAAGCATAACGTTCAAAGAATCCAGGTTGCAGAAGCCACATACGCCTCCTTCCTCCCCAAAAGTTGCTTTTTTCACCTGGTCATCCAGGGGAAGCTCACAAAATGCTGGGATGTATTTTGCCCACTCAACGAGGACCAGGAGCTGCTGCTTCATCGACTCACACACATCGTTGATGGTTGCAATCTTCTTCATGGCAATATCGGCGCTGTGCACAGGACGGAGAGCTGAATACTATAAGAGAAAAGATCAGGCACCCTTTAACTAGGCAATCCTACATCTCCTTCTTCCCCATTTCCCCACTCCTTCACCCCTCCATATAACACACCATCAGTATAGATGAGTCTATCGTGCCCAAATGGAAAGTTACCCTTTTGTCCAGAAGGTGGCAATAGATCACAACTATTCTATCAACAACGTATGTTGACATTATGAATTTGCCTTGTGCCCAAACTCACCCTCCAAGTTCTGGAAATCTGTAGTCCTTCGGTGCAAGAGGCTTGCATTTTATTTATTGATTCCTGTTTGGGGCACTTTAGAATTTCTTCATAAAGAGAGAGAGAGAAACTAACTCCATAGTACACAGTTAGCTAATACCTTTATTTTAGGACCAAACAAAAAGTAGCTGAAATGTGGCAAGCTTAAGAGTTCTCCAGAGTTCATTGTTGGATAAGATCTTCCATGTGGTAGGGAGTGGTTGAACAATGAAAAAGAATAAAGAAAAGGATGGGGGGAGGGAATGGTCTGGATGTTACAGCCAAAAAATGATAAACAAATTCCAAACATACAGTCAGAAGCTTCCCCACCTACTGGGGCTAATGGGAAAGCCCAGCTGAGGATGTTGGGGATTTCAGGAAATGTGGGCATTCGGGGAGGCTGAAGAGTTCATAGCCATGTACAGTCTCTGTCCTGCTTTGGCCTACTAAACTAGCCAGTTGTTTGGGGGTGGATGAATTTGTCCATTTTGGTTTCTCATTTTGACTGCCTTAAGTTCAGTCATCCACATTTCCCCAACAACTAGTTCTCACAAAAATTCATTTTAGAGCATATATGCAATTCTCCTTAATACAACACACTTTTGCTCCTTTTGTTGTTGTTGTTCTTTGCTTATATACACATTTTATTGCACATTTCACCCTAGTATTTTTGAACCCATTACTTGGCTTGACAATCGCACTGCAAAATATGGAGATACACAAATTTCAAAAGATGGCTGTGTTTCAAATCGCATATTGTTTTGGAAAGTACGAACTAGGTAGGTTCACCTTTAGATGTGACTTGAACCACATTGTGCTGCCTAGGTGCCGCAGAAGATTACAGTGGTACCTCAGGTTACATACGCTTCAGGTTACATACGCTTCAGGTTACAGACTCCGCTAACCCAGAAATCGTGCTTCAGGTTAAGAACTTTGCTTCAGGATGAGAACAGAAATCGTGCTCTGGCGGCGCAGCGGCAGCAGGAGGCCCCATTAGCTAAAGTGATGCTTCAGGTTAAGAACAGTTTCAGGTTAAGAACGGACCTCCGGAACGAATTAAGTTCTTAACCCGAGGTACCACTGTATACCCTATTGCCAGGTTTCAGTGTGGTTAAGGACCTCAGGATAAGAAGACTCCCAATGACCACAAGATGTAAGAAGAAATGGGGGGGTTCCCCTCCTACCTGATGCGCCATCGCCTCTGCTTGGGTCAGAATGGTGATTGATAGGGCTCCGTTGTCTTCGTAACTGCTCCGGCGGATGCTGATCCTGTCACGCTCATTCTGTACAGCTTTGCAAGAGAGACGAAGCAACCGTGTCAGGCAGGCATCCCCTCCAATGACCACACAACCAATTGTCAATAAGCAAGAGGGCTGACTTGCACTGTAATTTCCGAAGTTTACATTTCTTACTGGATTTGCACCAAATGCAGTTGCTAAGAATCTTAGGAACTGGTCAGGTCAGGTAGGGAGAACCGCTAGACAAGTGTTCTGGTGGCGACGTGGTTAGAATCATTTGCAAATGTTCACAACCTTTGAATTCATATTCCTTTCATATTTACTTTCCTCTCCCTATGTGAGCCTGCCTGGGCTTTGAGATATTCTGGGGAGGTGTTTCTCTGCCTCCATGACAGGCATATTTGGTAAGCGCACAAGACAGGGCCTTCTTGCTGGCTGCTCCCAGATTGTAGACCTCCCTCCCATGGGGAGGTAGAATGACGTCCCCCTCTGCTTTCCTTTTGCCAGCAGGCAAAGATGTATTTTTTGTTCCAACAATCCTTGGCCACCAACTAGCTGTTGTGGTAGTGTCTTCTGAGGGTGGGTGTTGTATTTTTGTCTCTCTGTGTGGTTTGTTTTCAGTGCCGCTGCTGATATTCATTGTGTGGTTTAAGTTGCATCTGTTTTCATTTACGCTAAGCCCAGGATATAAATTAAGTGTCAACAATACTGAGCTGAATGGGCCAGTGGTCTGACTCAGTGTTCTCCCACAGTACCCTAAAGGCTAACAAACACATTTTTGTGTTGAAAGCTTTTGTGGGTCCCACTTAGGTATATGGATGCATAAGCTAGGCATATATATACCCTGAGAACAGAATTATTTTATGACAAAGTGAGGCCAAAAGGTCATCCACACAAGAGATAAAAAACAGGTGTGTCACATACTGTTTAAAGCACAAATGAAGACAGGATCCAATTGAAGTGAGTTGCATTAATGCTCCTATCATAATCACACCCTTTGGAGAGCAAAGTGGTTCCTTGTTTATCTTTTGTGTAGTTTATGGTGTATATTTTTCTGTTTTCCCTTCAAGGCAGATAACAACCCCCCAGCCTAAAGCATGACGTTCTCAAGATGATTTTGGCATTATCGCAGGAGGTCCTTGGAAGAAACTTATCCAGTTAATATTTTACCTACTGTAAAAGTAAGTCATTATTAGGTGGTGAGTGCATTGCAGATGAATGGAAACATTAAGACTGAGACAGGGATGGGCAAACCTGTGAATTTCAGTTTTTCTGTTTCCCAGCATTAGGTTGCGTTCTCCACATTTTCCTTGTGAAAATTCAGCAGCATTTTAGTGTGAATTCCTCCTAATGCGCACACTTTTGTATGCAGCTTTCCCTAATGTACACATATTTGCAAAGCAATTTCCCCTTATATAATGCATTTTATATGCAGTTTTCATTTATATATGCATTTTTGTGAACACTTTGCCTCTATATGTGCATTTTTCTATTTGTTACTTGACTAGAGAAGTAGATTGCAAAGTTCAAAGATGTGTGAATTTTGAAGAATGGCTGCATTTCAGATAGTGTATTATTACGGAAAGTGTGAATTAGGAAGGTTTGCCCATACATGCAAACTGAATTGAGTTTCTCCTCCATCTCTAAGCTGAGGCCAGTAGCCTATCTGAAAGGCTGGACAGACACAGAGGCTTACTGAAACTGCATCACTGGAAATACAGCATGATCACAGAGCAAGTTTTGACTCTGCCTTTGCCAACTCAGTGCCTTCTTGGTGTTTTGGACCAGAATTTAGGATGTAGAAAATCACTGGGCATTTCCTATCAGGAGCCTTGCTATATCTGAATTTTGCTGAGCATTCTGCAATCGAATGATGGAAAACTTCAATGTCCCTTCCAGGTCCAAAATCTTGAACAAATAGGACTGTGTTTGCTGTTTGACTTCCTAGTGCAACACCAACCAAACAATTTGCTTCATTCCCCCTGGAACCTGATTGGGTTGCTACAGAGGGGGTGGATCAGGGTGGGGCAAGGGGCGGAAATAAAAAAAACCATAGGAAATCGATACCTGTCCCAGTAGAGGTCACTTTTCTGGCAAAGGAAGCAAATCAGTAACTTCCCAAAACTTTCACTAGATACGCATATACTATGTAAATGATGAGGGTCTGAATGCAACATCTGGTGCTCTGCTTATATACTAATTACTTATTTTATTTTATTAAAAAAAATAGTCCCCTTTTCCTGCATAAAGCTCTCAAAGCAGCTTAGGAAATTTAAAACAAGATGAGGTTTCTATCCTTGTTTTTCATCTTGTTTCATCTGGCACTATCACTATACTGTCTTTATCAAATACTGAAGATGCACCTCTGGCCTTTGGCACTAGAGAGGTATATTTTCAGGGGCCATTATATTCTTGTGATTGCAATTTGTCTTTAACTGGTTTTAATGTATTTTTGAATGGCTGAAACCTGCCCTGAGACTGCATTGTGAAAGGTAGACAATAAATCAAACTACGGTACTAATACAGATTTGAACTCTGCTTCAGGAAGCAAAATGTCTTGGGATGGCACTGTCAGGGCAATGTCCTAAATTTTTTCCAACCCCCCCCCCTTCCCAACCACATGATCCAGCTCTGCCTATTTGTGATTCAGAATTCATCCGTTGTGATTCAGCACTCTCATTAACGGTGCTGCAAAGGAATTTGCTGATGTGGAACTTGGCACAACTCATCAGCTCCCCCAACGCTAGCAGCAGGCTACTGAATGCAAGGCTAGCATCACAGCAGTGCACATGGGACTCTGGATCAGGGGATAGTTTTAGACCATTTACCTTCCTTCTTCATTCCTGCCCGGAAACATTTCTTCAGACGGCAGTATCGGCATTGGTTCCTCTTGTCCTTGTCTATTATGCACTGCCTGCTAAATCTGGAAAGGGAAAGAGGCAAGCTCTGAAAAAATCATTGGTGGTATGAAGGGCCGGTCCTATCATTTGGCAGAGTGAGGCAGCTGCCTTCAATGGCAGGTGCCAGAGGTGAAGGTGGCAATGAGCAATGCTAAAGGCTGGACACTCCCCTGCTAAGCATAGGAACAGGGGAAGCTTATACCAAGACAGACCATTGGCCCATCTAGCTCAGTATTGTCTATGCTGAGTGGTAGCAGCTCTCTGGGGTTTCAGATGGGAGTGGACATTCCCAGCCCTGCCTGGAGATGCTGGGAATTAAACCTGGGAGTTTCTGGATGCAAAGCAGATACAATGAGCTACCAGCCCTTTCCAAATCCTGCTGCCTTGCATGCTGTCCTTTTGCCGGGGTTGAAGCAAGGGTCAACTGTCAGTGTGGTTGGGTTAAGAGCTATCTTGTTCTTTGCCTCAGGCAATGAAATGTCTTAGACTCTTATTTTATTTTACATTTTATATCCCACTATTTGTCCATTATGGAACCCAAGGTGGAGTACAAGTGGGCTCTGGGTGGCCACCCTTCCAGCCACTGGCCAGACTTGCTTAGCTTCAGCTAAGTGTCAGGGCAGCTTCATGGACGGCCAACAGAGATAGGCAATTCTGTCTGTTTCACCATTTCTCATTTCTACCTGCTTAAATTCATCTTTTCAAGCTAGTGTAGCAATTTATGAATTTTAGTTAAAACAGTCCTCATGAGAATTTATTAGAAATTTGGTGCAAACTTCTCCTGACCATAGAATCAGAGTTGGAAGGGACCTCAAGGATCATTTCATCCAACCCCCTGCAATGCAGGGAAAACACCTGTCCCTTATGGGGATCAAACCTGCAACCTTGCTGTTACCAGCACCATACTCTAAACAACTGAGCTATCCAGTTTTGATTAAATGTGCTTGTTTTTGCACGCAATTTCCCCAAATATAATGCACTGTTGTGTGTTATTTTCATGAAAACATGCCCTTATATGCAAACTTTGCCCTAGTATGTACATTTTTGTACAAATTACTTGGATGGAGAACTCCACTGCAAAATTAGGAAACGTGTGAATTTCAAAGGATGGTTCACATATTGTTTCAGGCAGTGCAAACTAGAGAAAATTCCAAGTTGTCATTCGCCTTCATCTTCAAGCCAGTGACAATGTTCAAAGCGTATGGAAAAGCCGGTCAATGTCCAAGGATGGCCTACAAAACTATAGATCTACCTGCACGAGTAGACGTGATTCTTACGGACGCTCCTTCTGAAGAACCCTTTGCAGCCATCACAGCTGGAAGCTCCGTAATGCTTCCCAGTAGCACGGTCTCCACAGATGGCACACATTGAGCTGATCCCATTCGCCAGCAGGCCGCCACTCCCTGACTCTGAAACAATGGCATCTGCAAAAAAGAAGTTCACCAGTGGTCAATAAAGTGGGTGTCCTGGGGATGGAAAGGAACAGAGCCAGTCCTACTGTGAGGCAGAGGGAGGCGGCTGCCACAGGTGACCATAGGTAAGAGGTATGGAGTGGATACAGCTGGGTCTGCCTAGCAACTTATAAACTAACCTACTGTCCTCTAGTGGAGTGGAGGATGGTGTCTCACCACCTATGTCTAAGTTAGGTGCAACCACCAATCTGGTTGGCTTTTATATAGGGAATGGGTGGGGAGGTAAGCTCTATCTTTCCTCTTGGACCAGCTCTGGAAAGGAGCAAAACCAACCCAATCCATAGAGTATTGGGTCTTGCCTGATTTTTAAAATCAAAATTCACATTGCTCACTGCTGCATGTTAAATGAGTCAACATTCACAGCATACATTTAAAGCACTATGATTCCACTTTAATCTGTCATGGTTTCCCCCAAAGAATTCTGGGAGCTGTAGAATTTGTTAAGGGTGCTGAGAATTATTAGGAGACTCACATTTTACCCACCCTGAGCTACAATTCAAAAATTGGTATAACAATCTATCACTCTTCAGAAGGAACTATGGGCAACACTGGTTTGTAAGGGGAACAGAGGAGTCTCCTAACATTGCTTAGCACACTTCACAAAATACAGTTCCCAGAATTTTGGGGGGAAGCCATGGCTATTTAAAGTGTTATCACAGTGCTTTAAGTCTATGATATGAATGTGGTCTAAATTAGCAAAGCCACCAGCTGACTCTAGGTGGTCCTCCAGAAATTGGCCATGGAAGCAAGATCTGCCCACTCCTAAGCTAGTCCAATCAGGATCCTGAAAATCAGTCTATGACAGGCATAGCCAAACTCAGCCCTCCAGATGTTTTGGGACTACAACTCCCACCATCCCTAGCTAGCAGGACCAGTGGTCAGGGATGATGGGAGTTGTAGTCCCAAAACATAGGCCAAGTTTGCCTATGCCTGGTCTATGCAATCCTGGGATGTGATGCTACAAGCCAAGACCAAGCCAAGAGATGGTGCCTTATGGGTCTTGAAATGGAAAACAAAACAAAACAGATTCTTGATCATTAAAAAGCTATTGATTCAGGTGGTTCAAGCTACACCACACAAGAGAGCAGAGAAATAAAGCAGCCGACCCAGGATCAGTTGACATCTTTTGGGGAGAGGGGAAGAATTATTTATTTAGAATTGGATCCAAAGATGCAATAGAGGACAAATTTCTGGCAGTGGTGCTGTTCAATTTAACTGTTGTGCAAGAGCCACCAGAAAAACATTGTGTGATGATGTGCAATGCATCTTCTGTGAGCAAGTATCCTGAAATATTGTGCAAGGCCACGTGCAAAAGATGGTGCAACAAGACTGTGCACACATGGAAGTATCCCAACGGACTTCTATTTTCTTGTCTTGCACAGGGATCTTCCAGCAACTGCCCTCCCAGACCACCTTATTTTACCAATGCTGCTTTCTCAATCCAGGCAGCTGCCATTTCACATTAAAAAAGCACGCAACCAACTTGGCATCAGGCAGGAATGAGAGGCAGACAGTGGACAGAAAACCTCCACTAAGAGGCCAAGGCCTATCTGACCACCAGCTGCAAGAGAAAATAGGAGCCCATTGCTGCCTGATTCTCCTTCCTGCCTGATGCACCATCTCTGAAGCAACACCTCACATGATTGGTGTCTCTGTGCAACAGCGGATGCAGGATGTTCCTTCCCAAGTGACTTGCCTGCAGGAAAGCCTCTTGTGAAACAGCGCCCCCTCCAGGTTCAACCCTCCTATTCTCAGTCAGGGGGGAGTTGCAACATCCCCCACCTGTATGTTTAATTAGGTTTTAAAGGGGGAAAATAAACATTAGTCCCACCCCTAAACTATAATTTGGGACTGGATCTGGGGTAGGTGGGTGGGGTGGGGGATGTAACCTGATTGCCCACCCCAACTGAGACCACAGGCTGGATGAAGGGAGGATGAGCTGTGCACAGCCATAAGTTATACCCGACGTTCTCATATTTACAATCGCCAAGTTGGCTTGTGGTAATAAAACCATGAGAATTAAAACACAACATAGCATTATAAGAGACCACAGCATCAGTAAAGCAGCCAATCCACCCAGCAGTGAACAGGCTGGTCATCTACTGACTCCTCTGCTCTCTGAATCAGATGCCTAAAGCTCAACTGTGATGGAGTCGGGTGGGTATTTCTGGAAGCTAATCCCACAATTCAGGTCTGAGCACTGAAAAGTCCCTCCCTTGTTTAGCCATTCAGGTGTTTGGGAAGATAACATAAGAAGAGTCCTGCTGGACCAGGCCAATGATGAAGAGAAGAAGAGTTTGGATTTATCACTACCGTAAGGAGTCTCAAAGCGGCTCACAACCTCCTTTCCCTTCCTCCCCCACAACAAACACTCTGTGAGGTGAGTGAGACTGAGAGACTTCAAGGAAGTGTGACTAGCCCAAGGTCACCCAGCAGCTGCATGTGGAGGAGCGGGGAATCGAACCCGGTTCACCAGATGAGTCCACTGCTCTTAACCACTAGACCACACTGGCAATGATGCATTTAGTCCAGCATCCTGTTCTCACAGTGGCCAACCATCTGCCCCTGGGAAAGCTGCAAGCAAGGCCTGAACACAATAGCACTCTCCTCTCCTGTGGGTTCACCCAGGCTCAGGAAATCCCCTCGCCACCAGAGTGCTTGCTGGATCCTGGCACCATCCCACAAAGGTGCCTGACCAAGGTAAGCATCATTGGCATTAATATTTTCTGCCACAGGGACATCGCTCCAATTCTGCCTTCTGAAACCTTTAAAAAAATGGAATTCCTTGTTGATGCTTGCCACCTGTCATTTAGTTTAACTCAGCTAAGTAAATGTTAGCTTGGGATATATGATGATGACATTTTATTTGGCCATAAATACTCCTCAATGCCTTTGCTTGGAAAGAAAAGGCTGGCTGATTCTTTTAGTGAGTGAAATAATATTAGTGATGCTATGATGATGTCAAAAGGAGGGGGGATGAAGTGCTTTTCAAAAGCAGGTGGTGGGTGGGAAGAAAGCAGGCAATATACGGCCACATTCATACCATACATTTAAAGCACTATGATACCACTTTAAACAGTCGTGGCTTCCCCCAAAGAATTGTGGGAGCTGTCGTTTGTTAAAGGTGATGAGAATTGTTAGGAGATCCCTTGTTTCGCCTCGCAGAGCTACAGTTTCCAGAGTGGTCTAACAATCAATCACTCTTCATAGAGAACTCTAGAAATTGCAGCCAGGACTTTTAAAGTGGTATAATAGTGCTTTAAATGTATGGTGTGGATGTGGCCCAGGTATTGTCCATCTTCCGTGCGACAGTCCTCAGAGATTTGAAGACCACTATGATGTCTCTCCATAATCTTCTCCAGGCTAAAAAATAATTCTTTAAACTGTTCTTAATGGAACTTGGGTTCTAGATCTCCTCTAAACATACCCCAATTTAAATACAATAAATGGCCTTGTTCTGGGGCAGGAAAATAATTCCTGGGAGTGGCTCTGAGATATATTTGTGGTGAGAATTCTCTGGCAGAAAAATAATCTACTCCGTCCAAGTTCCACAAACATTCTGGCTGTGATGGATGCACTGTGTGCAGTTTGGGAATTTATGGCAATGCCTCGGGTTAGAAAATGTATCCTCACAACCGCATCATGTGTGGAGGAAGTGCGTAGCACATTGTTGATCTTCAATATATACAGTGCATGCAAAACAAAAGGCTGACGTTTAAACCTGAAAACATAAAGTTTATGGTTAGCACTCAACAAGATAGACTTAATTATTTCTTTGTTACTCCTTCTTACTTATAAATCCCTAAACAACTCTGGACCATGTTCTTACTTATAAAGCCCTAAAAAACCCCTCTACTTTATTTCACTCTATTGGCCAGTAAGGGCATTACGGTCAATAAATGGAACCTGGTTAATGTCACCATGGTCTGATGGCTATCAGCTTGTGATAACGCGAAGGCAGGCTTTTTTGCTGGTGAAACCAGTGTAGTAGAATGATCTCACTGCTGAAATCTGAGATGCCCCGTCAGTACTGGCATTCCTCCGGCTCTCAAAGACAAACTTGTTTAGACAAGCATTCCCCTAATTGGCTAAGTTGAACTTCCTGCTCTAATTGTGTGTGTGGGGGGGACTATTAAAATTGTTGTGTTGTTTTAATGGCCTTGTTTTATTGTACACTTTAATTTATTTTAATGTTCTGGTGAAATTATTTTATTGTGTATTTTCATTATGTGTGTGCGTAGAGAGATGTGCCTGGCGCCATCAGTCTCAACTTCTTGGTGCAAGCAAAGATGTTACTCTTCAGTCAACTAGTTGCCTGTTAATTGGGGTCACTTGGGAATGACAATACCTTAGGCTGTATTGCTGTTCTTCTTTTAGTAGTGTGGGGTAAGATTTTGCCCTTTGTGTTTTTGCAGGGTTTAGTCAATGGATGCCATTTCATCCATCTGATGTCTTTTAAATTTTGTATCATGTGTGCTTTTATAATTGTAAGTCACTCAGAGCAGCCTAGAGCTTCTCTATATAACAAAGGATCAGTCCTAGTTTTCATCTTGGAATCTCAATTATTATTTTAATTCCACAGAGCTAGCAGTGGAATTGCAGCTTGTGTGTCAAGTTTCTCCCTGCTTTCTTCTTCTGTACTTCTTATGGAACAAAATGTATATCCTGCTAACTGGACAGAAAACCTTCAAGGGGTTTACAAAGAACAAGAACAAGTATTCATTTAAAATATTGATGAAAGCAAGCATTAAAATCAAGCTGACACGCACAAAGTCCCAAAATGCAAATAAAATCAGCCATACTACCTGCTAAAAATTACATGTTAAAATGGCATGCCTTTGCAAGCTTGGTGAAACAAAAAAAGTTTCGAACAATACAGTGAAGGCAACCTGCCTAATATCAATGGGCAGGGTGTTCCAAAGAGTAGGTGCTGTTGCCCATTGCTGGCAATCACAGGTGGAGAGAGTGCCGGTGCACTCAAGTTCAGCTCACAGGCTTCCCAAAAGGGCATCTGGTGGCCACTGTGAGAACAGATGGCTGGACTAGATGGAGTTTTGATCTGATCCAGAAGGCTCTTCTAACGTTCTTATGATTCCTTACAAGTGCAGAATGAACGTTATGTGGCACTTGATAATGTGATATCAACTTACTCAGTGCCACAATGTATTTTATTATGGGTAATTCCTTGCCAACGAGTGGGGTGAGGCTTATTGAAACGGCATTGAGATGTTATCTGGCCTGTTCTGCCACACCTCAAGAGCGGAGTCATTTTTACTCCCAATGCCCTGTGCCTTTCTCTATGAATCCAGATATATAGTCTATTGCCTTCTTGGTATGTTACTCTATAATAAGCTTCCTTTGTTTGACTTGGTCATCCTGGCCACCACCCATGGACCAGATTGCAGCTGTGACATTTTTGAAAAGGGTCATGCTGAACTTTTAGGATGGGGGAGAGTATTAGGGCAAACAACGAAACATTTTCATAAGAGAAGTTCCTTTTCCAAGCCAGTTGTCAAAGCAATTCCAATTAATGAGATACATCAGCCAGATATTGAAACAACAATATGAGGAATTGTATCATGGGGCAGGTGTTAGTCCAGCATAAACAATGTAAGTTAGGAAGACCAGGACAGCTAAAATGGTACCTAAGAGAAAAATAGATGTAGCCTGATGGGGAATATTTCCTAAGTTTGTAAGAGTTAATTTGAAAAGAAAAGAAAAGGGAGGAGGGGGGGGGGGGAGAAACAGGATCAGAAAGTATTCTAGATTACAACCATACATCTTGTTCTGGTTCAATCCACTTCTGGTGAATCTTCAAAATTCTAAAATCTACTGAAAAGAGATGTATATTTCTTTCTTTTATTGCCACAATTTATATCCCACTTTCCCACTAAGTATTCAAGATGATTTTCTATTTTAAAAAAATCAAAAATCAATGCATACTAATAAATGAAGCAAGAACAATTTCAATCATACCGGATAAAACAAGCTAAAATTATTACAAAGACAGTGTCGGCATAAAATCCCCTTCCCAAGGCAGTCTTCCAAAAAATGCCACTGAAATGAAACTGTCTTTGTTGTCCACCTGGAAGTGAGTAGCAATGGGGCCAAGCAACCACATAGGTGTTCTTTATAAGGTCAAGTTATGCTGGCTTCACATGGGAACATAGGAAGTTGTCTTATACCAAGTGACTATTGGTCCATCTAGCTCAGTATTGTCTACACCAGGGTTTCCTAAACTTGGGTATCCAGCTGCTTTTGGACTACAACTCCCATCATCCCTAGCTAGCAGGACCAGTGGTCAGGGATGATGGGAGTTGTAGTCCAAAACAGCTGGATGGCCAAGTTTGGGAAACCCTGGGCTACACTGACTGATGATGACTTTCCAGGGTTTCAGGCAGGAGCTTTCCCCAGGCCTGCCTGGAGATGCTGGAATGTTACCTGGGACCATCTGCACGTAAGGCAGATGCTCTACCATAGAGCTCTCCCCCAATTTCACGTCAGAAGTGAACCATCTTAACAACTGGGAAGGCTACTGAAAGGCCACTGAAATCCAGTGGGGTTCTTGGAGGTTACAGGAAATCACTACAAAATTAAGAAAGTTAAGGTTTCATCGCTGGATTTTAATTCAGAAATTCTTTTGACTCTTAAATCTGCATTGGAAAGGGCATTGGCTTCGACAAAATAAGAGGATTCAACGGGGCATATCTAAAACCCTACCTGATGATTAGCTTTTCAAGAAACAAGTGCACAGATGTTGCTTGTTTATTGTGCAAGATGAGATCCGCCAAGTTTTCCTTCTACAAAGTGTTTCTGCTTCAAGGATATGCCATTTCCCTGGTGCTCAAGCTGCAATAAATTGCAATTGGTGGAGGGGAGGGGAGCTCAGTTTTTCAGCCAGTAAACTTGCAGAGTCCTATTAGGTGTGCTTGCGTCAATGTCATGAACACCTTACTCAAGAGAGTGCTCGTGATATCTCTGGTGATAAGCAGCGCAGCTTAACACCACCACTTCATGTCAACACCATCTTTGTATGCTTTAAAAGACATTTCGATTTAATTTTATTCTTCATCTCTAAAGCCAGCCTCAGTGTTTTCCTGGCACACCACTCTTTAGAGAATAAGCAGGAGCAGTGCCAGCAAAACTATCTCCTCCCCCTTCAGTGATGTACCACCATTTTGAGAGTCTTAATTTTGTTTCAATGTGAACTTCCTTTCAGGGATCAATATATTCCCCCTTCCCCATTGTAACAGAGAAGTTTCACTTTATCAAAGCTCCTTTTTGTTTGGGGCGGGGGGGCGGGAACACTAGTGAAAGCTCCAAAGCCCAGGATAAGAATGAGACTGAGAACACAATACAATTCCTTTCTTCTAAACCAGTTGCTAATTCCGTAATTTGAGCAAGCACTTCCCCTAATTTTCCCTAAGCACCATTAAAAAGATGGCTGTTTGTCTATTGTAAGAGCTTTGTGAAAGCTCTTGGATGGACCTCTTACATTTGGATCATTTTACTAATGTTGAGGTCTCAAGGTTTTGGCTAGCTTGTAGGGAGGGGGTGTTTTCTTTTTTAAGCTGTTTGGACAAATTTTTGATGAGGATGCTTACCCAAGACAAACATGCTCATTTCAAAACAGCAAGTTCCTGACTATGTTGGTTTACTTATTAACAAGTAGGCAAATACCACAATGCCAACTTGAAACAGCCTTCACCTTTCAGAAAAAGCTAGCATGTTGTTTCTACACTATTGTATAGATATAATTTATTTATGAATCCTAACTTTTCTAAATATATAGCAAGGTGGAGCTATAGAGATAAAACCAACCAAAGATCCATAACACATCATTAAAAAGGTTAATAAAACATCAATGAATAACAATAGCTATTGATCGGTTAAAAGAAAAATCAGGTTGCAAAACCCTTTCTAAATTAAACAGCTTTCAAAAGATGTCTGAAGGGAGGGAGGGACAGTTCTTGCTGAACTTCTACTGACAAGGAGTTCCACAGGGCAGGGCCTACCACACTAAAGGCTGCCTACCACAGCAGAGGCTGGCCGAAATTCGGGGGCATGGGGAACCACAAGAAGTACTCCTAGGAATGATGTCCTGTCCAGTCAGTGACACTTGAGCCACAGGTTGTAAGAAAAGAAAAAAACATATTTGAAGGAAACATCAGCTCAAGCTTTCTAGCTACCCACAAACCTTCTGTGTCAAAGTCACAGAAAGGTGTCACCATATTGTTTGAGAAAAACAGGGAGGCACCTGTGTTTCACCTTAAAGACTAAGAGAAATCTTGTAGCACAAGACTCGAGCTCATTTTATCAGATGCTTGAAATGCCATTTCTCCCCTTAAAGACTAACTCATTTATAATGGTGTGAGGTTTTATGGACTGATAGAGTTGACTGCAGTCCGCAAAAGCTTATCCAGTCATTAATGTTTTCATCTTTAAGGTAGCATAGGGTTCTCTGTTGCGTCTGCTACAACAGACAAACACATCTCCTCCTCTGGTAAATGAAATGTTGTACTTCATCAGATATGTAAAATGTTCTGTTTTCCTCAGCTGGTAGATGGGGGAAACATGTGTAAAGAGTGAGTCCGAATGGTCATGAAATCCAAGAGCTACAATCAGAACCAAGATGACATGAGATTCTAAATATATGCAAGTTCCGTGAACATTCACAATGAACATGCCCAACAAAACTCTGATGACCTCTCTCCCTGTGCCCCAGAAATCAGCTTCAGACAAGAGTGATTTGGAAGAAGGAGGAGGAGGAGGAGGAGGAGAGGTAGAAGAAGAAGGCAAGCTATTTCATATATATATATATAAAATGTATTCTCCCCACCATCTCATTTATCAATGGTACATCTGGCCAAACAAAGTGGACAGTGGTATAAAATGCCATTTATTTGATAAATACATCATCAGCATAATATTCGGAAAGTAGATTTTTCCAGGCTTAATAAACAATAGTCTTTGCTGTTGGCTAAGTATTTTGCAGCATTGTGATGTCATAGCAAGGTGTGTGAGGTGTGGAATACACCTTTTCCAAGAGATTTCCATTGATTAGAAATACATTTTCTCAATCACAATACAACAAGCTTTTCAATCTAAGTCCCTTATCGACAATATAATTCAAGGCCGCAGCATAAGACCCATCCCAATGCAGAAGTCCAAGAGTTCACCCACACAAACGCGACACCCTCCACCCTTCGACCCCATTCCTTCTTGTCCACCGAAGAGGACAACATTTGAACAAAGGTAGCAGAGGCCGATTGGAGAGGCAACGGAAGGTATCTCCTCACTCACCTGATGAGTTTGTGGGCAGCACCCTCAGGTTTTCGAACTCCAACATGGTGTATGAGGAGTCGAGGGACTCAGCGTAATCTGGCATCTCCATGTCCATTAGGCTTTGACAAATCCGCATTATTACTGTCAACAGAGACAAGTGAGGCCCCCACGACCCTGCTGTCAATCACAGCGAGGATCTCCAGCACAGTAGGGTTGACAACTACGGCAGGCTTGAGGATGACAAATCATTACCTAACTTTCCCGCTGTTCCCTCCCCCACCACTATCAGAAGGTTGGAAGGTAAAAATGACCTAGTCTTTATTGCATGCTCTGCCTCTCTCTCTCTCTCTCTCTCTCTCTCTCTCTCTCTCTCTCTGCCTTGTGCCCTATGAGTCTATGCCCTGAATCATGATTATATGGTGGCAGATAAGACCTGGTCTAAATCAACTTAAATTGCATCCTCCGTTCAATAGTGTGTGGTTTATGGCAATCCTTAAGCAAACATTTTGAAAAGCACAGGCAACGACAGATGATCTAACATACTCTTTCTGCAGGACATGAAGTGTTGGAGGCTATCATGCCCTTTTTCATTCTAGGTTTTATTATAGGGTTTTAAATGTTGATATTTGTCAGAAAGGATGCTGGAAGGAAAGTGCCACCATTTTGTGAAAGAAAAGGAAGTTTTCGGCTATGTGGAGAAAACTACATGAAAGCCACACATTCATAGGAAGCATGTGAAGCCACAGAGAAAGTTATCCAGGTGCTATGAAGGCCACTGTTGGCTCTTAGACCAAACAAACAAACAAACACCCCCCCCCCATGTATTTCTGCTTGGGAAATATAATGTATATCCAGTGCTCCCCCCCCCCATAAAAATAGCTGCCAGTACTCATCATGAAGTTGTTACAGTAAGTGCTACTCTTTTTAACCAAAAGAGAGAGGTGTGCTGGTACTGCGCACCCATTGTGTATATGCCATTGAAAATTCTGATGTCTGAACAACTATTGGAAAGTTGAAATGTAAAAGGAGTGGCAGGTGTCAAATATGGGTGACAAAGATGGCAATCCTTTGTACATATGTGCATGCAAGCACATTAACTTAGACCACAAGAATGATGGGGACAACAACTCAAAGTCCTCAAATGCCCAGACTTTAATACCAGATGCAATGCATTACTGTATCACCTAGGGCTGCCATATTTCAAAAAGTAAAAACCAAGACACCCCAAAATTGTTGAGTTTTTTTAACAAAAAACCCACAATTTTTCAATTGATTTGCCTAAGATCCAGGACACAGCGCCACCTTTCGAAAATGTATGGCAGCCCTAGTATCACCAACCACAATGGTGCAGAGAAGGATAATTGTTTCAGTTATTCCATTGTTGGCTCCGCTTTGATCCATTACAGTGGGCTAATACAGTATTTGTTTATACTTTGGTATAAACTGGTATCTGGTACTAGTATCCACAGTTAGGGCTGCTCATTTGGGGACTTTGAGTCTCTGGATTGTATCCAATGAAGTCATTGCACAAGCAGAAAGGCTTCTGTTTGTGCAGCGGATCTTCCTCTCCCTCCCCCCCATGTGACCTCCCCCAAATCTGCTCTATGTTATCCCCCCAACCCTCTGGAGCAGATCTGGGAGGGGCACAGGGGACAGGGGGTTAGTAGAGGGAAGGAAAGGGAAGTTCCACTGCAAAAGCAGAAGTTGTTCCACCCAAATAATTTCACTTGATACAAACTATTGTCCCCATTGTTCATGTGAGCATGCATTTGCACATTTAAAAATGGCTGCCATATTTGGATCACACTGCTGGCCACCACCATTCTGTTTCACTGGTGCATGTGGAAAAAATGGCCACCAAATTGAAATATGTACATTGACATATGATCACGCATGCACACAAAATGCATTAAATAGCACCACAAAAACAGAAGCGGGAGCAGCATCAGTTATGGGGAATGAAATCCAGTGGCACACTTTGAAACTGTGTGGGTGGCAGATTTGGAGGTTTGAACAAGAAACTTAAAGTGAGGCCCACAGCCCAAGATAGCAAGAAGAAAGACCTTCATTGAATTTGTGTGTGCCTCACTAAAATTACACCCATGGAAAATTGAATGATTGGATTGTTATTTCAACTCTAGGCAAACCTACTCTGATATGCAGTCATGTTTCAAGAGAAAGAGATGGGGGGGTGTTGCAATTTCCAGAAGGAAGGCTTTGGGCCAAAGGATAGTCAACTGCTTTCTCTGCCAAATTTCCTGAACTCAAATTCAACTCCATTAGTAGGGAGGCCCAGTTTAACCTAATAAATCCTTTAATAAAACAAATAATACAAATAATGGGACGAGCCAAAGCCAGTCTTTGAACAGCTCGACATCTTCTGTCTTTCGCTCTTTTTCATACTTGTGACCTCAATTCAGTCCTCAGACTGGCTAACCTTTTGCTGGAGGTCACTAGGCTCAACCTCTGATCGTTGTCTCTGACTTGCAGACCCCGCATTACCACGTCAACATGTGACCTGTGAAAACACAAGATTGGATCTGTCTGGTTTGCCATCAGCCAGTGTGAAAACTGAAACAAAGACCACCCCTAAAATCTATCTTCAAGCAAGAACGTTTGTTATCATGTGCAAGATATAAAATAATTAAGTTGTGCAATCAATTCCCTTTTTGTTTCAAAGAATAAGCACAGCACAGACTCCTTGGAAAGATAAGAGTTTTATGTTTTTTTATCCTTGGACTATGTACCAGGGCTTCCAGAAATGCCAGCATCAGCTCAATTAGGCGTTAATTAGTAGTTCTGATTTTGCTTGTGACTCTCATAGTGCGTCTTGGAGAGTTATGTCACAGCAAAGCAACCAACCAGGAAATGGGTATTTTTCAGACACATGGACAACTCACAAATGTTATGACAAGGAAGATGCCTAGATTCCCATTGATACATTACATAGGAAGTTGGATTTGCTAACACTTCCTGCTTTGCCTGTCCAACATGGATTCTGCACAGTATTATGGAAGACCTGCTAACCCATTTTTCTTTATGCCCTTTTAGAGTTGACTATGAGATCAGCTTTCCACACCCTGGGACACTCCATATGTTCTTGTACTACAATTCCCATAAGTTCATTGGCCATGCTGTCTGGGGCTTATGGAAGTTGTAGTCCAACAACATATGGAGGACACCAGGTTGGTGCCAACTAAGTTAGAGTGTGCAGAATCAAAACATTCCCACTTCCCAGTACCATGAGCAGAAACAGCTTCCTGAAGATGGCTGGTGGTGACGTTTGAGTTTTCTTTCAGTCAATGCCAAACACAAACATTGCAAAAGTCAAACATTCCTAGCTCTAAAACATGAAGAACACTGGAGGCTGGCCTATTAAAGACAGACATTATGTCTCCTTTCTTGGAGTGTCAGCATGCTAAATGGGTACCAAATGCATCCTATAACTATGAACAGTAAACCCATTTTGGAGTAGGGACACAGGATCTTCAAAGACGGATGCCTACCCCAACATTACCTTTTCATACTTTATATCAGCTCTCTTCTTCTTCTTTCCACCGTTAACAAAGCCCAGGGAAACCTGAGAGCACCACCAACCCACATCTTTCTAAGAACTTTTGATGTGGCTTCACACTAATATACTGTGTTGACACAGGACTTAGCTGTATTTGGAGGGAGTCGGTAATTTCCTCTTACTATTCTGTTCTTTGTGACAAGAGACAACAATGTTATCACCTAGCTTTTCGATGGGTATATTCTCTAAGGGATGGGGAACTTCAACCCTGGGGGCAGAACGCAACCTTCTAGGCTTTTGTATCTGGGACTCTCACCAGCTCACGCTCCTTCTCCAGGTCACATCCCTCATTAGTTCTGCTTCATACCCTTGCTTGCCTGGCTGGACTGTGTCCCTGAATACTTACCATGCCTCTTGCTTGCCTAGATGGAGGATACAAAGAGATGTGGGACTGAAAACCTGTAGCTTTGGCATGAATGGAATCTACCCTGTTGCACAAACTTCCATTGATCTCTCCAGCTTTTCCTCTGTTCCTGCCCATGGCTGGCCTGCAGGCCCAGATGGTTGCCCACAAAGAGATGTTACCCCTGGGCTGAAAAATACTTTCCCAATCCCTATCCTCTACGCATTCCTCTTAAGTCTTGAGCCAAAATCATTGAAATTAACCACATGGAAAAGACTGCATCCAGTAGCTATTTCAGAAAGTTCTCCACCCAATGTGATCTGTTTGCAGTCATTCTACGGAACTTTGACCTTTTTTTAATTACTGGATATCTTATAAAAATAAGATCACAGCTTTTGTGGGTACCATCCATGCCTTGGGGAAACGAAAATTCCTGGAAGTCTCTGTTTCAGGTGGATGTCACCTCGTCGAGATTCCAGGGTTGTAAATAAGCCTAACCACCCTTTCCTTCCTTCTCCCTCCATTCATTCATTAAGAAAATGGTAAACTCATTCACCTTCACAAAAAACTTCATATTCTGTAGAATAGGAATGGGGAAGAAATTCCCTCCTGTTTGCATTTTAATGTGAACCTAACTAATTGATGCTTCCTGAAACAATACACAACCCAAAATTCAAGCTACTGTTTGAAATTTGCATTTTATGATGCTATTTTCCAACTAATAGCATGCATATATTGAGGGACAGTGTGTATGTAGCCATGAAAATAAACAAAAGGCAAAATATTAGGGGAAATTGCTTGCAAAAATGTGTATATTTGGGAGAAATTGCATACAAAATGTACATATTTTGCCCACTAAAATGCTGGAATTCTTTCTGCCAGGACTTTTAAAAAAGCCCCAAAACAACTTCATAAACTAACATGGAAATGTTGCAAATGGAAGTTTTAAAAAATGAAAACCTGAAGGGGGGAAATGGGGGGAAATGACCCTCCCTTCCTCCTCAAAAGAAAAAAAAAATCCAATTTATTGACTTATTCATAGAATCACAGAACTGTAGAGTTGGAAGGAACCCCACAGGTCACCTTGTCCAAACCCCTGCAATGCAGGATTCATAGATAAAGAATCCTTGACAGTTGGCCAATCAACTTCCATTTAAAAACCACCAATGAAAGAGAACCCACCACCTTCTGAGGTAATCCATTTCTCTGTTGAACAGCTTTTCCTGTCAGGAAGTCCTTCTTAACATTTAGTCGGAATCTCCTGCCTTGTAACTTGAATCCATTGGTTTGGATCCTGCCCTTTGGACCAGCAGAAAACAAGCTCATTCCATCTGCCATTTGACAGACCTTCTGCTATTTGAAGGTGGCTATCATATCACCGACCAGTCTTCTCTTCTCCAAGCTAAATGTACCCAACTCCCTATTCATTCATCCTTACTGCAGATCAGGAATGGGGAACCTCTGGCCCCCAGAAGTTGCTGGGCAACCATTCCCATTACTCCCGCCCATTGACCATGTTGGCTGGGGCTGATGGGAGATGGACTGCAGCAACACCCGGAGAGCTGCAGATTCCCCACTCTTACTACAGATGATGGCTGAGAACAGAAGATTGGCAAGGTCAATAATCTAATAGATCTTCTCTGGATAAACACAATAGCTGAAATACAGAAGCCAATGGATGTCTTTGGGGGAAAAACATATAATTAGAAACAGTGTGCTGCCTGTGATAATCAGTGGTGTGAAATCAAATCATTAGAGTCTAATCTTATAACTGCAGCCGTAACACATTTACCCAAACCAGATGGCTGGGTAATCAGTTGCCTTGTCTCAGTAGCATCATTTTGAACGTCCTGCATTGTATTGCATCCTGGAATGTTGTTTAGCAGCCAGTAATCTCTTGCTGTTGTTAGTTATGTCTCCCCCATCGCTAGCAAAGCTGTCGTTAAACTCAAGTCATGATCCGGAGTGTAAAAGAGTGTGCCGAGTCTATGGTTCCTGCATGTGTGTCTGTGTGTACACAATGCTGAGGAAAATTCCTTCTTCCTGTGACTTCATTGTTCTGTTGGTTTGCTCCCCTCTTCTTTCTACCCCTTCCAATTGCCATTTTAAATAAAAGAATGTCGAAAATTATTAATTCCAGCATTGAAGCTGGTACAGTTTGCCTTTGGGGAAGGGCTATAGCTCAGCGCTAGAGCAACTGCCTTGGATGTAGAAGTTCCCAGGTTCAATTTCCAGCACCTGCAGGTAGGGTTGAGAGAGAGTAATACTGAGCTGCTGCCAGTCTGTGTAGACAAACCTGAGCTAGAGGAACTCTTCTTCAAAGAGTCCAAAGAAATTCAAAGAAAACATGAGCTTTGGAGAAAGCAGCCTGCTCTCTTTTCTTGGCCTGATTTTGGCAATTTCTGTAACACTTCTGCCTAAGAGGAATTTCCAGAAGATACAGTAGTGAAAAACACAACTGGAAGCCAGGGAGACACAGACACTGATTCAGACACAGTTGACGGAAGTTTTCCATGGGGGCTGCGTCTGCCGGTGAGCTTCCTCTCACTCTGCTTGCTACAAACCTACACCCCATTTGTCAAACATTAATTTACGGGCCAAAAGAAAATTGAAAGTCTGCTATGGCTCCAGGTCATAGCCACACCACACATTGAAGGCATACCCAATACACATTTAAAGCTCATGGCTTCACCCAAAGATTTCTTGGTACTGTAGTTTGTTAAGGATGCTGGGAATTGTAATTCCACAGGAGGTAATTTTAGGGTGGGGGTGGATCGTGGTCTTTAAATGTATGGTGTGGATGTGACCTCAGTCTACTCCACTAAGGATTTCCCTGAATATATTTCCCCAGAACACTTGTGTTTGCTCAATGACCAACACCATAATACAGGAGACATCATCAAAAAGGGACAGAATGTCAACCCCTGTAAACAGGTGCTCAGAAAGTGCTATTTCTTCATCAATGCCAACAGAGAAAGCCAAACTGAGAGAAGGAATGTAGTGGTTAAAGTGTCAGGCTATGAACTGGGAGATCAGGGTTCAAGTTCCCACTTGGCCAGGAAGCTCTCAGCCTACGCAGCTTCACAGGGTTGTTGTGGGGATAAAAGAAGGGAGGGGAAGAACCATGTGACTGTCACTTTGAGCTCCTTGGGACCTGCTTAACCCACATACAATGCACTAGGTTCCCAAACCTATGAACTCATAGTTCAGAATAAGGCCTGACAGCAAGTGCTGAAAGTCAGCCTAAATTTCCATGTATACATATAATTCAGTACATGTAACTGTATGCCAGGTCTGCATATTTGTTTATTTATTGATTTTCCTCCAAGGAGCGCAAGGTAGCATACATGGTTCTCCCCTCTTCAATTAATCTCCACAACAGTCTTGTGAGGTAGGTTAGGCTGAGAGGCAGTGACTGGCCCAATGGCCCAAGAAGAGCTTCCTGCCCAAGTGGGAATCTGAACCCAGGTCTCAGTTTAGCATTCTAACCACTATACCACACTGGCGATTTTTTAATGCATAAATTAACATGTGCAAAGTTGTGTCATAGGCCAGTCTGCTAAGTCTGTTAAGTACCTAATGATTCCCCTTCGCTAAGTTTACCTGGTTGCATCTGCCATTCTTCATGTGACTAGAAACAATATTTGTAGCTGAATCACAACAATTTGACTCAGTGGAACATTCTGAGTTATGGCTGGGGAAATACTGGTGATGAATGTGCTAGATGGGTTGCTGCATAGACTTGTGGCACTGCTTAGAACTTTTTAGCATATTTTTTTCCCTTCATAGGTTATAGATAGTTCTGAGAAATCACAGATGTCTTACCCTTATTTCAATTGCCGTGCTGGCTTTCTCTGTAAGGTAGGTGTCAGGGTGGAAAGCAGGAGAATTAAATCAGCCACAAAATAATATTATGCAATGTGGAGGATCAACAGTTTCTGGGAGCCAAGACGTGTGTGGAGATTTATCTCATCAATGGAAAACATATGTATCTTGGGTACACCAACTCTGCTTTGCTGTTCCTGAGACTGACTCACCGAAGGCAACTATTTCTCAACCAATCCAGGATTTATCCCCCCCCCCTACAATATTCTGTCCCCAAAGGCTTATAAATAAATAAGGAGAGCAAGGTGATGACACAAGCTTTGGATGAGGATGCCACAACGATTCTTCCTTAAAAACAATATCTCTGCACATTCAGGTTTGGGGAAGCTCAGGTCTAGGCACAAGATGTGGCCCTCCAGGCTTCCCCATCTGGCCCTTGAGACTCCCCTCCTAGGCTATTATCCCCACTGCCTCTGCTCTGCATCAGTGCTTTTGCTGATAATGTCTCCTGCCTGCCTGGATGGAGGATGGAGAGGCGCATGGCTTTTGCAACACTCAAATGCTGCGCACCATACAAACACTTCCATTCATTGCTGCACCCACTTTTACTTTTGCCCACACCTACCATCAGCAAACGGCCCCTGGAAGGTTGCTTAGGAGGCAATGGCAGCCCTCAGGCTGCAGAACATCTAGGCAAAGTTAGTCAGCTAATCTTCCTTCCAAGATGCTTGTTTTCCATTGGCAAGGAAACTGTGTGTGTATACCTGAAATACCATCAGGTCCTGGAATGACTCTGCTCACCCAGCCTGGCCATTGGTTCCTCCTGGACAGGGGAGAGTATAAGAAGACTTCCTCTTTCAACTGAGCTTTGCTTAAACCTTCCTGAACCCTGGTGTGTTCCTGTGTCCTTTGGTCTTGTTTCCTGACCTGTTGTCCCTGATTTCCCCTTCAGTCCTGACTTGCTCTTTAGTTCTGGCTGCTGGCTTTCGAAGGATCTCAGACCACTACTTGCAGCCTGACTGTGACAGTGATGGAACATTCAGTCATTTAGCTCCTACCTCACATATGTTGTTCAAAATACATTGGTTAACCTGAGTTAATTCTAAGGCTGAGTTCTGTAGCCCTACAGAAAACATAGAGCACTGATTATAATGTGTGTGTGTGTGTGTGTGTGTGTGTGTGTGTGTGTGTGTGTAAATCAATACTGGGATGGAGACTCAACCTTAGAAAATGTTAGACCTCAGCAAATTGTCAGAAGGGATACCATAGCTTTGAGAAAATCCCTGTACTTGCCCATCCCATTCCACAGATCATTGATAGATATTTTGTGTTTAATAATTAGCTAGCTACTATTTGGTTGAGATGTGTGTCTTTTGACACAGTGTCATAAAATGCATAAATCTTAGCCAGTCCTTTCTTCAGAGTATGTCATAAATTGGCTGCTAACCATTTGCATTATTCTCTTGATTTATTTTCAGAACTGGGGCCAATATTTGGCTGAAACTGTGTAGGTTTAAGAGGGTGGGGAGAGAGGCCAACCGGCAATTGTAGTATGTCTTGCCGATGAGATGTTGTTAAGGACTCTGAAACCTCAGAAATGAATCCTAGACAGCAAGCTAATCCTGGGTTGCAAAACAAATACGTTAGAGATTAAAGAAATAGTGAGGAGGGATTTTTAAGGAAATGATAGTGGCATGGAAGAAGTTTATGCAATTATGCATGTCATGGAGAAAATGTATCTCATAACATTGAACTCATAGCCAACCAATGTAGCTGAATTTTGGAAGATAAAAGAAAGTACAGTGGTACCTCGGGTTAAGAACTTAATTCGTTCTGGAGGTCTGTTCTTAACCTGAAACTGTTCTTAACCTGAAGCACCACTTTAGCTAGTGGGGCCTCCTGCTGCTGCCGCGCCGCCGCCACGCAATTTCTGTTCTTATCCTGAAGCAAAGTTCTTAACCCAAGGTACTATTTCTGGGTTAGCAGAGTCTGTAACCTGATGCGTATGTAACCTGAAGCATCTGTAACCCAAGGTACCACTTTACTTCTTCATGAAGCACATAGCTAAACTATGGAACTCGCTCCCACATGGGGCAGTGATGGCCACCCACTTGGATGGCTTTAAAAGAGGACTGGACAGATTCATGGAGGATAAGGCTATCAGTGTCTAGTAAACCATGGTGGCTATGCTCTGCCTCCATAGTTGCTGGAAGAACAGTTGCCAGAAACCACAGGAAGGGAGAGTGCTCTTGAGCTTGAATCCTGGTTGTGGGTTTCCCACAAACGTTTGGTTAGCCACTGTGAGAACAAGATGCTGGACTAGATGGGCCATTGGCCTGATCCAGCAGGCTCTTCATATGTTCTTAAAACAACTATTTAAAACATTCAAAAAATAAAAACGTTAAAAATATTTTCTGGTTCAATATTCTTTTTATTTTGAATTACTTATGGGGGGGGACCATACTCTTTTCAGGGCTTAGGGCCTCTTCTAAAGGTCTTAATTCAGCCCTGGACAGGCCAAAAATGCAAACCATCCAATCAGTAAGATGATGGAGACAAAGTGCACTGAGAGCAGAGGTGACAAGAAGGAACGGGAGAGAAGCAGCGAGAGCAGTAAAAGCCAACCCACGGCACAGCAATAAAATTAAGATGGCAAATGAGTAATAAATACATAATCTATTAAAAACCCTGATGATAGGATTGTTTTATGCCGGCGCTTAGAAGTCAGGAAAGCCAACAATTCCTCCGCCCCAACTGGGCATGGTATTATATATTGCCCCCTGGCTTCCATGTTTAGAACTGCTTTAATCTCTCCTTGGTTGATCACCTGAACAAGCCACTATGAAGAGAGAGGCTGCGTAAACATTATAACTTTGAAGAACATTTGAAACACACCCCCATCCCCACCCCAAGAATTCTGGGCCTTGCAGTTTACCCCTCACATAGTTGCTATTCCCAGCAATCCTTGTCAAGCTACAGTGCCCAGAATTGTTTGAGGGGGGAAATTTGCTTTAAGGGTCGAGTTTTACGTCTTGTTGTTGAGATTCAGATCTCTGAACAACTTGGAACCCAGTTTCCTCTGGGAACACCTTACCATGCATATCCCTGCCTTTGATTCTTGAGAAATACACTCTTAGTAGTGCCACATGCTCCCAAGGTCCATCTTATGTCTCCTAAGACCGGGGTCTTTTGTGTGGTAGCGCCTGCTGCTTGCAATCAGGCACTCTGCCTTACCTGCTTGCCTGAAGCTCAAGTATGCTCATGGTTAAACAATGGAACTCTTTGACATAGGATGTGGCAAGGGCAACCAGCTTAGGTGGCTTTAAAGAGAGGCTGGACAAATTCATAGAGGATAGATCAACAAATGGTTACTAGTCTTGATGGCTCTATATTACTTCCAGGATCAAAGACCTCTGAACACCAGTTTTGGGGTGACATCAGCAGGAGAGGATGATTGTGCTTGTGTCATGCTTGTGGACTTCCCAGAGGCATTTAGTGACACCATGAGAAAGAGAATGCTAGACAAGATGGACCCTTGGACTGCTCCAGCAGGGCTCTCATTATGTTCTGAACTCCTGTGTTGATTTATGGAGGCTTTCTATGCATGGAACTTAATCAGCGTCGATCAGTTCTACAACCAGAGTAAGGCTGTTGTCAGTACTAGGAGCAGATGCCTCAATTTCTATAATAGAACAGGGGAAATCTTGAGCCCTTGTGGTCTATAAATACACCACTCTGGACAAGAACATTTGGTTCCTCCTGCCCAGTAATATTTGCACAGCCTGATTAGAGGGATGACTTGTCTCAAGGTTGCCTTGTTGGAAAAGATAAGAGGAAGGGAGCATCTTACAAAAGATCACCTGTGGAGCATGAACTGTCTAGTGCAGATTCCTCTATTAACCGTTAGTCAACCTCTCGCCAGCTGATTCACTCTTGTTGATAGCAGTTGGCCATTTCTCCCAACATGTATTAAACTGAAGAAGCCAAAGATTAACATAGCATGCATTGACTCATTAACAGCCACTAATTAAGGGCTGCATCCAACTATGGCCACATTCACACCATACATTCAAAGCACTATGATATCATTTAAATAATCATGGCTTTCCCCAAAGAATTCTGGGAGCTGTAGTTTGTTAAAGGTGCTCAGAGTTGTTAGGAGGCCCTTATTCCCCTCACAAAGCTGCAATTCCCAGAGTTCACTGTGCAGAACAATTAATTGTTAAGCCACTGTGGGAATTGTTGCTCTGTGAGGGGAATATGGGTCCCCAACAACTCTTAAGAAACTACAGCTCTTAGAATTCTTTGAAGCCATGAATATTCACATTGTCAGAGTGCTTTAAGCATAGCTGTCAACTTTTCCCTTTTCTTGCGAGGAATCCTATTCGGAATAAGGGAATTTCCCTTAAAAAAAGGAAAACGTTGACAGCTATGGCTTTAAGTATACACATGGACCCAAGTCTTTAGGCTTGCCAAACATCAGGAAAATTCCCAAAATGGCTTCTTGGTGTAAAAATGGCGTCAGGGTGGAATTTTCAGCAAAAAATCACACTTCCTAAAAACAGCTCAGCAACTTTGCGGATGTCAGGAATTTTTCACCTAACCAAAGTAAGGCTAACATTGGCCACAACCCAAGTTCTCAGGTTTTAATTAAAATTCAAATCTTCAAAGGAGCATTACTGGGGCAAGACTGAGGCCAATCTTTCTGTGCCAACAAGAGGGGATAAAGGATCAATATAGAAAACAAGCAAAATGTCTGATAAAAATATATGATACAGAAACAAGCCACTGTTTGCATCGCTCTGTATCCCTGGTGAATTTGAATATATACAAATTCATTTACATCTTGAAAGGATGTCCTATATTGAAACAGAATGTGAAGAAGGAACAAGCCACTGGCTATTTCCCAATTCAAATATATCCTTTCGCAGCTCAGATGTAAACTTCTTAGAAGCATGCTAAAAGGAAGACCTATCCCAAAATGTGTACTTCCGATCTTAACTACAAGGATATAACAGGTGGTTGGTTAGAGGGAATTCTACCCCCGCCCCCCCAGGCATTAAGAATCATTCCAAAAATTATTCCCTTTTGCATGAAAGGTAAACTACTCTTAGTTTACAACATCTGGAAAGGATTTGTCCTCTTCTGAGCTTCCATTGTTGATTCTGAAACCTTTGTAACAGTATCCACTTCTAATGTGGTTTAGGAAAGACTCCAGGCATAATAATGGGAAAGAATTGTCCCCATGACAACCACTTAGCATGACGAGACCCTCGGAACCAGGAAGGTTTTGGCAACCGTTGAAACCCTTTTGAAACCATACACTTTGAACTTCGGTGAAATGACTCGCTCCGAGAGCGCTTTCCATGAAACCAAACAAATATGGCCACTGGTTTATAGGCATCCATAAAGCCTTCTCTCTCCACCCTCCTCACCCCTCTCTTTTGCTGAGCAATGCATTTCGTAATTTTTTGAACATTCAGACTCCCAGCCTGAAGGAATGCAATATGTCAAGCTGCTGAATCAGCAGAGTAATCAGATCCATCATTTAAGCCTTAAATGGGAGGTGGGAGCTACCCAGGTGGGTTTTGTGGTGATGTTACTTAAAGACAGATTGAAGTAGCAGGAAAAAAGAAGATGCAGTATTAGTATGCAAATCTGGATTGAGTTCAGTGATGTGATGAGCCCCAACAAATGAGCTTATTAATGTATTAGTTAATTAACTTTGATTTATTAATTGCCTTCAAAGCCCCCGCCTCAAAGTTTTTAAAATATTAAATTAAAAACAACAAATATCTTTAAAACAAGGCCCAAACCCTAACAACTGGACGCTCCAGGTAAAGACTCATTTATCCAGCTGCTTCTGGAAAGTGCAATGAGTGGGTGCCTGTCATCTCTCGACAGGAATGCTATTCCACAGAGCAGGGGCAGCCACACTAAAAGCCCAGATCTGAGTCGCTGTGCCTTCTGAGATTGTTGGAACTCGCAGGAGAAACCCTCCTGAAGACTGCAGCAGTCTTCTGGTTGTAAAAGGGAGAAGGCTCATCATGCCCCATTGGACATTCAGTTGGTTCTGTAACCTGCTGTCCTCCAGCTGTTTTCAACTACAGTTCCCATAAACCCTGATCAGCCCAGGGCTTCAGAGAGGAGAACATAAGAAGGCCATTTTGTTCTGGATGACGTGGCCAAGGTTGGTCTTGAAACCACATGCCCCCATGTGCACATCTGAAGTCCAGATTTCAGCAGAATGTGTGTGGCCTATTTCAGGCAGAAGGTATAGGTAGGTGTGTGTGTGTGGTGCAGTCCGGGAAAGAATCTGCCATCCTTGTCTGTTATTGTTTATACTTGCAGTGTTGGGTTGTTGCTTTTTTACAGTTACAAATTTGTAATTGTTTTATTGTGATGACAGCAGCTGGACAGATGGTTTGATCTGACCCCAAGGAGGGGCATATGTTTTAAAAATTAAAGTAGGGTTTGCTTGCTTCCCATATAGAGCCCATATAGAGTCCTTACATAGGTTCCCTATTGGTAGGAGAAAATAACAGAGGCCAACCAGAGAATATTGAGAAGCAAAGCAGCTAGTAAGCCTGATCTTTATTGATCTGTTGCAAGAGGGTCCTCACTCACCACAATGCAGGAGGGAGGAGAAACCTAGAACAATGGCGCACAAGGCCTTATATAGACATTTTAAATTCCCTGCCCTCGAGCTCAAGACCACCCCCAGAAACATCACACATACATCACAGAAGGGGTGTAACTCAAGACCACCACCCCCCCAGATACATCATACCTATATCACAGAAAAGGTGGTCTAAAACAGAAATCTGAGTGACTTGTTTATCTCGTCTGACAGGTTACCTGTTTAATGGTCACTTGATTGGATTGCCTGCTTACTTGATTGGATACCCTGAGGAGCCTGGCCAGTCTTTTGTAATGATAAATACTTAGTAATGATAAATACTTAGTTCCTGAGTCAGGTCACAGGCTCACCCTATTCAAATACAGACATACCCTTAAGACAGGATTTGTGAAGGAAAAGACAATGGGAGGCTTTTCCATTTTCCTTTGACCTTGCAGAGAAAACCTTTGCTCAGTTTGGGAATCAAAATGGTTTCAGGTTGGTCTTCCTGTGCTGATCTATGTACGTGCTTGGTTGGTACACTTATGAACATCTAACATATATCTAAGACCTCAAAATTCCTATCACAATATCACTGTCTCTTTTGACCTTCATTCCAAGGGAACAGAGCCCTGAGTAAGTGCAAGAACCCCTGGAGTCTCTTCCTGCTGGAGTGTGTGCAACAGGATGTGATCCTAGAAAGCACATGAAGAAAAATAAAATATCCACTCATATACATTTTGCCTCTACCTTTGTCTGGCTGTTTTAAGAAGGTGGGCAGAGGAGAGAGAGGGAGCACACATACCCTCTTAAAATCATCCCTTTTCATCAAAACAAAAGAGGGATGCAAGAAATATAAAGATGAAGCCCCCCCAACCCCCCCAGTAAAACCTAACATCCCCTTTCCAAAGAGATTTGTACTCCTGGCCTTCCAAATGAGCCACATTTTTCAGGTCCTGCCTTGTCATTTGGCCCCTTCTGGAGTGCTGGACCAACTATCAAAGGCCCCTGGGGAGAGGAGTGCTTCTTATCCTCCCTCATCTAAGAGATAAAGTCAACCCGGTTCTTCAAAAACTACAATGGAAAACAAGTTAATGTTGAGCCAAGGAAAGGAATGACGGTACTAAATGGCCTGGATTTCTTTACCTCCTCCCCAAACGTTGCTACTCACCACGGGCGAGTCCCAGCTGTAAGGTTACTCATTTTTTATTCACCAGCTTGATGGATGGAAGAAAGAAGTTCTGCCAGGCTCCAATTAGAAACAGGAGTGCTTGTGGGTTGCTGCTTTTGAGATAAGAGGACCATTTGTCTTGCTCTCTATGCAACAGGATTGCCAAAAGACGTCAAACCAAAATTCATTCTAAATGATCCCGCTTGGGGCTGTTGAAGCACATGGAGAGGGACGCAGCCGGGGGGGGGGAGGGCTTCTCTTCATCCACCCCTCCAGTTTCATTCTTTTAAACAGCTGGAAATTTATACCAGGGGATGAGTGAACCATGCCAGGAATCCATCTCTAGCAGTTGTCAGATCTTTCAGAATTCATCAACTTGGGGTTGAGATTGAGTTGCTACACGGGAACCTCAGGTTGTAAAAAACGTTGTTCCAAATAGCAGACCTTGGGAAATTCAAGCACAGAGCTGTGAGTGGCATTCATGGCAGGAAAACTCTGGAATCACACCCTTGTAATACTCAGATTGAGTACTATTGAGTTGAATTCCCCAGAAATCCTTGACCTTGATTCAAACCATTGTCTAATACAGGCTTCTTCAAACTCAGCCCTCCAGATGTTTTTGGACTACAACTCCCATGATCCCTAGCTAGCAAGACCAGTGGTCAGGGATGATGGGAATTGTAGTCTCAAAACATCTGGAGGGCCAAGTTTGAGGAAGCCTGGTCTAATAACTCAGGCATGGTGGCCCTCCAGATGTTGTTGGACTCCATTTAGCCTCAGCCAGCATGGTTGGGTATGATGGCAGATTCACTCCAACAACATCTGAGCAGATTCTCTCTCTCTGATTTAGGTCAGGCGTCAGCAAACTTTTTCAGCAGGGGGCCAGTCCACTGTCCCTCAGATCTTGTGGGGGACCGGACTATATTTGGGGGGGGGGATGAACGAATTCCTATGCCCCACAAATAACCCAGAGATGCATTTATTTATTTTAAAGCACACATTCTACTCATGTAAAAACATGCTGATTCCCAGACTGTCTGTGGGCCATATTTAGAAGGCGATTGGGCTGGATCCGGCCCGCGGGCCTTAGTTTGCCTACCCATGATTTAGGTGGTGGGTTTTAATTCTTCATTCATTCAAACATAGGGACAGAGGAGGCTGCATTATGCTGAATCAGACCATTGGGTCCATTGAGCTCAGCGTTTTCTACACTGTCTGGCAACATCTCTCCAAGGCTTTAGAATGGGAGTCTCTCCCAGCCCTACCTCCCTACCAGGGTTTGAACCTGAAACCTTCTGCATGCAAGACAGATACTCTACCACCAAGCTACTGCCCCTGTAGACATATCTTTGGAATGGATACACTGTGGTCATTTTATAACTTTGGCTTCCCACTCAGGTTTAATAAAGAAAGGCATTCTTCTTTGCCTCTGAAATTGCTCATTTGTGCTTGCCTCTCCAAAGGAGAGTCACCACCAGAGAACTGGGGCCCCCTTCCTTTTCTCCTCTGGTGAGATAAGACATAATTTAATTAACCAGAAACTGCTGCTGAATCATAAGATTCCCACACAAGATTGCCAGACAGCCTCTCTCAAAGTGTCTGCAAATGTGCTCATTGGCTTCCTGTCAAGGTTCATCCTTTGTCTGTCTAGCATAAAAAGTCATCCTCTCCCACCTGTACTTTGTGGGGGGTAGGGAGCCATGAAAACCATTTGGGCTGAACCATTTGACTTTAACAAATAAACCAGAAAGGACGATATGAGCCGTTTGTCTTCTAGATTACTAGCGTTTCATCCTGCTCGCAATAGCCCCTCTGGTAGCTCATGGAACATTCCATTTACCCAGGAATGAAATGTGTGCTGCCATCTCTTGGGCATCAGAGGAACACTCGTCAAAGTTGCAGTGAAGAATCCAGAGCAGGAGGCCTTCAGATGTAGCTGATGCTTCTCTACACTAGAAACTTCTGGATTCATGGAGATAGTGCTATCAATGGCTGCTGGCCATGATGGCTATGTTCTGCCACCACAGTCAGAGGCAGCAATGCTTCTGACTACCAGTTGCTGGGAGACACAAGAGGGGAAAGGGCTCTCACACTCAAGAAGATTGACATCATCACCATCCACCACCTGAGGCAGTTGTCTCACTTTGCCTAATGGTAGGACCAATCCTAGATGAGTATAAGCCCCATTGAACTCAGTGGGGCTTTACTTCAGTGTAGACATGCACAAGTTCGTAATGTGAGTGTTGTGTATGTTTGACGGTGTGATTACTATAGTTGTCATTCCCTGTGGAAGGGAATGGGATTACCAAGGGGGGCACTAGGAGGCCAGAGTGCAGCAGAGGGATGCTGGAGGTGTAAATGGCCATTGTTGTTATTATTATTATTATTATTATTATTATTATTATTTAAAAATTAAAATTATTTTATTATTAGTTAAATTAATTGGGTTTTGAAAAATGTGCAATTAATTAATGTTTTGAAATTTATTGTGTTAATAACTTCCTTAGTGGGTTGTGCAAACTCCTATTCCAAATCATGCTTTTTACTGGGTAGGGGACACAGTGGGTGAGTTTATGGTACCAAGGGGCAGTGGCCAGAAAAAGTTTGGGAAGCATTGCATAGCGGGTTTTAACTAACAGTCACTTGGCAATTTGCCAGATGAGCTACAATGTCCCTTTTATTAGCTAGAGATGATTCTACAATTGGGGTAACAGACCAGTCATCTGCTGGAAGTTCCCAGCAATTTATTTTAGAGTCATTTCTTTTTATCACTGTGTAGGCCTTTTTCTTTCTCTAGAAAAGCAGCCATCAGTCAATGGGCAGAAGAAAACCCCCCACAAAAAACTGAGTCAAGCATAATGATCTGTGTTTGATGCTGACTTCCAAAAACACATCAAATGCCATTTGCAAGGTGTCCAGGAAAAAGTACATTCAATATCTCAGTCCATTATCATGACTTACTGGGGAGTTTCCAGCAAAGCCCCAAAGACAATTCATGGAGCTAATAATACGTTTGTGCAATCCATGCTGCTTGGGCTTTCTTTATAAATTTATGTATTCAATTCTAGTTCTGCCTGGAGGATCTTCAAGTTTCTCTCCATTTTGCAACATAGGAAGCATTAAGAAACTTCCGGATGTGCTTCTCCTCAGGAAAAAAAAGGAAGAAAGCTGCAGGAATGACGCACATTTTTTTAATGGCTTGTTTCAGGCCACCTGCCAGCCAGCTGAAATTGCCAACTCAATTGAAACAGATTCCATGCTTGCCATTAGCTGAGTTCCTTGCTGTACTTTCCATGGGAAGCACCCCACCAGGGATGGAGATGGATGATTTTTTTAAAAAATAACAAACCAACGTATCTCAGTTTCAACTCAATCACTGACCTCTCAGGCAAATGACAATTGTCAGCTGGCTCCATGTAAAATGTGGAAACGCCGCTGGGGTCCATAGCAAAGAACAGAGGAAAAGTCCAAAGAGATCAAAAGGGAGAGGAAAGACATAATGTTTGATTGTGACAGGGAGGTGGGGCCTCTGCTGCAGAAATTCCGAAGGGGAACTTTTAAGTGTGCGTGTTTTTGAATGAGATTGAAGCTAGTAAACAAATCAAGCTACAACCCACATTCGTACTTCACACAATAACCCCCTGCCCTAAAATTGGAGGGATGAGATACCCTATGTCTGCTCTTTCAAGGTCTGTTTGCCAATGTCTAATGGTTAGATTCTCCCCATTAGAACATAGTGGGTGCACCAGTTGATGGAATATGCAATAAAGTAACACTGAATGGAAGGGATGCGGGTGGCGCTGTGGGTTAAACCACAGAGCCTAGGACTTGCCAATCGGAAGGTCACGGTTCGAATCCCCGCGACGGGGTGAGCTACCGTTACTCGGTCACTGCTCCTGCCAACCTAGCAGTTTGTTTTTTTTTTATATATATAATTTTTTTATTGATTTTACAAACATGTTTTATACAATACAAACAAATAAAAAGACAAACAAACATGTATAGTTTCATAACCTTTTTTTCATAGCCCTCTCTTCTCGGACTCCCCCAAACCCCCCCTTCCTACATCCCAATTTCCAAAATTATTTCAGCAAATTCTATATAATTTTATCAGATATATTTTTCTTATTATTTTTTTTTCCTTCAACTTAATCTTATGTCGCTGTAATCTCCTTTTCTTTTTCCAAACCTCGACATTTTAACATTCCTCAATTTTATAATAGTTCTTTAGATAGACTTTAAATTTCTTCCAATCTTCTTCCACCGTCTCTTTCCCCTGTTCACGGATTCTGCCAGTCATCTCAGCCAATGTCATATAGTCTATAACCTTCATCTGCCACTCTTCCAAGGTGGGTAGTTCTTCTGTCTTCCAATACTTTGCGATGAGTATTCTTGCTGCTGTCGTGGCATACATAAAAAAAGTTCTGTATTTCTTTGATACCAATTTGCCTGCAATGCCCAAGAGAAAGGCCTCTGTTTTATTCAAGAAAGTACATTTAAGTACCTTTTTTAATTCATTATATATCATTTCCCAGAAAGCCTTAATCTTTGGGCACGTCCACCAAAGGTGATAAAAGGTACCTTCAGTTTCTTTACACTTCCAACACTTATTATCAGGCAAATGGTAAATTTTTGCTAGCTTGACTGGAGTCATGTACCACCTATAGATCATTTTCATAATATTTTCCTTTATGGCATTACATGCCGTAAATTTTATACCGGTGTTCCACAACCATTCCCAGTCAGCAAACATAATGTTATGACCAATGTCCTGTGCCCACTTAATCATAGCTGATTTAACTATTTCATCTTGTGTGTTCCATTTCAGCAGCAAATTATACATTCTTGACAAATTCTTAGTATTGGGTTCTAACAGTTCAGTTTCTAATTTTGATTTCTCCACCTGGAAGCCAATTTTCCTGTCTTGTTTATACACCTCCATTATTTGATAATAATGGAGCCAATCTCGTACTTTGGGTTTCAATTTCTCATAGCTCTGTAGCTTCAACTTATCTCCATCTTGTTCCAAAATTTCCCGATACTTTAGCCATTCGGCTTCCATATTAAGCTTTTTCAACGCCGTAGCTTCCAAAGGTGACAACCATCTAGGGGTCTTACTTTCCACCAAATCTTTATATCTTATCCAAACATTATATAATGCTTTCCTGACAATATGATTTTTAAAGGCCCTATGCACCTTAATTTTATCATACCATAAATATGCATGCCAACCAAATGTAATGTTAAAACCTTCTAGGTCCAAAATGTCTGTATTCTCGAGGAGCATCCATTCTTTCAGCCAGCAAAAAGCTGCTGCTTCATAATACAGTTTTAAGTCCGGCAGGGCAAACCCCCCTCTTTCTTTTGCATCCGTCAATATTTTGAATTTTATTCTGGGCTTTTTGCCCTGCCAGACAAATTTCGAAATATCCTTCTGCCACCTCTTGAAACAGTCTATCTTGTCTAGAATTTGTAATGTTTGGAACAAGAATAACATTCTAGGCAATACATTCATCTTAATAACTGCAATTCGGCCTAACATTGACAATTTCAAATTTGACCATATTTCTAGATCTTTTTAATTTCCGACCAACATTTTTCATAATTGTCTTTATACAAGTTCAAATTCTTAGATGTCAAATAAACCCCTAGGTATTTCACCTTCTTTACCACTGTCAAACCTGTTTCATTCTGAAACTTCTCCCTCTCCATGACTGTTAAATTTTTTTCCAAAACTTTAGTCTTTTGTTTATTCAATTTAAATCCAGCTACCTGGCCAAATTCTTGGATTAGTTCCAACACCCTTTTTGTACTAGTGTCTGGCTCTTGTAAAGTAAGTACTAAATCATCTGCAAAGGCCCTTAGCTTGTAATGTTTAGCTCCGACCTGTACACCTTTAACCTGCTGGTCATCTCTAATCATATTTAGCAACACCTCCAGAACAGAAATAAAAAGTAATGGGGAAATAGGGCACCCCTGTCGTGTCCCTTTTTCTATTTTAAATTCTTCAGTTATCACATTATTTACAATCAATTTGGCCTTTTGTTCAGTGTATATGGCACCCATACCATTCTCGAATCCTTGACCTACCCCCATCCCATGAAGATTCTTTTTCATAAAACTCCAAGAAATATTGTCAAAGGCTTTCTCCGCGTCTACAAAGATCAGAACTGCTTTAGTGTTTATATTCACCTCTAGTAATTCCAAAATGTCTATTATATTCCTCACATTGTCTGATAAATGCCTTTTTGGGAGAAAGCCTGCTTGGTCCTTATGAATCTTCTCCATCAACACTCTTTTCAATCTTTTTGCCAAAATGTCTGCAAAAATTTTGTAATCCACATTAAGTAATGATATTGGGCGGTAGTTCTTAAGTTGATTCTTTTCAGTCTCTGTCTTTGGTATAAGTGTAATGAACGCTTCTTTCCACGATTCTGGTGCCCTTTTCCCCTCTAAAATCTCATTACAGACTTCCTTTAATGGTTGTACCAACCACTCCTTCAAAGCTTTATAATATCCGGAAGTCAGTCCATCTGGTCCTGGAGATTTGCCCAGTTGCATGTTTTGAATGGCACCCTCTATCTCTTGATCTGTTATTCTCTGATTTAGGTCCACCTTACTTTGATGAGAGATTTTTTGTAATCCATACTTTTTAAGAAATTCTTCTATATCCTCCTCCTTCTGTGGTCCTTGTGAATATAGTTTTTTAAAATAACTCAAAAAACAATTTCTTATCTCGTTAGGTTTAGATATATTCTTTCCATCCACTTCTAGGCTTGTAACTGTGTTTAATTTCTGTCTTTTCCTCAATTGCCAAGCCAGAAGTTTACCACATTTATCTGCAGATTCAAATGTCTTTTGTCTCATTTGTTTTATCTTCCATTCAATCTCTTGATTCATCAATTCCATATATTGTGTCTGATATAACTTAATCTCTCTCAAAATCTCCTGGGACTTTGGTTTTGATCTCAATTTCTTCTCTCCTTCTTTTATCTTTTCCAAGATCTTGTCCTTCTTCTCATTTTGCTTTCTCTTTTTTACTGAATTTTGTTGAATTAGAAATCCTCGCATCACTGCTTTACTTGCGTCCCAGATCACTCTTTTTTCTACATCAGTTTTTAGATTTATTTCAAAATAGTCCTTTAAAGTTTTTTGGGCCTTTCTGTGGATCTCCTCATCTCGAAACAGAGTGTCATTCATCCTCCATCTAAATTGACCAGTTGTTGTAAGTTTCATTTCCATCTTCACGGCATTATGGTCGGAGTAGGTCTTTGGGCAGATTTCCACTTTTTTAATCTTTGGGGCCAACCCACTAGTAATCCAAATTTGATCGATTCTGGTCCAGGTCATCATTGCTTCAGAGAAAAAGGTTCCCTCTCTCTCGAGAGGATTCCTTGTTCTCCAAATATCAATCAAGTCCATATTTTCAGTTATTTCAAAGAAAGTCTTTGGTAGTCTCCCATCTCTGGTGATTACCTGTCTTTGTGCTTTGTCCATATTTGTAGATACCACTCCATTCATGTCTCCCATCATGATTAATTTGTAATCCAAATAGTCCAACAATGTCTCATGCAACTTCTTAAAAAATTCTGACTTCCCTTCATTAGGTGCATAGATCCCTAGTATCAAAAATTTTTCACCTTGAATTTGCACTTCAATTGCCAAATACCTTCCTTGTTCATCTTTGAATATAAACTTTGGGGAAAGTTTTTCTTTTGCATAGATTACCACTCCTCTTTTCTTAACTTTATCCGATGAAATAAATTCTTGGCCTAATCTCTTATTGACGAGTAGTTTCCTATGCAATCTTGTTATATGAGTTTCCTGTAAACAAATTAAGTCCAACTGCTCTTTTTTCAACAAATGAAATATATTTTTCCTCTTTCGCGGAAGGTTAAGTCCATTACAATTCCAACTTAGAAGTTGCAGGGCCATCCTGAAGCTATTTGCCTCCTGTTGCTCCGAGTAGTTGTTCTTCTTCTGTTGGTGATTTCAGTCCAAACGTCAAGTTTAAGATGTCTGTTGCGTCTTTCGATTCTGGTGTTATTTCCTCTCCGACTGTTCCTTTCAGAAGGTCTTCCCTATAGTGATTTAAAAATTGATCTCGATCTTCTACTGATCTTATCCTTATTTTCCTGCCTTTGAATTTAAAAGATAGGCCTTATGGGAATTCCCACCTGAAAGGTACTTCGTTCTTCTTCAGCAATCCGACCAGTTCTTTATAGTATGTTCTTGCGTCTAGAATTTCCTTTGGAATATCTTTAAAAATCTCCACAAAAGAGTCTTCGATCTCGAGTGTTCTTTGAAAATGCAGGCTCAATATTTTGTCTCTCTCCTCTCTTGATCCTAATGTTATTAGACAATCCCTTGGCTTCTTCCTACCTTGTGCTCTTCCCAGTCTAAAGGCAGTGACTATTTTAATTTCTTCTTTCTCTAACTCCTTTTGCCAAAAATCCGCAAATTCTTTAGAAAGGAAGTTCGCCAAGTTATCTCCTTCACTTTCAGGCACCGCTCGTAGTCTTAAATTTCTATCTCTTCTCTGCAATTCAAGCATAGACAAGGCCAATGTATGATCTTCTAACTTTTTGCAAACTGGTACAATTTTTTCCTGTGTGGCATCCGCCGAGACTTTAGCCTCATCAGCAGAGACTTTGGCTTCTTCTGCGATTTTACGTATATTGGCAGAGTCCTCTAATATTTTATTAATAGATTCTGTATTAGATGTCACCCTTTTCCCTAATTCATTCACACTTTGTGTATTCTGATCAAGTTTAATTGAGAGTTCTGTCAATTTTCTGCTATTTTCCACCCCCTGCTTTGTCAAAGATTCCAAAGACTCATTTATTTTAACCAAAGCTTGTGTTACAGGATCTGATGACATTATTGTTCTTGTCTGACCAGTTGCAGCTGGTGCCACTGGGATGCCTGGGACTGAAACTCTTCGCTGTGAAGATTTTACTTTGTATTGTCTCCCAGACCTGGTTGTTGTCTCTTCTGGTGCACCACTCATGCCTAGCCAAGGTCACTCTCACAGCTGTTAGTTGTTTTTCAAGGGAAATTTCCACTGCCTTAGTAGTTACAATCCAATTTGCAACAATTATCAAAGTGCCCTCTAGGGGAAAAAAGTTTCCAAGACTAAGCAAAATGTCTTACAACCAAAAATTCCCCTGAGGTTTCCCAATAGTCAATTGTAACAGTTCTTATATTTTCAGAGTTCAACAAACCTGTAATTTAGTATCTCTCCTGAGCTGAGTAGTTTAAAACAATGTAACAATCCAAGTGACAGTTCACTGACAGTTCTCTCTTTCCAGGTTCCTTTGCCCCGGCAGTCCGTTTCAGGGGTGTTTGACACAGTGGTGAAAAGTTTTTAAAGTCCTTTTCTGGCAGGTTCTAATCACAGTTTCCTCCCCCTTTTGCTCCTGCCTACCAAAAGGGGGGAAATTCACAGTTTATGTCTGGTTCTCTTAGCTCTTTGCGATCTCTCAATGGTTACAGCTTTTAATCCTTCTTTGCTTTATCCTTATGCAGTCCGGGAAAGGCTGACTTCCTTACTTTAAGCCAATCCCGTTTTCAGCCAAATTTCAAGAAAATAGTTGTAAATCCCAATTAAGTCTCAGTCTTACTCACGAGTTTTGCTTTATAATCCAATTTTCAGGAAGGAATCGGCGCTCTCCGGCTATGGCGATGCGGCTTCGCTTCACAAGCTGGGTAGCGGCTCTCAGCACCGCTTCTCCCCCCGCTGCCGTTCCGGAGCCTTTAAAAAGGCTCCCTTGCGATTTCGGGGGGGGCGCGATGGTGCCCACCGAGCCTCCTTGTTCACAGGCTTCCGCGCCTGTAATTTTTAAGGGTCCTCGCTTCGCCGTAGCGACAGGACCCGAACTTGTAAAGCAGACCCCCTCCGGAGCTCGGAGGGAAATCCGCCATTAGCCGATGGCGCCGACCGGAAGTCAACCTAGCAGTTTGAAAGCACGCCAAAGTGCAAGTAGATAAATAGGTACTACTCCAGCGGGAAGGTAAACGGTGTTTCCGTGAGCTGCTCTGGTTCGCCAGAAGCGGCTTAGTCATGCTGGCCACATGACCCAGAAGCTGTACGCCGGCTCCCTTGGCCAATAAAGCGAGATGAGCACCACAACCTCAGAGTTGGGCATGACTGGACCTAATAGTCAGGGGTCCCTTTACCTTTACCTTTAACACTGAATGACCGGTGGAGGGTGGGGGCTTGTTGAGACTGGCCTGGACTGAGGGGCCATGGTGGACCAGATTATTTCCCCCTGCTTACCTAGAGGAACCCTTCAGATTGAGGCTATCTTCTGACAGGCCTTTAAATAAAGAAGTTATCCTACTGTAAAACAGGACATATGTCCAACTTTGAGTCCTTTCAGCTTCTTGATTGCTAGACATGCAAACAGGTTTGAGATGAGGACTGGGATTGGAGTCATATCTGATGATGTCACAAAGACATCGGTGCCTCCCTAGAATCAGGAGAAAGCAGAGCTATTTCCCACTGCGGCTTCTAGAGGGCATGGGGCATTCTGGACCCTCTAGATAACATTTCCCCATATACAGTCCATTACCTTCCCCCATTTTGTAACTGCCTCCTGAACACACCAGCAAAACTGTTCAGGGGTTAAAAGCAAATGGGCAGATTATAGATTATATGATTATAGAAGATGCCAATGTTATAGACCGTTATAGAGATACTTTTCAGTCTGTTCAAGTGCTTGAACTCAGCCAGAGGAATATTTAACCTGGTCATCGCAAATTCAAGGAAGAGACCAGCTATAGACAACCAAGGTGTCTTCATCGTCGTACATATATTCTGGTTGTGCACTCTAGGAAGCAAAAAGCTGGGACTAGACAGATATTTAGTCTGATTGCAGTAGAACTCTTGTGTTCTTATAAAAACACCAAAAGTATTTTAGTGTGCAGAATGTTGCTTACACTTGAATTGGCAAATCCTGTAGGGTTAGGCCAAATGTTTCAGTTCCCCCATGGATGGGCCGGCTCAGAATATATTCTCACACCACATAGGATTTGCTCACTGACTGACTGTGTTTTTATTTATTGCATGCTCATCCTGCTATTTCCTTTGGGCTCCTAAGGATCTCTCAGCCAGCTTGCTAATCAAGCTCAAATCTGTTAAGTTTCAATTATCCTTCGGGATTTAGGTACCCATAACCATTCACTGGACCTGCTCGCAGATTATGGTTTGCAAACTCAAGAAAGGCAGAACATTTGGTTACATTTCCAAAGTTAACAGGACATGGAACATTGCATGAGGAACAGCTACATCTGTTGTTTGACCTTTTTAACTGAGAAATCAGTTCAAGAAGTCTCTGGGATTCCAGCTTTGCTTGCTATTAAAACAAAGCCATTCTGAACACACAGATTTGGTTTAGTAGAAAGGAAACACCAAAAGGCAGCAGGGTCAGGGGGAGGGGGAGGAAACAGAATCAGCTTCATTTTAATGCTTCTCTATTTAAAAATCTCAGATTCTGCAACATGCTCTTGCAGAAACAGATTCTGCAACACATAAATGCATACATATTTTATTTGTATGCTGCCTTTCCACAGTTTAAGGTGACTTACAACATTTATAAAAACACAGGTTTTTATAAAACAGTCTAAAGATTATTAAAGTCAGGTCGGAACTAAACACTATAAATTGAGAGCATTTGCAGATGACTTAGTATTGACGTTACAGGAGCCAGAATCTAGTACTAAAAGGGTTTTAGAACTGATTCAAGAATTTGGTCAAATGGCAGGATTTAAATTGAACAAGTCAAAAACCAAGGTTCTAGAGAAAAATTTAACACCGTTTGAAAGAGAGAGGTTTCAGAATGAGACAGGTTTAACAGTGGTTAAGAAAGTTAAATACCTGGGGATTAACATGACAGCAAAAATGGGAATTTATTTAAAGATAACTATGAAAATGTTGGTCAGAAGTGAAAAAGATTTAGAAATTTGGTCAAATTTGAAGCTTTCACTGCTAGGCCAGTATTGCTGTGATAAAATGAATGTATTGCCTAGAATGTTGTTTTTGTTTCAAACTTTGCAGATCGTGGACAAAATGGATTGTTTCAAGAGGTGGCAGAAAGATATTTCTAAATTTGTCTGGCAGGGCAAGAAACCCAGAATAAAATTTAAAATACTAACGGATGCAAAGGAAAGAGGTGGATTTGCCCTGCCAGACCTTAAACTTTACTATGAATCAGCAGCTTTTTACTGGTTGAAAGAATGGCTACTTCTTGAAAACACTGACATTTTGGACCTAGAAGGTTTTAACAATGTATTTGGATGGCATGCATATTTATGGTATGATAAGGTCAAAGCACATAAAGCATTTAAAAACCACATTGTCAGGAAAGCGCTGTTTAATGTTTGGATAAGATATAAGGATTTGTTAGAAAACAAAACCCCAAGGTGGCTGTCACCAATGGAAGCGAAAGCCTTGAAAAAGGTCAATATGGAGGTCAAATGGCCGAAATATTGGGAAATTTTGGAACAAGACGGAGATAGACTGAAATTGCAGAGTTTTGAAAAACTAAAAACAAAGTGCGAGACTGGCTTCATTATTATCAGATAATGGAGGTATTTAAATTGGACAGGAAAATTGGCTTCCAGGTGGAAAGATCCAAATTAGAAACAGAATTGTTAGAACCCAAGACTAAGAATTTGTCAAGAATGTATAACTTGCTGCTGAAATGGAATACTCAAGATGAAACGGTAAAATCGGCTATGATTAAATGGGCACAGGACGTTGGACATAACATTATGTTTGCTGACTGGGAACAGTTATGGACCACAGGTATGAAATTTACGGCATGTAATGCCTTAAGAGAGAATATTATGAAAATGATATACAGGTGGTACATAACCCCAGTCAAGCTTGCGAAAATCTATCACTTGCCCGATAACAAATGTTGGAAATGTAAAGAAACTGAAGGTACATTTTTCACCTTTGGTGGACGTGCCCAAAGATTAAGGCTTTCTGGGAAATGATATATAATGAATTAAAAAGGTATTTAAGTATACCTTCCCTAAGAAACCAGAGGCCTTTCTCCTGGGCATAGCCGGCCAAATGGTGTTAAAAAGGATAGAACTTTCTTTATGTATGCAACAACAGCAGCAAGAATACTCATCGCAAAGTATTGGAAGACACAAGAACTTCCCACACTGGAGGAATGGCAGATGAAACTTATGGACTATATGGAATTGGCGGAAATGACTGGTAGAATCCGTGACCAGGGAGAAGAGTCGATGGAGGAAGACTGGAAGAAATTCAAAGACTATCTTCAGAAACATTGCAAAATTAAGGAATGTTAAAGGGATGTTGGACTGAAAGTAAGTGGTTTCCAGCTGCACAGGTTAAAGTTAATGATAGATTAAGATTAAAGATCAAGATTAAATATGATTAAAGAAATGGAAATTTGATATTAAAAGGGAAAATTTTCACGTTATATGATATTAAGATCAAGGATTAGGTTTAAAAAAGTTGAAGTTATATATTTTAACATTTTATTAAATTAAAGAGTGGGATTAAAAAAGTGGAAAAGAAACTGCTGGACAAATAATGTGGATTGGAATACAAAAGAGGGAGGTATGAGGAAGTCCAGAAAATAAGTAATTTAAAATTGGAAATGGAAAAGAGAGTTTGTTTTTAATTGTTATGCTTTTTGTTTTTTATTGTTGAGTTTTGTATTGTTTTTTTTGTGTGTTGTTTTTTCTTTTGTTGTTTAAAACTTTAATAAAAATTATTAAAAAAAAAAAGATTATTAAAGTCAACAGTAGCTAAAAATAGATAAAACACATGTAACTTCCTTTATATTAACCAGTCATTTTAAAGATAATTTTGTATTGTTTTTGATGGTGCTTATGTTTATTGTTGTATATAGCTTTATACCCTCTTGATATATGTTATATACAGCTGTCTTGATATATTGTATATAGCTGGATACTATCTTGATATTTTATATGAGTTAGCAGTATAATGTTACATGCCACCTTAGTCTACCTAGTCTTTAAAAATTATTATCTTCTTTGCATGTTTCTCTCTCTGTCTTCTGCTTCCCTAGAATTTTTTTAAGACCTACATGTGCTCCCTCTCTCCAAGAGAGGGAGCACTCATCATTCAAAGAGAAAGTTCACATCAGAGCTGTAACTAAGTATTCTGAAATCTGGAGAAAGCTCATGTTAGTTTCACTCTCAGGCTCAGCAAACTCAAGACAAAGTCTAAAGAGCGATTTAAGTCAGCGATTAAACTGACAAGGAGTTTATCTGAGATTAGTCAGCTCCAGCTTCCAACCAGCATTTTACCTGAAATGAGATTTTAAACTGATGTATACTTTTTCAGTATTTTATTTTTTTGCACACAGCTTAGATGTGAGTGCAGTTTAGTCAGATATAAATTATTTAAATAAATACTTTTAAAAAACCACAACCCTGGCACTGTTTGAAAAAATAAAAAATGACCCAACCCCTATTGAAGCAAGCTATTGAAACATGCACCGCTAACCCAGCTACAAAATATCATTGGTGCGCCAAAGGTCTACAAGGAGAGTTTCTTCCTGAAGAAACCAGAGGCCTTTCTCCTGAGCATGGTCGGCCAATTGGTGCCAAAGAAGGATAGAACTTTTTTTATGTATGCAACAACAGCAGCAAGAATACTCATCGCGAAGTACTGGAAGACACAAGATTTACCCGCCCGGGAAGAATGGCAGATGAAGTTGATGGACTATATGGAACTGGCGGAAATGACTGGCAGAATCCGAGACCAGGGAGAAGAGTCGGTGGAAGAAGACTGGAAAAAGTTTAAAGACTATTTACAGAAATACTGTAAAATTAATGAATGTTAGAAAAATGTTGGAATGAAGTTATATGGCTTTAGTAGAAATGTTATAAGGAATTAAGTATAAATAGATTAATAGAGAATTAAAGGGAAAAATAAGGTTAGAATGTGTTAAGATAATTATAGGATAGAAAACAGAGGAAGATGGAAAGGAATTGCTGAAACAATTAACAGAAGTGGAATACAAAAAGGGAGGTGTGAGGAGGTCATGGAAATAAGTGAATGAAAGATAAGATATTGAAATTGTTTGATGTGTTTAACTGTTTTTGTTTTGTTTTGTTAGTTTAATGTGTTAGTGTTATGTAGTGTTTTTGTATTGTATTGTATTGTTTTTGTAGTGTTTAAATTGTTGGAAAAGTAATAAATATTATTTTTTTTAAAAAAATACAAGGAGAGTTTCTGTTCTCCTTGCAGCTTGCAGAACAGCAAAGAATGAGAGCCTGGGAGCACCCTATGTGATGTGATTGAGCACTACATAAAAGGAGCCTGTTGGATCAGACCAATGGCTCATCTTGTCCAATGTTCTGTTCTCGCAGAACTTAAACACAAGAATGCTCTCTCCTCCTCCTTCATGCTCCAGCATGGGGCAGGGAGGAGAGCAGGTGGGAGCAGGACTGGCACGCGTCCCGGGGGTGTGGCACACCACCTGCGGGGACGTGGCTCCCAGCACTTGCAGGGGGTCCGCCACGATGGCACCCCAGCAGGATCGTGCTGCCGGGGGTGGTGCACTTCCCCCGCACTCTTCTTCCTCCTCCAGTGCTCCTCCTGTGATGTCCAGCAAGTAGCATTCAGGAGTATTGCTGCCTCCAACTGTGGAGGCACAGCCTAGCCATCACAACTAGTAGCCTTCAATAGCCCTCTCCTCCATGAATTTGTCTAATCCTCTTTTAAAGCCATCCAGGTTGGTGGCCATCATTGCCTCCTGGAAGAGTGAGTTCCATAGGATCTCCCTGAAGCAGAAACTCCTCCTCTGAAGGATGATCTCTGAAACCGAAACAACAAATTAAGCAACACCTTTGCATTTCTTGTGCTATAAATGGACTGTCTGGAATAACCAGGAGTAGAACACAATATAAAATACATCTATTTTTTGGCAGAAAATGTTCAGAGCAAAGTAAGCTAGTAATTCTTTATGAATTAGTCAGCATTGTTTCCTTGCTCTAAGCTAGAGCAAGGGATGGGCTGAACATTCTCTTCCCTCTCACCTCTTGCCTGATGGGACGCCCCTGTGAACATTTACACCTACAAAAAGCCAGCCTGGAATCTTCCATCTCTGGCTGGGGAGTTCCTTTTTTTTCATGCAATCCGATTAAAAAGCCAATTGTTCATTCTTCTTTTTCCATACATTTAATGTCAGGAGCAGTATTCTTCAGCCTGGGTAAAACAAGAATGTTTTCCAATTCCTCCTGAAAGTTGATAATAATAGTCAAGTGCACCTTACTAAGGAGGGCATCCTGCAACTGAGGCACCACCACTGAAAAGGCCCTGTCATGGGTCAGCATCAACCAGGAAGCCTCTGGTGGTAGCCCCACCACCAAGGTCTCCATTGCCTGACACCAGCTGATTGACAGGAAAGTGGCTCCACCCCATGTGTTAAAGTGGCCCATGATGCAGAAGTGGCTGGAAAGAAAGGGCATCACTGCAACTTGGCTTCCAGGAAGTGAAGTCACTGTATTGACCTTCTGGCCAGATCCCTTTCCCAACCCCTGCTCTTGCCCCACCCACTTTCACCTGTGGTCCCTCCCACCACTGGGATGTGATCCCTGGAAGGTTGCCCTCAGGGGAATGTGACCCTTGGCCTGCAAAAAAGGATCTCTGCTGCTGATTTTATATGCACATTCACAGAGCAATGTGGGGTTACAACCTGGGGAAGCTGCCCTGACACCACTGTGTTTCATTGCATCTTGGCTCTAGGAGCCCAAGTGGAGAAGCTTAATGGTAAAATTCCCATGATCGCATAAATGACTCAGTCTGGGAATAAACTGATTGCAATGCAATCAGCCTGAAGACAATAATGCTTGTTAAGTCATCAACAAGCAGAGTCAAGCTCAAAGGCCACAATCTTCCCCTAAAAAGCCCGACTTCAGAGGGTGAAATGTTATTAGTTGCAAAATATGGAGCTCATTCTTGTTAATTACTGGAGTTGGCCAATGAGTCCAGGGAAAAATTACAAGGGCTTCTAAAGACCACGGATGTTGTGGTTTCAGTCATCTGTTAAAACTCTGGAGGAGAGAGATTCAGGGAAGTGTCTGATGCACATTTCCCAGAGCTTTCCATATTGGGGTTTTCCAACCACTTTTTTTCAATATCAAGAGGCATTTGCTCCTGTTTTGTCTCAAGCACAAGGGTGGGGAACCTTTTTCAACCTGAGGCCCACCTTCCCTTTGTACAGGTATTGCAACAATGAGGCTGCATGGTTGGCAGAGCTGGAGCAAACTGTGGGCAGGGCCAGAGGCAAATGTGGGTGGAGCAAAAAGGGGTGCAACTTTTCCCTCCGGAAAGTAGGCTACATTCTAGCAATGTGAAATCCAGGGGTCTTTATACCCACACACTTCTTCATTCAGGCAAGCAAGAGGCATTATCACAGTGCAAGGACACACTCCTGCCATGCAAAATTATTTGAGGTGCAGCGCAGAGCCATTAAGGGTTGTGACCTCGAGAGAGGGGGTGTAACCTGGAAAGGGACCTGATCTAGGGCAGGGCGATTAGCGCTCAGTTTGGAAGCTTGATCGATCCCCCCAAATATATATTTTTTCAAGGCCGCTGCCAACTTTGGTGGAGGAGTTAAAAAGGCAACAAAAATTAAAGTGGACACAGCTGGAGTAGGCTGAACCCAAAGCCTTGATGGAGATGAAAATTGCTACGTCCCCAACCATCAGATTGATTGGTTTATAGAAAATGCAAGTAAAGGGGGACATGATAGAAGTGGAGAAAGAAAAGTTTTTCTCCCTCTGTTCTAACACTAAAGCTCATGGACATCCACTAAAGCTGAATGTTGAAACAGTGGCTTTATGACCAATATACCAGCATGTCATGCTAAATGTCATTCATACCAGTGGGCATGATGTGATACAAAACAGATGTCATTGGGCAATGTCACAGCTTCCTGACCCTTTCTGCACATTCTTACATCTGTTCTTCCATGATTCCCCCAGGGAAACAGCAGGAAAGAACTATATGCCAGTCTACCACTCAAAATCACATCACTTTACTGCCATAATTGTCTGGGTTAAAGGAGCTGTAAATGGGTCTTTTTCTGGAAAAAGAAAATGAGTGCTAAACATGTGCTATATTCCATTAGATTTGCAGAAGTGGCTTTTACATGGTGTGAAAGCTCAGATATAGTGAGGAAACTGATAGGGAAACATTGGGGGAAAGGAAGAAGAAGAAGAAGAAGAAGAAGAAGAAGAAGAAGAAGAAGAAGGGGAGGAGGAGGAGGAGTTTGGATTTAATATCCTGCTTTATCACTACCCTAAGGAGTCTCAAAGTGGCTAACATTCTCCTTTCCCTTCCTCCCCCACAACAAACACTCTGTGAGGTGAGTAGGGCTGAGAGACTTCAAAGAAGTGTGACTAGCCCAAGGTCACCCAGCAGCTGCATGTGGAGGAGCAGAGACACGAACCCAGTTCACCAGATTATGAGTCTACTGCTCTTAACCACTACACCACACCGGCTCCTGTGCCCTGTGAATGCAGCCATTGAGTGAGTCAGGGAAGTGGAGTGATCACACTGCCCTCTCCATGCTTGTTTTCATTGCCTTCCACACACTGGAAGTCTGCTGTCTAAAAAGGGGGGACTCTTGTATCCATGGAGGTTCCCTGTACCAAGGTTCCAAAACATGCAGGGAGTCTCCACTGATACAAAAGGCTCCCCACCGTATGTAGCTTCCAACTCGTGGAAGGCAATAAAAACAGGCAGGGGAGGCTGAAGCTAGTACACTCATCCCCTCTGCCCCTCTCAGGTCACCAGTTACATGTTTGTAATGCCTCCAGTGTAGCACAGCAACCCATAATGGAAGGAGATGTTCAGTAGCAAACGCAGGATTCCCAAACTCATGTTTATGGCCAGCATGCAGGTGGACATATGGCAGCATATGAAGATATATGACAATATCCTTATGCTGAGTCAGACCATTGATCCATCAATTGCCTACTGTGAATGGCAGGATCACTCCAGGGGCTCTGACAGAGGTCTTTCCAACTATATGCTGCATTACCTTTTAACCCAGGGGTGGGGAAACCCTCAGCACTCTCCCCCAGACCACACCCCATCTCCAGCCATGCCTTCACTGACTGTGCTTTGCACTTTTTCTGAGAGTATTTGTATGGCTGAAATGTGTCCTTGAACTCTTGTCCAGATGGGCAAGAGAGCATTGTGGAACTGTGTGTAAAATTGGCCTATGGTACAGAAGTAAAATTTACATTAATTACTCCACCCACTTTTGCCTCTAGCCCCACCAGCACCAAACGTGACCTTCAGGCTGTAAAATGTTCTGCAACCAGTTTAGCCTCACCCTTGCTTCCTCAAGCCTCCTACCTTGTTGTTCACCTTTCCAACATATTTTCTCTGGATCCCCTGTTACTGGTTGCTCTTCGACCCTTGGCCAGGAAACCTGCAAGATAACGTCAGTTCAAATCAGAAACTCAAACACTCACTTTTCAAGTGCACTGTACAATCTTCCAGATAAAAAAAAAACAGCCAGCTGTTATGATTCCCACTTTTCCCTGGAGATTATAGTGCTGAACGGACAGCTCAGCTGTGCATTCAGTTTGGCATCTTCAACTTTTGGACAAACACTCAATGGTGGGATTGAGCTGAATATCCTTTGGTGATCTTTTTCAGCACAAACAAACAAAAATGAATAGGTGTCTATTCACATCCTTGTTTGGCTGCTATTCTTGTGGGTGTTTATTTATTTTTATTTTATTTTTCAATCCCAGTAACAATGATGTTCCACAGGAGGCAGTGATGGCCACCGACTGGGATGGCTTGAAAAGAGGATTCAGCAAATTCATGGAGAACAAGGCTCTCAATGGCTACTAGCCATGATGACTATCCTCTGCCTCCATGGCCAGAGGCAATAATGCTTCTGAATACCAGTTGCTGGAAATCACAAGAAGCGAGAGTGCTCTAGTGCTCAGGTCCTGCTTTTCAGCTTTCACCAGGCATCTGGTTGGCTTCTTTGAGACTAGATGGACCATTGTTCTGATCCAGCAAACTCTTCTTATGTTTTCTTGAGAATATTAAAGAGGGAGGAACACACCCACCCTAGCTTTGCTTACAAATATCTATTGCAATTGGCTTTCAATTGCATTTTTCAGTTCTCTTCAATCAATGTTCCTGGATTTTCCTATAATTGTTATTATTATTACAAGTGTGTGGTTTGTTTGTTTTTTGTCATCGTCAGAGAAGAGAAAATTAATTGCATCGCACATATTGATTTCTAAGAAAGGCGCCAAGACGCTGTCTTCTGAACCTTCAAAACTATCATTTAAACTTGCGCCAGACCACCATGAGTGGAGTGCTATTGAACGGAAGGAACTTTTCCTCCCTTACATCCTGCCAGTTGGAACAAATAAAATATTCATAGGACTTGGTGGAAATGTACAGTGTTTTTAACCTTCATCATATTAATCAGGGTGAAAACGGTAGACATTTCTGTATGTTGTAGCAGTCTGTTCTATCAGCTAGAAGAGGTTAGTTCAGGGAGTGCTGAACTTCTAGAGTTGAGTTCACAGGTCCATGGCCAAGGCTTGGTGACTGCAACGGCAAGTGAGGGTTTGCATGTTTAAGACAGTCATTGCTGACAAAACACCAATAAGAAAACTCTTGTTTGAGTTTATACATGCATGGTGAAGGCTTGATGACTGCTGTGGCAAGTGAGGGCTTGCATGTTTTAGACAGTCATCACTGATTTTTGCAAGGAAGTGAGGGGAAGAATGTGTCCCTCCCCTTTATCACCCTGTCCATGTCCTAAGTCCTTAACCCAGCACTCTTTTCTTGCAGAAGCCAACCAGATGCTCATGTAAAGCCTACAAACAGAATGTGAGCACAACTGCAGTCTCCCCTCCTATGGTTGCCGGCTACTGGTATTCAGAGACATACTGCCTTCAACAGTGGAGGGATGGCTATCGGGGCAAGTAGCCACTGATAGCCTTAGCTTATTTTAAAACCATCCGAATTGGTGGCCATCGCTACCTCCTCTGGGAGCAAATTTCTGAATCTTCCAATGTTCGCCTTCATTGGATGACCTTCATTGGCCTTCCCTGTTTTTCTCCATCTCTCACTTCTGTCATTGTTGGAGATCCTTCCTGGCTCCTACTTATAGCTTTAGACTCATTGAAATATAGGCAATTCAGGTTTGAAACAAAGGGGGGAAAGGCCATCAATCCAATTAAATTTTAGGTACAAAATACCATAGATGTATATAACTGAGACGGGTTTACAAACAGAGGAGTGAATGGGCACCAAGATTTGCCTTGTATCTGCATCTTTGTGTTTTCTTTTCTTTTAAAAGTCTAGTCTATTTCTGAGTTGATCTGTGTTCTCTTGATTTCAATCTGCTTTGATTCCAAACCACTCTGTATAAAACAAAGGTTTGTATTTCCCATGCAGTATAATGGGAAAGCAACTGTAACGTTTCCTCTTTTGGCCAAAGTAGATGAAATTCACCGGCATAGGAGCCCCTCCAGAGTGGATTAAGCCTGTCAGATTGCAGACAGATTGGTCCAGGGTCTATCTGGGGGGGAAATAAAAGGGATTTATTTTCCATAATCCCTGATTATGGAAAGGGAGTGAGCAGGGATTTGTCTCCTGCTCTTTCTTACCTGAAAACAATTCTGGGAAACCATTGGTCTTTCAGATGTTGCTGAACTACAATTCCCAATGGCCAGGGGTGATGGGAGTTGTAGTTCAGTAATATCTGGAGGGCCAAAGCTTTCCATGCTCTAGATGTTAGCAGACCATGGCCAAGGCTGTTCTGGATTCTGCTCCAGAATAGAATGGAATCCAGAGTTTTGGCTGCCCAGAATCAATTTGATCTAGAAGTCTTAACACTGCTGCTACCTAACAGTTTTACCCATCCTGATCCACTGAATTGGAAATGTGTTTTGGTGTGCATGCCATGCTACAGAGCATCTTGCCCTTGGGTTGTGGTCTAGTTGATTCTCACAGCCTTATCTGCCTCCTTGGAAATCCTTATCCACTTCAAGCGTGACCAGTTTCATGAACAGCGTTGTGAAATCTCTTCCAGTTTGATATCAGCAAACCCCAAAGTGACCATTACTCAATTTGATTCACAAAATAGCACTTAACTTTATGTCCACAAAAACATGTGTATACTCTCCCCACACACCCGTCCTCTCCACACAATAACAACATTCAGAAGAACAAAAAGAGAACTTTCTGCAGATGTTGACAAGAAGAGCTTGGAGCCAACAAGGCTAAGCCAGTTGCGCAAATGCCATAAATCCAGCAAGAAATGAGGCATAAAATGCACCATTTAGAAAACATCAGTGAAACTACAACCAACCTGAATTTATGGGTGATTCCTTCTGCAAACATTTAAGAGCAGGAATCTTAAATGAAATGCCTGCTGAGCTGAATATTGTTGGCAGTAAACCACTTGCTTCAGGTGCAGAGAATAATCATGGGCCAAAATGTGTGTGTATGTGTGTAAAAGCAGGATTCGTCAAAACCACCACACGAAACAGAGATCAAGAGAAAAGACACCCTAGAAAATAAACAAAGTGAGTTCCTAATGTAACCTCTGGCTGACTTGCATAAGTTGGAATGCTGTACTTTTAGTGCTTTATTGCTGTATTAAGCTTCTTGGCCCCGATCCAACTGTGTGTACGTACACAGTGGTCAGAGCCATGCATTAATCACTCTGTCAAATAAACACCATGCTGATCAGATGGACTGATCATTCATACATGTGGAAGATCAGGGTTCTAGATTGCATGGGGAGCCCAACCTCCACCCCAACGCAGAAGTCTACTTTTTATAACACTAAGTGCCAGGGAAATTCACATGATATTAGGGGTGAGGCTAAGTGCATGCCCCTTGCAGGCCAGTTCTACCTATGCGTAGAAGAAAACATGAATATAGGTTTAGAGTTAAAGAATTCTCCACCTAGGAATTTGTTTTGAATACCAGGGGGGAAACTGAAGCTGCGTGCATATTACCATTTACTCCAGTTCCAGCACACTCCCACTACCAGTGTTTGAAGCCAAGTACACAGGACGTTAGCCTCCATCAATATGTATCCTGTAGTCTCTTGAGAAATAAGAATAAGAGAAGAACCATGTAATCCAGCATCCTGTTCTCACAGTGGCCAACCAGATGCCTGTGGGAAGCCGGCAGGCAGGACCTGAGCACAACAGGGAGCTGTTCCTGAAGGAAGAACTGTGAGGGGAGAGACTCCATCAGGGAAGGCCTCTTTCTCCCTGCCTTACCCTACCCTCCAACCCTAGGAGTCCTCATAAGGGAGCTGTTCCTGGAGGAAGAACTGTGAGGGGAGAGACTCCATCAGGCAAGGCCTCCTTCCACCTGCCTTGCTCTACCCTCTAGTCTTTGCTTCTCAATGTGTATTGCATTGTTTTATGTACTGTGGCTTGCCATTGTTTTATTGATTATAGTTTAGATATTATTTATTGTAACTGTTGAGTGGATTTCTGTTTAACTTTTATATGTTGATATTATTATTTTATACTATTCTAATGATTGTTGAATGTTACTTTTTTGATGTAGGCTGCCTATTTTAAAGTTATTTTTATTATCACATTTTTGTATTGCATTAGATTGTTATAAGATGTACAATTAAAAATGATGATGAAAAAATGATGATGAGCACTCTGTCCACCAGCAATTCCCAGCAACTGGTATGATGCCTCTGACAGTGGAGGGAGAACATAGCCATCGTGGCTGGTAGCTATTGAGAGCCTTGATCTCCATGAATTTGTCCAATCCTCTTTCAAAGCCATCCAAGTTGGTGGCCATCACTGCCTCCTGTGGGACTGAATGTTATAATATAATTATGCACTGCATGGAGAAGCACTTTCTTTTATCCGTCCCAGATCTTCTAAGTTGCAACTTCATTGGTTCAAAATGAAGGGAGAAAAAGTTTTCTCTATCCACTTTTTCCATGCCGTGCATAATTTTGTACGCTTCTGTCTTACTCACCTTTGCTGCAACCTTTCTCCGTTGGGGAGTTTCCCCATCCCTTGATCATTGCAGTTGCATGCAGGGGCTTCATGCATTTACCCTCAAACGAGCTTCCATCAGCTTTGAAAAAGTAAGCCGTGGTTAAGCGGAAGTGGGTGCATTTCAGACCTCTGTTCAGGGGAGACTTTAGCATATGTGTCGCTGGGGTGCAAAGATCCGCCCAGTGCCCCCAAGTCTGACAAGTGCTGCCATTGTGAATGACAAGCACCACCGCTGGCATGGCACGTCTTTGGTAAATGAGCTCACAAAGTCAGAAGTCCTTTAGTGAAACAGTAGGTATATATTTCGGTAATACCTAGGTATATATGTATTTTGTTTTTCTAGCTTGATCAATATTATTTATTATTTCGTAACGGGTAGATAGATAAAGAGCTTAGGCGGCTTCAGCAGCAGGCACCTGTCACCCCCTAGAATTCAGCGCTTGGGTACCCTGCACTCCTTGCATCCCCAGGTAAAGATGGCCCTGCCTCTGTTGCATGTGCATAGATGACAGTGTGTGCACAGCTAAAGGTAAAGGTAAAGGGGTCCAGTCGTGGCTGACTCTGGGGTTGTGGTGCTCATCTCGCTTTATTGGCCGAGGGAGCCGGCGTACAGCTTCTGGGTCATGTGGCCAGCATGACTAAGCCGCTTCTGGTGAACCAGAGCAGCGCACGGAAACGCCGTTTACCTTCCTGCCAAAGCGGTACCTGTTTATCTACTTGCACTTTGACGTGCTTTCGAACTGCTAGGTTGGCAGGAGCAGGGACCGAGCAACGGGAGCTCACCCTGTTGTGGGGATTCGAACCGCCGACCTTCTGATTGGCAAGTCCTAGGCTCTGTGGTTTAACCCACAACGCCACCTGCGTCCCTTGTGCACAGGTAGGTGGTGACTTAAAGGAAGAGAAGTGTGGAGGGTTGCAGGCATGGGGCAACAAATCAGGTAGTGCCCATCAGGTGAGGCCAGGGTTCAAATCCTCCACTTGTCTATGAAGCTCACCGTGTGACCAAAGGCTGCTCACTGCCTCTAAGCCAAACCTACCTTGCAGGGTTGTGAGGGTTAAATAAGGGAGGGGAAAGGGTGGGATATAAATGCAAATCAATGAATTATATTTCTCATATCACCCAGAGACCTAACAGTAAATCCTGGTCTTCCTCCTACTCACCTGTGATTTCAATCCTTTTTAATCACTAATGCATACAAACCACCCAATATAGGACTTGATTCAGGGTTGTTGTTTTTAGGTTCTACAGTGTTAGCTGTCAGTGCTCAACCCAATTACCAGCAAGGCATTTTTCAAGACCAGCTGTCAGTCTTAATGAAATAATCATTCTTACTCAGCGATATAGAAGATACCATCTGTGATTATGGTGGCTGCTCACATCTTTAAATTTTGGTATGTTTCAGTTGCCAGCTCATTACTCCTCTAGAGTTCCTCAGCACACACAGCATAGCCTAGAACAGGCCAGGTGGAAGGGGTGATTAGCAGCAATTTTTATATATAAAGCGCTAAATGGTTTAGTTTACAACAGCCCAGAATCCGCAGGGGGTGGCTCTATATAAATGCGGAGTGCTTTCCGTTCATAGCAGTCTGGAGCAAATGGAAACATAATCAGAAGCAGCTACACAGAGGGTAGCAAATAATTTCATTCATAACAGGCAGTGACGAAACCATTACTATCAGCAACTTTTTACAATGTGCTAAGAGGCTGTACGTGACTTTTAAAAATGATTATTTGCTGGCATGTGAATACACAAACACAGCAACTCCCACTTCTCTCAGTCACATCTAATCTCAGAGAACATAGGAAGCTGCCTTAGTCCTCTGGTCAAATTATTTGTCCATCTACCCCAGTATTGTCTATCTGGATTAGCAGCCACTTTCTGATTGAGGTATTTCCCTTCCCCATGGTATCTGGTTCTTTTAACTGGAGACATCCGGGTTTTAATTTGAGACCTGGGATCATCATCAGAGGTTCTACTATTTGATTTGCCTCTAAAAACAATCATTGCCATTGCCATACTAAAGACAGGACCTTTTCAGTGGTGGCCCCACATTTTGGAATTCCCTTCCTTGGTGGTATGTGTAACAGCCCTTTCACTGATGGATATTAGATCATTTTAAATTCAGCTCAGCTTCTTATCGATGGCTTTATTTGGCTTCAAGTTTGAGCTGTGACTGTTTTGATTTTTAAATGGACCGGTTTTGTCTTTAAAGTTTTATTCGTTTGATATATTGTATTTATTCATTGCTGTGAGTCACATTGTGAGAGTTTTACCCTAAAAGGTGGCAGGAAATACGGCACTGTAGAAAATTAAAAGCAACCACATATTGCAAATGTAAGGTTAAAGGGTGGGAACGAGGGTCTCGGGACGTTTGCGTCTTGCAGGTTGTGCAACTAACAACAACCTTTTTGAAAATATAGAAAGAAATAGTATCTTCTGGAAGGAATCTCTATCTCTCCTCCCTCCCCATTTTTGACTCATTGTCAGATCATTATGCAATCTTGCCCATCTCCTTCTGCCAAATATTACTGGAAAAAGTGTCTAGCATAGAGGATGAACTTGTTTAGGAGAGTGGCAAGGCTCCTGGAAAACAGAGCCATGATCTTTGGTGCATCAAAACACAGCTTCGTTCTGCTGTGTGGTGTAATATTACATCACCGTTGTGTAACTGTTCCTTATGTACAAATACACACACACACACACACACACACACATACAGAATACCAAAGTTAAGAAGCCACCCAGGCACTGCTGGCTCAATAAACCTCTGTTTACTTAGACATAAACAGCACACAAGGCTTGCTTAGGTGCCTAGAGAGACTGTTTCAACTCTGACTTCTCAAAGTATGGACTGTTTGAGACCCTGAGCTTCAAGCACATATATTTAGAGGGACTGTTAAGATGATGGAGCCTCATTTCATTAACAGCAGCCACATATGCTTTGGTCCTAAAAAGAGGAAATGCATTCCCCAAAAAGGAGGACAAAAGAGGACACTAATTTGCATAGAGGGGCTGATTTAGAATGCCTGTCATTTAAATATAAAGTGGTACCTCAGGTTAAGAACTTAATTCGTTCTGGAGGTCCGTTCTTAACCTGAAACTGTTCTTAACCTGAAGCACCACTTTAGCTAATGGGGCCTCCCGCTGCCTCCGCACCGCCGGAGCACGATTTCTGTTCTCATCCTGAAGCAAAGTTCTTAACCCGAGGCACTATTTCTGGGTTAGTGGAGTCTGTAACCTGAAGTGTCTGTAACCTGAAGCGTCTGTAAACCTGAGGTAACCACTGTAAATTCAATAAACTCATCCTGGGGAAGCCAGTGGTGTAGGTAACTTGTAAGATTACTCCATCTGCTGTCCAGATCCTACTTGTTAATAATAATAGACTCTATGTAAATACACATTAGTTTAATGAGTGCTCACTGGAAGGACAGATCCTGAAACTGATGCTCCAATACTTTGGCCACTTCATGAGAAGAGAAGACTCCCTGGAAAAGACGCTGATGTTCGGAAAGATTGAGGGCACAAGGAGAAGGGGATGACAGAGGACGAGATGGTTGGACAGTGTTCTCAAAGCTACCAGCATGAGTTTGACCAAACTGCTGGAGGCAGTGGAAGACAGGAGTGCCTGGCGTGCTCTGGTCCATGGGGTCACGAAGAGTCGGACATGACTAAACGACAACAACAACAACAACAACAACAACAACAATATAAAAACAACAACACAGAAGCCACATTGGCTCCAGAGACAGCAGCAGAAATACCCACAGCAGCCCAACTGCAAGGGCTGGCCTATGCATGAGGCAGGGTGAGATGACTGCCTCAGGCAGCAGGATCCATGGGGCAGCAGATCCCAATGTTGGTCTTTCTTCCCACCCATCCCCCTTGTTCCTGATGTAGATATTCCCTCACCCCTTCTTCACTGGCAGAGAGGGGTGGCACCATTTTGGGGTCTGTCTCAGTGCCAAAATATCTTAATTAAACAATAGGTAGGCTGAGGGCAGGCTGACGTTAGTGGGGCACTGCCCCATTTACCCTAATGAACCAGCTTTCACCAGATTTGGACATTGGTTGGGCTTCTTTGCTTTCCCCTCTCTCAACCCCTGCCCTCTATACTGACGGTGATGATTTAATTTAGAACCAGAAGTTAAAATACAGTTTGCCCTGACAGCAGCCCAGTGATCAGCATGCTTAGTCTGCTGGTGGAAGGAAAACAGCAAGGGAGCCAATCTAAGCACTCTCAGGAGGGAATTCCCCAGTATGGGAGCAGCCACAGAAAAGGCTCACTCTCTATCGCCTCCAGCCATGTCCCTGATGTGCTCAGCCAAGACAGACCCTCCACGTGTCTCTATTTTCCAGGGACATCCCTGATTTAAAGAAGCCATCCCAGTTTCTGATTTGATCCTGGAATGCCCCACTTTTCCTTAGGATGTCACTATTTTCATTGGAGAAATGTTGAAGGGTATGGAGTTATCCAACCCCGAGCCGTCTGAAGGCAATCCTGTATAGGGAAGGGTTTTTTAATGTTTTGTTGTGTTTTTATATATATTGGAAGCTGCCCAGAGTAGCTCAGGCAACCCAGTAAGATTATGGAATGGGGTGTCCCTATTTTCATCAGATAAATGTTGGAGGGTATGCCAAGGGTCTTAGCACCCAGGCAGGTTTGTATAGGGATATGCACTCTTTCAGATAGCCTCGGTCCAACCCAGATTCTAGTCAAAGCCAGTGCTTTTTTTCTTTTAAAATGTTTAGGGTTACTTGCATTTGGACTCCAGAAAATCACCAGGAAAGGAAGTGAAGCCACCATCAGATTCACAAAATGTTTAGGGGTATGTGCACACCCTGCGTACCCCCAGAAAAAAAAGCATTGATCAAAGCCATTTCAAATTCTTTAAAAATCTGAAAAGTACCATATTTTTCCATGGATAAGATGAGTTTTTTTACCCCAAAAATTATGTTTAAAATTGGGGCTCGTCTTATTGGGGCTTGGTGGATGGGTGAATGGTTGTCACTGTGAGCAGGAGATTGCAAGTGGCGATTGGGCGGGTGTTAGGTTACCATGGCAAGTGCTGCTTGCGATTGGCTCCCACTGCGGCATTTGGGAGGGTGATTTGTGGCTGCTGGCTGTGACGATAGGTCGTTTCGGGGGCGTGTTATACAAGGGGGCGTGTTATACATGGAAAAATACGGTAATATAACTGAGTGCCATATGTGAACTTCATCTCAGAACCAGCTTGAGCACTTGGGCGTCTGGGGCAAAAGAGGGAAATACTCTCCCCCTCTTCTCCATCCCTACCCCAAAAGACAAAGTGAAAGAGGCTGAAGGTCTGTCCTCTTGAACCTGCTGCCAAGAGCACCGGCTCCTTGCCACTTCAAGGTTAGGCCAGCCCTCCTTCTTTGGAGTTATTATGAGCGTGGAATATGAATTCTCTTGGCACAGAAAAGGGCTCCTTTTGGCAGACCTGTGAATGGCAGAGAATTCGGTGTGGTCTTCAGGCATTCTTGTACAGCAGATAATAATAATTATACCATCTGTCATTTGAGATTGCTTTTACATGACAGATCTCTCCCTTTCTGGGCGTCAGTGGCTTGGCAAAAGACCTTGCTGAAGACATTCTTGTACACAACTGTGTTCCCACTGGAGCTACTCCTAATTTTAGCAGATGGACAGAATGTACCAGTTTGCAGTCCAATTCAATATTTTGGGATCTACCCTGTTCCCTGTTTTACTCAGAATTGTCCTGGCGGAATCCATTCTTCATTTTCCTACACCTCTTCTTACTTGCTCACCTCCTCATCCTCATCCTCCATTCCCTTTTCCATTTAGGAATGTAAGAAGCTACCTTATAGTGAGACAAGCCACAAGTCCATATGCTACAGCTTTGTATACAATGCAGCAGTTTAAGACTAGGGGCAGAGGAGGCTGGCACATTAGGGCAAAGGGGATGCACCTCCATCAGCCTCAGCCAGCCAGCCAGCCAGCCAGCCACCTTCCTACTTAGAACCAATCCAGAGGGGAGCAATGGACAAATCAACCCATTTTTTGTTCTCCCAGGTTCTCATTTTTCCCATCTTAAATTCACTTCTTCACATTTCTCCAGCAATTTGTGTGTGTGGTTAAAAAAATATATATCTTAGCATTTTAGTGTTAATTTCTCCTAATAATCACATTGATTAACATATGTACTTTCACAAATAATCTTCCTTAACATAATGCCTTTTGTATGTTGTTTTCACTAATATATGCACACTCTCCCCTAATATATACATTTTGGCATGCATTGCTTGGCTGCAAAATTTGACAAAGCGTGAATTTCAAAAGGTGGCTATGTTTTGTCTTGCATATTATTTCACACAGTGCAAATACGAAAAGCTCACCTTTAAATGTGAACTGAGTTGAATTCCCACCACCATCCCTACCAGAGGGCTGCACTGGCTGTCAGCTTCCTCCTTCTCCTTGGTCTCAAAGTTGTATTTGTTGCACTCAGTATGGGGGACAACGGGAACAAAACTAAAATTAGTTTGCTCTGCCTGCCATTGACTCTGGCCACATTCCCACCATACATTAAAAGCACTGTGATACCACTTTAAGCGGTCATGGCTTCCCCCAAAGAATTATAGGAGCTGTAGTTTGTTGTTGGCACTGAGAGTTGTTAGAAGACCACCCCCTTCCCCTCACAGAGCTGCAATTCCCAGAGATTCCTGGGAAGAGGTATTGGCTGTAGCTCTGTGAAGCACCTGCAGCCCTTTGAGGGGAATAGGGACTTCCTAACAAATCTTAGCATCCTTAACAAACTGCAGCTCCCAGAATTCTTTGGGGACTTCATAGTGGCATTGCAGTGCTTTAAATGTATGGGGAGAATGTGGCCTCTGGCTTCACCCACTGTTGGCCTCCCTGCCTTCTGCCCTATCAGTCTCAATGGGTTCCAGCCTCCCTGAGTCATTTCTGCTTGGTCCTTATTGGAGACCGCTTACTCTTGGTTAAATAACACACACACACCCCAAACAACCAAGTCTGTTAGAACCATAGAATCATAGTTGTCAGATATCTGTGGACTATAAAGGTAAAAAGGTCAGATGAAGCAGCAGCAGTTCAGCACTCGCTTGTGTAATATGCTCTTGAGGTTTGACACTTCCACTGACCTTTCGCAAAATCTCTCCTCCTCCAAAACGTCATATCGCAAAAATATGAAGCTTCATGTTGCTCCAGGGCTAATAATCCAATAAACCCAAATCTCCATCTTGCTTCCTGGTTGGCATCTGATTTTTCTGAACGGAAAGCAGAAGGGTTTAGAGAAAGCATGAAGCATGTGGGATCTCTTTTCAAATTTAAATACCAAAAAGGAGAATTATTACTAAGCATTTCTTCGCTTTCAGAATTAATCAAATAACTTTGAAAATAAGCAGTAAGCATTTGACCAGGCTTCCTCAACCTTGGCCCTCCAGATGTTTTTGGTCTACAAATCCCATGATCCCTAGCTAGCAGGACCAGTGGTCAGGGATGATGGGAATTGTAGTCTCAAAACATCTGGAGGGCCAAGGTTGAGGAAGCCTGCATTTGACAATACTCATAATAGTAATATTGCACACTGTTTAATGTTCTTATTCTTAAAGTTGCACAAAAATCACTCTAAGTCAAGAGCATTGCAAATAAACAGCCTAGATTTTCTAGAGGATGTGCACTACAGTGCAAAATAATAATAATAAAGGCTTTCCAGTTCTCTGTGAAACTATTTTCACTTCTGTCTACCTTCTCTTACTCCAAGAGGTACCCTCCAAATGCATCATAGTAGGAGAAACTGCTTGAAAAACACTTTCCTACCTAGGCAAAAATTCATACAAAAATGAGAAGTGTATTCTAAAATGCTGGCAAATTTTGTGGTTACTTTTAAAGAAAAATTAACAAACTGGTGCAGAAATGGGACAAAATCAGCTTAAGACGGGAAAATAAAAATAAGAACTCAGAGAGATTAAAATTTGTAGGTCTAGCAGATTTGTAGGTCACCTGTAGCCCACCAGATGTTGCTAGACTACCATTCCTACGTCCCTGGCCATTGGTCATGTTGGCTGGCACTGATGGGAGCTGGAGTCCAACAACATCTGGAGGGCCTGTCTTCACCTCTGTCTTACTCTTATGTAACTAGGATGTTCTGCCAGAATGGCACATTCATACAACTTTGATTCCCATTCGATTATTATCAGAATGTGACTGTCTCCAATATTTTGCATAACGAAGTCTGGCAGTAAAAATTGTAGAAGATAATTAAATAAATGCTAAGCATGCTTACAAGGAAGTAATGCCTAGTGAGTTCAATGGCATGTAGGCTGCAATCCTGGCCCCACTTACCTGGCTCAAAGCCCCATGGACTTCAATAGGGCTTCTGAGTAGATGTGGTTAGGATTGTGCTGTGGCTTCTCAGTAACCACGCTGAGGGATGCAAAGTAACTGTCTTAATTATACAAATGCTTTTTTGTGTAAGTCAATCAAAGCAAGACTGGATTTAGTTCTATTTGCACTTCTGCTTGTCTTTTTATTGCATCTCTTAAAGTGGATGCTTGGGTTGCAAACGTGATCCATGCGGGATGCACATTTGCAACCCGCAGTGTTCGCAACCCGCAGCGGCGTGTCTGCACATGCACGGGTTGCAATTTGGCACTTCTGCACATGCGCAACTGCCAAAACCTGGACGTAATCCCTTTCCAGTACTTCTGGGTTTCGGCGCGTCCGTAACCCAAAAAAAAACGCAACCTGAAGCGTCTGTAACCCAAGGTATGACTGTATTTGGTTCCAGAATTGCTTTGCCTTCTTGCACACCCACCAAATGTGAAAAATGTGAATGCATTATAATTCTTATGATTATTACTATGGTTACATAGCAGAACTTTGCAACCAAAAAACTGGAATGTGTGAGGTCACTGCCAGCCAAAATAGATAGCACTGGACCAATTATCTGATCCTACAGAAGGTGGCTCCATATATTCAGATGATTGCCACAGTCCCCATATCAACAGGAGTTATCAGGCAAGTTGATTCAAGTGCATATCAGTGGCTACTAACTTACCACTATGCCTATGTTGACCTCAGTATCTGTGTTCCAGATCCAATGTTAGAGGTTTTTTCCAGAAGATACCCAAGAGTACATAGTACCAGCACCTCTTTTTGTTGTTAAAAAGTGTGGCACTTACTATAAAACTTCATCGTGAGTGCCATTTTTCTAGAAAAAAACATTGGTCAGAAGCAATATGCTTCTGCAATTCCAGGTCCTGCTTCCAGACTTCCCACAGACACCTGCTTGATCACCCTGAGAATTGAATGCTGGATTAGAGAAGCCACTGGCTCGATCCAGTGTGTTCTTAATGTTATTCAATGTACCCAGGATCAGGATACATATTGGCTGGGGTTGGCATTCTACCTAATGGTGTGCGCTCTCCACATTGCACACTATAAAAGGACCTGTGAGCCACACAACTCCACAACCCCCTGCGAACGCCCAACCCACCATTCTTACAAGTGATATCACGGATGGGTTGTGGGTAGTTGCCGTTGTACTAATTCCCCATTATCATCTGGGCTTGTTTTCCATGCCTATATTAAGCAGGAGGCAACATGTCCTTGGATCTTGTTTTTGTTGCTTGGGTTGTTCCATCAATAAATGTTTCCAGATTATGAAATTTGGTCACATTTCAGAACTCCCCACATGAATTTACTTCTTATTGGGGTTTATACTTTCCTTACTAGTGGTCAGCCTCAAAAGGCACATTTAAAACAAAGCCCTCTGTTGTGTGTTATGCCTCTTTCTTTTCCTTGATGCCTGGGGGGTGAATTGGGCCCTCAAAAACCTTGTATCTGGCCTGTGGAACTCTTCCTAGGCCAAATACCTTACCTGCCCTGATTGCACCCTCCTTGAATGTTTTGTTCCAGCTGGTATGTTTCCTTGGAACTCTGATACTGCTTCTTACTTGTCTGGGTGGAGTTTAGAGAAGGGCATGTGCAGAAACTAGCCTATTATGCAAAAGAAAAATCCATACTAATTGCCTCTGGCCCTGCCCAACACTGGCCTACGGCCCCCAGAATATTGCCCAGAAGGAAAAGTGGCCCTCAGGTTGAGAAGGGTTCCTTAACCTTGCTTTAAGTATCTTTATGAAATGCATTGATGGCATTCATTCATTCCTTCATTTAGAAGTCCATTAACACATGAAAGTCACTATCATGCAAAAAGTCAGTCTTCAGCATTATGGTAGCTATACAATTGATACCAGCATGTTTTATCTTCTTTGGCAGTTCCTAAAATGTTAAATGAAGGGAAACATTGATGTGCTTCCTTCTTTGTTCAAGCACAACTTTGACCTGGGAGTAAATCATAATCTTCTTTTGTTTTGAGATATCCAAGAACCTGAGAAAGTGGGTGGAGAACGGAGGGGTGTCTCCTTTTCTCCTAACACTAGAACTCACAGACTTCCAGTGAAGCTGAATGTTGGAGGATTCAGCACAGATAAAAAAATGTACTTCTTCACTCATGGTTAAACTAAGGAACTCGCTCCCACAAGAGGCAGTGATGGCGACCAACTTAGATGACTTTAAAAGAGGATTGGACATATTCAGGGAGCAGAAGGCTGTCATTGACTAGTAGCTGTGATGGCCATACTCTACCTCCATGATTGGAGGCATTAATGCTTCTGAATATCAGTTGCTGAAAAGTGCAGGAGGGGAGAGGGCTCTTGTGCTCAAATCCTGCTTCTTGGCTTCTCATAGGCATCTCTTTGACCACTGTGAGAACAAGATGCTGGACTAGATGGGTCCCTGGCCTGATTCAGGAAGCTTTTCTTATGCTCTTAAGCTTAAGAAGAGTATCTGGAAGACCAGCTCCTGGATTTAAAAATGGGACACCTAAATGAAACAAAAAAAAATATGAGGGAGGGAGAAAAATCCAATGCATGGTGAAACCGTGTTTAGATCCCAAGGAATCAAAGCCATCTTGAACTCAACACAGCCCTGACATTGAACCAAGGCTGACTTGGGGATCCAGTAAGATGAAAGATGGAACATAAACATAAACTATAAATAAAGAATAAATTTTGCTTATTGAGCACAAATAACCATGAGCTCTGTTGCATCTTGACAGGGTCTTATGACAGACAAAGGGCTACTCTGATATGGCACATCAAAGGATGCAAGGTCATGTCTCCTTTGAGCACAGGAAAGCACACTGTAGCTTGATATGTACTTTTTACTGTTATGTCTATTGTATTGTTTCAGTGTAAGTTTTGTACCCTGTTCTGGGATTGCCTGTGACTATGGAGAGCAAGTAACAATTAAAAAAAGAAACACCAATAAATGAAATGAAATGAAATATGTGCCTGCAATATGTCAGGCTGCAAGCAATGCTTTTGACTCCTGGAGACCAGAACACCTGTTTGTCCAGCTTAATTTAATCCCAGTTTGATGATATGAATCATCTAACTGCCTTGGGGTGTGTTGGTCAGAGCAAGATGGTCCCAGTCTCAGATGAGCAATGCAGCAAAAGCCAACAGGTGCTACAAGAAGTTGCTTAGAAAAGCAGGTCTTCTGAACTATTGCAAAGGAAATCCCTAAATCTTACAGTTCCACTGGCATCTGCAAAAGGGCACAAAACAACTTAAGGAATACAGGGCTCTGGAAAGATAGCTTGCATAAGGAAGATTGAGCAGCCTCCGAGAATGAGACTTCGCCAAGAATGTCAATGCAGACCATTTCTCATTTTTCCAATTTTCATTTTAGTTTGCTACATTTCTTCATTGGGGTGGAAGAAGAATAAAGACCTTATAAAAATACACCATAGAGTGCATTTTTCCTATTTCTTTTGCAAACCATCTCCCCTAATATAATGCATTTGTTTTCACCATCATATGCATTTTTATGCACACTTTCCCATCATGTTCTTTCGGGTCAAGGAACCGCACCGCAAAATTCAGGGAAGTGCCAATTTCAAAGGATGGCTGCATTTTGGCTTGTTTTTTGTTTCAGGAAATGCAAATTAGGTCAAAAAAATGCAAACCAAATTTCTCCCCATCCCTACCTCAAAGCATACTAAACGGCTGATCTATGCCAAAGTTGACTTGTACCATTGCAAGATAAGATTTCAATGGGATTACATAGGCCTAACAGCATGAAATCAAACCAGGCAGGCAAGGACACAGGGCTTTGGAGGCGGCAGTAATCAAGCGATGAGTGGTGCTTGCAAACCCTGTTTTTGGCAAAGAGCCCCTTTTTAAAGATACAAAACTGCTTCATGGATTGGAGAAGGTTTCTTCATGACATCATTGCAAAAGAGGCAATAACCTAGCATCACACCTGCCCCCTCACCGCAATGCATTTGCTTCAAACTTGCAAAAGTTTGTTTTCTTTTGCTGTTGTTTTCCCGGACCTGAGCTCCAGAGAAGAAAGGGGTGACTGGGATTGCACTGCTGCTGGAAAATATTACAATTCTTTTCATCCATACAATGTCAATGCCACCCTCTTACATCAGAGTTCAGCACTCTACCCCACTAAATACAGCTGGGTTATTCAGGATTGCAGAGTGGCTGTGACTGAAATAGTCTTGCTGAATTCTTTACTGCCAAAAACAATCCCACAAAACAGTTAAGAGGCCCTCCAAAATAAACCTGTAGTCAGGACGCTACCTTTTTGACTGAGGTAACCAACCAAGCTTGACATGACTCATTCAGGAGGGGCTTTCCCCCTAGTTTAATCGGGGAAGGGGAGAGAACTAGGGAGAGAGAAATTTCAAATATTTTCCAAAAGCAAGTAAAAGACTGCCAAAGAGTCTGTAACCTTGCATGCCATTTCACGCTTTGTCAAGTGTGCAAAAAATATTTTGTGGGTATATTTCTAGAGGACAACAAGGACCAGGCAGAACAAAACAAAAACACACACACACACACACACACACCTCTCTCCCTCTCTTTAATTAATGAAGCTTTAAAAAGTGCAGTGGTCCTCTACTCCTGTACTATTTGAAACAAGGTGATATTTGTTGAAATAGCACTTCATCCAATTTTGGAAGCACGCAAACATGAAAAAAATGTCATTTATGAGGGGGTGGTGTGAGAAAAATAATGTATGCAAACAAGAAATATATATATATAGCAATATAGAATCAGTCATGGATTGCATCCAGCTAAATTTTATTCAGTATAGACCCATTGAAATTAATGGACATGACTAACATAGGTTCATTAATTTCAATAGATATATCCTGAGTACAACTTAATTGGATACTAGCCTATTTTTAAAATTATTTTTAATCCAACTTTGTGCAATTCACATTGCAATCCTATACATATCTATCCAGAATTAAGTCCCATTGAGTTCAATGAGATTCACTCCTAGGTATGAGTGTATTTCACTATTGCCCTAGGATGATTATCACTTGGGGTGGGACCATAGCTCAGTGCTAGAGCATCTGCTTTGCACGCAGAAGGTTCCAGGTTCACTCATTGGCAGATAGGGCTGGGAGAGAATCCTGCCTGAAATCCTGGACAGCCATTGCCAATCAGTGTCAAAAATGCTGAGCAAGATGGGACAGTGGTATGACTCGGTTAAGGCAGATTCCTATATTTCTATGTAAGCTTCAAATGACTTGGGAACTGTTATTTCCCAGCATGCTTACATGAATGGGTGCTCCTTTAAAAAAAAATGACTTGGCAAAATCCCTCCTCTTTCCCTCAGAGGCCTAAACTTTGGACCTAGAGCAGCTGGTTGGCATGGCAAACACAAGGGCAAATTTGTACACATGTTAAAAGCAAAACACCATTCTCTCCCCCCACTCCACCCCTGTTCTGAAAGTGTTGATTGGGTGCCAAGCTGCAGAAAGAAATTTGAGTGCTGTTGCCTTTTCCAAAGCAATATGTGAACCAAGACATAGCTATCCTTTGAAATTTGTAATTCTCCGGATTTTGCAACCCCTCAAAATGTGGTTGGATTATTGGAGGGAAATGTGCATGGAAATGCAGGCCTTAGGGAAAATAACATACAAACTTGAATCGTTTTAGGGGAAGCGGATTACACAAATGTGTATATAGACAAAACTGCACACCAAAATGCATTTATTAGGGGAGAGGTTTTAGCAATTCTTCTAACTCTATTTGAGGTTCTTCTGACTAAGGTTTTTGATCCTTTACCCCTCCTTGCTTGGTTTCCTTGATGTACTTCTGCTCCTCCTGTGCCATTTGATTAAAATATTATTCTTGGGATCCCCAGAAAATTGGGAAAATCCCATGTAGGGAGATGTAGTCATTCCTTCAACCTCCACAGACAAGTTTGACAAGTAGGCAGCACCGCCTACTTGACAATCACCTGACACCAGAATAATGTCAGGTGGCCCATTTTTGCCCACATGGTTTGACACCAACAGACAAAGGCACAGTTTGCAAAGCACCAATGATCCACTGGCCAAGTTTTGCAATCCTGCTGCACAGGACCCAAAAACACTGTAGATGAAACTCGTCTCCCCCACCACTGCATAGTGCTTTGCAAAGCCTGATAGCTAATCGTCAGGTATTGGGCAAGTTGACCATGGCCGAAATTGGCCTTGCAGGCTGGAGGTTCCCCATCACTGCAATACAGTGAAAGAACTGCCCTTCAAACTATTTTGAACTGCTAGAATAGGCGAGGCATTTAAGAGGACAGAGTCTGTGTTGGCAGCATTACCTGGTTCATATTTCAGGGGGGAAATTGAAAGCACACATTGAGGTAGGGCTGCCAATCAGCACTGGAAGGAGGTTCTTCGTAATGCAAACCATATTCTCCTCTTCCTCTTCTGAAGCTGCTCCATGACTTCACTTCTGCCCCATAGGTGACTCAGAAGGGATAGGAATCAAGAAGAGAATTTTAAGCATGCACTGGCAAAATCTGGAATTAAACAAATTGAAAAAGGAACAGATCTCCTGCCCCTGCAAGTCCAAAATCTAAGGCATTTTGCTGTATCTTTTCAGGAATATTACAGGCCACAAGTAAAGTTCATGAAAAAGAGGTGTAGAGAAATGGCTCAAGGCAGAATCATACACAGAATGTATGAAGGGCTATGCTGGATCAGGCCAAAGGCCCATCTAGGTCAGCAGTCTGTTCTCACAGTGGCCAACCAGATGCCCACAAGCAGAACTTCACCACTTGTGCAACCAGGCAACTGACAGTAGAGGTAGAGCATAGCCATCATGGCTAATAGTTAGGTAGCCTAATTCACCATGAATTTGTCTAATCCTCTTTTAGAGGCATCCAAGTTGCTGGCCATCATTACCTTTTGTGGGAGCAAGTTCCATAGTTTATGTGCTATGTGAAGAAGTCCTGAATCTTCCAATATTCAGCTTCGTTGGATGGTCTTATTGGGTTCTAGTATTATGAAAGAGGGAGAAATAACCTCAGTCACATATAGCCTGAGACAACTACATACTCACTTTCTCAATTGCAGGGGGAGGCTGGAGACAATTTTGAAGGTGGCGCTGTTGAGGCTTCACTGTCTCTGATGTAGGAAATAGTCGTTTTTAACTAACTACATACATACATACATACATACATACATACACGATTAGGTTTTGCAGGTATTTGGTGCAACTTTCCTAAACTGTTAAACTACACATAACAGTGAGATTAGTGTAAACACTGTGGGCTTTGCCCTATCACTTTGGAGGTACTGTCTGTCTACAAACCAAAGCCTGAAAGCCCAGTTTCATTATTTTGTTACACCTTGGGAATTTGAGGGTTACATACTGGTGTGGATAAAGTCACTAAGTAACCAACAAGACTTGGCAATATAATGGCATCTTAAAGTCAGTTCAGACTGAGGTCAATGCGAGTAGGATCACCAGTGCCCTCACTCTGAAGGACAGATTTCTACCCTGTTTTTCCATTTCTGGTATATAAAACTCATTGCAAATTCAGCAGTCCAAGCACTCTGCCCCACTGAGCTATGGCCCTTTTCCAAAAGGCAAAAAAGCAGGGGATGAAAAATGGGGGCAGTGATTTAACCAGAGACAACTCCTACAGAATAGTGACAAGTCAGAAGACAGGCTGCTACACAGGTCAGTCCCTCTTTAGCACGGTGCTAATATCCTCATATAAAAGGGGCAATCCAGGGTTGCAATGCGTATGGCAGATCTTCCTTCATTACCTAAGAACCTCTGGACTAAAACAAAAGGAGAGCCACGTGCCATGGCAGCCCTTTCCTTATAAAACTAATAATCCAAAGACAAATGGAAGTTGTTGTTTTTTAATAGGGAAACATCTGTCCAACAGCTGCATCCGTAGAGCTGATTCCTGGAGTTTATATAATTTGCAAAAGGTTCATAAAAAACAAAATGAGAAAATAATTACCCTTCATATTTATCAGCACCATCACCATCGCCATCACCATCATCAGTTTGGAGAGAAGGGGGAATGAAAAAGACGCTTCTTGGCTTCTTTGAGATTTGGCCTCTCGCATCCTTTTGCACTCCAGGGAGATCAAAGAGACAGCTGAGAAAAAGCAGATGCTGCTCAGTTCTGTTGTCCTGCCTCGCGAAGCTGTGCCATTTCTGCGCCCTCTTCCAATGGAAACAGGAAAGCAGCACCTATCAGAGCTCGCAGAAAGGGTAGGTGGCCCCTTTCCAGCCTTCTCCCAACATGCAAATGATCCAGCTCCTTTCAGTGCAAGATTCAGATCTCTTCATTAGCATCCATGGCAGCAAGAAAGGAAAGTCATGCAGAGTTTCTTTTCTCTTAACACAAGGGTGGGAAACCTTTTCCAGCCAGAGGGCCACATTCCCGTCTGGAAATCCTTCCAGGGGCCACATGGCAATGCTGGGTGGCACCACTGACATGGGGAAATGCAGTAGCCAAACATAGGTTGCTAGGTAAGATTCTTGTAGTGCAAAAGCTTGTTCTTGCCATGCAGTCTGAAGTGCAACAATATCTGGTTGTGCACTTTTGTTTGCTTTGCACGTCAACATCCCATCAGCGCAACAAGTATAAAGCAAAGACTTTAGCTTAGGGCTATGTTGGGTACAGCCTATTGTCTTCAGGAGAGGGTGACCTGTTTCCCTCTATCATACTAAACAACCTGGGGTCCCCCCCCCCAGCTTTCCCCCTTCTGGTGTTCTCTTTTGTCTGCTTGTCGGTTATTGAATAGTAGCCAGCAGGTCTTGGGTCACAGCCACACCATATATTCAAAGTGTTCTTAAAACTCTTTAACAGTCATGCAAAATGTCAAGGATCATTGGTTGCCTTGCTATTTCACCATGGGCATCTATGCTTATGAATTAGCACATGCATGTTTCATACAGATGTGTCCTTTGTCCTGTTCTTTGGTGTCTTTCCTGGCTTTCCTTTCTGCAATCCCTTTTTTAAAAAATAAATCAATAAACAGCTGTAGGAACATAAGACGTTGCCTCATACCACTGGCAGTGGCTCTTCAAGATTACAGGCAAGGGTCCTTCCTATCCCTACCTGGAGATGCCAGATATTAAACCTGAGACCTTCCACATGCAAAGCTAATGTTCCAACCACCAAACTCCAGGGACTTTCCCAGCCATACATGGTTGAGGACTGATCCTGGGACCTTCTGCATGCTGCAGTCCTTTGCCACCTCATTTCTCCTGCCTGATTTCGTAGTCTTTGGTCCTGGAAATCTGGACCAGAGACTTTGAAGCCAAGACATGGCCCGCTTCCTTAGCCAGAAGCAGAGCCTGTCCTCAGCTCACTTCAAACCCTTTTCCTGATGGGCACTGACATCAAAATCAACCTGATGTAATTAAGAGTGGCCTTTCTGATTCTCTGTCTGCCAAGAGCGCTGGCCCCTGCAAAGTGCCTTTGGTGAAAGGAGGAAGAGGAACAGATGGGTCGTTACAATAATGATAGCCTCCATTTCGGGATCTGAAACAGCAACAGAAGAAGCTGAAATCACACGGACTGGCAATATAACCCTTAAAGTGATGCAGACTACAGCCACACTATACATTTAAAGCAGTTTCCACTTTTAACAGGCATGGCTTCCCCCAAAGAATCTTAGGAATTTTAGTCTGTCATGGGTGCATGGATCAGGCCAAGGCCCCATCTAGTTCAGCATCACACAATGGCCAAGCAGATCCTCGTGGGAAACCCACAAGTGGGATCCAAGCGCAAGAGCACTTTCCCCTCCTGTGGTGTCCAGTAACTGGTATTCAAAAGCATCGCTGGTAGCTATCGATAGCCTTGTTCTCCATGAATTTGTCCAATCCTCTTTTAAAGCCATCCAAGTTGGTGGCCATCAGTGCCTCACGTGGGAGTGAGTTCCATAGTTTAGCTATGTGCTTTGTGAAGAAGTACTTTCTTTTCTCTGTCCTGAATCTTCCAACATTCAGCATCATTGGTTGTCTGCAAGTTCTGGTGTAATAAGGGGGATGGGCGGACTTTTCTCTTTCCCCATGCCATGCATATTTTTATATACTTCTATCACTTCACTGCCTTTTCTCTAGACGAAGAAGTCCCAAACATGTCAACCTTTCCCCCCAGGGGAGTCCTTCCATCACCTTCATCATTTTGGTTGCCCTTTTCTAACTATACAATACCCTTTTGGAGTGCTTTGTCCAGTTTTGCACCCCACAATTTAAGAAGGATGTTGACAAGCTGGAACATGTGCAGAGGAGGGCAACCAAGATGATCAAGGGTTTGGAAACCACGCCTTATGAGGAACGGTTGAGGGAATTGGATAACGGAATGTTGTCTGCCTTGCCCCTTGCTGCACCCCCCCCAAGAGATTCCCCCGACTATCTGGAACAGATCTGCGGAAGATACAGGACATTCACACAAGTAGGGGGGAAGTCCCATTGCTCAAGTGGAAGTCATTCCACTCATGTTAATTTAGTTGAATCGTGTCCAAGCAAAGTGATGAGATGTTCCTGGGTGTTTTTTTTCTTTTAATATTATTATTATTAAAGGAATAAATCATCCCCACTTACCCTAGTGTGGGTTAAAGAAAAAGAACACCAGCCTGAATGCTCAAAACAATGTAGGATGGATGAAGCAGAATTCTTCTCTCTGAAAGTAATGGTAAGGAACAGATGCCTTTTCCTCTGTGCCAGTGAGCCTTGGCATCCTTGGCTGTCTCTCTTTTGGACCGCACAACAACACTCACAATTACATAAGCAAACCTAAACTAATCCTGTTGCAGAGTTTCAAAAAATGAAATAAAATAAACATTGTCCTAGTTATAACTTAACTAGTTGATGGCATCAAAATTCAGAATTGGGGTTGGTTGAGAAATGAACTTTTAAATTTTATTGTAGTATTATTATTATTATTATTATTATTACAGAGATGTCACCCTGGACTCCGTCGGGTAGAAAGGAGGGCTATATATGTGAGAAATCGATCAATCAAAATAGATAACCTTTCTCAGTTTGGGGAGGGTAAAGCAAAGCTCATTATGAGCTGAGCCGAAAGGCCCTCTGAAATTTGGGCTTGGCTTCCGGTAACCAGCAATCTTTCATAACCAGACTTTCTGGACAGTCTTCTTTTTGACCTCATTTTGATGGTCCATAACAGGCCATCCTACTGAAGGTCGCATCCACAAAAGGCATTGAAAGTGCATGGCTTCTGCTGAAGAATCCTAGGAACTGTAATTTGTTAAGGAAGCTAGGAACTGCAGCCCTTAAAGGGATAAACTACAGTTCCCACTAGGCAGAAGCCTTTGTGGCTTAAATGTGCTTTAAGTTATGGTTGCCACATTTCAAGAAGTACAGATCCAAACACAGTTCCTCCCAAAAAAGTTCTTGAGCTTTTTTTTGGGGGGGGGGGCGATTGGCATTGGCGGATGCTGGGGTGGTGAGCGGACTTCATAAATCATCATCTAGGAGGCAACAAGGAAGCGACCGCCGCAGAGCACTTCTGTTTCTGCCAGGGAACAGACAAAATCCCAGCCATTTACTATTATGTTGAAAATTGCCCCCGGTCTCCAACACACCACCCTCCACGGACATATGGAGACCCCTTGGTATATATGGTCACCCTATTTTAAGTGTAAGGCGTGGCAATGTGGCAGCACTTATGCTTTGGAACTCACACCTAATTTTGCTTAGGCATGTCAACTTGTTCTAGATGCCTGCTGATTCCCCGTTCCCCCTTATTTCAGATAAATAGTACAGTCATCTACATTCATTTTTAAATATATACTGGTTTTCTTTGTGTTTTAATTATTATTTTACGTCTTACTAGGTTTTTTCTTTAAGAAAAAGTTGTGCGGATTATACCTGTGTTCCATCAACAATTTTATAATTCACAAAACTTAGACAGAAATTTGAATAATGAGTTTACGAATCTTTCTAAAAATTAATAATCAGATACCAGGTGATGGGAATGACCGCCTGCCTGAGCCCCTGGAGAGCTACTGCCAGTCAGAATAGAACAACACTAGGCTACACAGACACACAAATTCTTTCCAAACCATCGCTATTTTGGGGTGGGATTCAGTCATATGTTGGCAATTCAGGTCATGCAATTAGAATCGATCAGGAGATCTTGCACAGCAAACCTGCTTCTCCCTAATGATCAAACTTTTTGCAATAAGTGATGGGGAAATGCATTGACAAGGGTGGAATTGGAATAGCATTTGCTTTGGTGTAGGGATGGGCAAATGTGTTCATTTCAATTTCTCTCCATTTTTCATTTTTCCACTCTTAAGTTCAGTTCTCCACATTTCCACATCCACTTGCTTTTTCTTTTTTAAGTCCTCATGAAACTTCTTCAGCATCTTGGTAAAAAATCCTCCTAATATACACAGATTTGTGTGCACTTCTGGACAATGTAACATATTTGCAAAATGTATTTTGTCTAATATATTATTTCCTCTAATATAATGTCGTTTTGTATGCTTCTTTTGCTAACATACAGCTTACCTTAGCAAATGCATTTCTCCACATATTATGTGGCTGCAGAATGCCATTGCAAAATATGGAAGAGTGTGAATTGTGAAGAACGGCAGTGTTTCAGTTTACATGTTGCTTCAGGAAGTGATAATTAGATAGGTCACCTTTAAATATGAGGTTTTCCCCTGCCCCAGTGAGATCTAACCTCCTTGTAAACAAATGAGACTGAATCAAATAGCCAATGTTTTCTAGTCTCCCTGCAGACAAATGAGGATGAATGCTCAGTAAACAGGTCGTCTCACTTGGAAGTGCCTATAGCAGACCTGGTATAAGGCAGAGGAGAACTCTTGCCTCCATTTCCTAGGGATGGGTTGGTCGTGAGAGGTACAAGCTGGCATTCGTTTGACTGCCTGCGCTGGCATCTAGGGACCAGCTGCACAGTGGATCACAGAGTGCCCTTTCTCTCCCGGCTGGAAAGAATCCACCTTCCAAAATAAGAACACTATTAAGGGAAAGCCTGCAATTTGGAAGGAGAGAGGTTGTCACCTGCTCAGCTTCTCTGAATGTTCTATATTAAAAAACCCAGCCCTCAAAGATTTACAAACATTCTACTCCATAGCGTTCTGAGCTGAAAGGCTTGTGTGTCTCCCAGGTTTAAATTAAATACAAAACTCTCCAGAACTCATTGCTACGACTGCTTTCAAAGGGAGGAGTCAAAGTGGAGTTTTGTGAAAGGGAAAATGGTGGTAAATCTCTCCCCCATCCCACAAATGTGTAAAGTTTTGTTGATGTATCAAGAGCGGTGTACCAATCAATTCCTCTTCCCAGTGAACTCTGGGATATAACTTCATAGACTCAAGGAATCATAAGAGTTGTAGGGACCCAAAGCGTCATCTAGTCCAACCTTCCTAACAGCACCCTGAACAAGGATTTATTGCTTGAGGGAGGCCATGACTTTTTAATATGGTATCATAGTGCTTTAAATGCATGGTGTTCAGGTTCCCTTAATTGGGCCTTCATCCTAATCAAACAGGGCTCTTCTTACTTTTTCATGCAACATTCCTTTTTCAAATGGCTGGTTATGGGAAAATGACTCATATTTAGATTCTCAATTTATGAATTGCTAATATTTGGCTTTGAGGATCAAATGTTTGCTGAAGGATGCTCTTTTTATAAACTTTGACCAGCCTGCCCACTGAGAGTCTTGAAGGAAGCCCTTTTCTGTCACAGTCAGGGAACACTTCCCTGCACCATCTTCCTGGGTTGCTGTTTATATTTCGGCTGCTGGCTCTTTGCAGGAGACCCCATTTCTAAACACTACATCCCTAAGAACAGGCATGCACAAACCTCTCTGTGAATTTCCCCTGGTGCTAATTTTAAAGTATGGATCACAGAGCAAAGCAAGGGGTGCAAAGCAAAAGCTTTGCCAGCAATTCTGCCATAGCTGAATGCTACATTCTGCAAAAAAGACCACAGAAAAACCCTTCATTTATTTACTGAAATCACATTTTTTATTTTTTTTAAATGTTGGCAAGCTTGCCACTTGATATAAACAAGGCAATCTATAAATCTGTTAAACTGGAAGATCCAGATATAATAAGGAGTTCATGTTAGGACACTGCAGCTAGGAAATAAAACAGCCAGAGAAACCTTTGCTAATCCAATGTTTTGAACTACAGTGCCAGTCAGCCCCAGCCACCTGAACTAAGGTGATACATTTTTACTGGGATAGCTTTGTTTCCTGTTGGACTACATGAAATTTTCAGATGAACCGGGGCTCTTATGATCAAAACAAGTGAAAATTCATTCCTTGCTTGACCAGACAAAGCAAAGCTGGCTACAAGTGTCAAAAACAGTGTGGCTCAGTCTTATCAATGCTACAAACCAACTAGATACTTCAGGCTCCATTAGTCCAAAACATCCTTGCTATGCTACATGTTTCTGTATCTCTAAGAGGAGATTGCTACAGCTCACTACCTGCCTGAATGCGCGTGTGTGTTCATTTCTTAACTGCGAGGACACCCTCCCTGGAATTTGAATCACAAGTATATATGCCCTGTTGCCCCCCAAAAGTGAATAGATAAGAATACTGTATGTCAGGAAGAAGAAACTATTTTTCAGCCTGATGGCTGCATTTCCTTCTGGGTGAACTTGGGGGAGGCACATACCAGTGGTGGGTGGGGCCAGAGGCAAAATTGGGTGGAGCAACACATGGAAATGTTCCTTTTATACTGTAAGCTAGTTTCTACCACTCCCCTCTGTACCCTGCAAGCAAGGGTTGTCACTAGAATTAGAGGACATATTCCAGCATGAAAAAAACTCTCAAGGAAGGCACAAAGCAGAGGCAGTGAAGGATGTGGTCTGGGGAAGAGTTCTGAGGGCAAGACTGAGGGGTCTGGAGAACTGAATTCATTCCCCAGGCCTGGGGGCTGACACCCCTGATATATAAAATAAGAAGATTTTGTTCTGTGTGACAATTCTGCAAAAGCCTTGAAACAAACCCAACAAGACAAGATATGAAACAAACAAGCTCTGTGCTAAATGGTCTCATTTAATTCTCAAGAGTTTTATTTCCACAAATGTCATAAACCAAAACAGCCGGAAAACAGTCTGTTTTGCTGTAGAGATACTTTGCTGTGGTGCTAGAGAATCAGTCTGAAATCCTAGACCCATCGAGAAGACCATGCAAAGCTAAAACAAAGTCATTTACAGTAAACTTTTTTTTTTACAAAGGAAATAGTAAAAAATACATCATTTTTCATAGAAAAAAAGCAAATATACAAAAAACCAACCCTGCAGGCCCTTGCAGCCTACAGAGAAGAGATCTATTCAGATCACGCATCCAAAATAGGCAATCATGAACCCAGGAATGGAAAGGCTATTCTTTGTTGTAGTTGTTCTATATCTGAATGCACCCACTGGTATATTTTGGATAAAATAACAATGTCTGTGCGTTACATCCCCCCTCCTTTGTTCAAAAGACTTTTTGGAATATTAAATCAGTTTATGGGGGACAATTCCTGGGGCAGATATGGGGGTGGGATGTAATTCTGTTTATCCCTAATTAGCACCACTTTAGCACCACCGCTGACAAGCATTCCTTGAAGTCTAGGATCCCAAAGCTCACCAAGGCACTGACTTATCTAATCATCTGCATCACTATTTTTTAAAAAAGCAAAGAAACAACTATTGCTTCCTGTAAAGATTCACTCTAAATAAATAGAAAGTAAATGTTCAGATTATAATCTTTGGCAGAATGTGATATGGCATGAGATGAGACGCCAATATTCAGAGTGTCCTGCAATAAAATGTTGTGGCGTGGGACACTGTTCAAGATTTCTACTGCTCCATTCCATTTCCCCTCATCCATGTTTTCTGACCCACCCGCTCTTAGTCAGCATTCCATGGCAAATGAGCATGACCAGCTCTCATTGCCTCTTTTCTACTTTTTTTTAACCTAAAGATATATTGAACCTATGCAGACTTTGGGGTTCCCTCCAGATCCACTGATACTTCTGTTATATATGGATGGTGTCATTTTGGTTACATAAGTGATCACATTAGTGCTCGGAATGAACTACTTCACTGAATTAATCCAGCTATCTCTGAACTACACCAGAAAGCAGTTCCTATAATTTCCAGGTGAACCAAATGTGAATTAATTTTTTTCCACACTGCACTGTGTGTGTTTTGTTGTTTTCTTCTATTTTATACCTGTCCAGAGCAGTTTTTTAAAATTCTGATGTCTAGAGAGATAGAGGAAAAGAATAGCACCTGGGACTACATGAAGGAATTATGAATTATTATAAATATGTTAATTGAATCAGAATGGAATTTGTCCCTCTTTGCAGGGAATGAACTGGAACTGGAATGAATTCCTTAAAATAAAATAAAATAAAAATTCAAGCTCTCTATGATACTCAGAGCCTGGACATTAGAGGAACTGCTATGTCCAAATTCCCAGCAGACAGACAAAAGCAAACTCTTTGGATCCCAGCTGTGGATTGGGGTGGATTTTAAAAGGTTTTAACAGGGGGGTGAGAATGATAAATGATTGAAATCCAACCCTTGAAATACCTGGGTGAATGTTACAACTCCATTCATCATGGAGACAGTTGAGATCTGCATGGGATCTAAATATATACTTATTGAATACAAGGAAACAAACCAGATCTATTAGTTCTCTAATATATATGTTGTGGTTAACCCCAACATACATAATATATATAATAATAATAATAAAATAAAGCCCCACATCTGTACAAAAACAGGGGCAAAGCAAACGCTCTGTAAGTTTCTAACAAAATAAAGATCAACTTCTAGAGATCACTGCATAATTAAGATATGACCAGCTCTGCTGAATAAAATAAATTGTAGGTAATTGTAAATAAAACGATGCTGTCTAATGTACTACCAATCGAAATGTGCCTGGACAGGGGCTCTAGTTCCTTGATTTATTTTTAACACCCCTAGCCTTCCTAACTTCCTGCAATTGTTTGGCCAGCAAACCCAGCTATTCCACATTTTTTCCCCTTTGTTTGAGAGAAATTCCCGGTTTACGGAGATGGTGCTCTTTTGAAAGGCAGCTTTGTTTTTCCGACAGCTAGGTGTGTCTTTTGCACTATCCACAGAACAGTCTACCACATATTGTTTCAGCACTGCATTTAATGGACCTGTTGTTGACCCAAGAAAAGAATCCAGATAGACTTGGATTCTCTCTCTCTGTCTGTCTCTTGCACTCCAACACACCCAATCACACATACAAACTATCACACACATAGCAAGGCCTCCATAGTTATTCAAGCTAACATTCACCCTTAAGCGGCAGGTTCATTCCATGAAGTGCAAAACTCTTGTCTTTGAGCAATATAAGCTGTGCACCAGGAAATAAGGTGTTGAACACTCCGCTCTCAAAATCTGACCCTAAATATTTGAAAGTAATATTAATAATAATAAGACACTGAGCTGACACCAATGGGATGTGGATAGTTAAGTCAGAATGTGATTCCGGCAGCAGTCTTTGTCGTCCCTGAAAGAGTTTTGACCAAGAGGACTTCGTCGTACTGCATGCCAGGACCGACCACCATCATGTGTGGGCTTCCCATCACCTACGAATAGCGCCTCCTCCTCCTCCCAAAAGACGGGGTTCCGCTTCTTGGAAATTTATTGCTTCACGGCAAAGATTCGGAAGGCGTTTCCTTCTGTCTGTGTCTTTAAGCTGGAAACAAGAAATAAGACAAAGGGAAGGCATAAGCAGTTTTTCCATTACAGGAGTGGGGGGAAGCCCCTACATCTTCTTTTGATTGTTTTAAATAGTTGGAAAGTTGCATAAAGTGATAACCAGGTCTGACCCTGTCATATTTTCTTCATAGGAAGCCTCCTGGAAACCATATCTCCAGTGTCTGGTCTTCTGAACAGCTTCTAAGTAGGGATATTCTGGTCTTATCTATGATGGCCAAGAATCCATTTATCCTCCACACTTTTGTCCAGTCCTCCCCCCCCCCAGCTCACAGCCAATAGGAAATTCTTTATATGGATTCCCCCACCCTGAAAAGACTGGGGGGGGGAGTCTCAGGTGACTTTCCAATGGCTACAAGAGAGGTGATAAGATTCAAAGTAAACCCAGCAGGCCGCATCTGAAAAGCTTGGCTCTTTAGGTTGTCAGTGGGGAATAGCAGTCAATGTTTCTTTGCTAATTCCTCTGTTCAAACACATTTAAAGGCAATGGGGATTTTATTCAGTGTTTGAAACCCTGAAACCAATTTCAAAATTGAGATGGTGGCTGGCTGATGCAGACAAATTTGTTATTTACAGTGGACGCTCGGGTTGCGAACGTGATCCGTGCGGGAGGCACATTTGCAACCCACAGCATTCGCAACCCGCAGCGCCACGTCTGCACACGCACGGGTTGCGATTCGGCACTTCTGCGCATGCGCAAGCACCGAAACCCAGAAGTAACCAGTTCCGGTGCTCCCGGGATTCGGTGCATCCGGAACCCAAAAACGCGCAACCTGAAGCGTCTGTAACCCGAAGTATGACTGTATAGGGTTGCTTGCTTTAGTAGGTAGGCTACTTCCTCCCATCCACATCCCCAGTGGATTTTTTAATGATTTATACTGAAAATGACCCTTGGCTCCAAACAGTAAAAACATGGTTGGCTGACTGAGGTCCCATCCACACCATAGATTTAAAACACTGTTATACCACTTTAATAGTCATGGCTTCCCCCAAATTACCCTGGGAACTGTAGTTTGTTAAGTGTGCTGAGAGCTGCAAGGAGATCCCTTATTCCCTTCACAGAGACACGATTCTCCCTTCATGCTCAGAGAATTCAAAAGTTGCCTTGCTGACTCGCCCTCCCTTTTCGCTTCCATCAAAGGGAGAAAAAAGCAACAGTCTTGGAACCAGTCACAACCCTGAGAGTTTTGGCTTTTACAGAAGTCCCAGTGTGAGCTATCTTGGGATATTCCCAAAAGCCTTTTTCCTCCTGGGGGAGCAACATAGTGAAGCTTACGCAGGACTGAGAAGAGCAGGGAGGGAGCTATCCAAGATGTACTTTCCCAGAAACCCCCATGGGATCTAAGGCAAGAATGATGAGGCACCATGCCTGGCTGCTTGATGTCATCTGAGATTTAGGGGCCTCCCCACAAACTAACTCATAGAGGTGTGCTTAGCATCCTACAGGGTCAGTGTAAAAAAACCAAAACCAATTAGAAAAGCCAGTCAGTGTTTCACTGCCTTGTTATATGCTTTCTAGAAGGAAAATTCTTCTAATGGTGTGAAGGGACATCACTTGTGTTCCATTGAACAAGGATGGGGAACTTGTGGCTCTTCAGATAACATTGGACTACAACACCCGTCATCCTTGCCTATTGGTTGCACTGGCTTAGGCTGATGGGAATAGAGTCCAACAACATAAGAACATACGAAGTCAGACCATTGATCCATCCAGCTCAGTGTTGTCTGACTGGCAGCTGCTTTCAAGGATTTTGGGCAGGGTTCTCTCACAGTCATAGCTGAAGATGCTGTGGATTGAACCTGGGACCTTCTGCTTGCAAAGAAGATGCTCTCCCCAGACATCTGAGGATCACCAGGGACAGGCCATAGCTCAGTGGTAAAGGCCATGTTTTGCATGCAGAAGGTTCCAGGTTCAATCCCTGCTGTTTCCAGGTAAGTCTAGGAAAGAATCCCACTGGAAATCCTGGAGAAACACAGGCAGTATGACTATATAACACTGAGCCGGATGCTCAGAGCATGAGGCAGCTTCCTATGATTCCTATCCATGCCAAAGGACCATCACTATTGTAAAAGGAAGTATCAGAACAGGGTGATGAATCCCTCCAAATTTCTGTAAATACTTGCTCTTACTAGTTCTCTTCTCAGACAAAGCGGAAACATGGAACATGTCTGACCACCTTTCTTTATCCCCCTTAATCACTCTCAAGAACAATACTGTGAATCAATTCCTTACTGAATACTTTGTCATACAGCCAATCACTGATTTATGGAATTTGTTGTCAGAAGATGTGGTGCTGCTCAATAAATCAGATGTGGAGGAAAGGACAAACTCATAGAGGAAAAGTCTTGCCAGTGACTATTAGTCTGGATAGCTCAGATGGTAGCATGGTACTGATAATGCCAAGATGTTCTGTACGGAACAGCTGCATATTCCTGCAATGCATAGGGCTTGGACTAGATGGTCCTCAAGGTCCAAATCAATGATCTATCAGTCTATGATCTACTTGTCATGGTGGCCATATGGAGTCCACATGCTCATATGCTCTCTCTCTCTCTCTCTCTGTAGCAATTGTGTGGAACAAATGTGAGAATTGCTATTGTTTCCTGTTTGTGGATGTCCTGTAGGCATCTGACTGGACACTGTAAGATGCTGGGTTAGATGGACCAGCAGGGCTTTTCTTCAGTTCTTAGGTTGCAGAATAAGGAAGACAACAGAAGAACCATTTCATAAAGAGCCCAATCAGGAGAGGAGTGACTGCCTTACCTTGCAGATTGGATCCCATTCTTTGAAGAGCCACTGTAGGATTTCTTCTTCTCCACAGGCATCACGTCCACGTACCCACCAGCGTTGTCCCCAATGACCCCTGCATGCACAGCAGCCTTGCAGATACTGGAATTCTGAAAGGTCATAGAACAACCACAGTCACTTACAAAGGGGCCCAGAGGCTCAGAGGCATCGCATGGAACTCAACCCACGTTGCATATTAGCTGGGACATTATTCACACAAACACAGTTCCAGGTTATCATTTTGTTATCGCTAGGGCTGTGAGGGCACAGGGCATTCAACACCAGCCCCAGCGCTCAGCATCCTGGTCCAAAATTAATCCTCAATTCCCTCATTATCAACCGTGACAGCAATGTCCACCCCGGCACCTTTCAAAAAGCAGCATTAATTTTTAAAAATAAAATAAAATACAGGCCCATGTATACCTTTATACCAGGTTAATTCCAGATCACATTAAAGTTTACCAAAATGTCAAGCCTTACTTGAGAGAATCGCAACAGCCATTGATGGATCACTGCATCTTAAAAGCTACCGTATTTTTTGCTCTATAAGAAGATTTCCCTCCTAAAAAGTAAAGGGAAATGTGTGTGCGTCTTATGGAGTGAGTGCAGGCTGCGCAGCTATCCCAGAAGCCAGAACAGCAAGAGGGATTGCTGATTTCACTGCGCAGTGATCCCTCTTGCTGTTCTGGCTTCTTAAGATTCAGAATATTTTTTTCTTGTTTTCCTCCTCCAAAAACTATGTGCCTCTTGTGGTCTGATGCGTCTTATAGAGCAAAAAATACGGTATTTGGGAAAGAGGGAAATAGCACGGAACACCAAAGCTGTAGGGAACGCCAGTCTTTGGATTCAAAAGGATTTGTGGATAGGCAGCTACAGAGGAACAAAGAGCTAAAGCACACACACACACACACACACACACACACACACACACACACTGGAGATCATGGTCTCCCCTCCTTCTCTCCCACCCAAGCCATAAAAGGCAGGTTCTCTTTCATCCCTTTTAACATTTATCACTGCCTCTGTGCTGGCAGCTCTGCCCATCCCGTTTGCCAGCTTGATTTGGGGGCTTCTATATATGGTCAAGGAGAGTGGAGGAACACAGCTGAAGCAGATATGCTTTGAATTTGCCTGAGTATGCAGCCACAAAGCATCTAAAACCGGGACATTAAAAAAAATATATCACCCTGTCCTCAAGGAAGTCAGACAGGCTATTATTCTGCAGCTATGCACTACAGAAGCCTCCCTTTCCAATAGTTCTTTCCAAAGCCTTCATTTCCGGGCTGTTCTGCCTTCCGAAATTCACCTCCGGTGTGGTCAAGGCACACCCCTTCCACCCCCTTCCACCCCCTGGTGTTGCCTTTCGCTTGCTCCCAGCAAGAGTTTCTTATCTTCACTACCAAGTTGCAAAACTGATTAAAGAGGATAAGCCCCAGCACAGGAAGGAATCTCCTCCCTCCCTTAAAAAACAGCAATTATAATATAAAACGATGGCCAAGCAGCCTCAATTTCTCTATCCCTTTGATGCTATGGCCTGTTGGCTACGCAAATAAAGTCTTTGTAATCTCAATCTCTCTATCCCTAGCCTGGAATGCATCCACACCATGCATTTGATAACTTCTTTACTTGTAAATTGATGGAGAATAGGGAAAAAATGATTTTTTGGGCACAGTGCTGTGGGAGGAACAAAAACCCAGTGCGCACCATTTCAGCAAAACCACTTAACCAACAGAAATGGAGGCAAGAGAGAAAAGAAATCCTGATAACACTTTACTGATCTTACTGAACAAAAGCTGCATATAGGTTCACTAGAAAGGAACAGAGAGATTTTGACTTTCTTTGTTCCAGCCTTGTACATAGCAGGGAGACATACAATCAAGCATGCAGCCTGTTAATTCTAAGTTTGCATGCAATTTTTATGCAAATATGTCTCCTTTTTAATCTTATGGGGGGGTTGCATTTTCTCTTTGTTGGCAATACAAAATGCCACACCCTTCCAGCTGCTGTCTGCTGTGTTGCATTTTACTATTCTTTAAAGTCACTATCAACTTTATGAGTGAATAATAGAATATAAATCTGCTCCTGTTCCCATGCTCCTCCCAAAGTTATTAATTTCAGCAACCTGCTTGTTCAGTAGAGTGGGGAGCCTTGGCATTGTCACTATTGTCAAACAACCGGGAATCAGAAACCCTTGTTGCAAATCAGATCCCACTCTACATTCTGCCGACCCTTAGCTGTTGTAAGCTTGTATTTCAATATGGTTTTCATTTCTTTTTCTTCCCCTTCCCCTTGGTCTGTTTTAGAAACAGCTGAGCACCATCCCTTGCTCTCTGCAGGGTGGCAGAATGGCATTCTAACTCGGGAAACCACTTTTATGCAGGGTTTTGATGGCCCATCTGGCTTTGATGATAAGCTTTCACTACTTTCGACTGTTTGCTTCCTCAGTTCATCCAAGCCTGGAGTGCGCCTCCGGCACATTTGTGGTCTCATTATTTTGCCACTGATTACAAGCACTCTGGCTCCTTGAGCTCTCAAGAGCGTTTCCAGAGCTACCATGACCTCTTTCCCTGCAAACATACCTTTCCCAAGGCTTCAGTCCTGAGCCAGCTAAAATAGTATGCTGGTTTCTATGGGAAAAAAGTGAGCTTGTCTTTTTTTTTTTATTATTCAAGTCACACAGGCCAGAATTAAGTGTTCTTTATCCCCATGGAGGAAAGCACACCAAACAGGTCTCAGGGGGAGGGGGAACCAAAAAAAGCTTCAGTCTTTATGGGGCTGCAGAGGGGAAAGATGCCGAGTCCAAAGTCCTCTGCAAAGACTGGTTCCTACTTCCCTATAGCCCTGTGCCATGATCAGAGTTCATTTTGGATACACATGTACTCAAGCAAATGAGCTAAATTGGGGGTTGGCAAGCTTTACCAGCCATGGGCCGGATCATTCCCATGGAGATCATCCGTGGGCCAGACTGGTGCAGCGCAATGCTGGAAATCATGTCTGCGCATGTCCACGGCACCGAAAATTGCTTTTGTGCATGCCCAGATGCTGAAAATCGCGTCTGCGCAGAAGCGATTGTCAGCGTCGGACATGCACAGAAGCGATTTCTGGTATCTGTGTGTGCACAGATTCCATTTCTGGTGCCACTCGGTGAGTCCCTGCGCTGCGCCGTGCCACTTTAGTGCAGTGCGTGGGGGACTTGCCAAGCGGGCGGCTCAGTTTGCGGGCAGCTCGTGGGCCGGTAAAATGATCTTTGTGGGATGCATCTGGCCCATGGGCCACACATTGCTGACCCCTGAGCTAAATGATCTGTAAAGGGCAAAATTTAAGGACCAATATGGAAATCTGCTTGGTCTCCATTTTGCAAAAAGTCACCTGCCATATAAAGAACAGGGACCAGTTCACACACGGTCTCTGCATGCTTTGATCACTGCATGCTTCTAAGCAGTAGTAATATAGCGTAGTCAATGTGGTGCCCTCCAGGAGTTGCTGGACTACAAATCCCATCACCTTTGACCCCAGGCTGTGCTGGCTGGGGCTGTTGGGAGTTAAGAGTCCAAAAACAGTGGGAGAGTGCCAGGTTAACTACTCATGTGGTGGGAATAGCAGTAGTAATAATGAGAGAGAGTTTTGTCTATGGTGCCACGCCGTCTGTGGAATGGTCTCCCCTCTGAGATACAGAAGGCATCAACTCATACCCTCCAACATTTTCATCCCCCAAAATCACTGGACCTTCAGCTTTGGCCCATCCTTGCTGACTCACGCCAGAGTAAGTTGTCTTTTGCTCCGGTAGTCTGACATGAGGACTCGCACCAGAGTACTGGACCAAAAACTGGGACATTCCAGGATGCAACAGAGGTTGGGGTTGCTTTCTGTGATTTGGGGATGTCCCACTTAAAATGGGACAGTTAGGGGGTATGTCAACAGTGATGAATTTCCAATAGTTATTGAAAACAAGTCTTCTTGCCCAGGCATTCCCTGGCCTTTGATACTTGTTTTAACAATTCTTGGTTCTGTATGTGTAGATTCTGTCCTATTTTTCTAGTTATTGTAAACCACTTTTAGTTTATTAATGAAAGGCTGTCTAAAAAAGAATTCAAGTAAATTAGTACTATTCATTCATTCTTTATCGGAGAGAGAGAGAGAGAGAGATCAACTCAACCACTTGAGTGCCAATCTTTATGTGTTGGAAGTGCAATGGAAATCCCAGAGCCAACCCTCCCATAAGGCAGAATGAGACCATGACCAAACTGTGTGTAATCATCAGTTCATCCTGTAGGCATCAAGCGATAACTATACACACTGGCATATATTGCTTTAGCACAAACCTTCCCTGACGAGCCTTCCATCCTCTCCTTCTACCTTATATCCAATTAAGTCCACTACTCATAACTGCCAAAGCCAAGGCAGTTGAGCAATCATATTTGGGTGGGAAGCCATGCTTCCATTCAACCCATTGCTGAAGATCTGGCAGAAGAGTGCTAACTTAGGATCTAAAGAGGAGTTTAAAAGAAACCAGTTCATACAAAGAAATTGATCTTATGCTAAGGCCACACAGTGTCCAAAATGAGCTTTATCCCTTGCAGGGAAACAACTGTAAGTTTTTGTTTGGGTTTTTCTCCTTTTTAAAAACGCAACTCAAGAAGCTCTACAGTAGGAACAAAATCATCAAATAATTTGGAGCATTCTAGCTGTGCAGTAGTAACTTTATTCCACTGCCAACCCACACGTTGATTAAACACTGTCAGGCTCTGTTGCCAGCCAACAATTTTGGAGAGCAAAGATTTGGTCTCCAAACAAGATGGATGTTGTTCTTGAACACATCCCTAATTCAACAGGGAATAAATGTTTTTGGCTCCTTCTCCTGAGTCCTAAGAACTCCTGGTGTGTTAAGCCTCTGTGCTATAGACATGCAGAGGATGTTCACCTTCTGGTATAGAGTATCTCATGGTTTTTCTATCTGCTCAAGGAATCATAAGAATTACAGGCCTGCTCTGTAATGTCCCTATGCCAACCTTCACCAAATGAATGGCCTCTGGGTGCTTTGAACTACAACTCCTCTCAGGCCCAGTCAGCATGGGCCTGCTCAATGCTGTTCAATGCTGTTCCAGCTCAATGCTGTTAGCATACAGAGGATGCCACTCTTCTAACATTGACTATATCATGATTTTTGTCCACTTACTCAAGAAATCCTGGGAACCGTAGGCTTCCCAAAGTGCTGAGAATTCTCTTCTGGCAATCCTCTGGTTGCCGGTGAACTACAAATTCTGTCACTTGCCTATAAACTATGAGTCTGCCTCCACCTTACATTTATCACATGGAAAGCAGGTTTGCAGCCACGTCTTAGCTCAATGTGTTAAAACACCTTTATGTATTTATTTATTGGTAAGCCACTTTGAGATTGTTTGGGTAATAAAAATGGAAGGAATAAACCTCATCCAGCTTTATCTGCCTCTCTTCAGAAAAGCCTTCAGATTTCTCAATGACACAGCCTGGCTTGCACTCTGGATGTGATATACAGCACTCATAAGCGGGCTCACTTTCACGATCGGTGGAAGGTGCCCTGTCATTCATAAAACTACAGAAGCCGAAAATGCCACAACAGCTCCACTGTGTATGTACAGCCCATTTTGCCAAGCAGGATGAAAAGAAGGTTACTTACATCTGCGTAAATGTTGGTGCCATACACCGGTGCCCAATAGGATGGCTCATCTTTGCAGTAAGCTGGGCAGTAAGACCTGAAAGGCAATGCATTGAAATGAGCATCTAGCACCATAGATAGCCAATGAGTTTTTGGACTCCACCTAGGAGGTTGTTGGACTCCTGTGAGCCACAGAAAGCCTGGCCAATGGTCAGGGATGATGAGAGAGTTGTGGCCCAGCAATATAAGGAGGGCACTGTAGGAGAATAGTTCTTTCCCTACAGAGCCACCTTCACTACCCCTTATGTTACAACAATGAGCTTTTAGGCAGGAAGCTCCGGATTCTGTCTCCCACCACCCTACAAAATTTGCCTGGCACACATATATATATATTTGAACAGCCTTGCTGGATCAAACCAAGAGTCATTGTCAGCTGGTGAAGGAATTCGCTCCTGGGAGTCACCAGCTACTTTTTTTTGCAGTTACTGGGCCAGATGGGGAAGAGAAATCCTTACCACTGACTGTTGAGAGGCAACAGGGAGGCAGGATTGGCTCAGTCAGCACCTTCCAAGCTCTGTGGCTACTGACCGGCTAGCAGCTTCAGATGATATTACCACATTGGGAGCTGCTAGTCAATCAGGAACTGAATGAAAAGCCCCTGCTACTCACTTACCTCCCAGTGAGGGAGCTGTTTCTCCTCTCTGTGGTGCTGATTGTCCCCACCAGAGAACCATCCCACCAGCTACTGCTGTTTGCTGTGAATTTTCCCAGCCTTCTCTCTGCTTTCACCAGTCTTGCTTTTGACTGCCAGGTGTCTCTTGAATATTCCTTTAAGCTGACAGGCTTATACCATTGTTTAAAATGTCCTATGAGTGGCTGTTCATTTTTATGATTGCATCATAGTGCTTTTAATGTTTCTGCGTTGCTGAACACTCCCCTGATGTTTTGCAAGAGTGCGGCATATAAATACTTTATATGAGTAAAATAAACAAATGAATTTCCCTTTCATTGCAATGGGGACTCATGCAGGGGGAAGTCCTGGGCCACTCATACCCACCAAGGATAACTCCAGCATTTACCTTGGGCAATGAGTGGCTGGCTTCTTGAACTGGCAAAGCTCCGCTACTGTGGTGTAACAATCCAGCGTCTGCACTGTGGAAATGAACACAAAGTCAAGTTGTGAGGTCCATGGGATGGAAGGAAGCACTTAAGACAGACTCCCCATGCACACACCACCCATTGCATATTAAGAGGACCAGTTCCAAGGGTGAGAAGTCCTTGAGCAAAAGGGTCCTCTGGTGCTGCTGCAGCGGGATCAAGCAGTGAGAGGAAATATGCATCCTGAGCAGGAGCTCCTGAGTGGCTCAGTCATCCCCTTGAAAGCCTTGCAGTTGCTGATTGGAAAGCAGCCTCTGTTGATGTCAGGAACTGCTAGCCAGTCGGTGATAAATGAAACGTCCCATGCTGTCCCTGGATCACTAGTAATGGAGGACCATTAAGCATCCTCTGGTGGACCCCTTCTGTCAGCTAACCTGTCTTGGCTGCTGTGAACCAGCCGGGTCCAGCCGCCCTTTACATTTCCCTTGGTAACCCCAGAGTGACGCAAACTCCAAGGGCATGGTGGGAAATTTAAAAGGGAGGCTAAATCCAGATATCTGATACTGTTGAGGATCAGAAGCAAAGAAAAGTTCAGGGGCCATCCAGGGAGGACAGCTGGTGCTTTAATGGGCGTTAGGGTCCTGGAAGCAGCTGGAAGGCAGAGTGCTGAAAGATGCCAGCCCCGCACATCCAAGTCCCTTCTCTTCAAACAGTTTTACACAAAGGATACATTTTTGAGAGTCTTTATCTTGGAGAATCAGCTAAACTGCAAAAAGATTCCTTCATTTAAAAGGAGGGAAGGAATCCAAGGTTGTTGTTTTTTTTGTTTTTTTAAGTGGCCTCATTCTTCCTTGTAAGTGTCCTGTCCGGTCTGCAGTCTGTTCCTGGCAGATTATAAGTCGCATCCTAACTTTAAAAGGCTTTTGATGGCATTGCTTTTGAAAGTCCCTCCCCCCCCCCTTTTTCATCTCTAACTTTCTAATGCCTTTGTTCAGGCGAACAGGGGTCTGGCACACACACACAAAAAGCTGTGTTTAGCCTGGATCAGAACTGTAACTGGATGGAAAATGGGTCTGTTTCAGGACAATGCCAGAGTTAGCCTTTGAGTGTTTGTGTGTGTTCTTTTTTTCTTGGAGCTTTCATGCTTTGCTCTTGTCATAATTATGAATATTGTTTTTACAGGCACATGAAAGAGACACACATCTTGATGGCTGGGGTGGCGGGGGAAGCCAAGAGGAAGAGATTGTTTCAGTTCAAAGTAAATTGCAGGACTCATTTTGGACCAACCTAATCAAAACCGGGATTTTGAAAGCAGCTCCTTTGCTGTTTCTTGTCACAGATTGACAATGCAACTAGCAATGTTCATTAGTATTATTATTTTCATTATTATTTCACCTAGACAACAATTTTTACTTATAATGTTCTTCACCATGTTTTCTGTAAGTCTTTGCAACACCTCTGCAAAGCAGGTCACTCCTAATCTCATTTTAGAGATGAGTAACAGCCAGATGCCATCAGAAAATCATTATAATGGAAGAGATTGTGGCTACTTTCACAGCATTCATTTAAAGGACTATGATAGTACAGCCATGGCTTCCCCCAAAGTACTCTGGGAGCTGTAGTTTGTGAAAGGTGCTGCGAGTTAATAGAAACGCCCCTGGTCCCCACACTGTGCTGCAATTCACAGAGGGGTTTAACTAGGGTTGCCATACGTCTGGAATTTCCCAGACATAGCCAGAATATGGCAATAGGAAACAGTGCCTGGGCTCAACAGCCTTTGTGTCTAGATTTCCTTGTTTAGAAATATGGCAACCCCCAAGTTTAACAGTAATTTCCTCTTCACAGAGAACTCTGGGGACTATAACTCTGTGAGGGAATTATCATCCACCAAGTGGCATTCTTGAGTGGAGCTTTGAAATGGGTTCAGCAACACCTGACAATAAGTTGATTGTTGGATCAAGAGAAGCTGTCTTTCGAGTGCTGTTTTACAGAGTGGCTTTGCCAAGCCCTCTGCAAGATCCCCTGTTCTGCCCCCACAAGTCCACCTGTCAAACCTGGCCCACAAGAGGTGGGGGAGAGAGCAGCCTGACCTGTCTGCCAGATCCCATCCCCCACATCCTTGATGTAAACCAAAGGCCAGTTCTAGTATAATGTACAGTTCTAGGAAGCTTTTCCATGCCTAACAAACCCCTGAATGGCATAGTATCTTCTCAGCTATTATAGGCTCCCTATAAAGAAAACTTACCTGTGACTTTTGAAACAATGAAGGAATTAGAAGGTTTGAATTTGCTGTGAAATGCAAAAGACAGAAAACAAAAAGTATTAACTGGCTGTTTCTAACTAAAAGATATGCACTGAATAAATCAAATCTCCATGCACCATTATAGGAGGACCAGCATCTGTTAGATATCGGAAGTAGGCAGGATAAATTCCAGATTTTGTAACTGTTAAACAAGCCCCTGCTGCTGGGCGTATCACAAGTTGACCTGCAGCCACCAGCAGGAGTGTGTGTTTGTGTATTTAATGCCATGAAAATACTCAACAGCATTTATTTATTTTTCTGAATTATACTGCAGTTAAAGGCAGAAGAGTAAACAGGCCATTTTTCTGTGATCATTTGGCCACCCCTAAAGGAGTCTGAAGTTTGGAACTTCAGGTTTCTCAGATTAAGAATAGTATGTCAGGAACTCCATTTCATAGGTGGAGAAGGGACCAATCAGAAGATAATGGAAGTCACACACATAGCCATGACTCAACATTTCCTTAAAGCGCATCACTGCTGAACCTGGAGTTAGACTTTCACTTCTACAGATCCTGATTTATTCCCTCTCTCTTAATACTAGAACTCACAATCTTCCTGTGAAACTGAATGACAGGACATTTTGGATGGGCAGATGAAAGTACAGTGGTACCTCAGGTAACAGACACTTCAGGTTACAGACTCTGCTAACCCAGAAATAGTACCTCGGGTTAAGAACTTTGCTTCAGGACGAAAACAGAAATGGCGTGGCAGTGCGGTGGCAGTGGGAAGTCATATTAGCTAAAGTGGTACCTTAGGTTAAGAACAGTTTCAGGTTAAGAACGGACCTCCAGAACGAATTAAGTTCTTAACCCGAGGTACCACTGTAGTTTTTTGCAGAAAACACAATGGAATTCACCCCCAATTGCTTAGATACTTTAAAGGGGAGATAAACAAATTCACAGAAGATAAGGCTATGAGCCATTAGATCTAAGCAGAACCTCCACATTCAGTGGCAATATACCTCCAAATATTTGCCCATGGGCAACAGAATAAAGGGAAGGCTTCTTCTTTCAAGCCCTACCTGCAGGCTTCCCAGAGTCATCTGGCTAGTCATTGTAAGTAAACACTATCCTGAGCTAGATCTGGCTAGATCGATCTTGTGATGTCCATATGCCCTTGACTACAGAGCCTTTCAGGCAGCTCAGTAAATGTAGAAACCAACTTAAGGCCCAAGTTAAAACCCACCAAAACCATCACCCAGAATATTTACTGCTCAGATTTCCCCCCATGGTAAATTACCTTGATGATTGGATGCCATTTCTTGAAGACTTCACAAAGAAATCTGCTCTGCCTTTCCTGGTGATGTCTACCAGGCCTCCTCTGTTATCCAGCACCCCAGAATGGATGGCAGCCCGACATATACTGGATGACTGCAAGGAACATTATTTTTACAGAAGACAGTTAATAGAGTTTATTTGTAAGACTCTTCCTAGCTGATGGAATAGCTTGCATTTTTGGTAGCAGTCTGTCATTAATCCAGAGCAGGGGTCATCAATGCAGTGCCTCTGGGTGCCACAGTGCCCTCCAGTACCCACCTATGGCACCTGGAAAAGGCCTCAATAAATATTCTCCCCCCAAAAAATCTGTAATGTATGGGAGACTGTTTGCTCTTCCTGCTCAGTTTCTGTTTGTTCTGGCTCAGCTTCTCCCACATTGAATGCATCCCCTTAAACATGCCCATGTGCCATCAGATTCCAGAACACCCTCCCTCCCTTTAGTTCTGAACAGAGGAGAGGCTGAAAGAGTTTCTCTCTATGAGTGAGTGTAGTGGTGATTGATGAAGATGCTTTTTTCCAATGATTGCATCAATTTGTGGCCCTCTTTTTCTGCTCTTTTAGATCTGAAAGCCATTTTGTGTTGTGTCATGTCCCTATGGCAGCAATCTTGTAACAGATGCCCACAGCGCTGTCTCAAAATCCTGAATTGATCTAGTGGCATTTGCCATTCATAGCCTACAAGCCACAATTAATATGGAGCATAGCTGACAACATTGATTTTCAAAATACTAACACACAGACACACGGATTGGAACGAGTACAAGGGAAGCCTGGACTTCAAGGGGTGGAATGTAAAAATTGTTGATTTTATTTGCTGATCACTAAATGAATGCTACTGTTTCTGTGCTTTGGTTTTATTGTTGATCTTTTAATTTTAGTTTTAGTATTACAATAATAGTCTTTAAATTGTACATTGCCCTGGAAGTTTATGTTGAAGGGTGTGGCTCATATATTTCATATATAAAATGTTTGCTGTTATTAGAGACAAAGCCAAGAGTAATGTGACCTATCAGGAGTAAGCTAGAGCAGTATCTGTCTAGATAGAGCCAGGGTAAGGCCTAGCTAGTGATGCATGATGTCTAGCAGAATTTCGAGCTCCAACAGAATCTGGAGCTTCTTCATTCTGCAGACACCCCAGTTTTGGAAGCCAGACATCATGCATTTATTTATTTTTTAGCAGGTAAGAACTAATTAAACACTGTATGATGGGAGTGGCCCTGTTGAACTGAAAGCCACCTACATAGAACACAAGGCTGTGGTTGTGTGCTTGGCTTTTATCCAGGGTGACTATGCTTGGTGGTTCTATCATCATACAGGTCACTAAGGCACATCATTATCCTCCATTTCTTGGGACTTGCAAATATCTCTGTTTATTACTTTATTACTTACGCTTTCATAGGTGAAGGTTCCGAACACTTTTGCGTTATTGTTCAAGCAGCCAGCAGGACACAGGTATCTAGCAAAAAAAATAAATGAGTATAGTTAGCCATGTAATAGTCTTCAAGCTTTTTGGAACTATCTGTAGACCCAGCCTGAAACAGAGAAGCCACTTTTTATTTTTATCATACATTCTGACTTGCCCATTCTTCTCTGTCTCTCTCTTGTTCCTCCCTCCATTCATTTTTCCTCCTTTTTTGAACCCCAAACAAATAAAAACTTCCCCTGAAATGGGGTCATGTTGTGGGTGCAATGCATGTTAGGAATGGATATGCGCCTGTTACCAGCTTTGACTTGTGGGTCTTGATTAGGGATAGAGGCGGAACCCACAAAACTAGGATTCCAAGAGGATCATGACTTGGATCAAACTGCAAGCTCACTCTGTCTTTAGAACTTTTAGGTATATAGAGCTGATGGACAAAGTTCCATGGAGGTAGACAAATGGGGAAGACCACCGAGTCAGATAATCAAATCTGTCCCCTGCCCCCGCAAAACAACACCACCACCAAAGTGGCTTTTGCAAGCTTCATCAACATACAGTGGACAGGGGCTGTGTACACACCAGGGTGGATAAAAATCAATGATTTTTTTATTTTAAAAAATCAAAAAATTCAATTTTATTTAAATCGGGTTTCTAAAATAAAATGCTTTTGGAGGAAAAATCTTTCTAAAGATAGTTTACTATTTAAGTTACGTTATAGTCCAAAGGCTATTCATCAGGAAATAAGAATTTGTTTTTAAGTTATCGTATGTGCTGAAATTCAGTCTAAGTTTGTTTGTTTTTTAATCATTTAACCATATCAGTTAACAAACATGGATACATATGCTATAATGCTATTGTTTTAGTTAAATAAGTTGTTCAAATTGTTATTAAGGAAATGATTATTTTTCTCCTTCCAATAAAGAACAGCAGAAAAGTTGTCCAAATATAAATAATAATTTCATAATTACCTGTATTTGTATTTCTAATAATATAACCAAATCAGTAATTTTTGATATAACTGTAAAAACTACTTTGAAAATTAATTTTTCCAAAAATGAAACATTCATCTGGTTGTAAATATTAAGATTGCACCAGCAAGAATGAGTCTTTCTGTAAAAAAAAATGATTTAAATCAAGTCTTACTGACCAGTGATTTAAATGGACCCACGGTAAGGTCTACCTGCAATGAGTTTTTATTTTTGGAACAAAACCAGTTTTTCAAGAAGCACTTTTCAGGGGCAAAAAAAAATAATACAATAGATCTAGACTGAGTGTGGGCTATGTTGCAAAAGCAAGTACTCAGACTCCACTGATTTGCAAATAAAATGTTGTGCAGCTTTACTAACCTCATTTGAACTACCCACGTTTTTAAGGAGAAACAATAACAAAAAAAAGCAATGCATAAAAACGGGACACCATCCCCACTCAACATTTTCAAACAACCCTCTCTTTAATACCAATGTTTGGTTTGGATTTGGCATGCTGCTCTCCACGACCCCGTCCCCCCCCCCACAAAAAAAACCCAAGTGATAAACTGTACTGTACTTAAACTAAAACCATCACACGCAGGCTTGGTGGGTGGAGGCAATTGATGGTCCAGCTGAGATAAGTAAACATTGCTGGAGCGAGGGTGCTGAAAGGTCAGTGCCAACATTAGCCAAACAGTGTCGGCCACTTTGGGAACTGCGGGTTACACATTGCAGGCACTTGCACGAAATCAACTGCGGCCCCTTAATCTTGGCTGAATTTGGCTGCGTCATTTGCATGAATGGGCCCTGAAAGGCTGGCTTCATAGACAAGGGGCTTCTACACAGCCACTGGATCCGTGTCACAACAAACAGAGCACAGCCCATCTTTTGCTTTGAAAATATAGTGCGACTTTGCCAAGGGTGAGGCCTCTGCTTTCCCAGCAAGGTGGGGAAAGGAAAGAGAGGGAGGGGGTGATTACCTGTTACATGTCGATCCTTTGCATTTATCCCTCATTTTGGTGTCACACTTGATCACTTGTGCTGGAGGGGGGAAGAGAAAATATAGAACCATCAGCAGGGCAAGTACTGTAACAGATATCCACATGGTCACACTTGTGCAGATGAAGCCTTCAAGCCGTTGCTAGACTACAACTCCCATCATCCATGACCATTGGCTATGCTGGTGATGGGTGTTGGAGTCCAACAAGATCTGCAGGGCCACAACTTCCCCAGTCTTGGTCTAGAAGCTTTAAGGGGGTTCTCTCTTTAGAAAGCTACAGGTGACCAAAAATTCCCTTGCAGGAGCATCTTGAAACTTAGGAGAGGGAGACAGTAATGCTCTCTTACTCATGTAAGACACAGCGGTTGGCTTTTCTTTCACAGGTTTTGTGGCTTTGGGCTTCCACACAGGTTTGCTGTCCGTCACCTGGGGCGTCTCCACTTCGTTGGTCTCCTCGGTCTCGGGTTTTTGGACGTAACCGTCATCTTTTTTCACCCCAACAGATTGAAAGAAAAAGCATCTTGTTAATATTTAAGGTCAGTGGGGCAGGTGGTGGAGGTGACTGCTCCCTTTAATTTACTTAGGGGGGTTGGCTGCATTGCCCAGAAGTTCACTTCTGCTTGAAAGCTTAAAATGCAAAGCAAACAGAAGGGAAAAGTGGGTCCTTCTCTTCTAAAGGTCACATCCACACCACCACAGCACCTCTGTGGAGAGTGCACTACAGATCCCAAGATTCTTTGGGGGAAAGCCATGTGTTTTATATTTACAGTGTGGCTTTGACTGGAGTATGAAGTAACAAACAAGATCTGTACAAATATAAGAATTACTATCTGATTAGCCCATGCATAGGGAAATTCACACCTGGGGGCAGGCATCAAATGGAGACCTCTATGCCTCTCTGTCCAGCCCATGCGATGTCCTCAAGGCATGCCCATTTATCTTCCAAGGCCACAATCTCTATTGGCCCCGCTTTACACCCTCTGGGAGTATTTTTGCCTGGCCAGCAATGTGCCCTGGATCTCTGATTGTGACTCATGCTTTCCTAGATGGGGACTAGAGTAGGGTATGCGAGTTGGGTGTAGAAACCAACCCACTGTACATCAGTAACCTTGATGTTCATTGTGTTGCTACTGGCAAAGTTCTATTCAAAGTAGACCGACTGAAATTGATGAGCCTGAGTTGGTTGCGTCCAATCATTTCAGTGTGTCTACTCTGAGTAGGACTAACATTGATACAGCCCATCTAGTCCAGCATCCTCTTCTCACAGTGGCTCACCAGATGCTGTGAGAAACCTGAGCACAAGCACAGAGCTCTGCCCCTCCTCATCCATGGCTCTCAGCGAATGGAATTCAGAAACATTTCTTGAAGCTAACCCATCAACAGCAAGCAGCTGGACAGCAAACTGAGCAAGCACACAGATCCCCCTCCCTTTGGTCACAGCCTTAAGGGGGAAATACAGTTCTACATTTGTATCTATGCATATGCACTAAAGTAAAAGGTAAAGGTACCCCTGCCCGTACGGGCCAGTCGTGTCCGACTCTAGGGTTGTGCGCCCATCTCACTTAAGAGGCCGGGGGCCAGCGCTGTCCAGAGACACTTCCGGGTCACGTGGCCAGCGTGACGAAGCTGCTCTGGTGAGCCGGCACCAGCGCAGCACACGGAAACGCTGTTTACCTTCCCGCTATAAAGCGGTACCTATTTATCTACTTGCACTTAGGGGTGCTTTCGAACTGCTAGGTGGGCAGCAGCTGGGACCGAAAGATGGGAGCTCACCCCGCCACGGGGATTCGAACCGCCGACCATGCGATCGGCAAGCCCTAGGCGCTGAGGTTTTACCCACAGCGCCACCCGAGTGCTGCATATGCCAATTCTCTTGACATCTTGCAAACCGCTTAACCACGTACCTTTGTAACAGAGATTATTCTGGCACCTTCCTCCATAGCTAGGCGGGCATTCAGAACACGGCCTGCCGTTTTTATAAGGTGCTTCTCCGATCCAGTTGCCTCTGAAAAGTGAGCACACATTTTGAAAGTTCCTTAATTCCTCCTCTCTCAAGTGTCCTCTGTTCCACACTTTAACATATTCAGTTGCTTCACTGGACTGTTCCAGGCCAGTTGCCTGGATCTTTACCCTCCTGAGGCCTCGAAGCACCGTGGAGCTACGGAAGAACTGAATGTCCTTACTGTACTTACTCATTGATAGATTACTGTAAATATGGGAAAAGATTACTCCCTTCCACAAATGTATAGTTGAGCAGCACTCTAGCGATAACTTGGCAGAGTTCAGAAGTGAAGCTGCCTTTTTATATACCTCACAACCAGCCAGTCACTGACGGGCTTTTGCCACTGGCTCCCCCTCACTAGTTCCACAAAGCTGTTAGTCAAGGCTGCCTCCATTTCTTTCCTCACAGGACATTCAGGTGGCTGGAGGAACTTAGCACGGATGTTCAGGTCTTCCCCACTCAGGAACATGTTCCATTCCCCGTCCTGGAGAGCTTCCGAAGAGTCTTCCAAGAGATCCAAAATACTAGCTGTGATGTGTGAGCCAGACAAATTGCCAGTGTCTGGGAACATCAGACTCACACAATGTTTCCTTCATGCTAACCCACTCATCCTTACTGGGCAGAAATCACTCAGCACCAAATTTGTCTTCAGGAGAGGTGAGAGACCTATGTTTGAGCCACGCCTGTCCAGAAACACACTTCTCAAAACATTCAAAGGAGCAGGAGCTGCCATTTTGATACAAACAAGCCCACAAGAGGGCCTGTTCAAAGTTCGGATTAAGGATGCCTCTGTTCTACCTCCACTGTCAGGGGTATTATGCTTCTGGGTGCCAGTTGGTGGGAATCACAGGTGAGCAGAGTGCTGTTATGCTCATGTTTGTCTTGCAGGCTTCCCATAGGCATTTGACCAGCCACTGTGATGCTGGAGTAGGCAGGCTATTGGTCTAATCCAGCAGACTCCTCTTATATTCTTAAGTGATGGAAGCACTGGTGGGGTCCAAAACTGATTACGTTTCCTCAACCCAGCCTGGTGTTCAACATTGGTCTTTACACTATGGGGATGTCTCCAGTGTTCTCCAGTGTTTGCAAGCATGAGGGCTCTTGCTCCAGCAGACAGGTGACTTTAAATATTGTGCAACAGAGAAATTGAATGTAACAGTTGCTCTAGCAATGGATTGTGCAATCTGTTGTGCAACAACGTTACCAGCAATCTGATTATCTGCTTGCACAACAATGTTCTGCTGGTGCAACACATTTGGCCAGCAGATAAGTATACCACTAAGTGACTTTAACTTAGCGTTACATTGGATACAATCCCCTGTCTTTTATGTCACCAGCAGTGCCACTGTCCCTAACTGACCCATTGGGCTTTGGCATTACTCATAACCAGAAAGACAGTTGGAAATAGCCTGCCCAGTTGCTGCCAACTGAGACAAAATATGCACAAAACTGCAATTACTTCAACTTGCATCCCTTATAGGGACAGGTGAATCAGTGCCTATCAAATTCTCATCTTTCCAGCCTTTAGTTCAGCTCTCCATATATCCACATCTGTATGTGGTTTGTTTGAAAACAAAAGTCCTCATGAAAATTCATCACCCCCTCATAATGTACACATTTTGGCACCTAATCAATTGCATTTTTACGTATTATTTTCACTAATATATGCAGTCTTTACCCTCCTTTTGTGCATATTACTTGGCTGGAGAATTGCATTGCAACATTCAGAAAAGTGTGAATTTCAAAGGATCGCTGTGCTTCAGTTCACATGTTGTTTCAGAAAACCCAAATTTGTTAGATTCCCCTTTAAAGGAGAACAGAAAGGAATCTATAACCCTGTTCCCAATTCCTTACTTAGGAGAGTAGTTGCAGACCAGGTAGACAGCATTCTCCCAGATTTGGCCCCACACGTCCATCCTTTTGCAGACGTTCACAGCACAGCCAACCTTATTTGTCGTTGCCCAGACCACCTGCAAATGGGCACAAGGGCACAAATTATGTCAACACTTGCCACACAAGATCAGTCCCCTAGCATTTTCACATCTGCCCACATCTGGCAGACTTGCAACAAGAAGCAGCAAGTTCCAACAGAAGCCCCGTCCCGCTTCCCTTACCTGTGTGTAGTGGGTGCACATCGGTCCTGAACATCTCTCTGGACACCAGGGATTACATTCGTGGGGATAGGGATAGGTATAATCTTTCACTTCATCGTACCAAGACTGGACATGGAAAGCTGGAGAGCGATACCTAAGGAAAAGAAAGATATATTCCAGTTCTGGTGGAAGATTCAGCGCAGATAAAAGGCAGCGCCTATTCCTGCAGCAAGGGATGCAGGTGGCGCTGTGATCTAAACCACTGAGCCTCCGGGGTGAGCTCCTGTTGCTCGGTCCCACCTCCTGCCCACCTAGCAGTTCAAAAGCATGCCAAAAGTGCAAGTAGATAAATAGGTACTGCTCCAGCGGGAAAGTAAACGGCGTTTCTGTGCGCTGCTCTGGTTTCACCAAAAGTGGCTTAGTCATGCTGGCCACATGACCTGGAAAAACTGTCTGTGGACAAACGCCAGCTCGCTCGGCCTGTAAAGCGAGATGAGTGCCGCAACCCCAGAGTAGTTTGCGACTGGACTTAACTGTCAGGGGTCCCTTACTTTTTATTCCTGCAGCACCTAGTTAAACTATGGCACTCACTCCCACAGGAAGCAGTGGTGGCCTCCAACTTGGAAGGCTTTCAAAGAGGAGATGACAAATTTGTGGAGAAGGCAATCAATGGTTACCAGCCATGATGGCTATGCTCAGCCTCCACAGTCAGAGGCACTCATGCTTCTGAATACTAGTTGCTGCATGTTGCATGAGTGGTCTTGTGTTCAGGTCCTGCTTGCTGGTTTCCCACAGGCATCTGGGTGGCTACCATTAGAATAGGATGCTAGACAAGATGGGCCATTGGCCTGGTCCTACAGGCTCTTCTTGTGTTCTTAATTTGACAGAGAATACCATTGCCTCTCTTGAGTATTTATGGCAGAGTACCTTTCCCGCACTGCCAAGAATCCACAACAGAAGAAAAGCCCAGCTGGATCAGACCAGGGCCAGTCTAGCCTAGCCTCCTGTTTCCCATCTTGCAAGAGATGCACCAAGAATTTCTCCACAAGGCTTTTTTATATGCCACTTTGCTAGGAAAAGAAGTGGAGATGAGCCCTGGACTGACTCCAGAATGGTATAAGTGTGGGCAGGTTGGGACTGGTGACTTTTAGCAACTGAGCAGAATGGAATTTCGCCCCCTAAAAAATGGGATTCAAAGTGAGTTGCATTATAAAGTTCTGAGCATGAAATCTCCCACGCTGTTTTTTTAGGAGCCCTCTCATTCTCTGGGGACATTAGTGAAATCTCTTCAGAAACTCAGGGACTCTCTCTGTTCACCAGGCTGCAGGTGTAGCAAAATAAATAACAACTTCACCATTAGGCTGTGTGGGAAGTGGAAGATATAAACCCTGAACTGAAAGTAGGTAGTGGAGCTCAGCCCACTCTCCAGTTGGCAGCCAGTTCTTCAAATTAGGAGCTGGCAAAAACATTCAGCTGCATCAACAAGCATGATTTCTTACCCTGCCCAGTGCAGTGTTAGGATGAAGCCTTCAACTGGGATTATGGAAAGTACGCTCCCTCTTAGTCCACGTTATGTGCTCACAATCAGGGAATGAACCCAAAGTGGGGAGTACAGAGCCTAGCAGGACATGGGATGACACTAAGGATTAAGGAGCTTAGCCATTTGGACGTCGTGTTCCGTCACCAAATATGGATTTCTGTAGGTTACAGAAGATTCTGCCCTGGCTTCTGTCTTGCTACTGACTTTCTGCTTCTTTTTGGACCATTTCCCTGCATGCAACACATCACCAGCACTCTTCCAAATGGAGAAAATTCATGCAGCACAGAGTAATTTTTTTTATTAAAAAAAAACCACACCCAAACACATGGGAAATGTGTGTGCGAACAATAGCTCTGCAATCCTGGAGTATGAATGGGCATTTAGACCAGGATATATATCAGACATTTAAATGCTGCTCCTTGTTGCATGGTTGAGCCACCGCCACAGACCAGGAGGGGGGCATCTAAAAGCTGCGCATAGGCAGTGGGAAACTAAACAAGTTTCCATTGGTGAGTGAAGCTCAACACATGCAGAGGCTCTTTTGATAGGAAGAGTGTGTGGAGAGAAGACCTTTATTTAGAATAAACCTTCCTATGGCATTTCCCCCTGCCTAAAGGTAAAGGTAAAGGGACCCCTGACCATTAGGTCCAGTCATGGCCGAATCTGGGGTTGCGGCGCTCATCTCGCTTTATTGGCCGAGGGAGCCAGCGTACAGCTTCTGGGTCATGTGGCCATCATGACTAAGCCGCTTCTGGCGAACCAGAGCAGCACATGGAAACGCTGTTTACCTTCCCGCTGGAGCAGTACCTATTTATCTACTTGCACGTTGACGTGCTTTCAAACTGCCTACACACTTGTAAATTTGCCATATGGGCGTGGTCTAAAGGCTTCTATACTACAACCACTTAACTACGTACTAGTAAATCACATTGAATTCAATGGGGCTTGCTCATGAGTAGATATGTGTAGAATTGTGCCTTGCTTGGCTTGGTAACCATCTTAGATTCATTCATTATCTCTGTTCATAGTTAAATTCTTATCCCACTCTTTCTCCCAAAGGAGCTCAGGGCAGCAAGCACAGACACCATAAGACAATTAACACATCTTACCTGCCCCAGTGAACAGCCAGATTTTGACCAATAGACCTAAGGAGGGTGGCAGGCCCATGATCCCAAATGCATTCATGGGCCCAGGACTCGGCCGATCTCTCCAGCTCATCGTCCCATCTCTATGTGGAAGAAAGACAGAAAGGCATTAGAGGAGGCAAAATGAAGATGGTGGCATTTTCCAACCAAGCCTCAGAATTAAACCCAAAGAAGCAACACATCAAGTGTGCCTCAGTACGGAATGTTGCAGAGCATCCTTGCATTCCAGGAAAAGAAGAAGTGCTTATACCGTGATGTTATTTCCATATTGGGCATCCTGTCCAGTTTGTGGGAAAAGGTTGCTTTAACTGTTTAGAGGTCATGCAGGAAGACTAGCACTTGCAGCCTGAACACCAGAAAGACTGGGAAAGAACTGGAACCAGTGGAGGCTGGTCCTTTGGTGTGAATGGGGCACTGACCCACCAACCTCAGTCCACCCTCAGTTTGCATCCACCTGCCCAGCCATCTTACTTAACAACCAGTCCAGAGGTGGTACTGCCTGTTAGTTTCCCCCTCCTCCGTCTCAGCACTACTCCTTGTAGAACTCAGCAGGAAGCAGGTTGGAACAAAACTGGAATCAGCTGGCTCTGCCTGTCGCTGGCTCTGATCCTGCCCACCATTGGCTCTTTGTGAAAATGACTTACAGAAATGCATTGCATTAGGGAGGAATTGCTGGCCAAAAATAAATAAATCCATCCCATAATTTCTTTTTCTTTTTTAGTGGAAATAAATTGTAATTGCAGAGAAATAATGAAATAGTTATGGGCATCATATGGTGACTACAATGCAAATTATGGGAAGGTTGGTGCCTTTTTCCCCCAAGGGAACTGACTTTTATGATAACACAGGGATGATGAGGAAACTAGTGCACTGCTAAAGTTCCCATCATCCCTGACTGCTGGCCATGCTGGCTGGGAGTCCTACAACAACCAGAGCACCACAGGCTCCCCAGTCCTGTGCTATAAGCATCATCATCATCATGCTTGTGCTAGAGTGCTAATTGGGACATAGCACTGAGTTCGGCTTTACTGGGACTATTTTCTTCTTTAGAAGAAAAGAGGTGTTTCACAGGCATATAAAACTGGCAGTGCAGCATCGAATCATTGGTTCAACATAAATGTAAACCAAGCCCATGCCAAGACAAGGTAAAAGTACCTGGCTTTCTGGCAACCCTGCGTTGTGTTTGGGTCATTTAAGTACATCCCATGCTTAGATCGTGTAACTTTTCTGAGCCAAAGCATGGTGAGGAGTTGGGGAGGGGGATTTGTTAAATTCGAGCCAAGAACACATGTTCTTGCAACGCGCATCAAATTAGCACCAGCTCTAGTTGGAAGCATTTGCTATGGGCGTGCAGAAAATAAAATCATTTGCGATTGCTAATCCCCTCTCCGGAGCAGCTCCTGGACTGAAAAAAAGCACCAAGGACTCACTGGCTTGTGTGTTGCTTGCACTGAAACACAAAGGACTTCAAAGCTCCGTTTGTATTCCAGAGGTGAACGCTGATGATTTCCAAGTCCTATTAGGTAAATATGACTCGATGAAAGGCGGATTATGAGCCAGCCCCAGGAGAGTCGTTTAGAGTTGGCCTTTCTGCTTGGTCTGTGAGACTCTTTTATAGGCTTCATGGCCCCCAGGAAAAAAGGGGGGGCGGGGAACACATGAGACAAGCACACCGAGCGAAAGCAAAACATGAAGCTGTAACCATGCTGGATGAGTAAATAGACATTAGCCTGAAGTGTCTTCTGCTGCTGCTGCTGCTGCTGCAATGCTGAGCTGCAAGGAACCCAAAAGCCAAGGAAAATACGTCTCAGCTGCGTGTTTACTTTCAGAGAAGCAGCAGAGCCATTTCTGCCCTCATAAGCATTGGAACCGCCTGCTGTCTGCCCAGCCGTAACTGAAGCTGTGATTCTAAATAGATTTGCAGCTGGAGACTGCACACGACGGGGACACCATGTCTTTCGTGCACCTGGCCACCAAATTATGGAGAGCAAGCGATCACACCCAATTTAACATCCTGAGGATCTTAGCTTTCATTGCAAAGATTATAATTGTGTGTGTGTCTGCAAGACTCTAGCAGAGCCATGCCAAGTGCCTGAAAGGTATTCCAGGGATGGGTAACATGTGGACCTCCAGATGTTTTTGGACCATGTTTCCCATCAGGTTCCATGAAACACTTGAATTGCTTTTGACGCAATAAATCGTGCCCACTCGCCCATCAGCTGACACTGGCTGATGTGTGGGAAGACAGTGTATTTATTAATCCTGTATCAGCCACAGTACCTGCTTCCAGCAGGGAACAGGATCCTGCAGCCCAGATGGCAGGATTTAATCTCAGAAGTTAAAGCCCTTTGCTTTAAGTGGGGAGATGGGTGAAGTGTGGAGACTGCCTTGAAGCGCTTGGCTGCAGAGATCTAGAGCTTAAAAGGGAACAGATGAGAGTCTCTTTCCCTCTCCTTTTCAGATTGAAGCACAAGGAGTTTTGACAAGTGAGCAACCCCACTCATCTCTCAAATTTAGCCCACAAAGCAGATCTTTTGGAGGATCTGAGCCATGGAGCAAAAAAATGCTTTCCCACTCCTGCACACCGGCCTTCTTTGTTGTAGTATCACAGAATTTGGCTTCCTAATTAGGGTAGTCCTTTACACATCAACACCACCCCCAAAAAGAGAATGAAGAAGGTGCCAAATTGCATAGTATTGGCATACGCTAATTTATATATTTAGATGCAAACAAAATAAATCCCTCAATTCCTATTTTATTTTTTATTTTTTATATGCTTTTATGTTGCTGTTTTGCTGGTTTTAGGTTGTACTTTTGTTTTAATGATATTGTTTCTTTGTTTCACATTGTATGCCACTTATTATAAAAAGATTAAGTGGCTTATAAGTGCTTTAAAATGAATTAAATGAATTAGTTATTTAAATACATACAGGAGACTTTGCAACATAGCAAGGAAGACTGCGGCCAGTGTGCCTGCTCTTGTTGACTGCTGGCAAGGTGCTGCAAATTATTGGTGGGCAACATCAAGACCCACCTGCTCTCCCCTCTTAAGTGTTGTTTACCTTAAACCACCTTACATCACCAAACCTTTATTAGGCATTACAAATATAGGCCATCATAAAACATCCATATATAAAATCTTAAAATATATACCTTAAACCAGGCATGGAGCAGACAGGACAATCAAACAGAGGAGTCTCCTCCTGCCAACAGAGGACACCTTCAAAGAGAGAACTGCTCTCTATAAGGGAGGGTACATGGACACTTATTCACATTCTGACTCATTAGTCTGTGGAAAACTGGACTTATGTCAAACGCATTCCAAAGCCTTAGGATTTCCACATAAATGTGTTAAGGGGTGTGTGTCTGTCTGTCTGTGTGTAATAGAATTTCTTGGAAAGGATTTATACATTCCTCTTTCACTGACAAAACCTGGATGACAAATAGTAAAAGACTTGGAAAGCTGCTGGGCTAAAAATATTTGTTTTCCTGTTTTCGCCACATCTAATTGTCAAGGTGCTATTTTTGAAGAAAATAACAGTGCTTCCTTTTCTCCCCGGAAGGTGAGAAACTCACCTCTGGTTCTTATGAGGGAAACATGAGAAATGGTGCTTGTGCCACCTAAATTGCCTCTGGGAGGGAGAGGAGGGTGAGTGAGGAGCAATGCACCTTGGGTGTATATAGCCTTAGATGTGTATCAAAGGGCTTTGGCTCAGTGGTAGAGCACCTGCTTTGCATGTGGAAGTCCCCGATTTGATCCCCAGCGTCTCCAGGCAGGGCTGGGAAAGACTCCAGCATGAAACCCTAGACAGCGTCTGCCAGTCAGTACAGATGATACTGAACTTGGTGGGCCAATGGTCTGGCCCCTATAAAGCAGCTTTCTATGTTCTATGCATCATCACTTTCAATAGCGGACATTCAAACAAGCCGGCTGAGACACATGCCATTCTTCCAGAATATGTCATTTCTGAATCAGGGACGCCCATCTTGATGGGCCCAAGGCCACCCAGTGGACTTCATGGTTGAGCAGGAATTTGAACCCAGGCCTCCTTATCTGAAGTCCAGCACTCTGGCTGCTACTACACACTGGCCCTCTGTGTTATTCAGGGACCCTCTGGGGAGGGAATTGGGCTCAACAGGTCCATATTCACAGCCCATCTAGCTTTACTTTCTCCTCCAGAATTCATTGGGAGGCATTTAGCACCAAGTGTAGACCCACCCTCCTCATCAGCATAGCTCCACCCTGAGTTTCACAGCTTGGCCAGGCGAGGCCATGACAGAGCCCTGGCAAAAGAGCCTTCTTTTTTTTCTAGCAAGAGAGGTTGAGCGAATAACCAAACTATGCAGAGGGCAGCCCTGGGTTGACCTGACCTACTAACAGTTCCTTTCCAGCTGCAATGACTCAAGAAGCTGCAATCTGAGCTGAATTTGCTTCAGGAAACCACTTGAAGGAGAAACTCCTTGTTACGGGAATTTGTTAACAGGCATATGGCCTAAATGAGACCAAAAATAGGTTAGTCTCCAGGGCCAGGCTAAAGAATGGAGATACAGTCAATACAGGGATGGCACCCAAAATGTGATGCTTCCCTCCCATCCTAAGTCAAGGTGTCCGTTATGAAGCTGGGCCTCAGCTTGAGGGCCACACTCCCTTCTGAGCAACCTTCTGGGAACCACATGCTATAGATGGCCAGGACCAGAGACAAAAGTGGACGGAGCAACACATAAAAATGATACTTCTCTTCAGTGGGCCAGTTTCTCCACATTCACATGTCACACTCTTATCTTCCATGGTTTTTCCTTTCTTTTTTTAAGAACACAGGAAAAGTCTGCATTGAACATATACAAATTTTGTATGCACTTTCTTGCCCAAAATACCCACTTTTCAGTGCTTTCCAATGCATCACCTGTGACATATGTAAAATACATATTTGGGGGGTGGGGGTTTGTAGTTTTTGTGCATCACACCAGCTTTGCAAAATCTGGTGAAGGGCATATTTCAGCTGCACCTGTCCCCTGCAAAATGTGGTCCAAACAAATTCCTCCCTAACCCTATGTTACATATTGGAAATGTTTTTTCTGGGTCTGGTTTTAACATCTGCCTTTCTTGTTAACATTCTGCTAACAACCAGCTATTGATTGTTTCTAATGATGGAAACACTTTGGGTACCAGAAAGTGGTACAGCTAGATATAGGAAAAGGTTTCTGTTGCCATGCTCCACATAGTTCATTTCTTCCTGTTGAGTGTGGCTTGGGAGATAAGTGATTAAAGCCCCCTCATGGGTGAATTTCCTTGTTCAGTTAAATTACTGGTGACCTTTCATTCCCCACTCTTTTATATAGCAAAATAAGGATGATTGTTAATCCCTCAGCCACACTCAACAAGAAGCAATACAAGTTTCATTTAACATCCGAAAGCCCTTTTGCTGAATAACTCTGGGTGGCTGAATAATACTCTGAACAGTACTTACCTGTGAGTCTCAACATTATAAAAGAAAATTGGCCACAGAAAAGGGCAACACTAGATAATATAGCACTATATTAAATTATACATGGAGGCATCATTTTTATTTCACCTCCAGCTGCTTGTGGAAAAGCAATTCCTTAGCAGTGCTGAAAAGCAAAGTTATAGGAATCAACCATGGTGTGTGTATTCACCCTCAGTAGTGGCAGCCAGTGATGTAGAGCAAAGATGCGAAAATGCACATCATCATGACAGCAGGACACTTTTACTACACATTACAAAGGGGATATTGATGCTTGCTTACCAGTTTGGGTGGCTGTCACCCAAGCAGGCAATGCTATATTAAGTCTCCCTTGTAATGTGTAATAAAACCTTCCTGTGCCCTGCTTCCATGTAATTGTATATTACCGTATCTTTGGTCATCCTAATGTAACGACTGGGATCTTGAAGTCTGTGTATCACCAAAGCTGCAGCTAAGGAAAATACATGGTCTTTACTTGCAAGCTGTGCAAGAAGAAGGCTTCTGTTTGTGGTGCATATTTCCTAAAAAATCATGTCCAGAACTTGGGGGAGTAAGCACAAATGGCACACAAAGGAGCAGGAGTGGGAGGGAAATTCTGAGGCAGAGCTAAGCCTCACTTATCGTTTTGAACTCACCATGTATTCCATGTTGGATGCTGAAGGGTAGACTTGACCTCTCAGTTTATTGTGAAGCATTAGAATCTCTTCTTTGTCTGATCGAGAAATGGCTCTCTTGGTCCTTGAGTGGGGCTCCTCCTCCTGGTATTTACTGAGGATGCTTTCCAGCTCGGTAGCATTGGGCAAGAAAAAGCAATGGATTCCATGGACTAGGAAGAGTAGCCCAAATGGTACGACAGTCCAAGTCGGAGTGGGACTTCTGGCCATGTTCTGCTCAGTGGATTTGGGATGAGAGAAGAAACACTCCTCAAAGGGATGTCTTCTGGTCTGTGCAACAGATCTAGAAAATGAAGAGGGGAAATGAAGAAAGTTTAGTTATTCTCAGCCTAACACTGGGCAAGCTCTTGGGCTTCTAGGCTTCTCTGTCTGACCTTCATGACACTACCCAAGCCACACCCTCTTCCTAGCCACACCCCTCACCATCCCCATTTCACACACCCTGGCTGGCTGAAACATGCCCTTGAACTTTGATGTTTCTTGCTCGCTTGAATGGAGGGTGTGAGAGTGTGAAGAAATTAGGACTACTGTCCTGGAGAAAAGGTAAAATTCACATCCACTGCTCTATCCACTTTTGGCTCTGACCCTGCCCACCATTGGCATGTCTCCCTCAGAAGTGAATGTGGCTTGGAAAAGTTTCCTTAACCTAATGAATAATTAGTTGTAATGAAGGGAAAATGTAACAGATAAAAGTATATTATATATTGCAGCAGGAAAGGGTGGGGATGGAAACATCAAGGAGGAAGAGTGGGAAATCAAGTTATAAAAATTATTTTAAATTTGTATTAAATTAGAAGTTAAATTGTTAATATCTTTGAAACTCAATAAAAAATAATTGGAAAAGAAGAAAAGAAAAAGTTTCTCTACCCCAATTTATAAAATGGGGTCCTTCAAGCTGTCATGTTTTTCTCCATTAAATGAAACGGAAAGCTTACATTTTTCCAATTATTGTTATTATTATTATTGCGATAAGATTTAGCTGCCCATTCTGACATTAGCCGCATGGAATGGGGGCCTCAGCAGAGCAGGTCATTTATGTTTTGGGGTGGGGTAATGGCAGAATTCTCATTCGACATGAGAGGAATCCATCACTTGGTTCATTCCCACATCAGTGCCTCTCCTCTCAGACAGGGCTGACCCAAGACATTTTGATGTCTGAGGTGAAGGAGTAGATGGCACCTTCCCATGACATATTCAGGAGCCAACTGTGCTAGCAACGGGCTCTAACTTCCAGACTGATGACAGCATCCTTTACTGTAATTGAGGGCAGCAAGCTAGTTTAGGTGAAAGGCAGGCTGCATGGTACACAAACTCTGTCCTCTGAGATTTTACTACCCCTTGCACCAAGCATCTGCTACCAGAGGTGGATGCTTCACTCTGCCTAACAGTAGGGCCAGCATTCTCCTAAACCAGCTGTTCTCAACCAGATGTTCTCAACCTGTGGGTCCCCAGATGTGGTTGGACTACAACTCCCATCATCCCTGAGCTCTGGCCTTGCTAGCTAGGGGTGATGGGAGTTGTAGTTCAACAACATCTGGGGGCTTACAGGTTGAGAAAGGCTGTCCTAGACATTGGTAGTATTGTCTACACTGACTGGCAGTGAGTCTTAGGGTTTCAGATAGGGATCACTCCCAGTCCTACCTGGAGATGCCAGGGATTGAACCTGGAACCTTCTGCCTGTAAAGTAGATGCCCTTACAACCTATACCCTGTATAAGCTCTTCAATAGCCCCAATCCCTGTTGATTTCCAGGCCAGCCCAGACAGGAGAAGTGGTCCTGCCAAATATTATCATGGAAGAAGAATCCCATCTTAATGGAAAAGGACAGCAGACATTCCCAAAGAGCCAGGTTGAAGAGGTCAGCCATGAGCTATGAGCTGTTTCTGCCTGGCAGAAAAACAGACGCAGAACCCTCTGCCAGCTCCCAAAATCTGTCACCAGCAATATCAGAGCAAATGAAAGATCCATTTTGCAAAGGAAGCATCAGGATTTTCTCCTATTTACTCTATTACTTATATGTCACTTTGCTGGGGAAAGACATGTACAAGGGTGCTGGACTGGCTCTAGAATGGTATCAGTGAGGTCTGGGAATGGAGTTGGGGGGAAAAGATATTTAGCTGCAACAATGTAAGATGAGCCCTGATGGATCTGAGATGTTGAACATTTAAACAGTGACTTAGAGAGCACAAGAAACATAAGAATCTGCCTTAGTTTTGAACCTGGAACAGTCTGCATGCAAAGCAACTTCTCTACCACTGAGCTGCAGCCAACACTGCATACAAAGACCTTGTGACATTCCTTCTTCAAGGCAGCTGGAATGGAAAGAGCTGGCCGTTGGAAAGCAAGCCTACACTAAGGGCTCATCCAGACTTCCTTTTGCACCATGTTTCTCGGCACTAGTCCGGGCTTTAATGCTCCATGTCTGAGAGGTTTTTGTCCCAGTGAGTTCCCCAGAAAACCTGTGTTTTACTGCTGAATCAGAGCAATCAGGTTTTCTGTGGATTGCCATTTGCTCCGATTCAGTGATAAAATGTGGGTTTCCCCAGGGAAAGTGCCAGGACACAAAAGGATGCCTGGATGTGCCCTAAGTCAGTGGTAACACTGATGGAGAATGGCTTTGATGCAACACGTACGCACAGTCAGATTCCCTCACAGTGAGATGCTACCCATACATTTCACACATAAACAAACACTTTTCAGCTAGGCTTTCTACCCAAAGCCATAAAGCCATCTTGCACAGATGTACTTTCCCTGCTAAAATTTCCAACATTCCAGGCTCCTGATAAAATATTTTCATCGCCACGCCTGATGTTTAAGCACACATGTTTATTCGGCTATGCTTTGATTACATGGTTCTTTTTGTTTGTTTATGCACTATGTTCTTATAACATACTATATGATATATTGTGAAATATATCATCATATACATATATCATATAATCATATATGTACATATAATCATATATAATAACTGAAGTTGGGACGAATGGAACTGTCAATTTCAGTTTCTCTTTGTTTCTCACTCTTCCGGCCTTAAATTCAGTTCACATTCCCACAGCAATCTGCATATTTAAAAACCAACAACCTAGGGGCTGCCACTCCTGCTTGCTCTGCCTGCCAACCCCAAAAACCTGTTTGCCCTCCCTTTGCACCTGACCAACCTTCCCTTTACACCTCACTTACCCCCTCACCTCTCCCCCCACAGCTCACCCCAAACCCCACCCCCGTTTAAAGAAGATGGGAGGCACTCCAGACAGTTACTTGCTAAACCACTGTATCAAGCACCTCCTTCCCTTCATTAAACTTGTTTCACAGAGTGGGGGGAGCAGTTCCCAGCCTCTCCATGACCACATGAACTGCAGAGTGTGACTTTTGTGTATATAAGGAGAAAAACCGTCATGGAAATTTGTCAGCATCGTAGTGTGATTCTCTCCCCCCCCCCCATATGTTTGTATGCATTTTCCCCCAAAGGGAAGCATATTTGCCTCAGATTTTCACAAACCTATGCATTTTACGCACATTTCCCCCAAATATATGCATTTTCGTACACATTGTCTGGTGGGAGAACCATGTCGAAAATTCACAGAAGTGCAACATTCCAAGTATAGTGTTTTGTCATAAAAACATTAAACATTAAAATCCAAGCATCTGGAGGCTGACACTTCTGTATAGTTGAGGGAAACTTTAGCAAGAAACATTTCTTTTTAGGCAATTCTAGCTGAAGAAAGAGAGAGAGGGAGGGAGGGAGGGAGAGAGGGAGGGAGATTGAGATTTTCTTCCCCTGCAGAGGAAATCTCTTTGAAACAATCTCCCTTTAGAGGGGCCCCTGCCTTCTAAGCTCTGTGCATCTAAAGCATCTTCCCCACCATTCATTCTCTCCCCATCCAACAGTCACTGATAAACCTAAGGCAGCCACCCCCTCTCCTTTCTCAAACTATGTGCCCGTTAGCTTCCTGGCCGATGAGTTCACTTTTTTTCAGGGCAAATATTGCCTTAACCTCATTCTCTTTCCAGCATTATTTGGTCCTGTCCTCGTCGCCCAACTGACACACACACCCTCCTGCAAAACCCCACTCAAGCAAGAGGCTGGCTTGGTGTGGCTAACCTCAAGCTGTTACTTTTGTAGACAGTCTGACCCACTTCAGGGGAACAATTCTTACTTTCAGAGGCTTCTCTGAGGGGGTTATAAATAGATGCTCTTCTGTAAAGCGTCCACAATGTGGCCTTTTAGCCTGCCCCATTGCTCAAGGCGGACAGCTTTTTAGGTAGGGAAGCAGATGGTTACCATAAGCCGCGTCCGTCCCGTCCCTCCCCCCCGCCGCCCCATCAGACCTCGCAGGCCGTCTTGACTCTCTTTCCCAAACAGGGCCAGGCCTTTGCTCGCTTGCTCTCTCTGCAGTAAAGTTACAGAGGGAGCAATGTGCCAATCTGATGTAATGTTTGTTGGCGCGCTCTCTCTCTCACACACACACACACACACAGACACACAAGAGGCATCAAACTAGCTGCTTTATGTAGGCAAATTGGCACACTGAGGGTGGAGAGCCTGCAGGATCGGACACCTCAGCCAATTTTCTTTAAATCCTTCCAGCAGCTAGACCTTACCATGTTAACAGACAGGGTATTGTCCTTGCAATCATCCACATCATACATTTGAAGCACATTTAAAACCACTTTAAACAGTCATGGCTTCCCCCACCCATCAAAAAATTATATGTTTATTAAGGGTGCTGAGAGCTGTTAGGAGACTCCTATTCCCATCCCAGAGCTGCAATTCCCAGAGGGAATTAACAATCAATCTTTCTTCACAGGGAACTCTGGGAACTGCAGCTCTGGGAAGAGAGCTCTGAACAGCAAACTACAGTTCCCATAATTATTTGGGGGAAGTCATGACTGTTTAAAGTAGATCCATATTTGTATAAATATGTGATGTGAATGTGACCGCGGTCTCTTTGTTCCCAGAGGTATTATTCGTCTCTGAATGGAAATACCAGATAATAATGGATCATACAAGCAACACCTGCCTCAATGGAGGCCACCAATTTAGTTTCCCACAATGTTCTGGAGCAGCACTAATTTAAAAGGGAATTGTGGGGATTTAAAGGGCAGCAGCCCAGCATGCATCTGTGTACCTGTTGGAACCAGATAAGCCTGGCGGAGGCCCAACAATATAGGAGAGTGACCGCCCAAAACCATTTTGCTAAGCACAGCTTCAAAGCTTGAGCTTGCTCCAAGTGACGTGGTTCACCCTTTCAGGAGAGTGTGAACCCATCTAGAACAGGTAGGGAGCAACCTCCCAGTTTACATAAACCATACATCTAGTGTGGGGAATACCTCTGTGGTAGAGCAACTATAGTTTGCATGCAGTTAGGACTGGGAATGTTCCCCATTTGAAACCCTGGATAGCTGCTGTCAGTCAGTGCACACAATGTTGTCAGCTTCCTGTGTTCCTTTACACCCACCAAAAATCCTTTCCTGCCATCTATCAGATTTAGGGACCCACTGCAGTTACGGTAATTTTGGGGGACAGGTGTCAAAGTCCAGTGGCCGAGCGCACCTTTTGCATTATTGAGGTTGCAGGAGATGCCTTATCTGGTCAGACTATTTGCCCATCCAATTCAGTATTGTCTTCTCTGCCAGCAGCTCTCCAGGGTCTTAGAAATAATTCTACTCTATCATCTGGCTAAATTATCCCCTTCAAATTGTAGATTCCAGGGGCTGAAGCTGTGGCTTTCTGCATTCAAAGCTGGTGCTCTGCTATTGAGCTTTGTCGTCCCCCCCCCCCAATAAAGGTATCCAGTTCACTTATAACAAAAGCAGCAAACTGGCAGCCCTGCAGATGTTCATGGTCTCCAACAACATCTGGAGGGCTGTAGATCCCCGAGTTAAGAACTCTCAGCAGAGCTTCTGGGAACCATCTCACTGTCTAAGACCTAGGATAGCTGTTTTAGAGCAAGCAGCTCTCCACGTGATGACAACCACCACGTGGACCAATTTAAAGCAGCCTCCAGATGGCAACCATCATGTGTCAGAACCAGCTCTCAGAGGGATTATGAAAAGAATACACTGAGACAATCCTCTCTCCGGTTGAGAGTGCTGAGTGACCTGCAGTGTCCTGTGTGAGTAATTTACAAGATGCAGAAAGTGCTTCTCTAAAAGGAGCTGGTTCAAGACTGATAAAAATCTGTGGAAGAAGAGAGGTAAACACTGGCCAAAGAGACTGGCCAAAATGTCCACAAGTTCTCTTTCCCCTCTCAAGTCATCCAGTATCCTGTCACTGACAGTGGCCAGAACCAGGAATTTCAGCAATGACATGATTTAAAATGAAATAATGAAATTACGCGCCAAGCAAGCATTGACTCGTCGGCCAGTCTCACATTCCTTGACATTCTCCAGAATCCAAAGGCTCAGAGGATCAACCTAAGGTTGTGGAATGGAATCTGGTTCAAGAAGAAAGATCCCAAGCTTCCTCTGCTGAGCCTAGATCAGGCATAGGCAAACTCGGCCCTCCAGATGTTTTGGGACTACAACTCCCATCATCCCTAGCTAACAGGACCAGTGGTCAGGGATGGTGGGAGCTGTAGTCGCAAAACATCTGGAGGGCCGAGTTTGCCTATGCCTGGCCTAGATCCTGCTTCTGAGCAATTCTCCCTAATCTAGCTCTAACTTCAGCCTCCTGACCAGCTTTTAACTCCCCAAAAGCACAGCAGCATGAACAAAATCATTATCGCTCTGCTCCAGCTCTGCTGTATGGAATCCCTATTGTTGAGAAGTAGTATTGGTCTGAACACCTGTTGCCAAAGACAGCAACAGCAACAACAAGAGATGGCTATTGCATTCATGCCCTGCTAGGGGGTTTCCCAAAGACATCTAATTGGCCAAAGTGGAAATCAAGATGCTGGACTGGATAGGCCAGCAGGGCACCTTTTATATTGCTTGCTGGATCAGACCACAACCTTCTCTCGAGTCCAGCACTCCGCCTTCAGAAAGGAATAGGGAGACTTGAGTCTGAATCCCTCTCACTCCATGACCTGTGCTGGTCCCTATCTCTTAGGCTAACCTTCCTCACCAGGTTATTGCAGAGATATTTTTTAAAAATAAATAAATAAATAAAAATGAGTGGAGTAGGCACAGCCTTAAATGTTGTTTGGCCTTCCTTTTGCAGCAGACTTCAGTGTGACAGTCCTGAACTTAATTGAAACTGCAGTTCTGAATTTTGTACCCCTTTGAATTTTGCAATGCAGGTTGCACATTTTTTATAAAAATGCATGTTTTATAGTTCGAATGCATTTCAAGCAAGTGTTTTATGGGGAAACTGCACTGGAAAACATTGGAAAATGTGCATTTGAAGGAAATGTGTACAAATAGTGTGTCCAAATTAAATGCAATCTTTTCATGCATTCTTTCAAAGAAATCTGCACAAAACCGGATTGAAGAGATCAAGGTAGAAGAAGAAATGAAGTGGGGTGAGCTTAGGCTGACCCTTCCATCCCTGCTTGGTGGACCCTATGAATGCTGCCCAGGGCAACCTGGAGGAAGAGCATCATAAACCTAGCCAGTGCTATCCAGCACTGCATGGGCGACACTCCTCTTGCCCAGTGGGATTTCCTGTTCCCCTTCTCTTCATGCACACAAACCCACACCCCAAAAAATCTGCTTCAAAAGGTTCTCCAACCATCTGGAGAAAATTTTGAGGGTGTATGGTGGTGGGACTGTGGGGGAGAATTTAGATGGGGAGGAATCCCATTGCGCCAGTGGAAGTCTGCCATGCAAGCTGAAAGGCAACACTGGATGCAGCCCCATATAAATACGTTCAGAGAGAAAAGTCCTGCTGTGTCACACACAATCCAGATGTGGGGACAGGCAAACACTTTAATTACTCTCCCCTCCTTATCCCATCCTGACCTCGAAGGGAACTGTCTGCTCTTTATGCAGCTTAAGCTAACAGCACTGTCTAGCGTTGGCCTCCAGCTGGGAGCTTGGCCGCTGCTCTTCTGTCTTGTGATAAAGGGGAGCAGAAGCAGAGTTCTCTCCCAGCTTATGATTTCCAAGGTGCCCCTGTGCAGGGAAGCAGAGGAATGACCCGCTATTCACTTTGGAAGACTCGAGATCATTAAGCCACAGCAGGATCCCCTGTCTCTCTCTCTCTCAATCAATCAATTATGTAGCACAATGGCTAAGCTGCTCATCCCCCATCCCTGAATCTAAACCATGCCTTTCACTGCAGCATTGGGTCAGGTGCCTGGTGGGTCAGGAAGAGGTTCCCCATTCCTTGCGCTATAGTGGGGGGGTTTAAGGGAGAAGCCTGACAGACCAGACTTCTCATCAGGTGGTGGGTCCATGAACACCACATTCCTCCAAGATTTGCTGTGCTTCATTCCCAAGGGATGCCTCCTTCCAAGATGCCCAACAGCTTGGATGCCTTTAAAGGAGGATCAGGCCAATTCATGGAGGATAAGGCTATCAGTGGCTTGGTTCTGCCGCCACTATTGGAGGCAGTATGGCTCTGAATGCCAGTCGCCAGGAATCACATGCAGGGAGAACACTGATGCCACTCGTGACCTGCCTGTGATATTCCCAGTTGGATGTTATGAGAACAGGATGCTGGACTAGATGGGCTACCATGACGGCAAGGCTCTTCTTACATTTCTAAGGAGTCTGCATTGGTCTGTCTAGCTCAGTAATGTCCTCACTGACTGGCAATGGTGCAACCTGTATTTGCCAGTATGTGGTTGAATCCCACCTAAGAATAGTGACAGCCTGGCAGCATCAGTGGGGTCATGGTCCAGGGTTTCTGCAGCAGGATCCCTGTCTCCAGCGTCCAGTCAGCATGAAACAGGAGCCTTTTGAGCCAAAGCTAAGTATTTAGGAACACTGAGAACAGAAGGTGCTTCCATTTCAAAAGAATGGCGTGCCACTTCTGATCCAAACAAGGGAACTTCATGGAAAACGTGTAACTCCAAGAGAAGATGCTGGATTGCTCCAAGTCATTTGCCCATGTATGTGTACAGAAAATAATAGCTGAACGGCAGCACATGGAGGTTCTGCACTGATTGTTGCAAGGCACTCCTAATTATTAATATTGCATAATGATAATATTGTTGTAGAATCTTAGAAAGCTGCATAATCTTGGAAGGGTGTGAGGGGACTTGACGGTGGCTGTCATGAAGGTATCCTGTGCTTCTGAATTGGCCACTGCACTCCTGGGAACCACGCTTAAATCGGAAACAAAAGCAGAGCAGGAGCAGCGTTCGCTGTTGTTGCTGGCAGGAGACAATGGAGTGCAAGAAAGCAAAAGTAGCAGAGTCAGCAAAGAAGGATGGCCCCAAAGGCTAAATACAAAGGTTCTTCCCCTGGGATAAAAGAAGAGCGACATACATACAAACCAGCTGAGATAGCAAGCAGGGGATCACCAGAAGGCTCTTAATAATTGGGTAGGGTATGCCTGGAAGAGGCCCTTTCTCTGGTATACCTGGGCTCCCAATTATTTAGGGCTTTCTATACCACCACCGACCCCTCAAATCAAACTCTCGTGGGCTCACAGCATTTGAGATGCGTTCCAAAAAGAAAATTGCCCAAACAAAACTGTGTTTGTGTTGGAAGTTTTTGGTATGCGCCTGAAGTTCTTTTGAAAGGATCTTGCTGCCATCTAGGCAGCTGAATAAACTTTGCTTTTGTTTTAAGCAAGAGGGTGGGAGTGGGGAGGAGGAAGGAGGAAACTGTAGGAGCATGGCCTCCTTTTCAATCCGTCGGGCTTAGGCTACGGATGCCGCGTCAACATCTGGGATGGATCAGAAAGCCATGAGTCGGCAGAAAAAATGCCTCCTGGTGCAGACCCAGGAGAAGCCTCATGTGGAAAAAGAATCTGGAGGGATGGAACAAAAGGGAAACCTTTGCTATGATCAGTTGAAGTGATATTTGATCTGGGAACAAAAGCAGAGTCACCCCACACCCCTGGCTTGAGGCAGGATTGGCCAATAAAAGAAGCCCCTGTTCTGCTGCACTTCTTGCACAGAGTCCCATCACCTCCGATTCCCAAGAGCAAACTGCCTTCTTAGAAAATAAGGCATGGTGGATCTGTGCATGAGCACAGCATTCAACAGGTGAAACTATCAGATGGATGCTTGGCCAAGTGCTAAGCTCAGAGCATCGCTTTGGGGTTTTGCAAAGAGATTTCAATAGAACCCTGAGGACTGGGATTTGGAGAAAGGACTATAGCTCAGTGGTGGAGCACTTGCTTTGCATGCAGAAGGTTCCAGGTTTAATCATCAATGGCATCTCCAGGTAGGGTCAGGAGAGACTCCCGTCTGAAACCTGGGAGAGCCACTGCCAGTCAGTGTAGATACTGCCAGTCAGTGTAATACTGAGCTAGGTGGACCAGTCACCTAACTTGGTATAAGGCAGCTTCTTGTGTCCCTGTGTCTGTATTTTATTGGGGAGGGAATGTAGATATTTTGCCTGCTCTTTGAGGAGGGGTTTCTCTGCATTGTCAGTTTGTCTTCTGTGAAATGGGTACATTGACAGATTCTGAAATGTGCCCCCAATCTCCCTCCAGAAAGGTTGGGGACCCCTGTCTCCATATTACAGATCTGTTTAAAAACTTGATAGGTATTTGAACTGTGCAGCTCAGTAAACAGATAATGGTTAATTCTCAACCGGGAGATGGAGTTAATCCTTCCAGCAGCCACAGCAGCCCATGCTGAACTCACATTCTCAACACACAGATTTGTCCCATGTTGAAATCAACCCATAGGATAGGCCATAGAAGCCTATTCATTCTACCCTGGCCGAAATAGTCAACCCTTCTGATTCTTAAGAGTACATAGCAACCCACTGAAGAGCTGACTAGTTAAGGATATTGTTTTTTCCTTTTTGCATTTAGCAATTCTTACACCATTAACCAAAACGAACAACATGTTCTCTAGTTGTTCTTCAGCATCAGCTATGTTCCCGCAAAAATATATTTTAACCAACGATAGCTGCAATCCTGTACATGTTGTTCCAGGAGTAAGCAAGCCCCACCAAACAGAGTAGGATTTAGGCTTGTGTAAACATGCATAGCCCTGGATTAGTACAGAGCAGTCCTATGCATGTCTACTCAGAAGCACCGTTTAATGGAACTTACTCTCAGGTAAGTATTTACAGGATAGCAGCCTAAGTCGTGTGAATCTGCTGAAGACTGCCATCTGTGAGGAGTTTCAGAAGGGCTGAATAGACGGAAGCAAGCCTGTTAGGATGTGCCAGCTTTAGAATGAATGATGCTGCTTTAATATAACTTGTAAGCAGCTTGCTATTTCACACAAGTAGCAGCTTGTTTAAGGCAGACAGTGTTGGACTTTACCCTTCATCAGCACCAGCCCAGAAGATTCATAGCTCAGTGGAAAAGCCTCTGTCTTGCATGCAGAAGGTCTCAGGCTCTATCCCCCAATGGCATCTCCAGGTAGGACTGGGAGAGACCTCCTGCCTGAAACCCTGGAGAGCTGCTGCCAGCCAGTGTAGACACTACTGAGTTAGATGGACCAATGATCTGACTCAGTGTAAGATTATGTTGTATGATCCTATCATAAAGGGAGCTGGAGTCCAGCAACATCTGTGCAGCCACAGGTTCCCTCCATTCCTGAAACAACAACTCATCCAATATCTAGACAGTTAAATACATTATTGCTGAGAACCAGTGTGGTGTATTAGGACCCGGGAGATCTAAGTTCAAATCCTCAGTCATCTAGGAATATTGGTCCAGTCACTGTTTCTCTGCCTAACCTACCTCAGAGGGGTGTTGTGAGGAAGAAATGGGAGAGGGGAAGAACTATGTCCACTAACTTAACTCCTGGCAGGAAAGATGGGGTTTAAATGTCAGAATAAATAAATAAAACTATCCAACATTTTCCAACAATTATTCAAATTACTACATCTTGGGTCTATTGGCACTCAAGTCAGCAGTTTTTAAATGAGCTAATGTGGGAGGAAGAGAAAGTAGGTTGTATGCAATGCTGGCCCTACTCAGAGTAGACCCATTGAAGTTAATGGGCATGACTAATTTTAGGTGCATTGATTGCAGCAAGCCTACAATCAAGCACAATGTAGATTCTTTAGCCATCTTCACTGAAGCATTTACTAGCAGGCAACGCATGGAACAAAGGTTATCCATGCATAAGATGAGGAGAGGTGAAGATTGCAGCAGATGCTCTGCTGTGTTCCATAAAACATTGAGCAAAAATGATCTGGTTCAGGAGACAGACATACCAAGGACTCAGCCCTTGTGAGGGAGCAAGTATATAGCCTAGCAGACACAATGTTGGCTTTTGGACTGGGTTCAAGTCGTAAGTGGACAGATATGAGCCTGTCAGTCACACTCTTTCCGTTTCATAGAGCTGGCATGGATGGATGTGGATGCATGTGAGTTCCATTTAATAAATAAACTCAGGCACCTTTTCATTAAAAAAAATACACACAGCTATAAAACAAAGTGGAAAGACAACTTAATTTCAGCTCCATCTAATAATAATAAATTGCACTTGTATGCCACTTTCTTTAAAAATAAATAAATTCTCAAAGGATGTATCTAGAGCCAGTATGGTGCAGTGGTTAGAGCATTTGACTTAGACCTTGGGAGACCAGGGTTCAAATCTCCACTTAGTCATGAAGCTCAACCTCACAGGGTTTGTTGTGGGGAATAAGAGAGGAGGGGAAGAACCATGTATACCACTTTGAGCTCCTTGGAAGCAAAGGTGGGACATAAATGCAAATTTTAAAAAAGCAAGTCCTCTTTGGAGTTGACCCATTGAAATTAATGGACCCAAGTTATTGGTGTCCATTCATTTCAATGGGCCTAGCTCTAACTTAAGTTGGATGTAATCCAAAGAGCAGGCTGAAAATGCAAGCAAATAAAAGCATTACACAGAAAAAGAAGACACAAAAATAAAAGCACAGAGCCAAAATGGACAAAACTACCCCATCCATCTGAGGAAGAAGATGAGGGGAAGGAGTCGGAATTCACTGGCTATAAATCTCCAGAGCCCCTGAGACTGATCTCTAAGGATCAGGCTTAGAATTCTCACTTAAAATGCTACGCCCTCTGGATTCTCTAGGGGCAAGAACACCGATTGTAAAAAAATAAAAATGCTTTTTGTTAAGGAAGAAAATCGGCACTCACCTTTGCAAAATATGAAGGAGGAGGGGGAAAGAGACCCTCTTTGTTATATTTACTCCTCTGGAACCTGCGGGTGGCAAAGTCTCTTATTTCAAGTATCAGGAGAGGCGGACAGACGAGAAGCGGGAAGAAGAGTGTGTACTCCTTCTCTCTCCCAGGACCTCAGAGCAACTGTGCCAGAGCAGTGTCTGGTCTCCTGCTTTATACCATCCTGTCTTTCCTCCTCCTCCTCCTCCTCCTCCTCCTCCTCCCCTCACTTCCCACCCCTTATGACAAGATACGAGTGAATCATTTCTCTTTCCCTGGAAGATGTGCTTCCTTAGCAGCATCTGAGCCTCTGCAGGAGAGAAGGGGCTTTGCACTGAAAGGGGAAGTTCAACAGATTTGACTGAAACTCCCTCCACCAAAAAACAGAAAAACGCCTCTCCTCTCTTCCCATCCCCGCAATCTTCCCTGAACAGAACCTAACGTGTGACGTTAAAAGGAGAAGGTTAGGGCAGCTGAATAATTGCTGCCAGATTTTTTTCACTGCAATCCTTTCTCCAAAAGTGTTGCACTTGCCCCAACAAACAGCGCCAGGGAGAAGCGTAGACAGGAGCAATCCATTTTGGTAACCAGAGTGAAATGGGCAAGCTGGCTAGACGTCTCCTCCTGCCTGAGAAAGTGGATTGGCGAGATAAGGGGGCGAGGGAGGGACCTTAGACCGGGAGCGAGCGAGCGAGCGAGCTTCGGACTTGTGGTGTTTACTTTGAGCGTGTTTTACTAGAATCCCCAGATCCATCCATCACGCGGACCCAGGCGCAAAAGCGCTCGGATTCCAGGAATTTGTTTTAAGCAGCAAAACTGGATGTGGGAACTCACAGTTCTGAGTTCTCCAGCAATTTTATTTTTATTTTAATCTACTTCTGGCTAGTCCAAACTATCTTCATTCCGGCAGGGAAGAAATTGGGGAACACAAATCCCTGCTGAAACGCATCCTGAGATCTACCGGTAGACCCCCGATCTGCCTGCCCCTGCCTTCTCTTTCAGAGGAAGGCACGGACTGACCTCTTTGGCCGGAGTGGCTGCAGCATTGGCCGCGCGCCTCCTCCCTACAAATGCGCGTGGCGTTTCTGCAGGCGCTGCTTCCCTCCGGCTCTGAGATGCTGCTATGGCTGCCCTCAGCTCCGAAACGCGGTTTCCCAAGCAGGCTGACTGGCGGCGCTGCTGAGAGTCTCCTTTCCGAAGCTGCGAGAGGTTGACGGGGTGAAGGAGCATAGGAACATGAGACGTTGCCTTATACCAAACTAGACCATTGGTCCAGCTAGCTCAGATGTTAAGTGCACTGGCTGGCAGCAGCTCTCTTTCAGAGGAGACTTTCCCAGCTCTCCCTGCATTGAGATGCTATGGGGGATTGAACCAGGGACCTTCTGCATGCGACAGACATGCTCTGTCACTGAGCTCTGGCCATTCCCATACCTCTTGCCTTTGCAACCTCACTGGTGTACTTAGCTGAGATGTAATGAGCTATTCCATCTGCAGTCAAGGTCACTTCCAGACAATCTGTTCATTGAGCATTTGCTCCCATTGGCTTAGGACATTTCCAGCCTGTCACTGTTTTTTTAGATGTGATGCAATCAGTTCAGTTTATGCAATTACAGTTGATGGGGAGGTCTTGCACAGTAAACCGCAGGAAGTGAAGTGATGGGGAAATGCATTGCAAAGCATGAATACAAAAACACAAGAAGAGCCTGCTGGATTGGGCCACCTCTGGGAAGCCCACATCAGGACCTGGCCACAACAGCGCTCTGCCCACCTGTGATTCCCAGCAGCTGGTATTCAGAAGGATACTGTCTCTGACAATGGAAACAGAACATAGCCATCATGATGGTGCTGTGGTCTAAACCACTGAGCCTCTTGGGCTTGCCAATCAGAAGGTTGGTGGTTCGAATCCCCGCAATGGAGTGAGCTCCCATTGCTCGGTCCCTGCTCTGCCCACCTAGCAGTTCAAAAGCACGTCAAAAGTGCAAGTAGATAAATAGGTACCGCTCCGCTGGGAAGGTAAATGGCGTTTCCGTGCGCTGCTCTGGTTTCAGTGTTCCATTGCAACAGAAACGGCTTAGTCATGCTGGTCCCATGACCCGGAAAAACTGTCTGCGGACAAACGCCGGCTCCCTTGGCCTGTAAAGTGAGATGAGCACCACAACCCCAGAGTCATCTGCGACTGGACTTAACTGCCAGGGGTCCTTTACCTTTACCTTTTATCGCTTTGATGCACTGTTGTCTAACTTTCTCACAAAGAAATCAGAGTAACTGCTCATTAAATAGCCAAAATGCAATACAGAATTTCACAAAGCACTGTGGAATGCCTTCCCTATTGCCCATTGTGAAACACCATCCATCTGTTGTTTCAGGTGTCTTATAAAGATATTTATTTTTCCACAGGATTTCCCTGTTGTGGATGAGATCGGATGCTGTTATTACTGCAATTCTGTTTTCACCTGTTTTTAAAATACTATTTTAAATGTTTTAAATCTCTCCTTTTACAATACTTGATTGCTTTTTAGATGTATGTTTGTCTTCTTCTCAGAGACTTTAAAATAGCAAGCAGTTTAGAAATGCAAAGGAAGGGAGGGAGGTTAATTCCATGCTCTTGTGCAACAAACATACTCCCACTCCCACCCATTTTTTGTGTGATCAGGAAGGTGTGGAATAATAATTGCATGACACAGCTTATCAGCTTCCTACAAACAAATCAGCAAGCCTAAACTTCCTGCAAACTTTGTGCAAACAGATCAGGATGTTTGCTCTATCAATAATCAATGTGGAAGTGATTTGAGTCCTGATTAGGTTGTTGTTGTTGTTTTGCATCAGCCTCTGAATCTCTTGTCCATTTCTTTCAGAGTACCTGGGCATGCTGCAGAATGCAGTGCCAGTGAGACCGCAACCCACATTCTTTTCTCCCTCCCAGATTGACTCATTTGAGATAAACAGGGCAAGCCACTGCGTAAGTTGCCACAAACCTTCCAGAAACATGTAAGTGTCATAAGCCATGAAAGGAGCGTATGATGCAAAAAGTAATCAGAAAAAACCTGAGCCCAAGAAGTTGGCATGTTCATTGACCATGTTTCCAAAGAGGCAGCTTCCTGTACCATGAAGAACATTAGGGGGAGCTCTGAGCTCAAGAGCTGTCCCACTTGAGGAAAAAATGATATTTATTATTACTTTATCAAAAAGGATCGATTGTTTCACTGTCATTCATATTCCAAGACAGTATGTCTAGAAAAAGATTGTGAGACTACACATTGAAATATTTTATTAATTGATTGATTGATTGATTGATTGATTGATTGCTAGCAGCTTGGCTAGTCCAAAGTACTTTTATTAGGACCAGGTTTTATTAGGCAGGTTAAGATGACGACTTATGCAGAGCTGGCCAGATTAACAGGAAGAATACGAGACCAGGATGAACAGAAGTTTCAAGAAAACTGGAGTAAATATTTGATGTATATAAAAGACAATTGTAAAGTATTAAAGACACTGGCTGGGTTGGAATAACTCTCACAATGGGTGGAAAAATAAGCTAATTAAACAAAATACGAAAGGTAAGAAAATACATGATACTTACCGAAGGGGTGGAGGGAAGTCCGAAGCTCGGCAGAGCTAAAGATGATTATGTGGTGCATATATGCTATAAATGTGTTGTAAATGTATGTTTACTGAAAACAATAAAAATTTATTGGAAGAAAAAAAACAAAGTACTTTTATTAGGACCAAACAAAAGGTCAAGAAATAGTGAGCAAGCTTTCATGATTTCCAGGACAAATGACGAAGCGTTCTAGAGAACAGGATGCTGGACTAAATGAGCCGCGTTCTAGAGAACAGGATGCTGGACTAAATGAGCCATTGGTTTGATGCATCAGACTCTGCGCTCTTATGAAGAACTCACAAGGTGGCTCACTATTTTGGAGACATGTAGGATCAACTCATAATAAAGCTCTTTCCCAGTGGTGGATTTGGGGCCTTCAAAAAGTGTACTAGACTGGTCAAGAATGGAAGAAGACCCCTGTTGGATCAGAGAGAATGGTTCATCTATCTCAGTCTTTGGCCCTCCTTGCTGGGGCTGATAGAAGCAGCAATATCTGGAAGGCCCATCCAGTCTGGCAACCTGCTTCCTACAGTGGTTAACCATTACCTCCACAATGAGCATATGAAAGCCATCACTCCTTTGTGCTGTTGTTCTCCAACAACTGGTATTCAGTAATACATTGCCTCTGGCCATGGAAGTTCCATTAGGGATCGTCATGACTAATGGTCATCTGCAGACGTCTTCTCCATGAATTTGTCTGTGATACCCCTTTGATACCATTCTAAACTACAGGCTATCACAACTCTTGGCAGCAAATTCTTTAAATCGACTGTATGTTCTATGATGTAGAGAAGAGATGGGCAGAAGGGAGACTGGGAACTACTATCTCTGGATGATTTGCAGTAGATTAGCAAAGGTGTCAGACTCCCAGTTGTCTACCAAAGGCAACAACTGATCTTCCAATGTCATGTATGTCACAGAGGTGTCACAAAAGCCTCAGCACTTCCTGTCGCAGGTTCCATGCTATGGAACAGAGGCACCCTTGGTTTTGACTTTTAGGTGTCTTTGGAATACATTTTTACGCTGACAAGTCTTTGTAGCAGTTTAATTGTTAATTTTTTAGCAGTCACTCTAATGCTTCTCTGTATCATTTTTAACAGTGTTTTATATTTTAGGGTTGATATTTTATGATATGGTGGTACAGAAACACTTTAATAAACAAGCAAATCAGTGCCCTTTTGTATTCTAAGTTGGACAAACAGGACATTTGCTACAGGGGAAAAAATCAATAGACACAAATCTGCCATCAGAAATGGCAAAATCCAAAAACCTATGGGAGATCATTGCATCCTCCCAGGACAATCTAATGGACATTAAAGTGGTCATTCTGAAACAAAGGGACTTCACAGGAAGACTGGAACATAAAATGAGTGCATTACAATTCACCAACATGTGTCTATCACTTCTGGATTGAACTGGGACAATGGATTTTCATCACAAAGCAGGAGTTAATTGACTCACCAATGCCAGGATGTCTGTACTGGCAATACAACTGCTTTTTGACAATGGTCAAAGGGTTAATAATGTAATTATCACTGTTTGCTCTTGTTCCTTAAGACCTCACAGTTTTCAGTTCAGCTATGTGGGTCTGTTCTTGCAACTGAAGATTATATCATGCATTCTATGGAGTCTACAGAAGCTTATGCTAAGCTTTAAGGTTCTTACTTCATTGTTTTCACAATAAACTCACCTGACCGCCCCTCCGGAAACAGATATATTTGGTGAGCGTTTTGCTCTGTGCATAAGGTCTCGCTTCAGATACTTTTCATAGGATAAATAGGGAAGGTGAACAGCAGCACACGGGCTAAACTGATTGCCAAAGCCATAGCCACCACTGAAGGGGAAGGGCTCAGAAGGTCCCAGTTTCAATCCCCAAAGGCATCTCCAGGTAGGGTTGCAAAGAGACTCCTGACTGAATTCCTGGTGAGCTACTGCCAGTCAGTGCAGACAATACTGGCCTAGATGGGCCTGACATGGTATAAGACAGCTGCCTATGTTCCTAAGTTCCACTGCTGAGCTGTGATGTCAGTGGATCAGTGTGGAAAAATTGTGGACAAGAGAGGTTAATGATCCCCTGCCCCACTGATCACCCACCCTTCCACGTTTTGCAAGTGATTGGAGATGACAGGTCAGTAGAGGGGGGCGGGGGTTGCTATATTACTTTGCTGTGCAGTGAGTAAAGGACCCCCCTTTTTCAATGTGCAACGTGGAAATTAAGCAAGTTCCAAGACTGAAGGTCAGGTCTCCTGAATGTGAGCCACTGAACCACTACAGAGTTCTGTTGATTCCAAAAACCATTCAATGGATTTCTTTACCAAAAAAGCTGAGTCAGAAGATGGTTGGCCAAAAAGAGAACTAAGGTGTTTTCCGTTATTATTTTTTTAAAGGAAAAATAAATCAGTTACTGGCAGACACATAATTAATACGCCATAAATTTTGCTCCCTAATCCACTTTTTGGACAGAGCTCTAAAGCCACACAAAGCTTTGATGTGAGACCTTAGCAAAAGGGACAAGGGCGGGGGATTTTGGATTAGGAGAGTGTGTACACATCAAGGGAGGTTCCCCCAAAAGAACCAGCTAATAGAACTTTTTAAAACCCAGGAAAGCTCACTCTTCAATAAGAAGGAAATAGGGATGGGGGTGGGGGGGAGGGGAGGGGAGTATTTTCAAGAGCAGCATGTATAATCCAGAGTCACGCATGCTGTTGCATCCAGTGACAGTCATTGAAGTTGAATGTTGGAAGATTCAGGATGGACAAAATAAAAGACTTCTTTGCACAGCATATAGTTAACTATGGAACTCACTGCCACTGGAGACAGTGATGGCCTCCAACTTGCATGGCTTTAAAAGAAGATTGGACAAATTCAAGGAGGATAAAGCTATCAATGGTTATTGAATACTAGGTGCTAGGAGTCTTAGGTGGATAGAGAAGTGTTGTGCTTAGCTCCTGCTTTTTGAACTTCCCACAGGACACTGGACTAGTGTGGCAGGCATTTCTTAAGCTCTAATGTAAAACATGGCTGCTGAGAGGCTGACAGAAATCCAGAGCAGTAAGTGCATTGGGTAGGATTTCAGACCTAGGTCACTTTCTCACAGTCTCACCTAGAAAACCACCAGGATCTCATCCATACCATATATTTAAAGCATTATGATACCACTTTAAACAGTCATGGCTTCCCCAAAAGAATTCAGGTCACTAGTTTGTTAAGAGTGCTGAGACCCCTATTCTCTTCACAGAACTACAACTTCCAGAGTTTCCTGTGAAGATGGATTAACTGTTAAGCCACCCTGGGAATTGTAGCTCTGGGAGGGAAACAGGGGTCTCCTAACAACTTATGGCACCTTTTACAAAATTATGGCTCCCATAATTCTTTGGGAGAAACCAGGGCTGTTTGAAGTGGCATCATACTGCTTTAAAAATGTGGAGTAACTGTGGGCCTAGTGGTTTCATTAAAAAAGGTAAAGGTCAAGTACTCCTGACAGTTAAGTCCAGTTGCAGGCGACTCTTGGGTTGCTGTGCTCATCTCGCTTCACAGGCTGAGGGAGCTGGTGTTTGTCCGCAGACAGTTTTTCCAGGTCATGTGGCTAGCATAACTAAGCCACTTCTGGCACAACGGAACACTGAAACCAGAGCAGCACACGGAAACACCGTTTACCTTCCTGCTGGAGCAGTACCTATTTATCTACTTGCACTTTTTGGTGTGCTTTTAAACTGCTAGGTTGGCAGGAGCTGGGACTGAGCAACGGGAGCTCACCCCGCCATGGGGATTCGAACCGCCAACCTTCTGATCGGCAAGCCCAAAAGGCTCAGTGGTTTAGACCACAGCGCCACCCGCATACCTGGCTTCATAGACAGGGCTAAGTATTCGGCTCAATCACTGCGAATTTCCAAAGGAGCTCTGCTCATTGTGTACCATACTGCAGAGACCCAACTGGCCTCAGCTAGAAGCCAGACATTTAGTGTTGCAGCTGCCATGCTGTGGAATGCTCTTCCAGCAGAGATCTGGTAGGAGCCTCACTTTTGATTTCCAGGAGTCGCCTGCAGACTTTTTTTTATGCTGGCAGGCCTTTGCAGCTATAAAAACATTCTGATTAGTCTGTTACTTTAATGGTGCCTTTGTCTGTGTTAAAGGCTTTTATATATACCAATTGTCATATAGCACCCTGATATTTTCTGCAAGGGTGGTCTATAAATACTTCTATAAAGTGTTTATTAAATGAAATAAGTAAGCATTGAAATTCTTTCAAAAATGATGAATGTGATCTGGGTAGTCTTTCCTGCAGAAGATAAACATGACTACAGGAGTTCATGCTCTAGTGATATCAAATCCGGACTACTACAATGCATCCTAAATATGGGGCTGCCCTTGAAAAGTCAAGACATTTCACACGGTCCAAAATACAACCATCAGGCTATGACAAGGGTGGGGGCTGATTCTTCCTTTATCCTTTATCCAGAACTCTACGTAGGAGTATATTGATTGTATGAGGTATAAAGGGATGGGTAGCACCTCTGGTTGTGCTCCTTTTGGAGTAGTTTGTCCACCTTTGGTCCCCACCCTACACTCAGCTCTCACCTGTGTCTCCTTGAAGCTGTCAGCATGTGACAGCAGCCACATCCCAGGAAACAGCTTTGACTGGCTAAATGTAGGTGAGGGTAGCCGATGGGCCTCAAAGCCTCAGTGAGTGAGGGATTTTCCCTGCATGCAAAGGCAGGCTCCATCAGACTGGGCAGATGAGACCAATAGTAGGGCCAATGGTCAAGAAGGCGGTTTCTGCACGTGCCATAGAGGGAAATGAGGGGCAGATGGGGCTCGTCAACCTGGGAAAGTAGCCCATCTAGGAGAAGAAAAACTCTGATCCTAAACCTCCACTGCCTTGCCAGCTACACTCATAAGTGAGAAAGGCTTCTGGAGTAAACCTCAAGGAAAAGTCCATACCCGCTGCCTTGTGGGACATCTTCAGAAGAAAGGGCTAAGGAGTAAACCCTACCTGCTTTCCTTTGGACCACATCAGTGAGGCTGAGAGGGGAGTCTTGTTGTCTGGGCAGCCAATATACACTGTCCAGGCTTGCACCTAACACAGCAAAAACAATGCGGGAGGCAGCAGTTACGAGCTTCCAGTCTCCGCAGGCACAGCAGGCCCTGTGGTTCTCCAACAGGTTGACTTCACCCCTAGAGTAGCACTCCTTTGTCTCTCAAGACAGACAGGTTCCAACAACATAGGAGACCCACCAAACCTCTTGTCTCTTACCGTTTAAAGCTTTACAGTGAGCACTGTTTTTACATTCCTGAAAAACATAGCTAAATTCTCTCTACCCTCAGCACAAGCGAGAGATCCAGAATGCTGAGAGGGGAGATCAGAAGCCGAAGGAAATACTGTATGTTTATATATTTATTAGGAAGTTGTATATTGTAATATTTGAACAGGTAATGCTGCATTTCTGTAACATTTGGTATTTGGTGTTTTAGTTTCCCATTCATCACTTAAGAGGTTTTCAAATATATATCAAGCAGTATAAAAGTGGTCTAAATAATAATAAGATGGGACACCAACCTCCCTCCCATTCTGGACAGAAGAGAGGTGCAAAGAGCTTTTCTCTGTGAGCAAACATGGCAATGGTTGGTGTAGGCACCTTTATTCATTGTTGGGGTGGCATGCCAGCATCATTTTGTGGTCCTTTTTCTCTGGTCTTTTAAAGGCAGCAGCCATGTTGTTACGCTACACCCCTATCACCACCATTTTGTGCTATGCCACACACACAGAGAAGCCATTTTAAGGTGATCCCTGTACTATGCCCTTTCTCAGAAATAAGGCCCACCTGGAATCTCACCACGGCGGGGGGGGGGGGAGCATTCTCATTTGGGGTCTCCATATTACAAAACCCAGACTTTAATAGTGAGTCAAACCAGTTATTCTTGGCCTGAAATCTAGACAGGAACACTGGGAGCTGTCATATACTGAGTCAGGCCATTGGGTCCATCTAGCTCAGTATAGCCTTCACTGACTGGCTTGTGTTATACAGGGGACTCCTAAAGATGCCAGGGATTGAACCTAGGACCTTCTGCATGCAAAGCAGATGCTCTACTGCTGAGCTACAGCCTTTCCCTGACACCGAAGAATAACTGTAATACAATACTTTCCCCATCTTTTGCACAGGCAGTCAGTTACAGAGTTCTTTTAAGACAACACACAGTTTGTTCCAAAGCAAAGAATGTGGTGCCATGAAGCCCACACTAAAATCAAAATTGTGGTTAGATGATAACGATGTTGTGCGTTACTCAGTGGAGCTGGTTAGTTCCTGTAAGTGCCTGAATGTTGCTACTTGGCAACCGGGGCATATTGCATGATCCTTGATGAAAAACCCAATTAAGCCACTCAGTCCTGACAGGATTTCAACACTTGTTTTTCATAGGATTACATGGCAGAAGTATTCTGTTAAGAAAGGTATTAAGTTATCTTTGCTTTGTGCCAGCATGGTATCTTGTTTCAGTTCTCAGTTAATGTGGCCCATTCAAAAGTGATAGAACCCAAATCCAATTAGTTAACAAACGTCAATACACAAAACCACGCTCTCAAGTTTTCACTTTAGACAGGATGTTTCATTTGTAAACCACGCAATTCCTTCCCTCTTTCACAATTTCCTTCCAATCTAATGCATCATAAAGGAGCCCTCTTCAGATAATGTCTCCTTTACAGCCTGCACTAGAGATTCCTCGTAAAAGTAAACATAGCAATTAAAATCCAAGAGGATCGTTAAAAACATACATGCAATTAGAAGGGCAAGTATTGCAGAAGAAGAGGCCCATACTTGTCATTTCTTAGCAAAGGTGTACAACTTTCTCATAAAGGTGAAGTAAAAAGAACAAGATAATTGTTGGGCAATATTTCAGAAGGAGCTGTCCTTTGGAAATGACCATAAAACACAACAACTAATAGACACAAGTCCAAATAAATGGTCAAGGTTTCTTTAGCTAGAGTCTGACCCGACAGGAAATATATACAGATGATGGGAGGAAATATACAGTGGTGCCTCGCAAGACGAAATTAATCCGTTCCGCGAGAGTCTTCGTCTAGCGGTTTTTTCGTCTTGCGAAGCAACCCTATTAGCGGCTTAACGGATTAGCGCTATTAGCGGTTTAGCGGCTATTAAAGGCTTAAAGGCTTAGCGGATTAGCTGCTAAAAGGCTATTAAAGGCTATTAAAGGCTTAGCAGATTAGATAAAGGGGCGAAAGCGAAAAAAATCTCAAGACTTGCAAGACATTTTCGTCTTGCGAAGCAAGCCCATAGGGAAATTCGTCCTGCGAAGCAACTCAAAAACGGAAAACCCTTTCGTCTAGCGGGTTTTCCGTCTTGCGAGGCATTCGTCTTGCGGGGCACCACTGTATAAGGTTCCTGACAGGATATAGGGATTATGGTGGAGAATGAAACTGTTGACTCAGTGTGCAGCAGCAAGCTCAATTCCATGTTAGGGATCATTAGGGAAAAGGTCCTGAAATAAAAATACCAATATTTTAATGTTTTTCCCCAAATCTATGGTGATGTCATCCTTGGAGTACTGTGTTTATAATTCTAGTCATCACATTTCACAAAGGATATGGCAGATCTGGAAAGTGACAAAAACAGCATCTAAAATAATCCAGAGACTGGGGCAACTCCTCTATGAGGAAGGATTGCATAATTTGGGATTATTTAGTTTGTGAAAAACTAAAAGGGACTACTTTATTACATGAGCACTGTTCCACAGAATTTGATATTTTCATTTATATATATTCATTCGAAATAAGTGAAGCATTCTATATCCATCCACCACGCTGATGAAGAATTCTACGAAACAGTAGTCAATATCAGGAATTACTGTTCAGTGTTGGACATGATTGTTGAATACACAAAGCTTCACAGCTTGTCTTCCACCGTACAAAGTTTGGTACCTCGCTTCATTTAAAGATTTTCAGAGACTTTGAGACTAAAAATTTCATTTTGAACTTTTTATGATTTGAAGGAATTCTATAAAGATTGTCTATTATGTATGTATATGGTCATCGTGTTGCCTAGACATGGTTGACGTTCTCTTTGCAACACAGGGGTTTTGTTTGGATACTTCAGACTGATCAAGCAGGTCTTCCTAGGTGTGACTGTAGGTATAACCAAAGCTGTAAATACTCTTGGTGGTGGGCTCTGAAGGCTTAACCCAAGTCTTCCTAACGTATGAAGACAAGTTCATGCTTTTGGAACATCAAGATCAAGCTTCCTCAACCTCGGCCCTCCAGATGTTTTTGGCCTACAACTCCCATGATCCCTAGCTAGCAGGACCAGTGGTCAGGGATGATGGGAATTGTAGTCTCAAAACATCTGGAGGGCCGAGGTTGAGGAAGCTGTTACATGTACTTCAGTCCTTGCAGACTTGGCCCCAGTGGAGTGCTAACACTCTAGCTTCTAAACTTCCACTTAGTGACTGTCAGAGCATCATTTTCAAATCTATAAAGCCATAAGGCTTGCTCTTCTATGTGAAGTTGCATTGATGCCAAATGAGACCATTGGCCCATCTAGCCAAGTGCTGCCTTATCTGACAGCAAGTCCTTCAGTGTTGAGAAAGTACAATAGGGCCAAGTACACTAGCACAGCCTATCTTGTGGGTTCTTAACAGCTACACGCTCTACCCAACTTTTTGGGATACAATTTAGGTTGGTTTTCACAGTCATCAGTGGCTTGAGACCAGGCTACTTCAAAAACAACCTATTCCCACTGAAGCTGTCTAGGTGTCAATATCTGCCTTTTCTCTGGGTCCCACCAATCTTAGAGAGGAAGTGAGTGATGAAGACGAGGCTTTTTCAGCAGTGGTAGATGATATTTTTAACTTTTTCCAAACTTTTTTTCTTTTTCATACCAAGAAAACCCTCATTTGCCCAGGACTTTGTGAAATATTTAATACTAGTGTTTTATTCTTATTTATGACACTTCTATCCCATCTTTCCTCCAAGGAGTTCAAGTAGGCATACATGGTTCTTCAAGTCCTCATTTTTATTTGCACAACCTTGTGAGATAGGTTAGGCTGAGTGTGACTGGCCCAAGATTACCCAGTGAGCTTGATGGCTGAGTGAGGATTTGAACCCTGATCCCAGGTCCTAGGTCCAGCACTCTAACCACTATACTCCTCTGGCTCTTACTTTTTTGTGCTAGTATTTTAATCTAGTGTTCTGCTGCAATACTGGTTTTTTTCTGCACTGGAAGGGATTGAGACTAAATGAACTTTTAGATCCTTTCCAGATGTATGTACGGCTATAGGAAAAGTCCTATTTAATTATGGATTTTATGGCCCATGGCTTTTAAAAATTGCAAAAGTATTTTTTGTAAGCTACTCCAAGAGCACTGAATAGCCTGATGGCAGTAGCTGCTGTTCACCCTTAAACAAAGTAACACAGAAAGCCAACCCAAAAAGGAGGGTTGCATTCAATGTTAGTCCTATTCAGAGGAGATTCTTTGAACTAATGGACACAATTAACCGATGTTCATTAACTTAAAAGGTATTTACTCCAAGTAGGACTTGGACACAAGAGTTTTTCCATGCAGGAAGCCATTCTACATTTTGATCCAGTTAAGATACAGACAAAATTAGGGCTTACAAGATGGGAGTAAACATAGGCAATATAGGATGGATCAAGGACAGAGATATGTACATAGGTCACTGCTTTATGCTGAGTCAAACTATTGGTCTATCTAGCTCAGCATTGTCAACATTGACCGGCAACAGCTTCTCCGGTGTTTCAGGCAAGCGTCTTTCCCAGGGATAGTCAACCTTTTTATACCTGCCGCCCACTAATGTATCTTTCTTGATGGTAAAATTTCCTTACAGCCCAGCAGTGTTTGACAGGATTCAGCTTGTGCCGTAGAACCCCCTAACACCCACCTAGAATCCTGAAATGCCCTCTAGTGGGCAGTAGGGATTAGGTTGACAAACTCTGGTCTTTCCCAACCCTACCTTGGACTCAGCTACATTTGTAGTTTTATATGCGTTATAGCACTAGGACACCACATGGCGCTGTGGAGTCCCATTTTTTGCCAAGGGAACTTTTAAGTTTACAACGCGTTTAACCGAATTGCTGGAGATGCCAGGACTAACCGACTTTCTGCATACAAGGCAGATAAGACGTGCTACCTTTTCAAAATAGGCTGACTGTGCCAAATTTTTTGAGAGAGATTATTATCTCAGAATAGCAAAGGATGCCAGAGGTGTTCTGGTGTAACAGATCTCCAAGCTGCTAGTCTGCTATTTTTGTTTCTGAAATGTACAGAATCATAAAAGCCATGGTTTGTTTATTTAACAAAATGTATATCATGCTTAATCAATTCTAACCTCTACATGGTTTACGTAGCTATTTTTCAAATAAAAAATATTAAAATTTGAAATTACAACTAACACAGAAGGCATATTTTTATAAACTTGTGCATTTTATTGCACACTATTTTGAGTGGAAATGGAGTAACTGAATAGAGAGAGGTATGAAGGCACAAAAGTATGAGAAATTTAGTAACCGGGGGCCACAGGAGTATGTCCCATGAAGCAATACAAAGGGAGTCCCCTGCCTTTGCAACACCTTCAAGATAATTTATAGCAGACATTGCCCTCCACCCAGGTCTTCAAGTTTACATTTTCCTCTGGGTAGTAGAGATAGGGAAAATAACTATTCTAAGAATTTACAACAGGAAGAGCTACTGAAGCTCACAGATTTCTTAACTCCCTTCTGGCAAAAGGATTTGAAATATAAAATCAATGAAGAGGTGAGTTAATACAGCTTGGGAGTGCAGGACTCTTGACGTGGCCCTGGTGCCCTCCCCAGAAATCATACTGTGCTTGCTAATTATTGTAGGCCAGAATTATCCTAAGTACAAGTTGAGTAATGTGTCATACGGAAGGAAGGGGGGGGGCTGGATGATAGTGACATGTGTATGCAACAATAGAGATGACAGGCTGGCATTGTGGACAAACAACTCTCCCCACTGCTAAAAACTCCCAAGAGCCAACAGCCACTGCAATGAAAGCAGATGCCATTTGCTCTGAAGTCAGAATAGATTTCAAGTTGTCAACTGTTGATGGTCTGTGTTGGGAGAGGAGGAAATAAAAAACTTTTTTAAATGGAAGAACTTCACAAATGCCGAACTTCATAAGTGGCCTTCGATGTTACTGGCTTACAGAACTTTTACCTACTGTACCCATTTGTGTGGCACATGGACAGCCTGAAAGAACAAATGGTTAACTTTGGTAGTTTACAAAAGCTTTTTGTGTTGTTGCCTTACGAACATTCCAATTCAAAAGGCAATCAAGTTGAAATGTCATTTGCAAGCTTGGATTGTGAGACTTTAGACAAGTGGTCTGAGCCCTGCTGGATCAGACCAAAGGTTGATCTAGTCTAGCATCCTATCCAGATATTTCACAGATGCCCTGTCAGGGAACTGACATCGGAGCCAGAGGCGGAGGCTAGGCTCTCAAGCGATGCTGGAGAAGGGCCCAGCAGGGGGAGAGGCGGTTCACCAGCTGGGGAAGGAAATCAGCGTAACACCAGGGATAAAGGGGGGCAGATGGGGGAATCGGCGAGGGGGGCTCCAGGACTCCTTGCCGGAGATCAGCGAGGAGAGCACGGGTCCTCCGCTACCCACGCCCTCCCTGCGCAGAAGACTTCCGCGCAGGGAGAGTAGGAGGAGACTTGGAGTCAAACAACTTTTATGCTGGAAAAGGTTTAAGAAACGCCCACTGACGGATTCTGCTAGCGACTGAACAGCCACGAAGTGTAGGGCTGTCCAGACAGAAAAGGTTTAACAAGGCAACCTAGCCAGGAGTGGCACCAACTTGCGCACAAGCAACCCCTACATTTGAGACATGCCCCAAAGGCAACCCTCCCAAAACTACCCCCCAGGCATACAGCTTTTGAACATCCATTTAGTTTACTGGGTCTAATAGCCATTGACAGAACTACACCAAATTGATTTGTGTAATGTCCTTTTAAAGCCATTTGATTGGAGATGAAAGTGAAGCCGGTCAGGAAGTACAAAACTGGTATTTCTCAGTTTTGTCTTTGGCACCCCACCAGGAGACTTGGCTTTGCAGCTTTTCCTGTTCATTTGAATGTGTCTGTTGCTTTCAGCTGAGCCCCGTGGTCAAAGAACACTCTCAGAGCTTTAAATCAACTTTGTGACTTTTTTTTATTGATGGGCGACAACTTTATACTCCTAGATATCACTAGACTGTGTACACTTAGGAACTCAACATTATAGGAGAGCGGACAGCAAAATTAAACAAAGCAGACTGAAAAAAATATCAACTTTCATTATTTTGCCCATTTTTTGTTTTAAAATCCCATGTACACAGAAGCATAAATGCAGTTTTGAAATCTCTTAATAGCAATAAAGTTACAATCACCCATCTATATAGACTAACATTTTAACTCAAAAGTATTTTGATCTGCAATGTGTACTTAAGCAGTTTCTCATCGCACAATTATTAAAATGTGTATTTTTCCCTATCAGGAACCGGCAACTCTGTATATTATACTTTTTTTGTAGAGTATTTTCTTTTAAAGGAGGACCATTTTTTCCTTGATAGACACTGGCTCATTTTTACCATTTATCAAAAAACTAGTGGGGGAGGATTAGAGAGGTTTTTTTTTTTAGTTTTTTTATTTAAGTAAAGATAAAACATTTTCACAGAAATCTACAAGTTCTGTTGCTGGTGCAGGGCTGCTTCTACTATGCAATTAGAAAGTGGGAATCAGTTGCAAATCCCCCGTTTTAATAATCTCTTAGGATTCAGCATTAGCGCAAAAAAAAGAAGAAGAAATACTTTGTGTGTGATTCGTGAGACTGAGTCTTTCAAACCCTAATGACTTCATTCAGCAAAGTCAATAAGCCAACACCAACTAGGCTGGTCACAAACCTCAAAAAGGTAGTCTTCTCTTTCACTCTATCCCATAGTTGCAAGGGGAAGGAAGAAAGAAGGAAAAGAATTCATTGAGGGGAGGAAGAGAAATAAGGGTTAGAGAGAGTTGGCGTTCTAGAAAGCAGGTAATCTGGCAAACACAGCAGAAAAACGGGGAGTTTTCAAAGCAGGTCAACTCGGCGGTAGTACAGGAGGTAGGCTGTGCGCTCAGCAGACGGCTTCACCACCTGGTACTGATTAATCACTTTGACAGCCTGGTCATCTATGCGCAACCAGCCATTGAGACCAATCTGGAAGACGTCTGTAGTGTAATGTCCACCAGTTGCACTGTTTCCGTGATGGTAGACAACTGTCAAAAAACCAAAACCAAACAACTAATAAGACAACAGGGAAGGAATCAACATTAACAAATTTCAATGGATACTGGCTTGTCCAAATGTTTGTCAACTTATGCGGAGGGATGGAGTTCCACAAGTATCAGTTTGTTTTATTAGCCAGATGATTACACCTTGCCACACAAAGACCAGAACCCTTGGGCATGAGAACGGGGCTTAAGGAAGAAGCAAGGAGTGCCCTCAATTGGGCTGGCACACAATGTCAGAAATAGTGGGAGATACTGATTTTTTTTATGCTCTTCAAACCTCAACTAAAGTGTAATAAAACTCCATCTCTCTCCCAAACTTACTTGCCAGAGGGCTTGAGAAAACAGGGGAGTCACTTGAAATTCATTCAGTAATTTTGGAGAATATTAAATATGGGGGAGAGATAAAACTCTGACTCTTTTAGTTTAGACTGCTTGGGAGAGATTGGTTTGTTTGCTAAACTTCTGCAATCACTAAAATGGTGCAGCAAAACAACCAACAACTAAATGCAAGCTTTTTGAAAGCAGCAGGTTACTTCCCTCCCCAATTTCAATACTTTGCGAGCGACTATCTCTCAATCCACAGTCGCAATCACAGTCAGTACTGACTCAAGTACTAAATTCCACAAGGTTGACTGCACATTTGGCTGCCATCAACTGACAGGTCTGAGTACAGTGGTACCTCGGGTTACATATGCTTCAGGTTACAGACTCCGCTAACCCAGAAATAGTACCTCGGGTTAAGAACTTTGCTTCAGGATGAGAACAGAAATCGTGCTCCAGCGGCGCAACAGCAGAGGGAGGCCCCATTAGCTAAAGTGGTGCTTCAGGTTAAGAACAGTTTCAGGTTAAGAACGGACCTCCGGAACGAATTAAGTACTTAACCTGAGGTACCACTGTAATGTGAAGTAACTCTGAATAACTTTCTTAATTTGAATAATATGGAGTGGTTGCAGAATATCATCTTTGTTGAACTGACATTCTTGGATTAAGGCACACAACGGGGAACTTTTAAAGAAAGAATTAATTTTAGCAGGGCATACGCTTGATCTGAGAGGACTGCCAATATTTTAAAACAGCAAGAGCCCTTGTGACAAAATTAATTACATTTGAGATAAATGAGCACATACCTGCAAAGAGCCGGTAGGTTCTTTGGCCTTTAAATATCTTACTTTTGACCCCCGGAGACAGCAGTTCTGAAAAAGCAAACAGAATTTCAAGTGAATTACTGTCTTTAGTATTATGAGATTACTTCCGCCTCTCTTTTACCCACATTTAATGAATCAAAGAGCATGCACCCACTGCAAGGAACAAAAGAACTACTGAAAGCTGAGCCTGTCAACAATAGCTCTTCTATTCCACTGCGACGGCTCAGGATGTATGGCCATCCTCCCTGAGGAGATATAAGCTTCTCACTGATCTTTGCCAATATGAGGGCTTCCTTTTGTCGGATATCTGGCCAAGATTTGGGTATGACACACAAGAGTAAATGGCAAGCAATAAGTTTTATAGTACATTGGTGCGAAGATCTTAATTTTTAGGTCTTTATTTTATTTTTTAAAAAGAAATGTTTATACATTAGGATGTGAGATTAAGTAACTTCAGAGATTGTTATTTCAAGGAGTTAAATCACAGCATTCCAAACCTTGGAATGAGAGAAAAAGATAGCAAAATTGTTAAAATAGCATCAGTTTGAGAGAAACAGCAGTATTCTGGTACCATGTCCTGTCAGCACAAGGATTTCTGCTTGTCTAACAGGATGCCACCCCTCCAGCTCCATGTGCCCCACATCCTCCCCAAATCTGTCCCGGGGGCTGGGGAAACATCCTGAACAGACTGAGGGAGCAAAACATTCAATTGCACAAGCAAGAATTCTTAAGCTGATGGAACCTTAGCACTACACTGAAGTCCACCCAAGTGCTGCAAGATTTTGGTGATTAAATTCTGAGGAAGAAATAGTCTTGTGCTGATTTATGAAGACTGTGGAACTAATGTACAGCAAGCTTTTTAAGATAAAGAAATATACTGAAAATGACACTGGAGATGATATTTGGCGTTAAACTCAGATCAATCTGGGCTGCTTAACCAGTCCTGAAGATATACACTGATTCTGAAATCCCTAAACAGGCCCGCCCCCCCACCCCAAAAGCATAAACAATAATCTCTTTCTGTAAAACAAACAAAAAACCCAGATGCTTTGTTCAGAAGATTTACCTTTACTTATTTCCAGGTCAACAGGATATTCAATATTTTTTATGAGCTTCTGGCACCCCCCTGTTTTCTCATAGACAAATCGTTTGAGGTGTAGGACAAGGACTGGTGGGAGTTCTTCAAGTGTCACTCTTCGACTGATCTCCACCTAGCATGGTGAAAGCAGAATTTTAGTTGGACCTCAAATCTCTGCTAGTCACTAATTAAGCTTATTTTCTCAGAATCAGAAGTGGAAATTACTGAAATCAGTTTAATACACACACAAACACCTCTTCCTTCCATTTTTAGGCACTGCCAGACTAACAGGTGCGGGATTTCCACCCCGGGGGGGCAGAATAATGTTTCTGGCTATGTACAACATTTAAAGTCACCTGCCTATATATATCTACTTTCATAGGCATGAAGGCTTTCACTGCAGAAAGCACTTGGTGGACAAATTTTGGTTCAAAATTTATTTTCAGTTCAGCTCTTCGGCTCCAGTTCTGCACACTACTCCTATGAGCTAATGATCACATATTTAATCAGCTTTTGTTAATGACTGGTGCAAAGTGCAAAAGGAGATTTTGTTCATAAATATGTTAGAGAAAACTATTTTTTTAAAATGCAATACGAGATGTTTGCACTCTTCCCAGACTAGACACTAAAATATAAACCAGACCAGACTAGCACCTCAAGTGAACACCCATTTCTTCTAGAAGCCATAATTGAACATTTGGGTTGTCAAGTAAAGAGGAGACTAAAACCATATATGTACCAAAACCAAGAAGTGAGTGGCTGGCCAAACAAAATTCGTGTGGCAAGCCCTGAGAAGTTTGCACTGCAAGTTTTCCTCCCATACAAGGAGGTCTCTCAGACAACCAAAGAGATGTTCTGCCACTTTCACTCCCACACATCATGTCAGACATAAAATCCAGACGGGCTGCGTTTGCCTACACATAATTTCAGGGCAACATGCTTCTCACCCTTTTTTCAGGTTGTTGCCCTCTCCTCCCAATGCCTAAGCACTGTGGTAAAGCCCACTCTTTTCTATCTTGTAGAGAACCACTCTGTTTACAAAGATGGTGTGTGCTTCCTACATTAAGGCTAGTTAAATAACCCATCTCTGATTCTATCAAAGCATCATCTGACGAGAGCACAGCAGTGGAAAAATACAACTAGGCACATCGTTCTATTAACTATTGAAAAAATCAGGACAAAAGCACCTCATATTTACTCATCTGCATGGCTTGACATCACAGAAAAATGTAAAAGAAACCATTTTAATACAATAATATTTGTGATTTCAGCATCTACTGAAGACATTTTAATTCCAACAGGCCTTCCCAGAAAAGTAATCTTGGCATGGTCACTGTTAAAATTACATTGCATTGTTCCAAAATTCACAGGTTTATATTCAATTATTAATAGTCTCTTTTATTTCTGTTTTGTACATTGCTTGGGGTTCTTTGGAATGCAAGATAAATTGAGAAAGTATGCAAATTAATTACATAAATGAGCTAAGCACTAGGTCATTCTAGAGCACTAAATTCCACAAGACTCTCATTAGGAACAGACTGGGGGGAAATCACTTTGGTTGCAAAAGGCAGTTCACTGAATAAGCTTTTAAAATGAAGCAGCACAGCAATATTTATGCTACACAGACATAATAAAGACCAGTCACAAACAACCCAGCTAACATATAAAAGGGAAGAAGCACAAAGTAGACTGGAGTTGTTGTCTGGTTCCTGGTTCTCTTCTACTACCCCATTAGTTTGTCCCGATACGGCTGTGTTCAATCAGCCACAGATGTGAGACTCTAGGCTTTATGGATGCATAACACATTTTGCACTTGTCTTATGAATGTGCTCAATGGGACAGAATGTGTCTTGACTGCACAGGGTCCCAGGTCCAGTACCTAGCATTACCAGTTGAAAGGATGTCAGGTAACAGGATTAAGGACTTCTTCCTGAAATCTTTGAGAATTGCTGTCAGTCAACACAGACAATATTAAACACCCACATAATGATTAATGGTAATGTTTGACTTAAAAAGTGTACCCAGTACCCAGTAACTTACCTCCTGCTTGGTTTTTGTGGTATAACCCTGAACAGACTCTCTTGCCACCAAGCTTTCCAGAGCATCTTGAACTGTGCGTATCTTATCAGACTGGATATCCAACTGCAGAGTAAAAAATGGCTGCAGAGTGGCAGACTCCTTCGAACTTTGTTGGTAAACCACAGATCTAAAGAAACGAGTTAGAAGTTGCACTTGTGAAAACTGTTCAAAAATTAATTCTGGAATGACTGATGGCGAGACTGCCAACACATACCTTCACATATATCTTCCTGAAACCCATATAAAAATGTCTCATGGCCAAACTCAGTAGGCAGACTTAAAATGAGGCTCTTGTGTTACAAAGTCCTGCCAGATTTTGACAGATATAAAGACATATGGTTAAAGTAATGACCAGATTCAGTATCCAGAAATTGAATATGTCAGGTTTTATGCAGAAATGAAATACAGTTTAAAGATGCATCCCCTGCAAGGGATGGGGAGGAAAGAATAGTACTTCTTTCAGTTACTGACCCATCCTCCTAGCTTAAGCACAATACTTTCCTTTCTCCTCCTCTTCTTTAAAAGCATTATTAGGATTGAATGGGAAATAGCCATTGGGACTTCCTTTCTCATGTCCAATTATTTTTCAAATTTACAGCCCACTGAAAGATACCAACACATCCAGATTCTTAAAACAATTGTATTCAACTTGCTTAAGCTTATTCATGAATACTGAATGTGAAAAGCTAAATAAAATTGTTACTTTGGTTCACACATAACCCCAGGTTCTCTTTAATACTGGCACCCACTCACCTCTTTATACAGTAGCATCTTTATTTTAAGGAAAGAATAAGGTCTTTCTTGGACGATGTGAAGCCCTCATAATGGCAAGGTTGATTTTTGTAAGAGACAACTTGCCCCACCCATTACATGAGAGCCACATTTGGGATACCTTTCTCATCAAGAACTAACATGCTGTTTATTCAGAGGCTTCTTCAAGTCAGAATGAGACCACACTTAATCCAGATAATATTTCAGGTTAGCATTTTGCAGCAGTATTTTTCCACAACACACAAAAACACCAATAAAACTGCAATGTTTGGTGAAGAGTCCAGGAGCATGGCACACTCTCATTCTTTCTTTAAACTGCTGCCCACCAGGAATAAAGACTGGCCTCAAAATTTTATTTGTTTAAGTGAGGGTATATCCAGCTACAAATTTATACCAGCTATAGATATTCAACGATTATAGTTTCCCTTTATCCTGGGAATTTAAATCAGAAGTCTGGAATAATGACCAATAGCTACTCAGAATTCTTCTGACCTGTGCAAAGATCTACATGGCTTGATTACAGAAAACAAACAAACCATTCACCTTAATATACTGGCTAAAATAATTTGAGAAATAACTTTATTAACTAAGCTAGCTTATCAAGTAAGAGCAATGAAGAATTACCATCACAATACCGTCTTAGAAAGATGAAGCAGTTTCATTAATTTCTTAAACAAAAAGAACATTAACTACATACAACCTTATAACTCTTTTCCATCAATATATATTTTCACTATATCCACCCTGAAACTATCAAGACTGACCAACACATCAACGTCCACCACAGCAACCAAGTTTTTCTAGCTTATACATTATGGACTAACAGAAGAATGGAAAATCTCTATCAATCTCTCCCTCTGGCTGTCTTATCTCTATTAGTGCATCCACAACTTCTAAATGTTTTCTTTCAGTTCTTTTAAAAACAAAACATAAGCATGTACTAGCAATACCAGCAATAATGCAATGATGAAAATTATCTTGACTTTCTGAAATTGCTACCATGCAGGTTTTTTTCTGAAAATAAAAAAATACACCTGAATTTGTGGAGTTGCCTCTGAAACATGTTCAGAAACTACAGCTATTGCAGAGGGCTGCAGCCACATTTATTGGAGCATATTACATCCATGCTATTATGTGCTGAGTTTTTAATTTTCAAGCCCAATTCAAAGTAATTCTGCCTGGTCATTGAATTCACTGGGGTGGGGGGCTGCGCTCCACGTCCTACCAGAAACGGGTGTTTAGTGAACACCAAAATTCAACAAAGCGATCCTGACTATAGGAGTCATTGACAGGTATTTTCTCCATGAACTTGTGTAATCCTCCTCTAAAGCCATTAAACTAGTGGCCATCGCCACATCTTGTGCCAATGAATTCTGGAACCTGGATGAAGTACTTCATTCTAACCACTCTAAATCTACTGCCAATTAATTACTTTCTTGAGACCAAACGTAATTTATAAACCTCTCTCGTGTCCCCTGCCACAATTTTTAGTTCTTTTTTCTATACTAAAAATCCACCACAGCACAGCACTTTTCAACTACTGCTCTTAAGGGCAAAGTCCACACAAAGGCACATACATGAGTGAAGCATGATAATTATAAGTACATTTTGGCATGAAAAGTTCAGATATATGCAGATTTGGATTTTAATGCATTCTTATTATTTCTTTGCAAGAAACAAGGTACTCATGAAGGCAATGAAGAGCCAAAAACACGATGGGGGAGGAAGTACTAATCTACATTTTTGTGTGGGATGGAAAATACAACTATTTCTAGAGCTTATGTTTGGTAGACTACTATTAGACCATTCCTATCTCCGCTGCTGGCCTCACAAGAGAAAGCTTTCCAACATCCTAACGTGGGATCTTGTTTCTGCGGTGACCTACTTTGTATAGTGAGTAGGACAGGCGTGGCAGAAAGCAGACTACACATGTGGGATTAGAGATTTGCGGTTCTCCCATTCAGCAAAAAGAAGAAAACAGGAATCCCTCAGTTTCATCTTGCTTCCTTTGGATGTCAACAGAGGACGATGTGCTCGCCATTAATAATTGTTACCAGATTAAACATACAAAGAAGTCGTCTCAGAAATATGTAGGGCTGGCTCTTCCGAGTTCCTGTCACCAAGGAATGGAAATGAAGGTACGTTCTTTGGGGCAGCACCAGCTTATAGGAATCTCTCTATATCAACTTTTGGGGTGTACCTTAATGCACAACACATTTTATATTTATGAACACTAAGCTTCTACAGTGGAACCTCTATTGCGACCATAATCCGTTCTGGAGGTCCGTCTGGTGGTTGAAAAGGGGCGCTGGGAGAGGCGCCGTTGTGCACAGGCGGAGACAGCATGCTTCTGCGCATGTGCGAACGGTGATGGCCGCTTCTGCACATGCGCAAACAGCAGCAAACCCGCTGGTTACTTCCGGGTTTGCCGCGGTCGTGACTTGGAATGACCGTAAGAAGAGGTGGTGGTAAGTAGAGGTTCGACTGTACTTATGGTGGCATACACTGATTTTGTCTATTTCCCCTCACCCATAAACATGATCCTGACATTCTATTAACACTAATTACAATTTATTGTACCTTATGTGACCACCAAATATATCTGTAATTGGTGTCTGGACAAAATCTGCTTGCCGAGTGACAGAGGATTTGTTGCGTGGTCCAACCTGCTCCCATTCATCCTCACTTCCTTCGCCTTGCTCCTCCTGTTCTTCCTCTTCATTTACAGGCTGGGTCTCCGGACCATTGGAAACGGCAAGTTCTGGAGGGAGGAGGAAATGTATGTTTTCTGTTCCTGGATATATATATATTATTATATGGTAAGTGATACTCAAGAGTAGATAATTTCTGTCTAGAAGGAAACACTGCTTTATGCAAACTTTATCATTAAAAGCAAGTATCATTCCTCTACCTGCTCAGGCAACTATTGCAGTTATATGAGTAGTTCTACCTCCGTTCTTTCAAAACATAAAACTATAGCACAGTGCAGGCGTAAGACTTAAGAATGTTTAGGGCACACCATAGTTTGTTTCTTTAACCCAGAAGTCTCAGAGAGAAACTACCGTCTAACTCAAAGATTGGGGGAGAGGAAGGGAAAGTAGGGAGACATCAGTGAGAACCACTTGGCAACTTTGGACACAGTGGCTGGAGAAGTGAGAAAACTGTTTTAGCTTTGGTTTGCAATGCAGATGTAATGGTTAATTACAGTTAATGTAAACCATGGTTTGCAAACCTACTTCAAACCATTGATTCACAAAATGGCTTAAGGTCAAATCATTAACTATGTTTACATACTTCATGGCATAGTTGAAGAAAACAAACCATAAATAAGCATTATGTCTGCACAGAGTCCATATACAAATATGCTATATATAAATATACATATTAATTAGCATTTTAAAAAAACTTACTTTCACTGTGAGGAGATAGCAACTTCTTCAGAATCAGCATTTCCTCATGTAGGCCATTTAGAATAAATCCCAGATACTCTTCAGCATCTTCTTGTCTGCCCTGAAGAAAAAGGTGTTTTAGTATAGCCACTCATTCTCCAACACTTTCCTATTTAGGTTCTTGGGAGTGATCCAAAGGCACAAGTACATTACTCAGTGCACTGAAGTTAAATTAAGTTTCCAAAGCAGTACTACTCCCCACTGTGCTCCAAACTGCTTTTTAAAACTCGGGAGAGTTTAAAGTTTGAGAATTTGGTGCAAGAACTTATGCATAGAAAAAAGTACTCTGACATGGTTTTTCATCAGTCCAAGGAACTTCCTTTCAATAGCTCTCACTTCAAATGACAAGATGTCTGAATGCAACTGATTTTGATAAAAAGTACCACTCATCAATGAAGCATTTATTCTGGCACATTTGGAAGCTGAATGAAGGAAACATTGGGTTTGCTAATCCTAGCTTTGGATAAAACCTTAACTACAGATTTTGTGTTATATCCTTGGGTCTCCTTTGTACTCTTGATTCCAGAGTTATGGAAACATCCATATAATATGTCTGCATTTGAATGTAAACACAGCATATAAATACTAGAACTGCATGTGAAGACTAATTCTTTAGGCCTCAAGGTTTGAAGAGGAAGCTGGTACCACGCCTTCAGTATTCTTACCACAAGTTATCATTATCTCACATTTTATATTGACACCCAACACATATAACTCATTTTTTAAAACAAGCCTACTATTCTTTTAACTCTGGCTCCCTTAGCATGTCTGGCACTATTTGGGTGTTCCAGATGCAACCAAGGATAAGCCACCACTGCTGAAGAATGAAATTAAACCTATTAGGGCCGTAATAAAATGGAACTGCAAACACTATTTTTCTACAGCTGCTTACATAATACAGGGTAAGAAACAGCTCAAAAGATCTAATCTCACCTTTTCCGACAGACTTGACTTGATAACTGTCAGCAATCTATAAATGTATGTAGGTTCAAAGGCAGCTCCAGGCCTGATGTCTCTAGCAATTTTATCACCTAAAGCTGCCAAAACAAAAAGGGGAAAGACAGAGCAATTTGACAAAGATCAACAACTTAACAAGGCCAGAATTTCAAGTACAAGGTGGGACAGATTCAATGCTACATTTTCAACAAATAATGAAGTAATCACTGCCCCTGTTCTTTTAGCAACACTATGCTGTGGAGGTTTGTCTGTGGCTTAACCACAATCACACAACACTGAAAAGCAGGCAAGGCAACTACTAAAGTTCTCATAGGTGGCTACTTACACCATCAAATTACCGAGAACTGAATTTAGGTAAAAAACCTACAGGTCAGTGATGCAAAGATTAAGAGAGCTATACAAAAGAAACTGAGGCCCTGGATCAGCCTGGAGAGAATGACAGCAATTGACTTCATGCAACCATGAAATACAATTTATTTGTGCTGATACATCAAACCTAAGGATTGTGTCTGAATACAGCCAGTTTCCCAACACCTCCAAAACTGATGCAAGAGGTTTGTTGCCACCTTAAAAACAAACCAATCTTAAGAGTACAGAAGGAACACTCTCTTTCTGAAACAAGATCATATTTTATGTAAGGTCCTAAGAGCTGAAAAAAAGATGCTGCAAAAATGTTGTATGCTTTTTAAACAGAAAGGTTCTTTTTACCTGACATCACACAAGCCTCTTGGTGAAAGCCAATTTGTACTGCAGAAATGTAAGAACCTCAGCTGTATCATACAAAGACAGCATTGAACTCCTCCACTCTACCAATATGTCACCAGACAGTTAGCAGGTGATTATTTTCTACCCACCTTGTTTTGCCTTAGGCGGGACTGGCATATTTGTAAACTCATTCATTAGGCGGACACTGAAGTAGAACAAAAGGAAATCGGTGTTAGCTACAGAGACAACAAATGTTACTAGATACAACTAGCCACAAACATTTTACCTCTCTTCATCTCATTTGAGTGTCAACATACATTTATTTTACCGGTCCTCTTCCTCAGCTGATGCACTAAAAGCAACTATTTCAATATTTTTATCTCTAGCGCTGAGATGGACAAGTTTTTGTTCCATGTGGTAGGTGAACTAAGCATACACACTACTTGGAGTGGCGTTTCTCAACCTGGCACCATCCAGATGTTTTCCACACAACTCCCATCTGGTGGTAGTTATAATCCAAAACGTCTGGAGGGAGAGCCACGATGGGGAAAGTTGACTCACGTTAGCTGAAGGAGATGGAGCCCCAATTCACAATGGCAATGTTGAACTGTTTCTGAATGCAATCCACTGGCTAGGTTCGGACAATCTTTCCCAGTTTATGAAGCTGGGAATGCACATGGGGGCCACATGCTCCATCCTTGGCCCTTGCTTCTCTTCATGTGCTAGCTTTAGTTTAAACCAAAGCTCCCTGTTATACCTAACTGGAGAAGTCTGGCTTAACTAGGATAGTGAACCAGGATCTAATTTATGAAATCAGGAAAGGTAGTCCAAACCCAGCCACTGAATGAGAGATTCACCAAAGATCAGGGCTTTGGTTTAGAAATGGGTGTGTATTTTAACTCTGATAAATTGAAATATTCCCAAATCCACAGAATGGGGAAGAGATGGAGTTGTAACTATGGCAGCATAATTTGAAAATCAAACAATATGGCAATTAGATATTAATTTAGGTTTGCTCCAAATATTATCCTTGTACTGCTCTGTGAAGGGACAATTAAGCTACCAAATACCTAGTATCATTGAATGTTTCCAACCTTTAATTAGTATTATTTTAAAAAAGAAGATAAGAATGTCTACCAACTTACAATTCTAATTCAAACATTGTGATTGTCTTGCAATTTACTTACAAACTATCTATCATTGGTGTTGAAGTACACGGCCGTTGTGATTTCGAATACATTGGAATGGACTTCATTAGGTGATACATAGGAGGGCAAGCAACCAAAGCTTGCAGTGTCTACAGAATTGCATTAAGGAGTCAGTTAATAAAGACAGCATTTAACACACCCACGTCTTTGTGCGAAAAGAGAGGAGAACAAAAATGAACTTAAAATACTGTATGGCACAAGGAAGCCATTCAGCAGCCATAATGATACTGCTCACTTGAAATATACCCCATTCCCATTTTGAACCTTTAAATTTAAAGTCTGATAACAGGATCTATTTTGTTTTCAGTATGAGAAACACAAGCAGTTAATTAACCCAGGTAATATTTTTCCAATGCAAGGATACAGCGTTGATATAACACCAGTTTCCTTTATTGATCAGCCCTCGTGGTTGCAAAGATACTGGTTTATGTATTAGTTTTACATTTTCCAGTAATTCTGTTAAATGAAGAACACATCCAAAAATGTCAGCAAATCCACTTCCAACTGAACAAATATACTGCCTATTACACATGTAGTGGAGGAAAATCAAACAGTATTTTAGCATCCCCTTGTGGCCAATGAAATGAATTTACACACATTGGTTTCTTGTTGCAAGACATTTGGTTATGTCTTATCATGCTTACCAGTATTTATCCTCCCATAGATTTGCAGGCAAGGTGAGGCAAAGTACAGGTATAAAACTTCACCTGGAACCACTACAACATGCATGTACCATCAGTTGTCCACTAATGACTTGTGTCACCTGTACAACAGTTCTGATTTCCCCGCTTAAGAGTTACTCTTATAGTTCCAATGCTTGCTTAGTTATACTCTGTATAAAGCTTCTTGCAACATCCATTTTTGAATTCTAATCTCATATACAATCAAGGGACGTGCAAAAACATCTCATTTGCTGTTACAGCAACAAGCATTAAGTGCATTACAAGAGAAGACCAGGGTGTAAAATGAAGCAGTAGACAGTATTACTCTAAGCCTGTTCTGAAGTGCTTGACCTCATCTGCATTAGGACCTTAAGCAGGGCTGGGCTTACATGGCAGCATAAAGTTCTAAGAGCTAGATCCTGATTGACATGCAACCAACCCTGTTTATGTAATCAACACTAGCAACAGGAACTCTTAATAAAATGCTCTGCTACAGAAACAAGTTATTTCTTGCAAGATACTTTTTCTTTGCAGATACAAACACCAATGACTAAATAGAATGGAGCCACCCCAACAAGCTTATAATTTTTTTAATGCCACATATTACACTTTTATTGCCATTATATATAGATAGGTCTTGTTCCCACCACCACCAAAGGTTCTAATAACCCAGGTAGAATAATGCTACTGATGAGGTTACTACTATTCAATGAAAAGTCAAATAAACACTAGTGATTGTTTTTTTTAAAAAGTCAAACCAAATAAACACTGGTGATCTTTTAAAAATGAACATATTGCCAACTTGTATGAAGTAAATCATTATAAGCACACCATCCAACAATGTTGCATGCATTTACACTTTTGAATGTTTCTATTGAAATTTAGGTCAAAGAGATTAATAAACCTAGACTTGAAATCAAATGTGACAAGAACTACCACTTTGGGGGATTAGACATGCAGAAAATTGCTTGCTAGTAAAGAAAAAAAATATATATTTAGAAATAAAGGAATATAAAGAAATTATATCAAGACCAAGAAGTTATACAAGCCTTTCTATAGTCAAGAGTATTATTTTTCTGTATTATATTTAAAAAAGTTCTGTCTGCAGCACAAGTTAACTCTTCATGCAATCTAGTTGCCTATGGGGATGAAACTCTGATTTCAGGCAACTCCCCATTTGTGTGCCATTCCACGGCACTGCGCGTAGCCCCACAGCCCCACTCCGCCCCCTTCTGGGGTTGAAAACGGCACACGTCAGTGGTCGCTTGTGCTTTGAATGCATGCAGATGATACAGTTATACGTTTCTGAAGAATCAGCAACTTTCAGCACCATTCTGTGCCCCGTTATCATGTTACAGGGTATTTGTCAGTTTTAAAGAATACTTTCACATTGTGTACAATGAGCAGAATGTCAAGCTACGTGTGCTTGCATATTCTGGCTATGTATCAGATATTACAAAGCAATGTGGCGCTCACAGCACAGATCACAGGCTAAGTCCTAGTGGCCACTGTTAAGACTGCTTATACATTCAAAGTCAGTGTTAGTCTGGTGGCTCAAAGGCTGCCATGGGCCAGTAAAATGTGTGTTTTTATTTGTGGTGAGACAGATAACTGTATGAGTGAAGGCGAGTAGTTGTATTCAAATATTCCCTAGCAATAAACGAGCAGTGTTCAGCCCTCCCAAAAGAGGTCCTGGGTGGAAGGAGTTATTAAAAAGAACAAAGATCCCCTAACATAGCAAGCTCTCAGTGATGAGCTGGCAAAACTTTCCAAACATAGGCTCTCACAGCAGCAGCGAAAGGTTAGCTCTAGAAGAGAGAACAAAATTGCTCCAGCCTAAACAAACTCATCCTTTTGTGTGTGTGCACATCAAATCAAGAGTTCACTGTTACTTGTACACTGAAAAGGAAGTAAGCATCAATCCACAGTTGTGTGTTTAACCAGATACTATATTAACAAAAAGCTAGAAGCCATTACACTAAACAAGAGGTGTCACTCTAACACAGTTAATCATTTTCTTACTATTGTGCTACTAAAGCATTAGGACATTTAGGTTCACTCAAACTTTCCACTCCTTCAAACCTTCCTACACTCTTTGTAGCTCAAGCTTGAAGCACATTAATGATACCTGCAATCCTTATGGCTACAGGATCCTCAGAAACTGGAACAGGCCCCTCTTTGACTTCAACCTGTTTCTCAGGGACCACAGGAGATGTGGCAGGAGGGGTATACTTAGTCTCAACATAAGCCATAGGCATGGAAACAGAAGGTTTGGAATTGTGAAAGAGGCTTGCCCATGATTTTGCAGGCTGATTAACAGAAACGGCTCCTGAAACAGGGGTGGTTGCCTCAGTAGTAGGCAAAGCATCCTCAGGCTTAGTTTGGTCTGAGTCGGTGCTTTCCACAGGATGCAAGTCTACCCCATTGGCAGCTGTGCCCTCACTAGAGGATTCAAGTGTTTGTCCATTTGTAACACCAAGGTTTTCAGTAGTATCAGTACCAGCATATGGCTGTACAACAGCTGTCCTTAATGGGCTGTCCCTCCCAGTTTCGGAGGGGACACAAGACTGTTCCAAATTAGTAACACTGCATACTTCAGGCTGCCCTGCAGTCCTTGTAGCATCTAGAGCACTAGAAACCGAATCATCAGACACGGCTTCGCTAGTGAAGTCCACAGAATTTTCAGGGCTGTTACAAGTCCTTGGAGTGACCAATGGCGCGTCGCCTGTAAGGTCTACATCCTCTGTGCTTATGCTATTAAGTCCTGATGAACTTGCATGCCCGTTTACCAAAGCCTCGGCAGGAACAATGCCATCACTAACATCTTCCAAGTAACTGTAATATCCAGGGGGTCTTTTTTTCTTCTTTTTGCGTTCCCTTTGCCCAAGGCTCCCAGGTAAACTATCATTTTCAGCATTAGAACTGCTATCCAAAGCGAGAGAAGAATCAGTGAACTGGCAGTCTATGGAGTTATAGTTGGCTTCGTTGAGTATATCACTAGGCGTCTTCTGGGAAGGTGCACAACCAAGAATGAATTCCGGTGCCTGAGGATTCAGAGTACTTGAAATACTGTAGTCATTGTTATTCAGCACAGATGAATCTGCCTCAATAACCTCATTAACACCAAATTCAATTCTCTGATACTCTTCCCCTAGGAGAGAAAAATAAACTTCTATTAAAGTGGTGCTTTTTTTCTTGGGAAGTGGGGGCAGATACAAGATAGGTTTGCAATCACTTGTCTTCACCTCAAGTTATTCCTTTTCATCATAAATGTTAAAAACATTCCTAATCAAATATAAATTGTGCAGATTGAAAATATGAAAATAGCTTAATTATTTTTCCAATACTATGTCAGCATAGATTGGAATGTCAAAGGATTTTCAACAATAGGATGTTCAAGGCTCTATATTTCACATGGCTGGCACTAAGAGTAGAATTTTGTGACTTTGACCAAGAAAAACAAAAACACATTCTGCAAAACTATCATAGTCCCATCTCTAAGACAAGGAATTTCAAAGGTCACTGCAACTAAGCAACGTAACCATCTGATACCAGCATCCAAAAAATGGCAATTTTTTTTCTGAAATGAAGGGTGAAAACATTTTCAATAACTACTCTAAGGGTGGCTAACATATATAATACAGTAAAAACAATCAGTAATCAAAGCAGCAGCAGTTGCTTTAAAAGAAGCTGAAGGCCAATGTTAAAAACTGCTGAAACCCTAGGAAAATATAATACTTTAATTTGGCCCCTAAAAGATGTCAAATTTGGGAAACAATGGGTACCAAGTTGAAGTACCATCCCCAAACAAATCCCCTTAGCAGGTGGTGACACCTAGGCCACTAATGATTATCTTAATAACTGGGCTGGTCTATATGGGACTAAAACATTTAGGGATTTAAGGCTGCCCTCTCATTTACACTCTTCTGGGAGTAACCCCTATTGAACCCAGTAGCACTTGCTTCCAAGTAAACATACATAAGACTACCCTGTAAAGATTAAAACCAGTACGAAGTCTGAATTGTGCCCAGGAAGAAACTTCATCTAATGAAACTTTCAGTACAGGCAATATACATTCATGTCTCAACAGATCAGTGATCAGTCATGCTTACTTTTCCAGCCCTGTCCAAGTCATTCTCTTTCTTAAAGAAAAACAGATTTCAATATTGAGAAGTGCTGAAGTTTTAACATTTACAAGTCCCTAATAATCAACAACTAACAGCACTGATCCAACAAGGCCTCAAAACCACTGGATTCTTTTAAAAGAACTTTTTCAAAGCCATCAGTTGGGAGTGAGGGTTTACTGTTAGCTAAAGAAACCATAAAATATGGATTGCTATAAGTTTAACTGGGTTAGTACATTTAAGTAGCAAACTAACCCAAACCCCCAAAGCTGAACAGAAGAAACGAACCTGCAACACATTGGACTTCAAAAGGATTGGGGAAACAGTTGTGAAGAAGGAATGGCTTCTTACCATCATGGAGCTCTCCTGTGGACTTAAGGCCACATGAAATGGTTTCATTGTAGGGTGGAAGCTGTACAGAAAATAAAACAAATGGTTGCATTGGTGGTGGGGAAAGAAGATTTCACCAAAGATAACTTATGTCTGCACTGAATGGAACAATCTGAACCCACCACCAACCACCCTTCCTCTCTTGTACACATATTCTCCTGTGCCCTTAATGATGATTGACATTTAAGTTGGCATGTTGTTGTTTAGTCATTTAGTGTGCCCTTTAATTAACAGTTGCTTCTTTACAATTTGATATACACAGCAGTCTTTTACCAGGCTGACTGATAAAATAAACACATTGGATTTATGGGGTGGGGTGGGGGTGGACTGATATGCTACTGACAACTGTAACAACATTCAAAATTTAAAGTGAAGCAAAACCGTGTGGCAGTATTATAGGGTACTCACTGATCTATACTAAACTAACTTTCTCCTATGCTTTCAACATACAATAGATTTCAACATTTCACACATACAGTGGTACCTCTGGTTGAGAACGGGATCCGTTCCGGAGCCCCGTTCGCAACCAGAAAGGAACGCAACCCGCGTCTGCGTGGGTCGCGACTCGCCGCTTCTGCGCATGTGGATGGCGTCATTTTGGGCGTCTGCGCATACGCGAGTGGCGAAACCCAGAAGTAACCCTTTCTGGTACTTCCGGGTTGCTGCAGGACGCAACATGAAAAAACGTATCATGAAGCAAACATAACAAGAGGTATGACTGTACAGGTAAATAAATTTAAAATAGTTCTTACCTCAACAGAGCAACGAGGAGTCACAAAGAACTGATTAAATTCATCGGGGCTGAATTCCCCAAAGATGTACTAAAAAGTAAAACATATTGTATTTAATTAGATTAACTGAAGTTGACCATGGCAACAACTTGGCTGTTGTGCATATGTTCGCTGGAAATTTCAATGGCCTTTGTCAAAAAGAATCCTGAGAAATCTCTTCATTGGAAATTTGTGTGACCTCTAATTTATACAAGAAGCTGACAATTATCCAACCACAACTTCTAAAACTGCAAGTAGCTGGTTAACTGAAGGCCCCAGCATTTAAATTTTGAAAGATTAAACCAATTATGCCTATGCTTTTGCTTAAACATCCATGTCTTGTGTACAGCTATTGTAAAGGTTACATATGTAATTAGTGTTAGAAACGCAAGATATATAAGCTAGGCACCAAATGGCTCCTTAAATGAAGGTTGCAGTTGCCAAAACGGAATGTCTAGTTGCCATTTTGGGGCAAGACGGCTCTAAAGTCTTATTTTTCAAATGATGGACTGACTGTGATTGATTCTCAGTTAAACATGTGGATAGTTCAGATGACAACCTTGAGCTAGGTTAAGACCTTTGAGAACTAAAAAAAGAAAAGTCACTTGATCCATGGACAGACCATATAGATACTGGCCTATTTCCCACCTCTTTTTCTGATTGGTGACTGCTCCTGCAAAGAAAAAGCATTTTGGTTCCTGAAATTCATTCTGATTTTGTAGATAAAATATAACTGACAGAATTATACAGGATGGGGTATTATCATGTGAAAAACAGTCCAAATCCAATGAACCCTAGGCATGCACCTCCAGATGGTAGAGATATCAGGTGCCATCCTGGCGTTCAAGCATCTTCACTTTTTCAATCAGTGGAGAAAAACTGCAGTCTGGGGATTCCATTCAAGCAATTTTACAAATGGAGCTTCTAACAAGCAGATGAAGATATGCCACTAATGGTGTGAACATATATGAAGGGTCCTGGAAACACCAATGTATACTGTAGTAGGAGCTTTGGGCAGTATCCTGCGAAGTAGTTTAGTTACTACAGAGGACTTTTAGCTGAACAACATAACTTATTATCATGCTTCCCCCCAAAAAAATCTATGTTGGGGATTCTCACAACTCTCTGGAGCAGATGGCGGGGCATGGAGGGGAAGGGGACATTTTGTTGTGCAAACAAAAATCTTTCTGCTACTGGAAATACTTCAAGGGATACTGCTCTTATGATTTTAAAAGCTCAAAAACTAAATGTGACAATTTTAATGGCAATGATGCTGCAGCCTCTAATACCAATTCTGCTTCGGCTATAGCCCTGAAGTGAAAACTGCTTTTGGAACTTGGTTAAAGTTTTGTTAATCTGTTAAGGACCATCTAAGCAGCTGCTTGATATCAACTATGTAACACCTCAAAGTAAGCCACAACTGAAGTATACTGGAATCCTTTCTCATATTTCAGTGGATTTCTCAACACTAATCAAGGAGTAACACTCATTTCAATGAAACAATTCAACACACACAATTTCACACCGAAGTAAAAATAGCTGCTTGCACAAAAACATACTGAATTTGTTAGAAACATTTTAGATGAAGTCATGCAAAGAATGAAATGCAGTCATGCAGCTTAAAACGCTGTTACACAAATAAAACTTGTTCCCACCACATTTTTCTCTCAGAGGCTTAAATCAATATGCGAAGTGCCTGATATACTACAGCCACCAAGAAAGTGTGTCAAATGAAGCATTATCATATCAGGTCTGTGACAAGTGTATCCATGAACTTCTCAAAAAGAGATTCAAAACAGAGATGCAATGCCAACTCAACAGACACTTGTGTTATGTACCATCATCAGAAGAGACCCAGGAGGCCTTGTTCTTACACCAAGCCCCAGTCAGTCTGCACCCGGTAGCAAAAAGCCAGGACCCTGAGACGAAGCTGAGACTGAACAGTCTGAAGCCCAAGGGAAAGACAGTGCCTTAAATGCCAGGTGGAAGCCTAGTCCATCTGGAAAAGTGTCTGATTGCAGGCAAGGACTCCTCAGGAGTAAAAGCTCCTTAAGCGTAAGATTTTCCTCTCAATGAAACCTCTGGAGAGAAGGGACTAGATACATTCTATGTAGCAGTTCTGTGCCCTGTGTCAAACCAGTCCTTGAAGTGCTCTGACCTTGCCTCTCATCTAAACCTTGTTGTGAACTCTGCTAGTCTGGACCCTGAACTTGGACTAGCCCTGGATATTGCTTTGGTTGTTGCCTCCTTGGTGCTGCTGCTGGCAAATCACTTGTTTATTCAGGACCAAAGCACTGTGACCACACCACAAACTAAAATACACTCATTCCAGTGAGTTAATTTTTTGCTGGATGCCCCAACAGTCAAGTGCTTCACCTCATTCAGAGATGATAGTTGGTGCCATGAAAATATGCTGTGAGACAAAGGATATACCAACCAACCACAGCTAATCTAAAGTTAATGCAGCAATTTCATATTCTAGCCAAGCTTACCTTGTATATCATCACAACCTTCCCCTGGCACTGACAATCCCAACTAAACACTACCCTTCTCATTTCGCCACCTTCAATAATGCCCTATTCTGAATGAGACCATTCAAGAGAATGAAGTGGTAGACTACTGAAGTAGAAAAATTGTCTGAAACCCTTCAGAGTGCAAGAGGGTACCAATTAGTAGTGACCCCTTATTTTTCTACTAGTAGCAAAATTAGCACAGCACTGGAATGGAGCCTTTTCTCCCAACATGCTAGTTTTCCATCTAGTATGAAGTTTCTTTTCTTTTCTTTTCTCTTTTTGTTTTTTTACATGAGGAAATATTTAGCAACATTATTTTCCACCTGCAGTCTAATTTACCACCTCTGTATTCAAGTACATATGCATACCCAGCCAATTTCTCTCTCCAGAAGCCCAGTCTTCTTGTTCAGAACCCAGAATGCCGAGACTAACATGAGAAGCTAGGCAGTAGCCAGACTAGCCCTTTCCACTCCGACATGCACCTATGAATTTTGGTCAAATTCTAGAGAAACTATGATAGCATGGACACCTGAAGACATTTTTAAACTATTTACATTTCAAATCCTAAAAGTTATTATGAAAAGTTTGATTTGACACTTAAATCAGTCACATACAAACAGAGAGAGACACTCTGGGATTACCACCCCGACTACCACATCACCATCCAATCTGGGGTGTGAAAGTAGCTGTTCCAATCACAAACAGAACACATGTATAATGCAATAGTCTCAAAAGCTGTGTCTACTGTCTCAGTGTGACAATCAGGATGATTTGAGGGTGGAAAAAAAGGCAGGGAGTAGTCTACTTGTCCAATGAAACTTTACTCCATACCCAGATAGCATCTGCATTCCAAAACCTTCAAATCCTGCTAGGGAACTCTCAAGGTTGATGAAGAGGGTTTGTGGCAGCCACTACCAGAACAACAAGTCAAAAACACATTTTACCTATTTGACAATTATTGAGGGAAAGGGTTGAGAGATTAGTGGTTTCTGGGGCATAATAAAGGCTTTCTACCAAATAATTATCAGCTAAAAAAAGTGTCAAGCCAAATTAGCAAATTTAAAACAGCAGTGTGATGTAACAAAATGCTACAGTGTGAAGAGAAATCCCAGTGGGTTGTGTCCAAGACATTCCTGCACTTATTTTCAAAAACACACTCCTACATGTGGTACTGTATCTAGTTATGGCATCTGAAGAACTCTCAATACTACTGGCCATGTTAACTTTTCCAATACAACACTCAACTCTTGTTCTATCCTGATCAAACACAGGCCACCTTCAACTTAATCAGATACTGAGTGACCTAATAAGCTTCTTATCGTCTCACCAGTGAACTAACAGTTCCTGATGTGCATTTGCAAGGGCCTTTCTGACTTCACCTTGGCAAAAATGCCCCACAATTTAATATGTGCAATGTACAAAACAGACAGTAACCCTATGACACACAGAGAAGTCACTTCAGAAAAATGTTTCTATATATTAGTCCCATCTTTCCCAAAGAGAGAACTGCAGTCACAAATAAGCCTTCCCTGGAAGCTTCCACAGAGCCAAAGCAATGTGCACATTTACTATTAGACACTGTACACTAAAGTTCACTACCACTACACAGTACACACTTTTCACAAGCTGCTTCTTTTGAAGAACGTGACTAACGCACAGGAAAAGCAGGAATTTCTAGTCTCAATTATACACATGTTTTAGAATTGCTAGAAGCTCTCCTGCCATGAAGCACCATTGTTCCACACAAAGTTCCTTAATCCTGAATGGTATGTTAAATGGTTATATATAAAGCATTTCAACTGAACAGAAAAAAAACTGCAGCTCTAGCAATGCAGTTCTTTCAAACTCAATATCTACTTTGCTGAAGCAGCATTAAACTGACAAATGCCTATAATCCAGTGGCTCAAGGCCAGCAAGTTCTACTACAAACAGACCTGTACAAAGCAGACAACAGCATGTAGAATGTTTATGGCAGTAAACTGAAACTGAACTGTGTAGGTTGCCTATATTATTAGGTTCATATGGAAGAGTTCTTGCAATATGGCAATTTGCAGAAAGAAAGCACATTCTGTACATGCAAAAATGTTAAATGGGAATTCTAAAATATGGCTGACACAAAGATTCAGAGAAGAATTAAAATCAACTTAAGTTAGCAGGTACAGAGACATGAAGGCCCGGGAGGGTCCCCCCCCCCCCAATCTTTCTTCTAAAGCAGGGACATCCAACTCCCAAGAGACTGCGATCTACTCCCGTGGGGGGGGGGGGCTGGCAGTGATCTAACCATTTTGGGGAGGGGGACCTGAAGTTGTTGAGAATTTTAACGGGGGCAAGCATAAGTTGTTGAGCTTTTTGTGAGGGGGGAAGCCAAAGTAGACCTATTTTTTTCTTGTCGCTAAGCCTCAAAGGACTGAAAGTACAGAACAACATAATTTTGTTGCCATCCAATTCATGCTGCTGCAAATACATTGGACCCAAAATTCAAAGGAGAAATGCAAGTGACTTTGGAGACCATCTTGGGTGTGATGCATGCATATGTAACAGCAGCCAGTCAGTATCTAAGAAGATGAAGGAGGAGGCAGAGGAGGAGGAGGAGGAGGAGAGGACAGAAGATGAATGAGACACAGCTGTGGGAAGCCTGAGGAAGTACCACCCTTGGTGTCTGCCCATAAAAAGCACGTCCTGCTATGGGACAGTAAAAATGCTAGAAGAGGAGAGGACAGAGGGTGAAGGAGGAGTTGTGAGTGAAGGGGGCCCCTCTACCCATCCTTTGGACCCCCCTGGGAAACTCAATAAACCTGCTGTACCAGGAACTGGGTGCGGAGAGTGCAGCTGAATGGGACACAGCTGTGTGCAGCTTGAAGAGGTGCCATCCACCTTGAGCCAGCCCATAAAAAGCAAGTCCAGAAAGAAAGATCTGTTTCCAAGATCTTTTCTCATTGTGAAAATTTTGTGGGTGAGCTGAGTTTGTTTGACCCTGGGTGAATCAATGTATCATTTTTATATGTAACTGTGTAATTTTGCAATATTTTGTTAAAGTTCTCTGTTGTTGTTTCAGTTTCCAGTACACTGCTTAAGAGATATTTTACAAATATATTAAGCAGTATAGAAATTTAAATAATAATAATAATACATTTTAAAAATCTTGTGATGGTATCACTACTTCCATATTTGAATGGATTACAAAAAAAGCAGCACACTTAGGACCTGATGCTGGAAAGGTACTTTCAAATATTGCAAAGTACAAAACTTCTTCAGGTATTTGGCCAAGAAATGTAGTCTGGGATCCTGCCAAACATATCCCTCTTGCAACATGGTGGCAAAGCCTTTGCACAACAAAGCCTCCAGCTCTTGCTTCTTACCTACTTCAGATTCCTCCATATTCTGAAGCACATGAAAGAAACTGGTATATGTTTGGAAATACTGTATACCAAATTAAGAAATAAACTGACATGGGAAAGGGTAGACATGTGTTTCCATCTGGGTAAACTTTCAATTTTTAGAAGTCCATGATAAATATGAATAAAAAGCAACTGAATACATTTCATTTAGTGAGTTTTGTTTCCACTACCCTTTTTCTTGACTCTTTTTATAAACAAATTAGTGCTTTATGTCTGCTTGACACTGTGTAGGACTGGAGGAGACATAATTTTAAGAATAAATAATAGTTTGTTTAATTATTATGTTGATGGCTCATCTTTATTGGGGGTTTTCCTGCTCTTCATAAACTTGCAAAACCGTAAAAGAAGATAGACTCCTTACCGTTCAACAGCTTGTCTGGATAAACTATATTTTTAATATACCAGATAAATGCTAAACCAAGTTATACATAAGGCATTTCATGTTCTTAAAGTAACAAAGTGACTTTTGATAAGTAAAGAAAACTTCTAATATTTTTATTTTTGAGTTTCTGAGTTTTACAATTACACTTCTTTCCCATTTTTTTACACAATAGTTCAGTTTGATTTCCCACCCAGCATTCCATGACAGTGTTTTTTTTACATCTAGCTTAGCTTCATATACATTAATTCATTCACCCAATTTTCTACACTCTCATATCTTTCATATTAACAACTCTTGGTCACAAAGTACCCCCTACCTGGAATTTATATTTGAGGTTCAACTTTTGTAAATATTCCCCTAGGTAAAGAAAGCTTTTAAAATGATTTTTCTTCCATTTAAAAAAAACCCCTTCTCCCCAAATCTCTCAGGGTAAAAAATTGTATCCTCCAGTGAGGATTCAAAATTCCCAGAAATTTTACATCTGTAATGCTGAAGAGCACTAAAATTATTCTACCCAATTGATTTGCACAGAACAAAACAGGCAGAAATTATTTCTCTTCTCTTATGTCATTCCAGTAATTTCACAACAGCTTTCAAGGCTACCACAATTTGTACAATACTGCCCATCTAAATGTAATTCCAAGAAGAAAGCATGTTTTAAACAACAGCAACAAAAGATTGCATATCCAATGTATTTTGCATATAATGAAACATGTGGTATCACAGTACAGAAGTTTTCTTGGTGTAAAGAAAGATCTTTGAAACCTTGGACAGCTATGTTACTATAATAAACCTAGAGCAATGGCATGTTTGCCTTTCAAACTAAAACACCACCTTCAGTGTTAAATGAAGGTGATGAGGCAGAGATATTCAAACTCTGTTCTAGAATCAAGGCAGCAGAATCTGAGGGCTGGTCTGTATATGCAACAGAATATGGTGGTAGAATGGGTTGCACCACTAAAGGCTGCAGATACAGAATCACATTACTGAAATCTTCCTTAACATTTAATTCCCAGAAAACAGGAAACCACCACAGCAAGCAAAGAGGTTTGAATCTTCCCGCTAAAGTTCCAGTTTTCCACCTGCAGGATGCTCACAGGGGAATATTCCAAAACTGCATCTCCCCATATACTCTAAAGTGATCAAGTCCAGCCTGTTATTTCATTCTGCTGCAAGCCCACTACTCCAATGAAGTCAGCAATAGTATTTCAACGTCAAGTGATTTAGCCCCTGAAAGCTACTGCAACCAAAGAACTGCCAGAAGCAAGAAGATAAAGTCAAGCTGGGGTGGTTTTTGTTGTTTTTGTTTTTGTTGTTGCCCAGCCACTTTCCATAACAAGACTTGATGTGCAATGTCTCAGGCTAGTATGCAGAAGCCAAGGTTTCTGGACAGATGCTACAGGTAAAGGTATACTTGAGGGCATACTATGGCCTTTCAACTTTGGCTGCAATCCTAACACAACTATGTGGGAGTTAAGTTTCACTGAAACTAGAGGTACCAGTACATATTTCCAAGTACACATTTACAATCAGAATGCACAAGCTTGAAAACACATCTACACTGAGTAACAGCAAGGACATAAATTTTTGTCAACTGTAAGACTACATTTTATAAAATGATGGTTGTTTATTTGACTTACCAAAATGTTTTGAGCAGGTAGGTTATTTATTAAACATGTATCTTGCCTTTCCACTTTTGCTAACTTATTTATTAGGTAGGTTTATGTTATCCTAAATCCAAATGTTAGGATTTAACTGCTTTGCTTTTGCATACTGAACTCCGAAATAAATTTCTATGTAGATTTCTGACAGCCACTGCTCTCCTGTCATTTTCTGCCATTTGTATGCTACTGCAAAAATGCTTGAGTGGCTGGAATTGTCTCCCCCCCCCCCCGCCAAGTTTCTAAACACTCTAAAAGGGTGAGGGGCCCCATTTTCAGGAATACTGGTCTAAACTCCAAGAAAATCAGTAGCCTTCCTAGCAGTGTCTACTTGATGCCCCCTAGCCTTAAAATATAGAAAAATTACTATATACAGAACAGCATACTCTAACAAATGATGAGGGTTTTCATTTAGTTCCAGAAATGCTCATGTTAATATTTTGCTTTTTAAAATTAATTGTACTACTGTAACATCTTAAAAACCCACATATCTGTGCTATACAATGACTAGAATAATCACAGTGGAACAAGATCCTTTAACATGCATAACAAGGGAATTAACAGACTTCAGGTTCAGGCATATTTGTCTAATAAGTATGAAGAATGAAAAATCCTGAATATCAGAGAGAAGCTATACTAAGATAAACGAGTGAATCCTGCAGACTACTTTTTTAAAAATGTGATCTATTTTATCAAAGTTATTCAAGCAAGAAAAGTTAAGGTGTACACTTAGTAGTTTTAGAATGAGCCTGTTAAGGAAATTTAAAGCCAAAGAATCCGCATTGAAATCAAAGACTCTAAACTAACAAATTGAAGTTAGCCAAGTCTGAAGATCAAACAATTAAAAGAACATTTGCCACTTACTTCAGTGGGATCAATCTAACCTAATGCAGTATTTAAAGAGATGTTGCAAGTGAACAGCTGACAGGTTATAGGTGGAAATCAATTTACAGCAACTATCATTTTGTAATTTCAGCATGGTTGCAGGACCTGCACACAGACAAGTTAAGAAATGTATAGCAAGAATAATTAATGTGGTGCCATCTAGATGTTGCTGTACAATGGCCATCCATCCCTGCATACTAGCTATGCTGGCCAGTGCTGATCAGAAACTCTCCAACATTTAGAAAGCACCATGTTGGCTACACCCGCAGCCTATAACTTACATAAATATCATCTCTAACATAAATTTGCTAGGAGGTCTTTGGCAAACCACTAGCTCTCAAATTCAATTCCACCCCCATCTGCTACACAGGGAATGGTAGTAATACTAGTCTAGTTTACAGAACCGTTGTCAGAGACTGCAGACCTGACTTTTACCACTTGCCTGTTACTACACTACAGTCTATTGTGCCACTGCTATCATTGCCAAATGGTGTCCTTAATTCCAAATACAGGCGACTCACTACTTATGAGAGGGTTGTCTTCTGGGCACCACACGCATAAGTGAAATGTGCGTAAGTGGAGAGCCTGCTGCAATACAGCTTCCTGCCCAACAGCTGTTGACCAGGATAACATGGAAGCAGTGAGAGCTCCTGCACACCATTTTGGAACCCTTGGACTCCTTTTCTTTTAATAGCTTTTAAAAACTTTCTTTCTGGACTTTTGGCTCACTGGCGTCCTCTTCAGGCTCTGGGGAGAGTCTCCTCATGAGCCACAAAAACTTTCCAGCTCTCTCCCACCATTTCAGGTTTGAATTGAATTATTTATTTGAAATTTTTATTTCCCAGTGCCACATGTATACATCATCGCACACGAGTTGACCGTGCATAAGAGGGGGGATTCCTGTATATGACTGCTGCAGCTATTCATCCATGTACACAAACTAGAAGCTGCTTCATTTTACCAAGTACTGAGATAATGCTTTTAAACTTCCAAAAACCAATATAAGTGATCACTATTACTAATCGGTCAGTCCTTGAAGTAGCAAAGAGCAGAGTGTTCATGAGTCAGTTGGGACACCATTATACCCACATGCAAACATGTCACCAGCTTCTCCTAATTGACTTCTTATAACCAAGAACAAATCTATGACAAACAAGAAACATTACTGCACACAATGCCCAACAACCCTGAGAAGCAGATTAGGCTGAGAGATTGTATCTTGTCTAAGGCCATCTACCGAGCTTTGCAGTTGTTCATTTATGTGAACCTTGGCTTCTTCTAATCAAATCTAACACTCTATTTATTAAAAGATTTCTATCCTACCTTTCAGGACAATCACTCTAGCCACTGCACCAGATACAAACTACAAAGAATCATGTCCATGAGGTTTCTCTGGCATTAAATAAGTCTAATTGTTTATTACTAAAATAATGTACATAATGGCTTCAAGTATAACACCTTCTATTGTAGAAGAAATTAAAGCCTTGTGGAAAGTTCTGAATTTTGAATCCAATGACCACATTTTAATCCAAATATTAAAAATGCTAGAAATGCAAATGCACACTTCCTTTCAGGTGTTCAGAACATCCTGTTTAGCAAAAAAACCCCAAAAACTTTAAATAAGACTACTTTAAGGCATGTTTCTCTCATTCTTTATGTATTTTGAAAGGTTTAATATCATCTCTACAGCCAGATCTACACCAATACTAAGGGGAGGGTTGAAGGGTACTGCCTTTTAAAAACAAACTAACTAACTAACTAACTAACTAACTAACTAACTGTTGACAGGGTAAATGCTGGTATAGCCACACCAACCATGGCCCACACTCTTTACTTTCACTTAAATGTTACATGGACTCTATATGGACAGTATGTATCTACACACTTCAGTGGTAGAGCAGCTGTTTTGAATGCAAAAGGTCCCATGTTGAATCTGGCATCATTGGATAGCCTGAGAAGGATCCCCAATCAATAGGGCCACTGCCAGTCTGTGCAGGCAATATTGAGCTAGATGAATCAATCCGAATTTCTGCCCCAAAGCAGTGGTACTTAATGGAACACTGCAGCCACGGCCCTGCCTTTCATGCCAGCCAGCCTGGAAGAAAAATGACTCTGTTACACCAGCTCTCAGACTGGTGCAGCAAGGAGGCCAGATCAGGCCATTTTGGTTTTTGCTCTAACTTCTGTCTGTCCAACCCTTGGGCGGGAGCACTTTGGTGTTACTCACCAGCTGAAGCTCATCCAAATCCCTCTACAGTGGTACCTCGGGTTACAGACGCTTCAGGTTACAGACTCCGCTAACCCAGAAATAGTACCTCGGGTTTAGAACTTTGCTTCAGGATGAGAACAGAAATTGTGTGGTGGTGGCGTGGTGGCAACAGGAAGCCCCCAATAGCTAAAGTGGTACCTCAGGTTAAGAACAGTTTTAGGTTAAGAACGGACCTCCAGAACAAATTAAGTTCTTAACCCGAGATACCACTGTATAGCATGGCAGATATGCAGTTTGGACTGCTCTATAATGCAACTTCCTACAGGAACATAGTAAGCTACTTTATACCAATGGAAACCACTGAGGTTGTTTCCAATATTAGTTCTACCCAACCAAGAGTAAAATATTTGAAATTAATGGACATGATTAACTTAGACCCATTAAATTCAATGGGTCCACTCTGAGTAGAACTAACCTTTGGTTCACCCATGGTCCATCTAGCACATATTGTCAACAGTTACTGACAGCAGCTTTCCAACATTTCAGACAGAGTATTTTCCCTGGAAAGGCCAGGGTTTGATCTTAGGCCCTTCTGCACACAAAGCAGATGCTCTACCACTGAACTATGACCCTTCACTGTAGAAGTTAAGCCATGCCCAAAAGACTAGCCAGAAAGAATGTATACAGACTATAGGTGCCATTTGTGTTTAGAGATGCCAATTAATAAGATCAACCATACAGGTAACACTAAAGAAACACAGTAATAGCTAGTGGATATAAAACTTATACTAAACCTGTATATATATCCCATGTCAGACAGGGACACACTACCAAAAACAGCCTTCCCGAACTGAAGCCCTCCAAATGTTTTGGAGTCCAACTCCCATCTGCCTCAGCCAATATGGCCATACTGGTTGGGGATGATGGAAGCTGTAATTCAAAACATATGGAAGGCAGCAAGTTGGAAATCTGGCTGAACTGAATCATTCTGGGTGTCAGTAGCCAGTACAATGGGGAACAGCACTTTATTTCATAAGTCTTTGATGAGAACAAAAAGCTAGGGGAAAATCAAGTAGAACAGTAACATACAACCACAAAATGCCTACACTCATGTTTTGCTTGTCATTTACTATATTTCTCAAGGCACTGACCAAAGATCCTCTACAAATTTATTAAAGAGCCAAAGTCAAGCATTAGATCCAAACAGCAAAGTAGTAACAGTTCCAGATCGAAACAACCAGGCATCATACATAGCATAATTCAGATCATGATGTAGAAGATACCACCATGTGTCTCAGTTCAAAGACTCCTATACAATCTCTTTTTCCCCCTGAAGTATCAAGTTATATTTTCTAACTAGCCAGACAAAGATTCATTGCAATTGTACCTCAAGTTCAATATTAATCTCCCCTCCAATTTTCTCTGTGAAAACAGCACTTAGTATTTGCCACTGCCTTACCCAAAACAAAGGTCTCCTAGAAAATAACTTGGGAATGGGAAGGGGTTTGTATTACTCCATCTACAAACCAAGACATCAGATGAATCCCAAATCTAGAAATTTGATACAAAACAAGTTATACTGGCATTTAAGTAATATTTTCTCTCTCTTGAAGAGATAACCTTGTTTCTTTGAAATCCCAGGGGTCAACATGATCCATCATATTAAGATGGTATTTTTTTTATATATAGGTCAGACTACTGGGTACTCTAGGGTGTGAGTCACCTTCATCCATAGTCTGTGACATAGCTGCAAGTCATACAAATTCATTTTACTAAAACAATGTCCTTGTCCTTCAGTGTCCAGCATAGTGTGTCCAGATCCTCCACTTTACTTTAGTGAAGCTGATTGTAGACTGTTTTGCGGTCTTGTAATGTTTTCAGGAAGGCCTGAAGGTGGAGAATCCTGCCTCAACACAAGTTTTTTCAATTACATGAACTTTAGATGAAAGTTCTATGAGCAAAAGAAATCTTCCCAGTTACTTGTGTGTCCTATGTATACCCCATGTATTCACCTACTACCAGAGTGCAACAAACAAGTATAAAACTACTCGCAATTAGCACCTGTCCAATGCTTTTAACTCTCTTGCATGTCTGGCAGTCTGTGAGCAAGGACTAAAACTTCCAAGTTAAGCATGTGAGAACTAAAGAGTGAATGAATGGATGCAAGTCCGTGGGCACTTTTTTTCCAATTCCCTCCCCCCCTCTACAAAAAGCAATGCCTACTTTCGGTGTTTCCCTACCTTCTGCACTTGTTGCCTCCATCACTGGTAAAATTTCATTTCTTACCTCCAAAGTTAATCTACCCACCCACTTAAAAAGGTATAAAGATTGAGGTTACAAACTCATGCACACTAATCTAGGACCAAAGTCCTATTATGAATGTAGTATAATTCACTTCCTAATAATAATAAGCCTGCTCAGGGATCAAGCTGGAATCAGCCCCAGCTAGCATGGCCAGTTATCAGGGAGATGGGAGTTATAGTCCAGTAACATTAGCAGTAAAATTCTTCTATACCTGAACCCAGGGAAACTTACGCCTGAACAACAAAAGGGTGCCTGGTTAAAAAGGTGCAACAATCCTATGCACTCTGAGGCTTACTCTTGAGTAATATCACTTGAGTATATCACTTTACCTATACGTAAAACCCTATGGCTGAACCTAGGGAGACTTACTCCCTCAAAGCACGCTGTTGGGTTTCCTACCAGCGCACTCTTACCCAGGAGCAAAGTCTCATGACTGAATATTGGCCAGTTTCCCTAACCTGTTCAGAGAATCAAGCTGCAAAGCTGCAACAGCACAACCCCTCCTCCCGCTTTAAACTGCGAGTTAAAACAAAACAAAATGGAAAGTCCTACCAATGGGTTTTATTCTCCGAATAAAGCCGCTCAAGCAAATTCATCCTTACTAATATATCGATGAAACCCCCCCTACCCATGTGTGCTTGAAACTCGGGAGGGGGTATAAAATCCCGCATACACAATATTTTAGGCGTGCTCTTCCATTAAGGTCAATGGAGAGATCTCTCCCCCACCCGCTCCCGCAATTTCTTCTTTCCTGCTCAATTCCAAGTAAAGTGTGCAATGGGATGGCTGCCTTTAAACCCCTCGCCTGGCTGTGCTCCTCCGCGAGCACGCGCGCGCCCCACCACCACCAGCCGCTCCTTTTCATCATGTACAGAGAGGAGAGAGAGGCGCCCCGTGGCTTAGCGGGGAGAAAGCCCTCCCGCCACAACCCGCTCGCTCGCCATGACACACACACACGACGCGATGAGCCTGCAGAAATCGGCCGGGTAGGCCCAGCCCTTGCCAAGCCAGGCACACACGCAGCGTGCTCCTGCCCCGAGGAGGAGGCGAGGCCTGGCCGGGCCACAGCGCGGAGGGGAAACCCCTTCAGGCAGGGAAAGGGAATAAAAGGTGGTGGCCTCCGGGCTCGGCTTGAGGCGTTTACCTGCGCGCCGTGGACGGCCATGGCGCCCCCGTCCCCGCTCGGCGGGGGAGGCGGCGGCAGCAGCGAGCTCAGCGTCTCCCTCAACGCCTCACGCTGCTGGCCCCGCCGCCGCCATCTTCTCTCTTCGCGCACACACACCACACAGGAGAGGGCGGGCAGCGCGAGGCGGGGCGGGCAGCTGCGCCTGCGCAAAGGCGCGAGCGCACCTAGTCATCCTGGCTCACGCCGCGCGCTCCGGTGTCTGTCCCAGTCGCGCGCGTGCGCGCGCGTCTTGACAGAAAAGGTCTCTTGTCAAGGATCTCGCGTTCCTTCCCCTCGCGCGCGTGCGTACTCGGGGATGGCCCGAGATTGACAGGAGGGAGGGAGGGAGGCGCAGGCGGACACGTTTTTGCGCGCGCGCAGCTGCTTCGGCAAGCGACCGCGAGAGAACGAAGCGGGGCTTGGAAGAAAGAAAAAAAAGCAAGGCGGAGGCAAACGGGAGGCTGGTGATACATTACGCATGCGCAGCTCTTCCCTACTATTGCGCTGGGATAAAGGCAAATCAATGCTGCTGAATGTGAGGGAAAAGGCGGGGCGGGGTGAGGAGGGTTCTGCGCATGCGGCCTTCAAGGCGGGGAAGGGAAAGAATAGAAGTGCATTTTGCGCGTGCGTAGTTCGACCGCCAAGCTCGAGAGCGCGCTTTGGGCTTGCTGTATCAAGGGGAGATGAATGAATATTCCGCGCGTGCGCAACACTATCAAGGGGCGGGATTGGGCGGTTCCGTTTGGTACGCATGCGCAAAGAAATGCTGAAACGCTTGTGCTGCGCAGGCGCTGTGTTAGGATTGTTTCAACTTAGTGGGCGGAATGTGAATGAATGAGCAGGAAAGCAACACTGACAGTTGTGGATGGTGCTTTTTCTTGTTCTTATCTTGCAATTATATCTTCAGTTATAATAATATATATACACACAACCGAACAAAACTAATCCAACAGGTGCAGCAAGCAGCAGATTTATGAATCCTAGTTCTATAAATGGCCAATGTGTTTGGAGGAAACTGGTTTGTCATGGGGCGCGGTGGTCACATATACTGTATTGCAATTCCTCAAAAAAAATGCTGTAAAAGCAACCATTGTTCTACTAATTCTGTGCTGCAGGCAGGCTACTGCTACAACCAGTGTGGTGAAGGAAACCTGGGTTCAAATTCCCACTTGCCATGAAACATACTGGTTGATCTTGACCCATCTACCCTTTCAGAGGGTTGTTAAAATGAGAGGGAGAATCACACACTAGGCTTCTCAGAGGAAGAGTCGGATCAAATCTTATCAAATAAATCAGTATTTTAAAACTGTAAACCGCCTTGGGTGCCTGACGAAAAGTGAAATATAAATGCAACAAACACATTTACTTTATGCTTATTAGTTGTACTTTACATCGTTTGTATATGTTGTGTCATTCATTTCTGTGTAATGTTTTTATAAAGGGGAATGACAAATATTTTAAAGGCATATACTTTTTTATCTGCCTTTCCCAAGGTCCAGGGAGGCTTGCAAACAATTAAAAGCAAATTATACATTGATTCATCCACTGGATGTAGTGGAGACCCATTCTGTTGGCTCAGATGAGAGGACAGCAGCTTGGTATTAGGCTCCATAACTCCCTGAACTCTTTCAGTTCAAGCTCCCCATTCTCAGAGCAACTATGTAGCTTAAGAAAGAGGCCCCCAAGTTCCTTTGTCTTCCTTATAGTAGGGAAGATATGACTGCATTTGGTATAAGATCAGTGCCTCCCAAGCCATTTCCCCCACAGACCATTTGAAAATTGCTGAAGGTCTCGGCAGACCACATAATTATTTTTCTCCTGTTTGAGTAATTGTAATGTACTGTATGATTTTTAATTGTATTTTAACTGCTTCTTTTATTTCTTATATATTGCCCTTTATTGTATGGCAATTTGAATTCCATAAAATTCAAACTGTAATACAATAGAATACAACCTAAGTAATAAAAGCAATGGATATACAATTAAAAAGCAACATGAATCTTTTACTGCAATGGATGTGCCATCTCCCATCTTTGGCCTCAAACCCAGGTACCCAGCGGCACCACAGACCACATGAATTGATGCTCACACACAATTGGGGAACCCCTGCACTACTAGGTAAAACCTCCCAAAAGTCTTCAAAGGAAGCACCACAGGGAGTATTTAACAGTAGTCAAACCTGCAGTTTATAAAGCACAGATCAGTATTTCAAGTTCTCAAGAAGGGTGCAACCTACACAAGAAACCACTGCGGCAGCCTGCCAAATGAAAACTCCCAGGCTACCTGTTCAGTTAGGAAAACTGAAACTTCATTGATCACAGGCAAATATCAAGGAAGTCCAGATGTCTGTATGTTTACATTATTATTACAGTTTTTTGTTTTTACTGCACCAAACTAACACAACATCCCATTCCCAGGGGTCGGGGGGGGGGCTGAGTTATTACCAGTCAAATCCTTGCATGGGTGGGAAGATAAGTTAGGGGAGGGAAACCCATTTATTTTAAGTTATATATCTTGTTCCAGGTGAAAAACATTAAATGCCTGTTAGAAAGCGGGTGTGGTACAGGGTGCCTAAATTGACAGGTGATTTTCTTAACCATGTCATGTCATGTGCTCCTACTACAAAGGATTCGGAAAGAAAACGGGCTAGGCCTCCCCAGAATGGTGCAATTAGCAATAGAGACAGCCTGGCTGGCTTTATTAAAGGGAACTCCCCAAAAACAGCTTTAGTGAGAAATGTATTAAAAACACTAATTTGTGGGAGGGACCAAGCTCTGTTGCAATGGATTGTTCGTCCCCTCGGTGGCTCACATCGGTGGATTCCTCCGTTTTTATTGAGGGTTAGGGGGAAGAGAAGGCGAAAATGGGGGCCCCTCCCTAGGAAAAGCTCCTTCTCCATTAATAAAGGTGTGCAAACGGCAATCCGGAGGCGCCGCTTCCGCCCCTCGACGCAGCGGAGGCACTTCCGCCGAGGCCATGGCGCCCGTGTCCCGCTCGCGGAGCCCAGCGGAGACGCCGCCCTCGCGGCGGGAGCGGAGCGGCAGCTCGACCAGCCCGTCCCCGCCCAGGTCCAGCCGCTGCAAGAGTTCCCGCGCCCGGTCCCGATCCCACGATCGCGGCAGCAGCGGCGGGTTTCGTCAGCGCCCCGGGCCCCCTCACCCCTTCGGGCCCCGGCCGGGCCCCGAGCACTACGGCAAGGAGCAGGAAGAGTCGCTGAGGCAGAGGCGACTAAACGAGAGGGAGAGAATAGGTGAGCTTGGAGCACCTGAAGTTTGGGGGGTCTCGCCCAAAGTTCCCGACCGGGACTCTGATGAGCACACCCCTGCAGAAGACGAGGGGGGTGCATCTAAAAAGAGCAGCTCCTCTGGTTCCAGCTCAGAAGAGGAGCAGAGGAAGAAAAAGAAGAGGAAGAAGAGAAAGGCTGCTTCACGTGAGGAGGGGGGAAAGAAAGCCAAGAAGAGGAAAAAGAAGCATAGGAAAAAGAAGTCCAAGAAAAGAAAGAGTAAGAAAAGCAGGGAGGTGAGCAGCAGCGAAGACTCCGATGGTGACCAACAGCAAGAGGGGGATCTCTGGACTGAGAGAGTAAGAAATGCAGATGGGGAAGGTTTCATAGGACCAGAAGCTCCCATTACCCATGCCTCTCAAGAGGACCGACCCTTGAACTATGGGCACGCTTTACTCCCCGGCGAAGGCGCTGCCATGGCCGAGTATGTAAAAGCTGGGAAACGCATCCCTAGGAGAGGTGAGATTGGCCTAACCAGCGAAGAGATTGCGTCATTTGAGAAGTCTGGCTACGTGATGAGCGGCAGCAGGCACCGGAGAATGGAAGCTGTGCGCCTGCGGAAGGAGAACCAGATCTACAGTGCAGATGAAAAGAGGGCCCTGGCGTCTTTCAACCAGGAGGAGAGGCGGAAGAGGGAGAACAAGATTCTGGCAAGCTTCCGAGAGATGGTCTACAGGAAAACCCAGGGCAAAGATGACAAATGAACTGGATGCTTCTTCTTGTGTATATTGACAAGCGACACCTGTTAACAGCGATCTGTAAACGGGTGTCCAGCGTCACAAGCCAACTTGCAGGGCATACTCCAGGTTGAACTTCAGAAAATGGTTTGTGTGTATCAAATAAGAACATTGACAGGTGTATGTGGACAGCCCGGTTTCGCCAATTTGCTGCATGGTGTTGCCAGCAGCAGAAGGACAATGGTCTAAATGAAACAAGGAATGCTCTCTTGCAAACCTTCCCAAAATATTGCTAGGAATCCAATATATTGTGCCAGTTGGTGACTTCAAAAAACACTTTGTAAAATCCTGAGCAGCAAACCAAGACTTATGCAACTGAAACTTGGCTTTGTTTAAAATCATTTGCTAAGAGAATGTTGGGTTTGAGCCACAGAGAGTGTGGATCAAAGAGATCTTCCTCTCACCGCTACCTCCTGAAAATTCAAACACCTGCCCACCTAATTTCAGTTCCTAGGGAAAACACTAAATATACTTGTAATTTTTGGTAAAAGTTAGGCCAGCTCCAGCTTCTTTTTCACCAGTAGGTGCACCTTGTAAACATTCCCGTTTTTCTATTATGCTCACAAAACATAAACCTTTGGTCTGATCTGGCAGGCCTCTTCTGATGAAGTGCTGACATGCGTTTCGTCTTCAAAGGACAATGAATTCAAAATTTGTGACTACATGGCATAACCGCTTCTTCTTTGGAAATGGTTTGTGAAGTTGGTTCACAAACTTGTAGAATTAAAACATGCCCAAATGGAAATCGGAGAAGAAATCGGAGTCAGCCCATGTTTAGTGTTTATACTAGAAAATGGTTTATAAATGTATTCAACTCCAGCTATATTAAACGCATTCTAGTACATGAATTAGTTATCAGATATTTCTCTCTCTCCTACAGATAACTTGGTATGTCTTTTAATGACAGAATTCCTTATTTTTTATTTTTAAAACGAAGCTTTTTCATTGGGTGAACACATCTTTAGAGAATCAGAAGCACTAAGTTATGCTTTGTATTTATTTTCAGTCGCTCCAAGTAGCCCTTCCAGGTCTGAGAAACAGGAATAAATCCCTTAACTCGGGAATGGAAACCTGGCAACCTCCAGATGTTCAGACTACAACTCCCTTCCTGACCACTGGCCACACTGATGGGATCCCACAGCATATGGAGCAAGGGGGGAGGGGCAACTGGATCTACCCAACAGACCTGATAGTTATCTGCTACGCCCACCCTGCAGGCCAAATTTCACAGGTGGGTAGGGCTGCATACCTATAAATCACCTGGTGTCAGGCAATACTTTTTTGCCCCCATGGTTGAAAGCAAACTGCAGGCAAATGCATAGCCTGCAAGTGACTTTTAAAGCACTCCATCAGACCTGATGGATCATCAGGGCTCATGGAGGACTTTGCACAGGGCTTTGCAGACCTCCTCAATCAGGTGCCTGCAAACCTCTTTCAGCTGAGCCAGGTTAGTGTGGTTTGACTGAAATGGCCTTCCGAGCCCATTGAAGATGCCTCACAGCTCCAGTTATGTCTGCAGGTCAAAAATAACTTACCCCTGATCTAAATGGTCTTGGTTCTTCATCCTTTCCTTGACAAGTAAATACTTCAGCCATTCAATTTATTGTTCAGCAGCCGTGGAAAAACCCTACCCATCTTGATTCCCAACCCGGGGTGAAGTACTCATGTTGATCTATATAGGTACGGGAATCAGCTCTGTTAGCACATCACCCAAATTTGGCAGTGATTAAAACCATATCCTGTGCATGTCATGGACAGGTCTTTGAATCATGCCCAATGACCATCATACATTACAGTGGTACCTCGGGTTAAGTACTTAATTCATTCCGGAGGTCCGTACTTAACCTGAAATTGTTCTTAACCTGAAGCACCACTTTAGCTAATGGGGCCTCCTGCTGCTGCCGCGCTGCCGGAGCACGATTTCGGTTCTCATCCTGAAGCAAAGTTCTTAACCTGAAGCACTATTTCTGGGTTAGTGGAGTCTGTAACCTGAAGCGTATGTAACCTGAAGCGTATATAACCCGAGGTACCAGTGTACTGGTGATGACAAAGATATCACACAACTCTAGGGGCTGGTTGAGTTTGGATGTAGAGTTAAGTAGTTCTCTGGTTGCAAAGTCCTCCTTAAAGGAGCGGGAAAATGACATCTGACAATGAAGAGAAAACAAGTTTGGCTTCAGATTTGTTTCTTGCTACAACTCCCACAGAAGCTCCTTCTGACTGGTTCCCCAAGGCTCCATCACTCCAATCACAGTTGTTTCCATGCTTCTCATTTCCATCAGTACCTGGAATGCCAATCTTGGTTCCTATATTGGATTAAAAAAATAATAATTAGGCAGCTGTAACTGAGTTATGTGCATAAACCATCAGGGATGGGGAGAGCTCCGGGGTTGAGAATGTGACTAGCCCCATTAGCAAATTGAGTTATACAGATTTACATATGGCAGAGGCTATTGCAAAAGGAGGCAAAATCTGGCAATACTTTAGGGCAGGGACATCCAACTCCCAATAGACTCCGATCTACTCACAGTATAAAAAAAACTGGCACATTGTTGTAAAAAGACCGGCAGTGATCTACCCAAAGTCGTGGAGCTTTTTTTAGTAAGCCAAAGTTGTTGTTTTTTTGCTTTTTTGTAACGAGATCACTGAGGGGCCAGAGATCAACCAGGATCTACCAGGAATACCCCACAATCTACCAGTAGATCATTATCTACCTGTTAAGACATGCCTGCTTTAGGGTATAGACATATTTGACTCTGGGTGGGCTCAAAAAAGTGGATGAAGAAAAGGTTTTCTCCCTCTGTCCTAACACTAGAACTCATAGGGATCCAATGTTGAGAGATTCAGGACAGATAAAAGGAAGTACATAGTTAAACTATGGAACTCGCTGCCACAGGAGACAGTGATGGCCACCAACCTATACAACTTTAGAAGTGGAATGAACACATTTATGGAAGGCAAGGCTACTGAAGGCTGCTAGCCGTGATGGCTCTGCTCTGCCTCAATGGTTGTAGGCAATAATGTTTCTGAAAACAGTTGCTGGAAGCTGCATGAGGGGACAATGCTCTTGTGCTAGGGTCCTGCTTGCACGTTTTCTACAGGCATCTGGTTGGCCACTATGAGAACAGGATGCTGGACTAGAAGAACTGTTGGCCTGATCCAGCAGGCTCTGCATATGCTCTTATGTAATTAGGACTTGTGAAAGTACTGTTACTTAGAAAGATATTTGATAGCGCATTTGCCTTTTGGTTAGGCTGGGAAACTGGTCTTGTTTTAGAAGAATGGTAGTCACCGGTGGCGCTGTGGGTTAAACCACAGAGCCTAGGACTTGCCAATCAGAAGGTCGGCGGTTCAAATCCCCGCGACGGGGTGAGCTCCCGTCTTTCGGTCCCAGCTCCTGCCAACCTAGCAGTTTGAAAGCACGTTAAAGTGCAAGTAGATAAATAGGTACTGCTCCAGCGGGAAGGTAAACGGCATTTCCGTGCGCTGCTCTGGTTCGCCAGAAGTGGCTTAGTCATGCTGGCCACATGACCCGGAAGATGTACGCCGGCTCCCTTGGCCAATAAAGCAAGATGACACCGCAACCCCAGAGTCGGCCACGACTAGGCCTAATGGTCAGGGATCCCTTTACCTTTACCTTTAGCCACCTGACAATGCAAAGGTGTGTCAATGCTTTTTCCAAGGCAAGTTTTCACAGCAAAGTTATCCACACCGCCTGGGAAAGCCCTAGTGTGACAAACTCCAAAACAGAAATGACAGGACTATAAATATGCATCGGAAGCTTTAAGAGTAATTAACACACCAGGTGACAAGTTACAGGCTAGGTATTAGCAAAAACGTGTCTCATTTAAAAAATGATACAAAAGGTTTCAAAAACTCTTAGAAAACAAACTTTCATTGTCTGGAGTGAGAATGGGGAATCTTCCCCACCATGTCATTGAGACTCCATCCAAATGGCAGCATTTAAGTTCTTATAAAATGATACAGTAGTACATTTGTATAAAATAAACATACTGGCCAATGGGCACAGATGGACCATTCAAGCTAAACACAAGTGACAAGAGCCTCAATGCAGCAGGAGACAAAAGCAATGTTTCCTTGTTTCAGGTAACCGACCCAGTTGCTGGAATATACCAATTAGTTACTCCAGAACAATGTCCCATTCAAGCTTGGGAGACTTTAACAAATGCAGCTTTTAATACTCAGCGCACCTGAATTTTTAAACACAAATAACCCTCACTTCACTCTCACTTCAATGCTTTCCTCACACTTCTGTCTGAATAGGGAACACACATATTGCCCACAATTAAAGGCACACCTCCCAACTTGTAGCTACACTGGATGAGAATTGAAGGACAACTCTTTGAATTACCGTTCCAGTTTCTTTTAGGACAACCTGCTTTTCTCTCAACTCCTGTCTCCTTCCTTTGATTTCTAAACAGATGTTCCCAACCACCATTTTTTACATACATTTTACCATTTCTTCTAATGGATTTTGTTCAATAATGACATGACAGTCCCAAGAACAATATGGCATTAACATTCAACTGCCTTTCCTGGAGCCATGAAGATATTTCATCATCAGAAATCACCCAGTCCAACTGACAAGGGGGTGGGAGGAACCCTTTGTTGTAGTTTTATGGAAGTTTCCAAAGCCGTTTACAATGCTATATAAAATATGATTAGAGGTTTGGTACACATTCTTTCTCCATGGCTGAACTGCCCAAAAGTTTGTCATCTCCCTTGATTCTGATGCCGTTTCATTTTTGGCCTTTTCTTTTTATCTTCTGATCTTGGTTTTAACGAGCACACACAAGCAGAAACCCCAGCAATTGCTTTTGGAAGATCAGTTTCTTTTTGCCACTTGTTCTTCTCTTTGTTGTACACCTGGACGGTTCTGGAGAAGACAGTGTCCTCCCAGCTATAGCCACCAAGGATGTAGATCTTGCCTTCCCACATGGCCACTCCAGATTCACTGTTGGCTTGCAGCAAGGGGGCCACTCTGGTCCACTGATTGCACTGTGGGCTGTAAGACTCCACAGCCAAAATGTCAAAGCGGGTCATCGTTTCAAGGTAATCGTTACTGCCGCCAATGGAGTAAATGTCATCCTCCAAGGTGCACATGCTGTGCCAGCCGCGGGCAGTGATCATTGGCCTCTTCTCTTCCCACACGTCGGTGCGATAATCGTAGCAGAGCAGATTTTTGCGATAGGGGCCGATTTGGTAATCGTGGCCTCCTGATATATAAACCAAATCATTGTGGGCTGCGCCAGCATGGCCATAAGTAAACCTAGGACAGAAAGAAAGGGGAAGGGGGAAAGATATAATCAGTTGTGGGGTTCCCTTCAAGGTACAGAAGGATACCTTTTCAAACAAGATGAATATTTTAGAAATCCCACTAAACTTTGAAGTACCGTTATCATAATAGTAATAGTGGTGGTAGAGGTCATAATAACAGCCTACAGGATACAACACTAATGGTGTTCTGGTCCTGAATAGGGGCCTGCACAATGCAGAAAGGCAGGACATTTGCTTCCAGCACCAAGGAGAGCTCCTAGTGACCCACTTTCTCCTATGAAGGCTGGAGGTGAAGTGAAGTCTTTTCAACCTCAGCCTCCCATGCTCCTAGGCTCCTGGCTCTCAGCACCAAGTAGAGCTCCTAGTGAGCGACTTGCCCTTTAGCGGGGCTGGAGGTGACCTGAGGCTTTCTGAGCCTCTGCATACTGTTCACAACCCCTATGCAATACCCCCTTTGTTTAAGGAAATACAGACAAAAAACTCTGCTTCTCTTGTGTGCCATGGACCCGATTCAGTGTCCCAGTCTCTGCTGGATTCCACTGCCATGACTCCCGGTTACTGCTGAGTTCTACAAGCCAAGAGATCAAATTCCACTTTGCCCCTGGACAGTCTGAGGATCCTTACAGCTTTTCCTTCGAATTGCCACCACAAAGAGTAAGAGGCAAAAAGCAAACCACTTAATTTTGCAACTTTCCCCAGGAAACTCACATTGTTCTTTTTGAAACATAAAACAGCCCTCCACAACCTGGTACCTTGTTGGACTCCCAACTTCCACCAGCCCCAGCCAACATGACCAGCGGCCAGGGAGGATGATAGTTATACTCCAAGAACATACAGAGGGTGCTGGATTGAGTGAAAGCCAAAATAAAACAAGGGTGGGGGATAATCTTCAGCCTGACACCCCATTCCCTTCTGGAAAGCCTTCCAGGGCTCACCTGCCACTAGCGGCCATGGCAAGAGGTGAAACACACAGACACTATACACATACTTGACAACTGCAAAGCAGGGTCATGGCTTGGGGAGGATTGATACAGAGGCTTGGAGGGCCAGATCTGGCCCCCCAGACCTGAGGTTCACATATACACCCCCATGTGAATGATTGTCTCCAGATCCTGATCCAGGTTACCTTGGCAAGCCTGCTACATAGGTCCATGCATCTTTCTCCGGCCTGTAGATCTCAACAGATGAAAGCGCTCCATTTTCGTTCCTTCCACCGACAGCCACTAGCATGCCCTTGATGGCAGCCAGATAGAAGTCTACACGACGCTGCCTCATGGAAGCAAGCTGTGAAAGAAAAGGAAGCCCCACAACATACCTGAATAGTCATATATAGACACACACACACACACACACACACACATGTATGTATGTATGTATGTATCATTTTTTAATTTATGATTTTCAGTTATATTCATTTCAATAGTTTTACAGTCATTTTAACATTCCAATACTTGACTTCCTTCCTCCTCTTTCAGAGGTTCCTTAAATTTATTTTTATCATTTCCTGCATATTCTAAATTAACTTATATTTTTGATGGCCAGACAATAGTCTAGAAAACAGATTGGCTCACAACAATGCAAGATAAAGGAGTTGGTCTTGTCTAGATTAGGCTATTCTAACCATATCAGAAGAAAGATATCTTCAGGAAGCCTGATTAATTCAATAACAGATGTATCCATTTACAGAGAGGCACCCAAACCCCATCCTCACTCGAACGTCTCTCTTGATGAGAACAGGAAATCAAGGAGTTAGTAAAATAGAAGTGACTTGCTACAGGGGAGAGACTGTTGGAACAATCGAGGAGGAAGAATTTGACATTTGTATTTAAATTTTTTTAAAAAGCTTTGATTAATTTATTCAGAATTTTGTACTGAAAAACTCTAGAAAGAAGCTATTTTAATTTAATATACAATGTAAGTTTTGCTTTATTTTGAAATATATTTTTTTTATTTTGTGGTTTAGTATTTTGAATTAACTAGGAAGGGGAACACAATCTTTTCAGTACTCAGGGCATCCCAAGCTCTTTGAGTTACTTACTTCCTATAATAAACTGCTTTGTTATTTTCTTACTCTACAAACATCTCTGTGCATGTGCTTGCAACAAGTAAAGTCTACCTCTATCCAAACTCACAAGCCTATCAAAGCTCCAACACCACCCCTCGCCCCAATTTCTAACCTTTCTTAGAGAACAGTGCCTCATTTTCTCAGTCTTCTACGCACCACCATGAACGCTAAGAAACTGCTCCCCCCGCCTCCATTGAATCTGGAGGGGCATATATTGCAATATGGAAACCAGATTCCGCAGTTCACAGCATAAGCATTGCTGCACAGATGGCTGCACTCCTTGGTTTTCACGTTTTAAGGACAGAAGTATTTTACCTTCTGCTAAAAGCATAAAATTTTACAAGAACATATATGTGCCCATTGCAGCTGAAGCCTCACCTTTATCCAGTGGTTACACCGAGGGTCATACCTATATAGAAGATTGGAGGCGGCATCCCCACCATTATCACGTGAAAAGCTTCCTCCGGCAGTGAAGATGAACCCTCCGAGCACTGCAACGCAGTGGTGGCTCCGTGGAGCAGGGAGCGGTGTTTCCCTCACCCACTGCCCCGTTTTGGTGTCCAGGAAGCAGGTGTCGTCACTCAGCTCCAAGCAATTTTCCGACACCTCCCCGCCGACGAAGAGGAGCTTTTCTTCACTCGTGCGGAGAGCGGTCCGCTTGTTCTGAAGGACCGGCTGAGCCGCGACGTTGTTGTGGTAGTGGACCGCCTCTTCGACGAAGGTCTCACAGTTGGTTTCTTTTGAGAGGAGGGAGCAGACGGCCGGCTTGACGCGGTGCAGCAGGTCACTCTTTGGTATCAAGGGGAAATGGATGTTTTCCAAGACGGAGTAGGCCTCCCTCTCCCTCTCTGGGGACTGCGTAAGCCACTGCAACGCGGCCTGCAGCAAGTCGTGCTCACATTCCTGCTGGACGTTGTCACTGCCCAGGTACTGGCACAACTTCTGGATGGAAATGTTCTGCAGGAAGTGTGGCGTGAAAGACAGCGTACCAAAGTTCCTCAAGATGAAGGAATCAATGTACAAGTCCAGGCGCCTGAGGTTGTAGAGAGAGGCCAGCTCCTGCAGGTACAAGTAGTTCTCCTCGTTGACCTCATTCTCCAGGTACTCGCAACAGAAGTCAACCACCTTCCAGATCTGCAGCAGGTGGGCAGTTTCCAAAATGTAATCAATGTTGCCACCATCGAGGGAGAGCTCGCTCCCATACAGGAAGTCCACAATGGCTTTGAGGCCAACATAGGATGCTCCAAAGAGCTCCACCTCTTTCTGGTAGGCTTCCCGCATCCCAATAGTGAACATTGAGTTGAAATAGTCACTGCAGACCGCTAAAATGTTTCGATGGGCAGGGACCCTCTGCTCGTCCGCAACCAGAACGACATCACAGAAGAGGCCCCGTTGCCTCTGTTCGTTCAAGCTCTGAAGAACTAGGCTGGAGTGGTCAGCCCATTTGTATACCTGAAAGGAAGAGAATGGGTGTCAAATTGCTACTCACCTGAGGGGGAATAAATCTATTAATTTATATGGCAGAGGGCCACGCTCCCTCGGAGGTCATCTTTTGGGAGCAACATGGCAGCACAGGGAGTGGTTCCAGAGCCACCTCACACTCTCTCTGTTTATCTCTTAGGAAGACCACCACCCTTCCATCTCTTTCTTATGGGAGAATCAAGAGGGAGGGAGGAGAGAAAGCAAATACAGTATGGAGTTATCTTAGGAGAGAGAAAATGCTGGGTAGTGATGATCTTAACTGGCCGCCACCTTCCTGGTATATGCCTGGAATTAGGCAGGGAGTCACACAAAGCCCTGCAGTCACAGGTTGGCCGTTTGCCCCTCTCCTGGGCAGTTCAGGAGAGCTACATCTCAAAGTGGATGCTATGCATGCAGAAAGTCCCTGGTTGAATACCCAGCTTCTCCAGGTAGAACTGGGAGAAAACTCTGTACATGGACCAATGGTTTGACCAATATGGCAGCTTCCTACGTCTCTTGGGAAGGGTCTTAGTTCAGAAGGGGAGCACCTGCTTTCCAGGCAGAATGTCCCTGGCATCTCCAAGTAGGGCTGGGAGAGGACCCTGTCTAAAACCCTGGAGAGCTGCTGCCAGCCAGTAATAACTGCAGTAAACCAGATGGATGAATGGTCTGACTCAATATATAGCAGCTTCCTAAGAGACACTGGTCTCCTCATTGGACAACAGCACTATGAACTAGGGTTAGACATTTTTGGAACAAAGCAACTTCTAAAAGCAACCATCCCTGTTTCTTTTTCTTGGGCAAGAGACCTGCGAATAAATCAGCACATGTGGAAAACAGGAGAGGTTCTTTTCATATATTATTTGAAAACTACTACATTCCACATGTAAAATGGGCGTTAATTCTGGGGTATTATACAGAGAAATGCAAGTCTCCCATATCCGTGGGAGAAGTTCCAGTCTGCCAACGTAACAAGCAATACGTGCAAAAAGTCACAGACCTTTGAGGATTCGCTTATCTTGTGTGGGCGAGAAATCCTTGCTTGTCTTGTTCCTTCCATCATTGTGCAGCTTCTTGCAATCCTATGAGTGTGGAAAACAAAAAACAAATTAACAACCCAGTCACCTTTGAAAGAGAAAGCAATATGAACTCTAATCAAGGGGGCCTAGAATACAGTCAACAAGTTTAAATTTTAACTTTAGTCAATTGCTTAGATCAGGAGTGGGAAACCCTTTTGGGGGCTAAGGGCCACACGGAATTCCAATAGTGGGTGGGACCCAACTGAAAAGTGGGCGGGGCAAGCCCCACTGAGTTCAAGGGGATGTGGGTATAGGATTGAAACCTCCATTGAATAAAGAAACACTTTTTAATCAGATAAAAATTTACCTCCAATGTTGTTTTTTAAACAGATAAATATTGTTTAAAACTGCAGGCTGCAAATGCCATCTTAAAAAGGCATCCTCTTCAGTGCAATAAAGAAGTGAAAATGAAATTGTTTTTAAGGATATGAAAAGTTTTGCAAGCTTAGGACAACAGCTTAATCAATTTATAGTGCAATGCTATGGTCCTTTGCTATGCACTAGGTAGTCTCCTACACATAGGATTGTACCAAAAGTCTCATAGGTTTCATTGACAGGTTAGCCATAATCAGGAGGCTCCCAAAAGGTTTCCCCATCATAAAGTTAGAAAGAACCACAAAGGTCAACTAGGCCATCCATCTTGCTGAGGCAAGAAATCTGCTGCTATAGCATCTGCAATAGTTAGCAATCCAGCCTCTGCTTAAAATCCTTTAACCAAGGACAGTCCACCACCTTCCAAGGCAGCCATTATTTGGCAGGAAATTCATTTCCCCCCTTGCAGAATATTTCAACTGCCAGAGAGGAGGGTGCATTCAGCCCAAGGTAAGACATCATTCCTTGGAATCTTGGCACAGCCTTTCCACTAGCACAAATAGAATTTTTTATGAGAGTAATACAATTTTAAGGAGAATAAATTTAGCAGGGGCCAGAGATCTAAACACACATACACACACAGAATTAGCTATAGATAAGACTGCAATCCAAGGCTGTTTATAAGTCATGTAATAAGAGTTTAACCAAAATATCAGTTTGGGAGAAGAGGGCAATGAGTAAACTGGAACACACAAAGAACAATATATATATTTTTAAATAGTTTTTTCCACTTAAAAATTAAACCAATTTATACTATTTTTTTAAAAAAGAATTGCACTGAAGACTAATTTCCTCAAGACAACTGTGCAGTCCAATCTGAGGCATGTTTAGTCAAGACCCAGCATCCAACTGCCCCTCAGCGAAATTTCACTGAGTGACTTGGATCAGTCTCTCTCTCTCATTCTAACCTATATTACAGGGTTGTTGTGAGGTTAAAGAAGAAAAGGGGAATAATGGGTCATGTATCCTGACTTTAGATATACGTATGTATGTATGTATGTATCTATCTATCTATCTATCTATCTATCTATCTATCTATCATCTATCTAAAATAGTTGCAATCCTGTATCCAATTCTGTAGCCACTTAACAAAGAGTAAATCAAACTTAATACTTACTTCTGAGTAAAGGTAAAGGGACCCCTGACCATTAGGGAGGAGCCAGTGTACAGCTTCCAGGTCATGTGGCCAGCATGACTAAGCCGCTTCTGGCGAAACCAGAGCAGCGTACAGAAATGCCATTTACCTTCCCGCCAGAGTGGCACCTATTTATCTCCTTGCACTTTTTGGCATGCTTTCAAACTGCTAGGTTGGCAGGAGCAGGGACCGAGCAACGGGAGCTCACCCCGTCACAGGGATTTGAACTGCCGACCTTCCAATCAGCAAGTACTAGCCTCAGTGGTTTAGACTACTGTGCCACCCGCGTCCCTCTACACATATATAGGACTGCACTATTAACAAGCAAGCCCAGTTCTATGTGGTTTCCTTCTAGTTAACTGCATATAGGACTGAAGCCTATTTTGGATTGCCCTTAGAGGCGTGAAAAGAAGATTTGAAACCAAAACATGTAAAAGAAAATGTCCTTAACAAATATTTCAGCATTCTAGGCAGTTAAGGATGACATTTTCACTTAACTAATGGGTTAGTTTGCTTTTAGGTTATGAAATTAACAGTGCAGTCCCAGACCTGTTTACTTGGGACTAAGTCCCTCTGATATCAATAGGGGTTACTCTCATAATGTAAATGGGCACAGTTAACAAAGTTGATTAATCTGACCCTTTCAGAAAAGGGGGAGGGAATAGTGGGTTCCCCTGGCTTGTCCTAAACCTGAGCCTGTTCTGCAAAGCCAAAGGAAAATAGGGAAAGGAAGTTGGTGAAAGAGGCAGAAAGGGGAATTCAAATTCAGCAACTCCAATGCATAAAGAAGGGGGGGGATAACCCAGTTAGCATGTGGGTGGGGAAAAACAAAACATCAATCTTAAAAGTGCCCAGGAAGGGATTGCAACACGCATATCCTGCCCAGAAAACAGCCAATGGGAATCGGCCTTCACCCACACATATACACACACATATATAAACACACACTTTCCACCACGCTTCCAAAGCTCTGTCGTCACCCCAAATCTGCCCAACCACGCTGAGAGTCAATTAACATCACGGGGTAGGGGGAGGCAGCCGATGGTGAGGTGCGTTTGCTGCTGGGCTCAGGGGCTCGAGGCAGCGGGAGTTTCCCATCATGCTTCGCCCCGAGCATCTCCCCAAGGAGGCGCCGAGGGCCCTGCTGCTGCTCTTACCGCAGGGCTCGGGAGCGCTGCTGCTCTCGCAGCCGCAGAAAAGGCTACATTGCTCGCCTCTTCCTCTCGCAGCCATGTCTCCCTCTCTCTGTCTTTTAAATCATCCAGGAACTGTGGCCCAGATTGAAAGGGGAGCGCGCCAATGAGAGAGAGAGAGGGACGAGGAGGTTGGCAGATAGGGTGGGGCTAGCTCGGGCTTGCGCCTCTCCGCCAAATCGGGCGCGAGCAAAGCGCGGAGCGAAAGCAAAGCTGATCTTGCTGCTGCAGCAAAGAGGTCAGGTCTCCCTCGGGCATTGAAATTCCGCTCAGGCTGCAGCAGCAAGCGGAAGGCGCCTCTCTCCTTCGCCTGGGGGGGGGGGTAGAGGCAAGAGAGCGTCTGTTTGCAGCCAAGGAAGAGCTTTTGCACTGTTTTTTTACAACAACAACAACAAATAATGATAATAATAATAAAGCAGTCCTGTGGCATGCTCTTCCAAGAGAGATTGGCAGGCGCCTTCTGTTTCCACCTTCAAATGCTTGCTGAAAACTTTCCCATGCCGTCAGGATTATTATTATATTAGAATCATAGAATTAGAGTGTTGGAAGTGACCATGAGGGTCATCTAGTTCAACCCCTTTTTGGATCAGGAATCTTTTTGCCCAACAGGCTCGAACCCACGACCCTGAGATTAGGAGTCTCTTGCTCTGCTGACTGAGCTATCCTCAGTATATTATTATTATTATTATTATTATTGGTTTATTAAATAAAACCATACCCCAATGTGATTTATGAAAAACAGTAAAAACAAACAAACTCAAGAACAATAAATACATTTAAAACAAGACTACCACAAGTGTCTACCTGTTCTGGTTTTAGTCTTGTTTTAAATGTATTTGTTGTTCTTGGGTTTATTTGTTTTTACCGTTTTTCATAAATCACATTGGGGTATGGTTTTATTCCTCTGGAAAAAGCCTGTTGGACCAAAAACGTCTTCATTTGTTTCTGGAAAGTGCAGGTAGTGGGGGCCTTTCAAACCAGCTTTAATACAACTAGAAAACTTAAGCCTTAGGAATGTTGTGTGAATTTGAGACAGCCATTGCACATGTGCAGATGACTCCTTCATGAATAGGAGTTCCTGGGGCAGGGAAACCAAAAAAAGGTCATGCGCATCAGGCGAAGACCTGCCCACCTCCTCTCTAATGTGCACAACACCAAAAACATGGCTTTAAATGTAGAAGAGCAAAAATGGCCTCCCAGCATTGTAAGCCATAAATGTGAACACAACATAAATGCAAATGTCTAACAGTAATGCTAAGCACTGGTTGCAGGAGCTAAATCCCAATTTAACAGCACCTAACTACTGATATAACGTGCTCAGGATTTTGCTACTATGTGGCTGCAATCCCAAGCACACTCAGGGTATGGTCCCAAGCTTAAGGCACAAGAAGCCACCACATAGCTGAAGTTAAGCAGTTGTGGATCTGGTCAGTACCTGCATGGGAGACTGCCTGGGATCCAAATGTGTGCCAGTAAATAAACGAATAAAAATAAATAGGGAGACAGCTCCCTTGAACTTAATTGGTCTGCTTCTATCTATTGGTCATGCTTTCAATCGTGATTTAAATGTCCTTTCCAGGTGGTTTCAGCGGAGCCTTTTGAGAAGCTCCATAAGATGGGGGACACTTAATAATAATAATAATAATAATAATAATAATAATAATTTATTTCTACCCCACCCATCTGGCTGGGTTTCCCCAGCCACTCGGGCAGCTTCCAACAACAAATTAAAAATACATTAAAACATTTATCCATTCCCTATCATCTCTGGGGCTTATATGCCCCCCAGTCTCCCAAGTTCTCTCAACCCAGGGGTATCAAAACTTCTGCAGAACAACAAGGCAGCAGTAATTTCAATGAGCCAGATAGGAGGGGAAGCCTGATTCCTAATCTCTGCTGCAACCTAGATGCTAACCGTCATGCTTAGGTTATTATGCACCTGGGTTTCTGTTCCCCTAATGCCTCTCTGCCTGCTCTTTGTACTGCCTTGGGATCATAGAGAATAGAAACATTCTGGACCAGCAGGGGGAGATAGCTGCATCTGAAACAAAGCGGGAGAATTATACTTCAAGGATATCTTTACATACATTAAGTAAACTAGAAACACCACCCCCACTCGCCTTTCCCCCCTCCACCTCTTCCCCCCCTTTTCTTCCTAATGTAACCCTAATGTCTCAACAAATGAAACTGACCTATGGAAACGTAACTTGAAAAAAGAGACATTGTGCATACCTTTGTAAACCAAGAAAACTTTAATAAAAATATTTTAAAAAACAAAACTCAGCCTTGGAAGGTAAGAACATAAGAGGAGCCTGCTGAGTCAGGTTAATGGCCAGCATCCTGTTTTCACGGTGCCCAGCCAGAGGCCTGTGAGAAGCCTGCAAGCAGGACACAAGTGCAATAAAGTTGTTTTAATTTAATACAGTATATAATGCAGACACATCATAGGTTCAAACTGCCAGTCAGGATTATATAAATCTCACCTCCATTCCGAGTTTACTAAGAGCTGCAATGATTTCCTCCTGTCACAGTAGTATAGTTATGAGATTGGACGTCTCATACTCGTATTCGTCTGAATGTCATATTTTGGTTCCCCCTCAGGACTGTAGCTTTATATCTATAAAGTGGGATTTTGTAGAATGGCACTTCCAGCTGACCTGTTTATTCATCCCCATTTGTTGGTAGGGAGATTAGATGATGTTTGTGAGAACAACCCCAAATTTTCCATTGCGTTTTCCCCATCACTTTCCGTATCACGAAAAGTCCAGCCTTATGGTGGATGCAGGTTTTTGTAGGCAAGGCCTCTCTGCAGACTGTAATTGCATGGCCAGAGATTTCTGATATGTGATTGAATCCCACCCTAAAATGTGACAGTCTGAAAGCGTGTTAAGAAGAGGCAATGGTCAGACTTTGGCTGCATATACACATTAGCAGCTTCAAGCTTCTTTTCTTCTTCAATTCAAAGCTGGCTTGGAGGTAGGAAACACATCCACATGAAGCATTTCATTAAACACTTTTAAAACAGGATACAGGATAGATGTGGATTGTGGTTAATGTCATGTGTACATCGCGCCCCAAATCAGCAGTGGGAGCACATTGGATGCAGAGCAAACAGCCTTTGTTAAGTTAAAGGCACTAGCTGGGACTGATAAGTATCTCCTTGCAGGACTAAATAATACAGCAATTACTAACTGGAGATGCTAACAGAAGGCATGCCTCCTCTGCCCCTCCCCTGACTAGAGGTGATGTCATTATAAGAAAACAAGAGACCAGGAGCTGGTTTTGTCTTGAACCTCAGCTGGCCTGAATCCAAAGCTATGGCTTTGAAGGATGCCCTAGAAATAGTAAGAATGTTGTGGCCCACAGGCGCAATTTTGCATCAGGTTCTGGTAGACTTTGTATAAAAACAAATATAACATTTCAGGGGATAAGGTCTGATGTCAAGTGGTTGGGGGAAGGCATCAAGAGCAAAAAAGTTTAGTAACAGGCCAAGGTCTCTCACACACATACACAGCAGTCAAGTTCGCAGCAAGGAAGCGGTCAAGAAGCTGGAGTAAGGAAATTGTTCTAGCAACTTTCTTCTTCGTTCCTGTGAAAAAAGGCTTGTTGATCACAGTGGGACTTCCTTTGGGGAAAAACATGCATAGGGTTAGGCCAGGCTTTCCAGAACAAAGACCCACTGCTTCAGATAACTTCTGCAGCTGCTGCGTGAGAATTATATTATAATAAATTCAACTCCTGATAAAGGGCACTGTTTATTTGCCTATTCTCTCTCCCCGTGAACTACCAGCCATTTATCATACCTTCAGCCTTTTGTTCTTTTGTTCTTGTCAGTATTCCAAACATTGTTAAGCCTTCTTGTCTCTTGACAATGTGCAAAGGTCGCATTCAGTGCTATTCATAGTAGACACTCTGAAGTTAAGGGATATGACTTTCAACGGGTCTTCGTTGAATGGATGCAGCCCTTGTGTGAACAGTACAGAAAACTGGTCTAGCATTCAATTCATTATGGAAAAAAATTAGGGGGAGGGGATGTGTTTAAGGATTGGGCTTAACAGGCTCCCGTACAGTCAAGGGACACTCCTGCCCCAGCTAGCGCCAGAGCACATATCCTCTCCCCCCAACTCATGTCATACTTTGTGCTCCAGCCAGAGATTGGTTAGTTGCCATAGCAACCTCTGCACGACATCCAAAGGACAGCTCTAAGAACCATCAGGGTCTACTTAGGCAAATTCCAAGTCAGTGGATATAATTTTATAGACCCACATAAACACATCAGGTCTACTTAGACAAATCCCAAGTCGGTGAATATTTTACGCACATATTATATATATATATATGCACGCGTTTCAAAGACTTCCTACGTCTTTTGCAACACAGACACACACACCCCAACCTATTGCATCACCGCACAGAAATCCTAGCAATGCTTTGCAGAACAGAAAAGACACAGTCGGCTGGAGTAGGCGGTAAGGAAAAGACCACTCGGTTTCAGAGAGAGAGAGGGGGGTGTTTCGTAAAGGAGCAGAAGGTGGGAGGGAAAGGGCAGGCCCCCCCGCCTCCTCGTGACAAAGGGACCAATAGAGTCGCGCCAGACGTAGGCTGAGCTTTTCTTTTTCTTCCTTTCTTCTCCGCCAGGCAGCGAAGGGGTTAAAAGCAGGATCTGCTCTGACTGATCATTTTCAGCGAGGCTGTGCGAGCAGGACCGCATGAGCAACTGCAGCAGCAGCAGCAGCAGCAACCGGCTACATCAGCCTCAAACCTTTTCCTTTCTCTTTCCTTTGGACTTTTACCAATCGGCTCCTGGGAGCGGATCGGAGCAGCTGCTTTGAATGAGAGAGTCGTCTCCTTGGGGATCTTAAGTCTATATCGGTGAGGGGGGAGCATTATCGGTATTACTATTAAATTTAAATATATCCCTATATATTATTATTTGTCCGGATCCCATCTTTGCATTTGCCCACCATCCCTGGAATTGTGAGAGAGGAGCCTCCCCCCCTCCCCGCGCCCCACTCTTCATAAAGAAGTTTTTCCCCAACAGAAATGGCAACGAAAATCGACAAAGAGGCGTGCAGAGAAGCGTACAATCTCGTGAGGGACGACGGCACGGATGTCAACTGGTAAGGCGCAGCTTTAGACTTGGGGTGAAAATAATAATGACGATTAAAGACCAGTGCAAATATAACAAAGAGACAAAAGAAAGGTATCTTGGGGGCGGGGGGGGGGGCGGGCGAGCGATCTCTTAAGCTTTAAAACCCAGCAGTACCACACCCCTTGGCTTAAAGACTGAAGCAGACGCCCGTGGACTTCAGCCTTGCTCCATGTGCCCATATCCTTGACCGGTGGATATAATCACTGGCAAAAAGCATGCAGTTATGATGAATGCCCCAGAGGTTAGCATTAGGCCGCTTATACACTGGTGGGGAAGATTGGAAGTTGGGAATCACATTACTCATCCCCCCCCTTATGTCTAGTGTGTGATCCAGTGTGTGTATGTGTGTGTGTAGGAATTTTTTTTCATAGTCGAAATGCAAATACCTCCCCCACATATTTTACGATGCTCTTTCCTCCCCCCACTTCTCCAAGGGTGACGTTTAAGTACGAAGGATCCACCATCGTCCCAGGGCACCATGGAGCCGATTATGAGGAGTTCATCAGGCAATGCACAGGTAAGAAGACGGCAGATGTACTGTACTTTCTTCCGAAGATGACCTCATAGGATTGGGGGTGGGGAAAGGAATACAAAAGGCTGAATGAGAGGTGAGCTGTGGATTGCAAATGGTTTTTACATCCCCCAAATGTCTCATTCCTCCAAGATAGTTTGAATGTCTGGCTTTTTACATGATCTCACCCTGGATGTCTAAGCAGCCCAGTGGAATGATCTCATTCAGCTAATCCCTCTTTTGTTTCACCCTTGGCTTAAGTTGGGGAGGGGATTCCTCCCCCCCTCCAAGAACAATTTCTTCCTTTCTTCAGGAAATGTTCTCCTTTTCATTGCTGGAGTGTAAATGGTGAATTCTCTTTACTAGGGGCATCTTTTTCTTGTAGGGGAAAACATCTTAAAATATAATGCAATTAAAGTGTAAAGCAAATGGAGTTTTGTTTTAAACCTCCCCCCCCCAAAAAAACTTCAAACTAATGATGGCAGCTTTCATTACTTTTTTCCATTGGTGACCCCCTCCTATCTCTCTTTTTGGTCTTTTTAAAGTTATAAACTTTCACCCAAGAACCAGCAATCTTTTGGGGATGAAAAGGCAATGAATGTAGAATCCAAAAATTGTTGTATTAATTAATTCAGCAATCCACCCATTTTATTTATTTATTTGATTTTTTTAAAAAAAAAACCCTGATCATCTCCCCCCCCCCCCCCGCCAAAGAGAGAGAGTGTGTGTGTCTCCCAGAATCCTATGAATCACAGTGATGCCTTCAGGCTTACAATCTAAGAAGACATGCCATAAAAGGAAAATGAGTTGGGAAGGAGAAGGAAATAAGCTTTGTTACAAGAGGCTGGAGGATGGTGGGCTTTTTTGTTTTGGGCTGTTGTTGTTTTCTTACAGGAGGTTATACCTTCTTGTTTGCATCCCTTGTGTGCTTATGGAGCAGCTCCCTCTGTTGAAAACACCACCAAAGTCCTAAGCACACATTCCCTCTCTTTGTGCATCTGTGCGTACATGGAGCTCTGTGTGAATATTTTGTGGCAGTGGTGGGTTCTGGAGCAATAGAAAGCTCTGAAAATGAAACACACTGCAACTTTTTAAAATAAAAATAATTTCATACATTTATACCCCAACTTCCTGTTACCACGCCTCCATGTAAGCTTATAAAACCAGCATATTGCTGCAGTGCTAAGGAGCAGAGCCCACTAGGTGCAATGGAACTTCCTTCTGAGTAAACATGCATAGGGTTGAACTATTTATAAAATAAACAAGAAACTATTTATAAAAGAAATAAGGAACTGTTTATAAAAGAAATAAAATAGTTTATTTATAAAATATTTATAATATCATTTTTTAATTAAAAAAAACCCCCTAAAATCTATCCAGCTACACAATCCACTAAAAGAAATGGCAGAAGCAACGGGATAGCAATTAGGGTAACACAATTATCTATAAGATGCTCAAGAAACCAGTGGATTGTCCACACTTCTGCTTGTCCTGTGTCTGGAACTTGAGAGGTTTTCCGCTTGTCCCACTGCTTTCCTCCAGGAAAACTCTTTACTGCTGAATCTGAGCAAACGTCAATCCGCTGAAAACCCCACTGACATTTCCTCCAATTCTGCAGTAAAGAGTGGGTTTTCCTGGAGGAAAGCGCTGGGACAAGCGGAAGTGTGGACGAGCCCTTTGTCAATTTTGAGTTGGCATATAAAAGATAGATCGGTCAATGCTAAATGAATATTTCTGGGCAGCTATTGCTTGACCAGGGCACCACATGGAAAAGGCCCTTTCCCTGCTCCTCAGCAAATGCACCTGTATTAATATTAGTGTTCTTAATTTGGTTTATTTAATTACTCCAGGGTACCTAGAGTGTATAGAAGAGAAGGCAGTCCTTCAGATACCATTTAGAGCTAGCTGGAATGTTGGGCCCACAAGATACTGGGGAAGTGATTCAGACAAGTTGCTTTGTATGCATTTCAGATCAAAAGACTTGTGTCTTAAAATACAGCTGGACACAGTCTTAGAGAGCGTGTCAATTGCAATTCTATGAACTTTTGGGTCACCTGCTTCCAGGGGGCTTTTTATATATAAATGTGGCTGTGAAACGGAGGGCCTCACAGACTTCTGGGCAGCCTTCTAAGGGCCACATGCCAGGGGTGGGGGTGGGCCAGAAGCAAATGTGAGCACATCAACCAATGGAAATTGTACAGTAGGCTGGTTTCTAGGCACATGCAACACACCCCTCTTCCTCCTCCATCCAGGTAAGCAAGAAACATTATCAGAGTTCAAGGACACATTCCACCATGCAGAAGCCATTGGGGGGCTGTGAGGGGTGTGGCCTGGAGGCATTTCTGAGGACCAGGGAAAGAGGCCTAGTGGGGCACATTCAGCCCTGCAATATTGGCTAGATACCAAGACACATTGCACCAGGACGTCTAAAATGGAAAGAAAGAATAACGTCTTGCTTTGCAGAGGAAAGTGAAATTGGAACAGACAGTCCAGCGGATTCCTTATCTAGAGCCCTATACGAGTGTTCATGTGTGGCTCAGAGTGCTGGGGAGAAAGCAGGTGTGTGCCTGCTAGCTCTGCTCCCCACCTGGTATTCCAGTCATCCTACACAACTTGGAGGGCAGAGAGCTGAAACAGGGAACAGCCTGTACTTGCAGAGGCTCCCCCTACTCATTCTATAAGACTGGGGTTCAAAAATGTGATACCATGAGTGACAGGAGGCTTCTCCACTGCAGCAGCCCTCCAACTTGTGAAGGACAACGTGGGTGGAGCCAGAACATTTGTGAACACCAGAATAGGGATTTTGTATCAGTCACACATCAATCTGCAAGGAGGAGTGAGCTGTTTTGTTTGAGTCACACACATGTAAGGATCACTGAGTCACACCATCTTTGATTTGGCTGGGAGAAAACTGATTTGGATTTGCAGGTTGGGCAACAGAGCTGATGTGGTCTTGGGAGCCGCATGGCTCAAGTGTGTGCTTCCTTCTACAGTATCATAATACCTACTCAGCCTACATGTCTGTAGGAAGATGGAGTTGTATACGATGCTTGTACTCAGAGCAGACCCACTGAAATTCATAGGCATGAGACTTAATGTAGGGCACTTCCAGATTGTGACTTTTTTCAGGTGGGATAGTCAATCACACAGGTGATTTGGGTGGTGTTGCACAAGAAACCTGCTTCCTTTTTTTGTACTGGAAAGCATGGAATGCAACATTGTCTAACCCCCTGCACACAAATCAGAATGCATATTCAATAAACAGGTTGTCTGGAAGTGACCTGAAGTCCATCAGTTTCAATGGGTCCACTCTGAGTTAAAACTTAGTTGGAATACAACCCATTATTGCAAAAGAGATGTTCACTCTCCAGTGTTTTCTCCTTTCCAAAGCCTGCACAGAACTTCATATTGCTTGCAGAAGGGGCGAACACTTGCACCATGAAGCAAACTTGCCCACAAAATTATCCCAACCTCCAAGTATTGCATCTTGAGCCTGAACAATTTCCTTATTAACTTCCTCTGTTTATTTGCAGAGCTGTACATAGTGTTTGGCTCTGTTTTTTTCCATCTGGGAGGCAGTCAGTGGTTCCTGCTTGTCTTTAGATTTAGAATAACAAAGCAGAAGCAGAATGGCTCAGCAGGAAAGCAGAAAAGATGTGTGTGGCTTTGTCAGAGAATGAATGACTTTGTATGAATCTTTTGAGGAATGGCTTCATGTGCATCTGTTTATTCAGGCAGGCGGTTGGGTTTCCCCCTCCTTTCCCCAGCCAATAACCTTTGGAGGGGGTGCCACCCCCTTCTTATGGAGCATCAGTTCACATGAACAGAGACAAACAGCACAACCTTGCAAGGAGAATTTGCCTCCCAAATGCTGTGTGTTTCCTGTGAGGAAATGTTTTCATTCCGAGGGCCACATTCAATTCTAGGTAACCTGCTGTGGGCCACATGCTGGTGGTGGGTGGAGCAAGTGGCAAAGTGGGTAGAGCAGGGGTCAGCAAACTTTTTCAGCAGGGGGCCGGTCCACTGTCCCTCAGACCTTGTGGAGGGCCGGACAATATTTTGAAGAAAAAAATGAACAAATTCCTATGCCCCACAAATAACCCAGAGATGCATTTTAAATAAAAGGACCCATTCTACTCAAGTAAAAACACACTGATTCCTGGACCATCCCAGACTGACAGGGCAATTGGGCCGGATCTGGCCCCCGGGCCTTAGTTTGCCTCCCCATGGGGTAGAGTAACAAATGCCAATTTCCCCATGGTGCAGGAGGGTAGTTTCAACACACACTCAAACATGCATGAGGAGAGAGCGAGGAAGTTCCCCATGGCACAGCCAAAAATCATTGGATACTGTCCTGCACCTACTTTACTGTTTTTTTCTTTGGGGGGAATTGGGGTTGTGGTCAAAGTAGGCCCTCAAACTGAAAGTTAGGCACTCCTGGGTCAGGCCATTAGGTATAGCATGTGCTACAATGAAAAATCATAGACTCATAGGATTGCAGAGTTGGAAGGGACCCTAAGGGACATCTATTCCAAACCCCGCAATGCAGGAAGTACAGCTGAAGAATCCCTGAAAGATGGTCATCCAATCTCTGTTTAAAAACCTCTGGTGAAGAAGTGTCCACTGTCAAACAGCTCTTCCTGCCAGCTTTCTAATCTTTAGTTAGGATTTCCTTTCTTGTACTTTGAATCCATTGGTTCAGGTCCTACCCTCTGGAGCAGCAGAAAACAAGCTTGCTCCATGTGACAGCCCTTTAGATATTTGAAGATGGCTCTTGCATTCTACTTCTCAGAGCATGTTACATCCATGCCTCTCATATGCACAGCATCTGTCTTTCTGGTGGCTTTCAGATGGGTTCCCTCCCCCCCCCCCGAAAAATAAAGGAAATGGCTAGAATGTGTTTGAAGCTAATGTGCAATCAACCCCATCCTGTTTCAAGAACTCCTCTTGCAGGGCCTGGATGGCTCTCTGTGGGCTCCTTGAGCCTTAACTAAGGATTTAATTCAAGGCTTTTGAGCCTGCTCCCTTTGGTCCATGAGGGATGGCATCCCTCCAGAGGCAGCATTAATAATGGGCATCTGTGAGCCATCAATCCACTTTGAAACTAGGGAAGGGTGCATTTCAGAAACGTCTGCGATAACCTTCAATGCCTTTCCATCATCCACTTTTTGTAAAAATAACACTTTAATGCACTTATAATTGAGGTTAAAAATGAGGTCACTAAGTGGGAAAAGATCTGATTTTATAGGGCACATTTAAAAAAAGAAAAGAAAAGAAAGGACAGGGATTAGCCATCACTTGACATCTCCAGATTCAAGCCGTATTCTTATAGAAGGCATATTTTTTGGCCAACTTTATTGAGATATAGCAGATTGTTATGGCTCTCTGTTTGAGTGGGAGGTTGGCCTGGTTGCAAGGCTCATTTGATTAAAAGCTTTTCAAATGACTGAAAAAAAATCATTCATTTTTTAAAAAAGTTATCCTGCCACACCTTCCCTCACCTACCTGGGAGTGAGACTCATTGCAATGGATCCAGATTCACTCAGTTGACCTTAAGTCAACTCATTGATTTCAGCAGACACTAAGTCATGTGTTACTTAATACTAGGACTTAGAGACATTCAATGAAGCTGAATGTTGGAAGATTCAAGACAGACAAAAGAAAATACTTCTTCAAACAGTGCCTAGTTAAATTATGGCATTTGCTCCTATTGGATGTTGTGATGGCTACCGAATTGGATGGCTTTAAAAGGAGGTTGGACAACCTCCTGGAGGATAAGGCTATCAATGGCTATTAGTCATGATTACTGTGTAGTGCCTGCACTATCAAAAGTATTATGTTCTGAATACCTGTTCTATACTGGGAAGCGTGGATGGGAGAGAGTGATAAGCACTTATGTCCTAGTCATGGGCTTCCCACGGGGCATCTGGTTGGCCGCTGTGAGAACAGAGTGCTGAACGAGATGGGCTATTGGCCTGATCCAGCAGGGATCTTCTTATGTTCCTAACTTGTCCCATTGCGTTCAAAGGGAACTAAAGGTTTTAACTCGATGGGGCATTGGAAGAAGCTTCCCATACAGACGTTTGCTTTTTAATTATTTCATTTCTGTACTGCTTGTCAAAAAAGAAAAAAGAAAAGTGAAGTGGTTCACAAATAATAGCATAAAATAGATAATACACACAACTGAAACCAGCCTAGCTGAGAGTAATAATAATAATAAAAGAACACCAAGATATATTGCGTTTCGTAGACCATTCAATCAGTTAGTGGTCTTTGTGCCCTCCTTAGGTACTGGATAGCTCAGCTGGTTAGTGAGTGATGCTGATAACGCCATGGTTGCAGGTTCGATCCCCATATGGGACAGCTACAGATTCCTGCATTGTAGGGGGTTGGACTAGATTATCCTTGGGGTCCCTTCTAACTCTATGATTCTATGATTTCTGCCACACCAGCACAGTGACCCATAGCCCACAGTGAATAGCTGCACCTCCAGCAATACATTGCCACAAAGAGGGTGCCACAACCAAAAAAGCCTTCACTTGGGCCCAGGACTGTGACCACAAAGAGGGCTCCCTCCACAGAACTGAACTGGTGGACTGGCAAGTACTGAGAGAGGTGCTGGTCTATCAGTTATTTGGGCCAAACCATTTAGGGGATATTCAGCTGCTGCCAGCCAAGTGGGCCAGTTCAGCAGATAGTCAGGGATGTTGTTAGGGTGTGGTACATGGACCCTGGAACTCCTGGCACTTCTGCCTCCTTTTTATTTTTATTTTTAAAAAGCTTTGCTTACAGGGCCACTTCTGAAAGTCAATCTAAACTTAGTCTCTGTATTTATAAAAGAACCTGCGCAAATTGTATGCAAATTCGTGCCATGGTCGTGTGCCCTTGGGTCTTCTAAGGGCCTAGCAGTGCCCTTGATGCTCAAGAAGCAAAGCAGACCTCAGTCACTCCGAAATGACTAGCTAAGATCTTTGGCCGTGTGGCTTGATGAGGATCCTCTCTCACTCCTAAGGTCTGCAGCGGAAAGCTTTTGGCAGGAGGAAAATATGCAAGGGTTAATGGTTTACCCTTTGGTTTCTAATCTTCTCCCAACTTCTGCTTCTGCTGCCAGCCTCCCTTTTTCATGTTTACTTTAAAGAGTAAGCCTGTAAGAAAGAAAGAAGGAAGAAGAAGAAGAAGCAAGATGAACCCTCCTTATGGCAATGATTGTGGTTGCGTTTCTCATTGACAGGCTGTTCCTGTCTGCCTGCAAATCATTTCCCACCTCCACCCCCTCCTTTTCTCTCTGCCTTTGCAAAATGCACCTCCCTAGGCTGTCAGGCAGATGCCATTTCACTTGTTCCTCTGCTTTCCCAGTGGCCATCTGGAATTGGGTTTTGATTCTTCGTAAAATGCAAAATCTCTCATTGCAAGGCCTTCTTCTCAGACATGTTGTTTCCACGAACACGCAAACGTAAAGGCACGCACGCACACACTTTATTTAAAACATTTATTTCTTTGTAAGATTTCTTAACATGCCTTTCACTACGAGGTCCCAGGGCAGGCTGCAACAGTTTAATCTTATGCCTGTAAAAACAAGTACAGCCCTTCCAAGCAACAGTACAGGATGATACCATATCAGAGGTGGGCAGCTATTTTGTGTTTTTACTAGGACCCACCCTCCACCAATCAGAACCAGTGTAAAATAGAGGCTGGTGTGGGTGGGAGGTGCATACACTTACAATGAACCATCAATATACTTCTGAACCACCTCTCAGTCCTTTCACACAAAAAGTCCACTCCTGGTTTTCCTCCAACCTTTCTTTTAGCACTTTGATTTATTAGTATAGTATTAGTTATTGCTTTTGTTAACCTTTTAGAGTGAGAAATGCTTGCCTGGTCTTCTGTAAATCACCAGGCCGGCAATCTTAGCTACTCTTACTTGGCAGTAAGCCCCATTTAACATAGTGGCACATACTTCCAAGTAAACCATCTTAAGACGGCACTATGTTTTTTTTACCTGTCCTTGCACTAGAACAGGGGTAGCCCATCTGATGTCCTCCAGATGTTGGACTCCAACTTGTACCAGGCAGCATAACCAGCATTCAGGGATTATGGAAACTGTAGTCCAGAGGGTACCACATTGGCTGCATCTGCACTAGAATATTTCAGGTTTATTGGAATAAATTGTGATCCTGGGTGGTTGAGAATTGACCTGCCCACTCAGGAAACCAGTTTGGTGGGGGGGAAATGCCACCTACTGATAAGTGAGCAATGAACTTTGGAAGAGCTGATTAAGTTGTGTGTCTTTTAGGTGTGAATTGCATGGTTACTCACTCGTGTGCAAAGTAGCCCCAAAGAGTCTGCTTAGATGTCACTAGTCTGCAATCCTCAATACATCCGCTAGGGACTAAGTAAGCCTCATTGGACGCAGTGGGACTTACTTCTGGGTAAAGACACATTGCCCTGTAAGTCTCTTGGTCACATCACCACCATACATTTAAAGTGCATGGCTTCCTCGAAAGAATCCTGGGAACTATAGTTTGTTAAGTGAATTGTAGCTCTGTGAGGGGTGTGTGGATGTGAACAATGCCTGCTCATTAGTAGCAGAAGAACCTTTTGTTGACGAGTCTTAGGGCTTTTCCACACACACCAAACATTTAAAGCACAACCAGCGCCTAACCCACCTTGCAGGTTTGTTGTGTGATATATATTTTTAAAAAAATTCTAAAAGGAATCTGGGGGGGAGGTGTCTTCTATGGCTGCAGTCACACAGCAGGTCTCCCCCATTTTCACAATGTTTCCCTAATTCGAGCTCCCCCAAATTCCAGAAACACAGTAGCGTATCATGCTAGTTTAATGCTCATTTCTGCGTTGTTCGTTCCCAAATAAAATCTGTGTGCAAAGAACACATAAATGAGTGCTAAACTTGTGTTCACTATGTTGCTAGAAGTGCCCATTATGTTCTCTGGAAGCTCAAAAAGAATATGGAAGTTCAGAATTAGGTAAACATCTTGCAAAGTGAATACTGTAAACTGCTGTGGGAAGGCAGCTTGCATTGGGTCCATTCATCCTGGCATTATCTGTGAGACTTCCCATTTTTTGTTTATTTTGGACCTCAGCAATGTATTTTCAGCAACTGGCAAGGAAAGTGGCTTACCTCCCCTCACCCCGCCTGCTTTTTATTTTTTGCATGATGACAGTGGCATTTCCTCTTTCAAAGGGAAGTTGCTTTCTTACAAAAATACTTTGTTGCAAGCATTGCAGAAATGCCAGCCAACTGTGGAAGAGTGAATTAAACTCCTTTAAGGGCTGGTGGTGGGGAGGCTGGCACAGGGTGTTTGGGGCAGGTTGGGGGGGAGGGAGAGGCTTCCATTAGGAATTTAGAGTGAGTTTAAGAAGAAGGTTGAGACTGCAGTCCTGCCCCGTTGAAACCAATGGAACTTACTGCTAAGAAGACTTGCATAAGATGGCACTGAGAGGTGGTAGCAGGGGGCTGCAGTATCCTTCAAATATGTGAAGTGTGTCTGTGTATGTTTCTGCAAGAGCCTGTCACACAAACCTTTGGTTTTCTAACCTTCTGGGAAAGGGGTGGGGAATCTTTTTCACCCCGAGGGCCACATTCCCTTGTGGGAAGCTTTCCGGGGGCCACATGTTGCTGGTGGGTGTGGCTAGAGGAAAAAAGATGTCGCTCTTTGTAGGCTACACTGCACAACTGCATCGCGCATTGAAAGCACATTCAATGCACGTTGCTTCCCCGACCCAAAGAATCCTGGGTACTCTTATTTTCCCTCTCAGAGCTACAGTTCCACTTGTGACACATCATGCCATCTTTAGCATATGTTCTGCCGGGGTGCAAAGATCCACCCAGCCCCCCCAAATTTAGTTTAGCTCCCAAATTAACTTTTATTATGCTTATGTCATATGTAGTAGAGACCTAAGTACTAAGTAGTTAGTCAAAGAAAATGCTGACAATTAGCGGGGAAAAAACATTATTTTTTTAACGATTTCTCTAAATGACTTTGAACTGTAAGTGATGAAATTAAAATGCACCATTGTGAATGACAAGTGCCGCCACTGGTGCGGCGCCAGTACATCTTTGGTCAATGAGCGCACAAAGTCGAAAGTCCTTTAGTGAAACAGTAGGTATACATTTTGTTAATACCCAGGTATATATGTATTTTGTTTTTCTAGCTCGATCAAAATTATTTATTATTTCATAACAGGTAGATAGTTAAGAGCTTAGGTGGCTTCAGCGGCGGGCGTCTGGCATCCCCCCCCCAGAATTCGGTGCCCTGGTGCCCTGCACCCCTTGTACCCCCAGGCAAAGACAGCCCTGACATCATGTACTGTATTCAGATGGTGTCAGAGCCAGAAAACGGATCCTCCAAAGAGGAGCTTAGCACTTGGATAGATTCACAGAGCAATAGGCAATCCTTAAGGAAGGGTTGGGGAATCTGCGGCCTGTTGGACTCCAGCTCCCATCATCCCAGGCTGCTGGCCATGTTGGCTGGGGCTGATGGGAGTTGGAGTCTGACATCTGGTGGGCCACAGGTCCCCCCCCCCGTCCCTGACTTAAGGTATCCTAGGTCTAGGCTCATTGCATCTGCAAGCTGTTTGGTTACACATTCTTCAGCTAGGCTTATTTTACTCCACCAGCTTTGTAACCTTTTTTTCATTTTTTCTCCCCATCCAGATGACATTCGGTTGTTTGGCTTCGTCCGATTCACTACTGGTGATGCCATGAGCAAGAGAGTCAAGTTTGCCCTGATCACATGGATCGGTGAGAGTGTCAGTGGTTTGCAGAGAGCCAAAACCGGGACAGACAAGACTTTGGTTAAAGAAGTAGTACAGGCAAGTTTAACTATTACTAATATTAGTCGTTGTGTTGTTGTGTTTCTATACCGTAAACCACCCTGTGACCCTTGGATGAAGGGGGCGGTATATAAATTTAACAAATAATAAAAATAAAAATAGTAGTAGTAGTAGTATCCCTACTCGTGCGCCTTTCACAGCAGCCTGTATTTACATATGTGTAAGAGGATAAGTTTGCATGAACATCCTCATGCATGTTCTACATATTAGCCTTGATGTTCCCCCTCCACTTAGTAATAGGCCCCCTGGATCTCCAGGTCCTGGAAGAGTATCCATTTCCCCTTTCTCTCTTCTCCATGCTTTGTGGGGAGCATTTGGCTTGACAGTGAAATTGAGGAGGCTAGAGCTATACTGGCAACTCGGAGTATCTTGCATTTGACAATGTTGAATTTTACATCTCCTGGTCATTCTCCTTTAGTCTCCAAAACGTATTTAAGTTACTTTATCTGCTGCTTCTTACCATGGCTTGGTAATGTGCATAATGGCAAACCATGGTTTAGCATTAAGTCACAGGCATGCATACTTCCCTCCTTTCCCCCTTTTCTACCAGGTCCATGAGAAGGAGATCAAGTGCTGCTACTTCTGTTTTGGATTAACCACAGTTTAATGTGACGACCGGACCCTAAACTGTGGCTAATCTTAGCTACAGTTAGTGAAAACAATCCAGCCTCACAAACTGTGGTTGGCTTGCTTCCACTAACCTCATTTAATACTTCTCCCAGTTCATATATCAAGATAAGCTTGTGACCACACCAGAGGAGGAAGAAAGGTGCAGACCCACTGTAACACTTCTAACATTGCTAAACCATGGGTAGTGAATGTGGTGACGTCAAGATGTTGTGGACTATAACTCCCATCAGCCTCGGACAGAGATGATGGGATTTGTAGTCAATTACATCTGAAGGATAATTTGTTGGCTAAACCATGGCTTGGTGTTACAAGTGAACACAGTTTGTTTTATTGTATTTTATTGTCATGTCATTTTATTGTCTTATGTCATTTTATTGTGTGGTGTTGTTGTTGCATGTTTGTATTTTTTGGATGCATTTTTCCCCAGGATGCAATTTTTAAAAGATAAATTCAGATTTCAAAAAACAGATCTCCTTACTATATATTTGACATGACTGCACACAATTCCATCTTTCCTGGATTGTTCTGGGCAAACCAGTGAGTGTCACTTGGCTAATCTTGTGCTGTCATATGAACAAAGGAAGCTGTCTTACACGGAGTCAAGCCATTGGTCTGTATAACTCAGCGTTGTCTGCCCTGACTGGCAGCAGCTCTCCCAGGTCTCAGGCAGGAGTCTTTCTCCCAGTCCTGGGAGAACTTCCATCAACCCTAGCCGGTGTGCCCAGTGGTCAGGGATTATGGGAGCCATAGTCCTGAACATTTGGAGGGTGCCAGGTTGTTTGTGTCCCTGCAGCCAACCAAAGGTCCATCTGATCTGAAGTTAAATCCGGTGCCTCTGAGTAAATTGCAAGGTAACCAGGCTTCCCTCTTTCTTTACCACTGAGTCATGGCCCTTTGATTCCAGAAGACTGGAAACACCCCAGATAATTTTATCTGACTGTGTGCAGGCTCCAGGGGCTGTTCTTCCAGTCCAAACTAATTAACAAGCGAGCAGCTTTTAATAGTTAACTAGGATATAGGAACGGCCTCCTGTTTGATGTTGGACGGAAACAGGAAAACAGTGGTGTGTGTGCCTAATCCTTTCCTGATGGGAGTTCATCCTCCCACAGAATCAGCTGCAGTTGCTAATAAGCACAAGACAACTTGTCATTATTTCTTTTAAACACATCAGGGGCAACTTTCAGCCAAAGCTTCCAATATTTTGGAATTAACACTATATGTTTGTAAACCACTCTTGTGATCCATGGGTGAAGGGAGGTAAAGAAACTTTATATATATATTTCCAAAAAACAGCAGCATCATTAAATACCTCAACCATTTAAAAGAAAGTAAAATCAAGTGTAACAATAAAGCAACAATACGACTAAAGTGAAACCAGCTGCAAAACAGCAAACAGTAGCAATAAAACAAGAAACCACCATTAATATCTGTTAAAAGTCTGGAGTGATAAACATGTAAGGGGAAGGGCTGTAGCTCAGTGGTCAGAGCACCTGCTTTTCATGCAAAAGGTCCCAGTTTCGGTTCCCAGCATCTCTCAGTAGGGCTGGGAGAAACCCTCCTCCCATCTGAAACCCTGGAGCAGTCAGTGTTGGCAGTACTGAACTAGATGAATGTCTCTGTATCAGGCAGATACTATGTTCCTATTCCTGAGATAGTGCTGAAAAGATTTAAAGAGTCAGTGCTGGTTGAGGACATTCTACAGCCAGGGCACCACCACTAACAAGGCCCTGTCTCCATTTGCCACTCAACTACTTATGGGACAAGCGGTAAAAACAGAATGCGATCTCTTAAGGGCCCTTCAGCAACTTCAGTCAAAAAGCTGCAGAGTGCCCAAGAACTTGTATCTTTTTATTTGGAATAGTCAAAGCATACCATCCCTATGGAATCTGCCTAGAGAACGAATGGGGGAACCTCTTTTAGCCCAAAGGGCAACCTTCCAGGAGGTGCTTGTTAGTGGTGGGTGAGGCCAGAAGAAAAGTAGGTGCAGTAATCATCTGGCCAGCAGGTGATATTCCAGTCATGCAAAAGCCACAGGTTTCTACACACTTGATGCCACCCACTTTTGCTACTGGTGATGCCACCAGAGCTTGTTTTACATAGCTGTTGTTTCGACGGAATGAAGGAAACAGAGGAAGTCCAGCGAAGCTGTGCTTGTATACACGGGACAGACGCCTTTCTAATTCAGAATGTGGCATTTGCACATGTTCTTAATAGCCACCCCCCCAAAAAAAACAAGACTTCCAGATTAAGGAACCGTGGCGTCCCTTAGCAATTCTGATTCATTGCAGCAGTCAGTGGATCAAATGAGAACTTCGGACGGAACATTTGCTGTCGGCTTCTCCACATCATTACACAGACTTTGCCTGCTGCTGCTGTTGTCTTTGTGAAGCGATTCAGGTTGTTGCTGCGTCCCGGCCTCCTGGCCTAAAATAAATGGCTGTGCTTGTTTGTGGTGCCCATACGCTTTGGAACAAACACAAAGGCGGCAATTCATTCCTGGGGCACAGCCGAGGTCAGGATGGGAGGACAGAGAGGTGGGGGCAGAGAGGCGAGCTGAGAGGCTCTTGTCCTCGGAATGCGTGTCTCATGCCTGGAATTTAAGAGGAGCTAGAAACAACGTCTGTGCATCAAACAGAGGAGAAGGATTTCACGAGAAGCTATGAGCGATGGTCCAGGGAAACTGACGTGACCACCTGCCTGGTGTCCTTGTAGCTTCTGATGCTCCAATGAACATGAGAACGGAGCCCTGCTGGATCCAATCAAGTGCCCCAACTAGTCCCACATGCTGCTTCCTATGGTAGCCAACCAGAAGTCTCTGGCAGGGCTTGTAGGCACATGATATGCAGCAAGGTCAGCAAGAGGCAAGGGCCATAGCTCAGTGGTACAGCATCTGCTTTGCATGCAGAAGGTCCCAGGTTCAATCCCTGGCATCTCCAGGTAGGGCAGGGAGACATATATTAATTTAATAATATTAATTTATTATTTATACCCCTCATCTGGCTGGGTTTCCCTGTCTGAAACCCTGGAGAGTCACTGCTAGTCAGTGTAGACAAGTGTCCTAAGTCCTGTGAGGACATTGTAGTGGTTGGGGGTCCAGATGAGGAAGAGTTGGAGGAGATCAATGTTTAAACCAGGCACTGAAAAACAAAATACTTGAAATATTGTACAACTGCTTAAGAGATTTTTTTTAAAAAAAATACTAAGCAGTTTATTTATAAGAAAATAAATAATAAATACTAGGATACAGATTTAACTGGCACCAGGAACTCATCAGGCCACATTGGCCAGGGAAGGGCATTTTTCAGCCATCGTGCCACTACAGAGAATGCTCCCAGTATCGGAGTTGCAGTCCAGCAACATCATAGGAAAATAGGAAGCTGCCTTATACCAGATCAGACCATTGGTTCATGTGGCTTAGTATGGTCTACACTGACTGGCAGCAGCTCTCCAGGGTTTCAGGAAAGGGACACTCCGAGCTCTACCTGGAGATGGCAGGGATTGGACCTGGGACCTTTTGCTTGCAATGCACATTCCTTGCCACTGAGTTAAGGGTAGGGGTGGGGACCCTTACCCTAATCTCAGGCACAGAAGGATTCCTATCACTGAAACGCTTGCACCGCCTCCCTTGATGAGCCTCATGCTTTGCTTTTGTCTCTTGCAGAATTTTGCCAAAGAGTTTGTCATCAGTGACCACAAGGAGCTGGATGAGGATTATATCAAGAGCGAGCTGAAGAAAGCTGGGGGTGCCAATTACGATGCACAGGCAGAGTAATTGGGGGGGGGGAATGCACTGTGCCTCTCACAGCCACCTGCCTGCATCCAGAAGGGGAGGGAGGGGGGAAAAGCACAATGTATCTTCAAAATCAACACCGGGAGATGAATGGAGGCCAAGTGGGAGGACCAGCCTCCTTCGTCTTCTGCACCTTCAGAGTCCCTTCCTGCCTCCCAAAGTGGACATTGATTTTTCATTCCATCCAGTGAAACATCTCCTTCATACACGATCTCTCCTTTTTACATTATTGGGTGTTGTTGTTTTTTAAAAAAGAAATTATTATTATTATTACTGCTTATCTTTTGCTTTTAACAAATGCTACATGGGTACTGGGCTCCATAACACATTGGCTCTGAGACTTTCTTGACAACAGAGCATGTTGACATGTTCCAATCTCAATATTTTGGCAGATCTGTTGTTGCTCTGGGAAGCCTGCAGTTGCAGCATAGGGGGGAAATATGCATTTTTAGTGAATTCGCACTCGACCTTCCAACTCCCGGACAGAAGTATTCCCAGGAGCAGTGCATGCAGTTAGTTAGGCACAGTCTGATCATATGCACACTTACTCAGAAGTAAATCTCATTGTGTTCAATGGGACTTGCAGTGCAATTCTATAATTGTCTGCTCAGAAGTAAGTCCCAATGCGTACAGTGGGGCTTACTCTTAGGAAAGTAGAATTGTAGAGTTGGAAGGAACCCTGAGGATCATCTAGTCCAGTCTTCTGCAATGCAGGAATATGCAGCTGTCCCATACAGGGATCAAACTTGCAACCTTGCCATTATCAGCACAAAATCCTAAGCAGGAAAGTAGATATAGGCAGCAATTCTAAGCAAACTTTATGGGGAGTAAGCTCTAGTGAAATCAGCGAGACTTCGGTTCAGGTGAATACAATTGCAGCCTTTAGTGTCCTATATGGAACATGTTCTACTGAGTTCAGTGGGTTTTACTCCCAAGCAAGTTTGCAAACGATTGCAACCTTACAGCACAAGCCTAAACATGTTTATTCAAAAGTAACTTCCTCTGAATTCAAGATGACTTATTTCTAGGCCCGTGTGTATAGGACCTCAGCTTTAGGCAGCAATCCTATGCACACTTAATTTACCTGGAAGAAAGCCCCAAGACACAGCAGGACTAACTTTGGGATAAACAAGCATAGGCTTGTGCTATTAGCAAGTAAGGAGGTTGGTGTTTTTTTGTTTTTAAAGTACATTTTAAGTACAGACCCCAAGTCTGAGATCAACTCAAGCCAATGCCAGTCAAAATCACATGTTGAATCGAAATATCCAGAAGTGTTGAGTTCTAGTCATGAGAAGACATAAATCTATATTTCAGCTTTTAAAGGAACAAGAAGAAATATAATTTGCCTTAACAAAATTGCTTGGCTCTGTGCTATATATGGGTTCTCCCTCTCTTTTAAACAAAGTGCTTTGTTTTTATTGGATTTTTTTTAAAGGTTTGCTATAATAGCAGTAAACAAGGAAGAAGTAAAATATCTCCTCTTTTGATTGTACTGTTTTGTATCTGTGTGTGTGTGTTAATTATGCATTTGCATTTTGGATACTGTTGCATATAAGACAAAATATGCAATGGCATTGGCAACATTTGTTTGAAGGTGCCACTCTGTTTAAGTGTTGCAAGCCACCCCAATCTCTGAGTGGTGCAGGATTCCAGGGGGTTCCAGGGTTTGTGTTTTCTTTGGAATGAGGGACAGCTCAGAGTGTGGTGTCTTTATGATATATGGTTTATTTACACATTTATACAACCTGGGAGTAAATACCAATGAATTCAATGGAAACATTTCCAACCTATGATAGTCTCTTGCAGCAAAAACAACAAAGCACCTTGTGGTACCTGGAAGATGAAGAAAATTACATTTATGTTTGTTAGTCTTTTAGGTGCCACAAGTTTGGTTGAATTCGATAGGACTCACTTCCAAGTAGTCATGCATAGGATGATTTTTATCAAGAATAGGGAATCCCTTTCCACTTGAGAGCCACATTTCCTGCAAGGCAACTTTCTGAGGGATGCTTGCTGTGGTGAGTAGGACCAGCAGCAAAACTGGGTGGCAAAACAAAGGTAAATTTTAACTTTGTGTAGTCAACTGGTTTCTGCACACCCTCAACCCTGCCTTCCTTTTAGACAAGCAAGAGTTCAGGGTCTCATACAAGCCAGGCAGAGTTATCAGAGTTCAGGGTCTCATATAAGCCAGGCAGAAACACTTGGGGGGTCAAGCAGAGCCAGTGTGGGGCAAGGGTGTGGGGCCTGGGAAGAGGTATGAGAGCCCAGTCAAGAGGCCAGGTGGGTCAGATTCAGGCCCTTGTTCCTCATTCATGAAACAAACCATAGAGCTTTAGAGACATCTCTCTCTCTCTCTGAATTCTTATAATCCCTAATTAGTAACCAGAGAAAGAAGTTAGGAACCACATCAATGCAGTTCTGGAAAGAGATTCTTCTGGGTTATACAATTTCCCCCTTCTTTGCCCTCCATCAATAAGATGTCCCCAGTGAGGTTGTGTGTCTCAGGAATTTCAGAGTTGTGGAAAATGTCACCCTGATCCAAAATGGTGGAAATTGTGTCCTCTGTGGCATAAAGCAATGAAAGCAGCAAAAACAAGGAAAAGGAGGAGAGAGACCCCTGCCCTTGAAAAGTTGACAGTGTGGGTTGGAGACTTGGGGAAGGGGGAACGATCAAGAAGCGGGAAGCACTGGAAGGACAATTGAAGTGATGACTTTACCCTCCCTTGGGTCACTATCTTTTTGCAAAGTTTCATCAGAACCCTATGTATGTTTAACTCAGAATGAAGTCTTCCAGGACTTCTTCACAAGTGCATTATTACTGCTGCCTTTGCCTCATTCGTGCAACAGCCTTTCAAGGTTGGCCACTGATGTGTCCCTTTCAGAGTCAGCCAAACGACATCTGCTCTCATCTATGGGCAGCCTTACCCCCACAAGAGCTTTCATGGGCACTCAGGTGCTGTGTGTACTCTAGGACTTCTTTCTTCAAGGAATTAAATGCTGGAGGAAGGAGCTGGAGGCAACCCTGCATGCCTGGCTGCTGAGATGCTTCACTTCCTGCATTCCTCTTGCTAAGCATCTATGTGCCAGTGCACCATGAACTCATCAGTGCAACTCCTCCAGTGTTCAGGGATGCTGAGCAGATGCCTGGCCATCAGATGAACTGAGAAAAGGGCTTGGCTGTGTACATACTACTTTTAAATCTTCACCCCACCCGCCAAAAGAAAAATAATGAAAAACTGAAAGAAAAAAAACTGAAAAGTTTAGTTTGTTAAGGGTGCTAGGAATTGCAGCTCTGTGAACATAAACTACAGTTCTCAGGGGGAGATGTGATTTAACTATATGGCGTATTTGCAGCCTTTGGTTCTCATCCCTAATGGGATTCTTTTTAAAAAGAATAAATTGATGATTGGAAAAGGATTGGAGGAGAGGAGCCACATTCTCAACCTTTGCAATTGGCTGCCCTAGCAGAGGTGTTCCTAGATGCTTTAAAAAACAACACCCCACCAAGATTCTGCATAAAATGTGCACACATTAATTCCATCTATTATTACATTTATATCCCTCCTTTTCCTTCAGGGAAGCTCAAAGTTGCATAGATTGTTCTCTCAACAATCCCATGGGGGAGGTTAGGCTGAGAGACAGTGACTGGCCCACAGTGACCCAGTGAGCTTCACAGCAGAGTGGGGGTTTGAACCCTGGTCTCCCAGGTCATCATCCAATACTCTAACCAATACACCACATTATGTATATGTATGGAATCAAACTTAGGCCAACTTTCAGAGCAAATGTAAAAATGTTACATGGGGGAAAAAATACGAGAGAGAGACGTTGCAAACACTTTTGTAAATCAAGAAAATCTTTAATAAAAAAATGCCAAAATAATAATATATCCATCAAAACTTGTTTACACTGTTGAATTTATCTTAATGCTGCCAACGTTTTCAAGTGTACACAATCCCCCCCCATATATTCAATAAACATCTTCTTTAAACCTAAAAAAAAAACAACTTTCAGAGCAAATAACGGAGGGTGAAGTCCTAACCTCATTTACTTGAGTGTAAGCCCCAGTGGTTTCACTAGAACTTCAGGGCCCTCTGAAAGGTTTTTGCAACATGATACTGACACAATAACAGTGTATTAGCAGTGGATTTATTCTGCTTTAGTTTGTTCTGCCCTGCTGCCCAGAGGGGCTGTAACGCAAGAAAAGCGAAATGAAAATAAACCAGAACATTTGTTGTCCCACAAATTTACAGGATTTAACCACAAAGTTGCAGGAAATGCACAGACTGGAAATGAAGCAGGGTGGCCACAAGTAATATTTAAAGCGGGTGACTTCTGATAGCATCAAGGGCACTAATCCTCAGTCCTGGAGGTGGCCTAGCATAGAGAGCTGCCCTATACTGAATCAGACCATTGGCCCATCAAGTTGAGTATTGTCTACACTGACCGCCAGAGGCTGTCCAGGGTTTCAGACAGGGAGTCTTTCCTACCCCTACCTGGAGATGCTGGGGATCGAACCCAGGACCGTCTGCATGCAAAACATGGCCTTTGCCACTGAGCCTGTCCCCCTACTTGAGACTAGACATGGTTAGGATGGTGCTGTAGCTTCTTTAAAAAAAGAAAAGAAATGCCAGGAAATTAGGGGCCCTGTGCAAAAGGCTACCTGCTAACTCTTTGCCCTATGATTCTGAGGTTTCGATTGAAGACTCCTTGCAATCTATGGAATAACAGCCCCTGACCCACATACGACACCCTGGAGACTGGGAACACATTAAGCTGGATTAATGATTGGTGGCAAAGCAGGACATAGCGCCTTGGAACCCCGTGGAGATGCTCCTAATCTTTCCTCCTCTTAAGCGTCAAGGGTACTTAACATCCAAGTAGGTGGATGGCAATTCCTTGGTAATTATTCTATTTGCTCTGGCTGCTTTTCTGTGTGCTTTTCAAGGCTCCAGTTAATTCTACTGGAGCTTTTACCCAGATCACCTGGAAAAGCAGTGTGTGCATGTGCAGTCGTATACTGACAAATTCAAGAGTGCAGGGTCCCTTCGTGATACTCACAGTCACGGCCCCCCTCACAGCCCCTTCCAAGGATATACAACCCTCTAAGATCACACAATAATCTTATAATTGTGCAAGGATAACAATTAGGGGTGCATTGCACCAATCATTTCAGATCTCCACATCTTGGCTTTCAGCTAGATATATTTTCTGTGCACGTGCATGGGCAAATGATTTGAAGTGCTTCAATTTCTTCCAGAGTGATTTAAATTTTATTTTATTTAGACATTTTAAGACCTGTGACTTAAAAAAGCCCCACACCCCTGCTTTCAGTTTTCCCCATCTAAAGCTGTAGGTCCACCTAGCTTAGTATCAATTATTGTCAGGGACAAAGAGGAGCGGTGGGAGGCACTGGCTGGGGAACCCCGAAGGAAAACCCCAGAGGAGTAAGGCTCAGACCCTGGGGATTTGTGGTGGGACACTGAGGAGAGGTGGGAGGAGCTAGATGCAGATAGGGCAACAGGGCCTAGTGAGCAAGAAGAGCTGGTGGCAGTTAGCAGTTCAGACTCTGAGGCAGAAGCAGAAAAGAGGGGAGGTCAAGGGACTGATGAAAAATCCAGGGAGTCTACCTCTCCTGCTGCAACAAGCTCCCTTCCCGCTGTCTCCAAGAACACGCAGAATAATGAGCAGAGCAGAACAGAGGCCAGAGGTGCTCAGGCACTATTTGAGACTGCTTGGGAAACATCCAGGAGAGGAGAAAGTATAGAAAGGTTGGAAGGCAGGGACCTCCAGTCCTGGCAACTGCTCCATAAGGGCAAGACCTACTGGGAAGTGTTGCTGAGTTGTATGTCATTTCCTTGAATAAAGAGTTAACTTCACTGACAACAGAGCCCTGCGTCTTTGGTGATGACCTGAGTCTGACTCCAGCCCTGACATTCCTGCTGTACAAACAGGGAGCAGCCTGACCCGAAGATTGAATCTGGGGCTTTCTGCATGCAGAGCAGATGCTCTACCAATGAGCCAGGGCTCTTCCCAATGGTTGGGGAACTTGCAACACAAAAGACCACAGGGGGTGCTAGCCGTAGCCCTCCAGACATTGCTGCACAACAATTCCCAGCATCCCTGACCACTGTCTCTGCTGGCTGGGGCTGATGGGAGTTGGAGTCAGCCAGAAGTGAGCCGCTCCAGCAATACTATATATAAAAAAAGCTGGAAATGGTTTTCTCTCCGACTGCAATACATTGCTAACATGTGGCGGTATGTCACGCATTTGGCTGGTCGTCCCATTCTCAAGTTCTGGCATGTTCTGAAGGGCCTTTTCTCCTCCAGCATGTGCTCCTGGTGCCTTCCATGCAAAATGCTCACCCCTTGCAGGAAAGCACAGCCGCTGCAAAATTAATTCGAGCGCAACGGCTGAATGATTGAAGGAAGAAACTTTCCCGTGACCTTCTGGAATGGCACGGTTTACATCTGAGCTATAAATCCCTCAGACCGTAAAAGGTTTACTGTCCTCATCTCTCCATGTTATTAAATGGCAAAGACAATGTAGGGCAGCCGAATGGTCTTGTGGCAGTAAATCAGGGGTGGGAAAACTCAAGCCCAGGGGCTGGATGTGGCCCTCCAGGTTTCTCTATCTGGCCCTTGGAACTCTTCCCAGACACCCCACCATCACCATCACCTCACCAGCACTCCTTCATAACCTTCTTGAGTGCTTTTTGGCTGGTCTGGAATTTGCCCTTGAACTGATGTCTCTGACTTCCCTGGATGGAGAATGGAGAGGGATGTGTGTGTGCAGAAACTAGACTATTCTTGAAACATTCACATTCATTGCTCCACTCACTTTTGCCACCAGCTCCACCCACTGCTGGCGTGTGGCCCTTGGAAGGTTGTCCAGAGGTTAATGTGGCCCTCCAGCTGAAAAAGCTTCTCTACTCCTGCTAGAAATCATTATACTTAGGAGAAACCTCCTCCCACAGAGATGATGGGGTGGGAGGAGAGCCTTGGAGTTAGCAGGATCCTAGCCCTCACTAGCTGGGTGGGTAACCCTCAAAGGCTCATCTAGTTGAGCATCCTGTTCTCACAGCGGCCAACTAGATGCCTATGGGAAGCCCACAGGTAGGAGATAAGCAAAACAATATTCTCCCAGCTTGCGATTCCCAACATTTGGTATTCAGAGTGGAGAGAGAATATAGCCATTGTGACTAGTAGTCACTGATAACCTGATTCTCTATGAATGTGTCTCATCTCCCTTTTAAAAGCCATCCCAGTTGTTGGCCACTGGTATATCTTTGCAGCAGCTCAACAGGCCGAGTGACTTTGGCCTGTTTGTCCCCTTAGATAACCCTGACGGGGGTCCACTAGATGCCTGGCAACGACAGCATAGCGAATGGTCAAATCATATTTTGAAGGGATCCAGGGTCTAGTCACCTTGCAGGAATCTAGCCAGCAACGGCCCTAGCCCATCTCTATAAGATACGGGTGAGTTTGGCGGGCCCCACATGTTATAAGAGGGGGTGAGATCACTGTGCGAGGTCAGCAAAGCTTGGGACAGGCACACAAAATGTACAACCAAAGTGCAAAATTTTCTCTCATCATAAAAGTGCACACTTTCTGCAACAGTATGCAAACTGAAACACAGCCATCCTTCAAAATTCACAGTTCTCTGAATTTTGCAATGCAGTTCTCCAGCCAAGCAATGTGTACAAAAATGCATATGCTAGAGGGAAAATGTGCATAGAAATGCATATATTAGTGAAAAAATAACATACAAAATGCATGGGAGCCAGCATGGTATAGTGGTTAGAGTGTTGGGCTAGGACCTGGGAGACCAGAGTTCAAATCCTCACTCAGCCATGAAGCTTCATGGGGTGATCATGGACCGGTCTCTCAACCTAACCTACCTCACAGGTTTGTGGTGGAGGATAAAATGGGAAGGAAGGGAACCGGGTATACTATCTTGAGCTCCCTGGAGGAAAGGTAGGCTATAAATGCAACAAATAATCGCTCTGCAAAAATGTGTGGATTGCATACAAAAGGTATACAGTATATTAGGAGCAATATGAACTAAAGTGCAGATGAATTTTATTTTGTTTTGATGTTTGGTTTGATGATAAACTGTGATTGTTTTATTCTCCCATTTTCAGTGGATTGTTTTATGTACTCTGCTTAGAAATGTGAATAATTAAACAGTATAGAAATGTCTTAAATAAATAAACAAATGAGAACTTTTTTTAAAAAAGGAATAATTTGCAAACTGATGTGGAAATGTGGAGACCTGACCTTAATATGGGGAAATGGAGATACACAGAGAATGTGAAACAAATGGATGTATACATTCCTAGATTGAAGGGAACCCTTCTATTTTTCAACGTTACAAAACCATCAATAATAAGACAGTTCAGTCTAGGACTTTTCTTCTCAGTAGTGTTTGTCATCCGCTTGAATTTAATCAAGTGAGAGATTTTCCATAACCACCAAGCACAACTGAGCAAGCTGCAGTAGGGATTTAAAGTCTCCTTTGGGCGGTTAAGTATCTGTCCCCAGGCAGAGTTCAGCTCCTCGTGTTGTGAATCCCACGGCAATTTACTTGGAAATAGAAGCTCAGGTATCCTGGCCACACTCCAACTTGGGTAATTACATTCAACTGACCTAAATCCTGCCAGCTGTTTCCATTGGATGCTATTCTCGATCTGCTCTCTGAACTCAGTAGGCAGCGTTGCTGACAGCTGCTAAGCTTTGCCCAAATCTCGCCCCCAAAATCTGGGATCTGCATCTTGGAAGCAGTTGAGTAACGCTCATCATCGCCATTATCTGGGTTACAGAGATATGCTTTGCTGCGAAGTGGTTCGATGCTTTAAGCATGAAGTCAATGGCACAAAGTAGGTGTTGAAATGTATATTGTGAAATGCTGTGCACTGCCTCTCAGGGAATGTTGCAATCATAGTGTAATGTGGTTGATGATGCTTTCTTTCTTTCAGCAATTAAAGCATAAAGGCTGCTTCCAGATTTTTTGCTCTTTTGTGGGTGGGATTCAATGGCAAACCGGCAAATTCAGGTCATGCAATTAAAGTAGATTAGGCACTCTTGTGAAACAATTCTGCTTCCAAAAACCCCAGCATCAAAGCACTGATTTTATGCAGACAGGGAAGCGCACCGGAAGATGCACCAGAAAGTGTGGGATAACAACATCATATAACTTCCTTGCAAATTGCTGGAAGTTTAGGTACAGGTCAGCTTGCTGAGAGGGGTTGCAAGGGTTAAGGCAGAAAGAGTGGGGGACCTCCAGCTTCCCAGACTACCCTTGTAACTTTATCTCTATGCTGACTTCCCTCTATTTCTTTGAAGTTTAGAGTGATACTCTTAGGTTGCATCCAGTTTACAACTTCCTGCCCCTCCTCGCATTCTTTCTCGGAACCTCCAGGCAAGAGGTCATCTGGAGCCATCTTCTGAGAATGAATTGGCAGGCATGTCTTTTTGTTTCTTCAACTAGATGGTTAGCTAGGAGTTATAGAACTCTTTCCTATCAAGAATGTACACCTCTTAATAAACACAAGCTTTCTTATTTTATACAAAATCTCAGTTGGAATTCCTTTCAGCTAAAGGTGTGCTGCAAGCAAGGATTCAATTAACCTTTGCCGCTGTGTGTAAACTCTATATGCTAACACAAGCAAACCAGAGTGAATGATCAGTAGCCTGTGGGTGTTTTATAACCCACCAATAAACATTGTGCTTACAAAGCAGGATGAATGTTCAATAAACAGGTCACCTGGAAATGACCTCAGCGGACTTCCACTGGTGAACAGGTAGGTCAGGTAGCCCGAAAAGAGAGATCCAAATCAGACCACTGTGCCACCTCTTCCTGACCTGGAGCTGAACCCTTGCAAAGCTTTCAGAAGGCCAAACTTCTTAAGGTCAAATTCCTGGATGATATGTTAAATGCATTTAATTTGCCTGTTTTTCCTTTAAAACGATGTGTTTGCTTGTGTTGAAGAAAATCCTCCCCCTCCTGAAGCTGCTGTCAGTTCCAGAGTTACTGGTAACCTGCAGGGGACATGACCTCTTGCAAGGATGTAGCAGCTGCTTTCTCATAACAGAAAATTCCTAACGCTTCCCAATTAAACACAGAAATATTTACAATTCTCTTATCCACTACCCTACAAGCAATGTATTGCAAGAGATCTCGACAACCATTGTCATGGCAACCTAACACTACCCCACGCAAGAGACCTATTTATGTATATAATAATGGACTAGCCAAAAATCCCCATTAGGAAGCTGGTTTGTGTGAACTGTCCCCTGTACAGGCTGGAAGATGGAACTCAGTCGGGGGGTTGGTTCTAGTGATGATGTGTGTTCTAGCAGCGTTTTCAGGGATGGGGCCATCAGTGGAGTCAACCTTGCCAAGAAAAGTCCAGATTTGTCCTGGATCCACCCACAATATCAGTGAAACAACCCACTGTCGAAAGAGATCGCAATTCCTAGCCACCAAACCTTAAAAGCAGTCAAGTGGAATAGCTAAAGTCTTGATGAATGAATGATTTGCCTCTCCTGTCAGAGGCAGCATGGACTGGAGGCCCCTGGAGGCCCCTTCCAACTCTACAATTCTATGAATGTCAGAGGCTGGGAAATACAAGTGGAAGAGTGTTGCTCTTGTGCTCAGGTTCTGCTTGCTGGTTTGACCACAGGTATCTGGCTGGCCACGGTGAGAACAGGATGCAGGAGAAGATGGGCAAGAAACCTTGGAAACAACTGCAGTGTTTTTTAGGCTGAAAATATTGTTGGATGAGGGCTGCTTATGTGGGGGATGGAAGGGTATGCCATGGAGAATCAAAGAAGAGGAAATTCACTCTCCCCTCCACACCCTTGCATTCTCCGTCTGGGGACAACATGCAAGCCCCATAGCATTCAACAGCGGTATCCCAATTTGCACTACTCAAGGCTGCTGTGCTGGGAATATCTGAAATGTGACCTCTCGGGTCGAAGCCTGCAGAAATGCTGAAGCAACCTATTGGTGTTTCCTGTAGCGTA